TTTTAAATAAACTCCTCCTCCTTGCTAACCTTAGTTAATAAAAGCTATATCCTTATTCTTTTATAATAATTAAAGTAGTTATGCTTATAATAATTAAATTAATTATATATAAAATACTTAACTTTGCTTATTAAAATTATTATAATATTAATATTTATTACTTTATTATTTTAAGGTTAAGTATTATCCTTTTTTATTACAATGCTAAAAACGCCTTTATATTACTATAAGGCAAAGCAAAAGGCCTTAAATATATTTAGCTACTTCTTATAATTAAGCTAAGCTCTTATTATAAAAATTAAGCTATTAGCTATTAATAATATTGCACTTATTTAGCTAACTTTAAGCCTTTATTATATAAGTTAATTAATTAAACTAAACAAGAAATTCTGCCATTTTTTCTTTATAGTATTGTTATAATGTAATTAAGCTAAGCTTAGCATGCCTTTGCTTAAAAAAGTTTCTAAACGTAAAGCAAACTTTCTTTAAAAAGCTTTTTAGCTATTCCTTAAATATCTTTATAAAATTAATATAAGGTAAAAATTAATTATAAAAAGTTCCTAGCTAATTAAATATATAAAAAAATTAAGCCTTTTTAATATTAATTGCCTTTTTATTTATTATAAACTTAGCCCTTATTTTTATTAGTTAAGTTATTAAGTATTCTTAAGATAAGAGTTCCTTTAAATAAGGAAAGACTTAATAAGCTGCTATTATTCTTTTTAAATTTTATTATATTAAGTTTTATATAATTATATTATAAGTTTATAATATAAAAGGACTTTAAATATATATTATAGGCTAGCTTTAGGTTATTTATTATAAGGTGTTTAAATAGGGTTTATATTTAAAGTATAAAGGAAAAGGTTTACTCTTTATTTGCACCTATGCTAAAGCTTATTCTTATAAGGCTAAAGCTCATTAATTAATTACAATGGGTAAAGCTTAAACCGTAATAATAAGGCATATAAGGGCTTTTAAAATTAAATTAAGGAATTAAATAGGGTTATTAATAGCTTATTTAATTAAAGTATTTTGCAGAGTATGTATGTGTGAGAGAAGCTAATGCTAGGCGGGCTACGGAAGGTATGGTGTGTTAAAAGAGAGGGGAGTGCTTAGTCATCCCCCAACACCCAGTTCTGAGCGGTGCGTTGGCGCAAACAGCAGGTTGGAGATGGATCTTTTGGTTCCTGATAATCCTGATTGGCTGTCACGGCGTGCTACTCGTGCTATTCTTCCCCGAGACTCAGAGGAAGCTCGTCGGAAACGGCAGTAAGCGCGTGTACGGGCTCATGTACTAGAATCTTTTCTGGAAGATCACCAGGCAACAACATGTCCTCGAGAAGGAAACCGAGCCAGAGGACAGGATAAAGAGAAAATTCCATATCCCAAATCCGCTGGCCTGCCTTCCAATGTTAGTCGACAAGGGCAGCTTCTGCACCATGTTTTTCGGTAGAGTCACGTATGCCATCAAGATGACGATTCAGGCATCGCTCGGATCCCAGTGTATTAGTATTTACAATCTGAACTACCTGGAGGCAGGTCTTGTTTATCTTCCCGCTGGAGTTGCCGGGGGCTTGGGTGCTAAATGTACCGGGCGATTTCTGGACTGGTATTGTGAGTTTGACCGTGGCTGTTTAATTTTTTTCCACATCCAGTGCCTCACAGACCGCGGAACTAACTTTGCCTGCTTCCAAAAGAGCGCCGTATGTTCAAGAAGCTCGATGGCGCGTTTCAAAGAGGCGAAGATATCTCAGACTTTCCCATTGAAAAGGTTCGACTGAAAGGAGCATATACTCAGCTCATTGTCACTTCCATTGGGACAGCGGGATATGGTGTGGCGCTGATGATGAGGACAGTAAGTAACGAGCAACTCCAAACATAGTCTATATATCAGGCTGACTTCAATAAAGCACATATCGGTAATGCTCATCTTGCAGTTTATCATCAGTTTCTCAACATCAAGCATCTTTGCAGTGAGCCCCCGGAAACATCTTGTGATGATACTCAGTAATAATTGACCAACCTCCAGATAAGTAACACGCTGCTCACGGATCTGAATGTGAGCAAGGCCGCAACGGTCAGGGGAGCCTCAAACTTTGTCAGATGCCTTCTTGCCGGAGCTTTCATTGCAGCTTTGGAGCCGATAGCCCAGGCCATAGGCCTCGGCTGGTGCTTTGGTATATTCGCGATCTTGCAAATATTCTCAATCCCTGCAATCTGGCTGCTGAAAGCCATTGGCCTTCGTTGGAGAGAGGAGAAGGCAGCTAGAGGTTCGGAAGGCAGTGGTTGATAGCCTGAGCGTTCCCGGAGAGCACATCCAAGCAAGGGTTCGGTGACAGAAGCATACCAAAAGGGTTGAGTCCCAATCTGAAGCATTAAACCCAATACAAGCGGCTTTGCGAATAATACCTAGTTCTAAAGCAACATCTAATAGACTTCTAATAGCTTTCTGCGTGAGTGTCTTCATGTGCATTAAGAAAAAGCGAAGGAGATGTTGTTTATGGATTGGCCCGTATTGAACATCCAAATGTCTCACACACAAGCCAGGCCGAAAACTGAATTGCAAAGCCAACTGTACCCAGCCATTCAAGAAAGGATTAGCACCGGGATCTCAAGTTGTGCCCATGTAATTCAGTCTCTATTACTCTGCACTTGCTAGGTGCTCGAACAAGTGACAGCTCGTTACAATATTCAAGGCAGTGCAAATCTTCTGTGCGCCCACGCCCGAGCACAGCTTATGGATGGGGAGACAGGCAACATAGATTTGATTTGTCCCTGCCAAGCCTCGATGTTGAAATAAGGTTTAGGGCATCGTCCGCTGGAGTTCGGCTCCAGCTGCCACTTGGAGTGCTGCAAAACATACTGACTAAGCAGCATCCGCGCCGAAACCAAAATTGAGGGAGTGTGCTGCATTCTTGACCTTGTCTTACTCATCGTAACGACCGACATATCGCCAGAAGATCCGAAGAGACCATCATGCCAGCGTCTATCTAGGATCTGATCAATTCGTGGTGGTTGGGACGATTAATCTATTGTAACCAGTCCAATGCCTGGCGAACCGACTTGACAGTAGTCCAGCAAGACATTCCAGCCCTCGAGAGTCCTGCACAATCGCAGCAGGTTTGGGGGGGGGGGGTTTCTTTCTTTGTGGGTTGAATGACTCTCCTATCATCATGATCACTCCCAGAACTGCATTTCTGAATAGCTGAAGTCGTTGAGTTCATCGCCCGTAAGTGGAACAAGATGATCATCAGCTCTATCCGTCGCCTCCCGTGGGCCTCATTCAACGCGGGCTGAAACACTAAATTGAGAGGACCACGACGCACATTCCAGGTCAAGAGTGCATGCAGATGGTCTCGCCCTTCGTCTTCGATTGGCCATGGTCCGCCCAACGGTACTATGCTTGTCCAGGCACGGACTCAATTCCCGTGGGTGAGACGGAGTCCATCGGCTTTGAAGTGACTGTGGGCCTCTCCTTTTTTTTTATTTCATCGTCTCTGTTGAAACTTGAGTTGCGGCTGTGGCTTTTGGACTTCAGGATTTCACGAGAAAGTCCCGAATGGTCTTGTTCAGGAGGCACTTGTAGGTGCCCTGGTTGACAAGTCTACGGTTCCTCTCACCACATAGCTGCTATGGTATCAAATTATCGCACGCCACGAGACACCAGGCCGAGATTCTGGTTTCGTCAGGTCTCGAGCTCATCATCAGATCTTGGAGCATCGCGAGAACCACGCACTGCTTTTGCAGCGTAGCAGCATAGCGGGGCATGCTCTCGAGCTTAGCTACCCACTATTTGGTATCCACAGAATCCACCGGGCGCTGCAGCGTTCTAGAACGTTGATGTGGACAGGCATTCACGCGTTTCTTGAGGAATCAGGCAAAGAAGAACGCTCAACAGCACAACATGTGAAATTGGCTGGCGGGAGCTTGGACCACTGTGGTGTTTTCCCCTCGTGAGTCATCGTCAAAGGTTGCCCAGTGGCTCCCAATCACAAGGCTTCCCGAACATGCCGCGGCCTCCCCTAAATTGCAGTTCCCATCATGACCCTCTATTAACGCTCATTCCTGGTATATAGGTTCGGTTGACCCGCGGCGGTGTGCCCGTCAAACCACGCTGATATCAGAGGCAGCCCGACAGGCTGTCAGTGAGCCGCGGACCGTGGTATCGACATTCGCCCCTTTTCCTCGGTGGATACCTCTAAAGCACGCGAACCAACTTCACGATAAAGAAGCTTTGACCAAGGAGGTCTAATTTTGGTGGTATCCACGGATCGAGGAGATCTAGGCACGGGAATTTTTCTTTTCTCTTGTTGGTCAGGGCTTTCAGTTTCGAGCCTCTGCTACTGAAGTTGGCTATGCTCAGCTTGCCATGTGGATACATCACATTCTTGCTACTGTCTGATTACCAGCCTGCTGCGTGTAGCTATGGCAAGGCGGCTGGGAGGCAAGGTCGACATGCCCCCGGGACACAAGTGCAGATCATCCGGGTCAAAAGCTACGAACCGGTTTTGTAAGTCGCCCGCTTGACAGCGGAGCTCTACCTTTGTTTTGATGTTTTACGGGTGAAAGCTGTGGGTCCTGTACTTTCATGCACAACAAATCCTCCGAAGTCAAGGACCACCTCTGTGTCAGGAACCCGACGCCCTGTCTCTACGTCTCGTCGGGTTCTGGGTCCCGGCATCGACAGACCCAATGAGATGTTGGGCCCTGTTTTCCCTTTTGTGGTTCCTTGCTCCTGGAATTGCCCCCATCGATTTCTAAAACCATTATATGGATGGCCGTGTCTCTCATCGGAGCCTGGTCTCTGGAAGGTGTTTCTCAGGTTGACAACTTTACAGGCCCCTTGACCTGCCTATACCACCTGCGTCTTGGGACAAGCCAGCCCACTAGGAGGTTCAATTTTTAATCCACAGGCAGCGTGATCCCGGTTACTCGGATCAGTCAAGGAAACGCCCAAGCCGAAGAAAGGGAAGCCCAATCGCGGGCCGATCACAAACATGGCTGACGAGTCACCCAGTCAGCCGGTCGAGAGGATGGATCCGATTCCAGAGTCTAGGCCCGCCTCGCCAGTCCAACCGGAACCGACACATCCACCGGCACGCCGCGAGGGAGAACATGGGCTGCCACCGGCCCTGAATAGGACAAGTACTCAGTCAGCCGAGGCAGAGAACACAGGGCCGTCAAGTCTGCATCGCCGAGGACAGTCTGTATCCAACAGCCTGCGGCCGGTGGATTCAAATCGGAGTCGAGGACGAGCCGGGTCAACAACTAGCTCTCGGTTCCGCAGGAGTGCCAATGCGGAGCGGCATCCGACTTTCATGAATCCGGGGATGCGGAAGCGGACGACAACATGGAACTTGAACGGACCAAGTGCCCTTGGAGGGCGACCAGTACGGCGCAGGACGATACTGCTCGGCAACGGAGCCTCTTCTGCTGTCGATGTTGGGGGGGATGACCGGTCTGCGGCTGGTTTCACTCTCGCCGGACCAGGCAACCCGCTCGAGTCTATCGCGGCAAACCAAGCTTACGTTGACCCTGGATACACGGACCTCAACCCAGCTTACGAGCAAGCGACGAATAATCGCCCGGTCTGGGGTCTTGCGAAGCCCCTCCCTCACGTCGTCCGTCCCGGCATGATCCCGACTCAGAGCGAATTCCGCGAACAAGCCCCTGGGCAGCTGCAGCACGAACAACAAGCACACGAGGAGTTTGACCTGGAGGCTGGCCGCGTCGAGTCGACGATCAATCCCCACAAGATTTCCAGTGCCTTCCAAGCAGCTCAGCAAGACCGAGAGTTCAGACTGCTAAGGACTTACACCGGCCAGAGCAGCTTTGGTGGCTTTTCTGGACGCAAGGCGTCTGTGTCTTCGGGCCAAGGGAGGCACTCGGGGCCTGAGCAGCTCGGGAAGCAAGAAAAGTCTGATGTTGAACAAACAAATCATAGGGCCCGCCGCCAGAGTGTGACCGTAACTGAACTCGCTTCAGTCGCCGAGCAGAAGACGCCTGATGAGAGGGACCACGCCAACAACCAAGGATACTTTGGCGGTGGCCCTGTTGAGGCTGTGCAGACCGTGGACAACGACTGGGTCGAAGACGAGCAACTGGAGCCCTACGATCCGGAGCTCGACGAGATCCACAACCTCCACACTCACTGGTCCGTCATCCGTCTGAAGTTCCGCGAGCCACTCGCTGAGCTCCTCGCCGTCGTATGCCAACTCACTCTCGGCTTCTGCACCAATCTGGTCATTGCTTGCTCCAAGGACAGCGCTGGCAATGCTATTTCCGCCGCTTGGTCGTGGGGTCTCGCCACCATGGTGGGCATCTATATTGCTGGTGGTAAGCAGCTTCCGGATACAATTTTGACCCTCTCTGGAAAATCAATTTCCTATCTGTAGCCTGTACCTCAAAGGTATTGTTAGGCTGCAGGTTTGGAAACAAGCCACGGCCATACTGTGGCCTGGTCCTCCCTATGTCTAGATGAAACTTCTTCCTCAGTTCTTTGTTGGCTGACTCCTTTTCCTGCAGGCATCTCCGGTGCGCATCTCAATCCAGCAATGTCAATCATGCTGTGGATCTACCGCGGCTTCCCGCTACGCAAGATTCCCGTCTACGGCATCGCCCAAATCCTCGGTGCTTTCATAGCGGCGCTCATCTCCTTCGGTCTCTTCCGCAACAGCATCGTCGAGCTCGCCAACACCACAGACTTAGCCAGCACCGATACTGCGTCTGCTTTCCTCACATCCCCTCGCAACACGTGGATCGATCCTGTGACCGCGTTCTTCACCGAGTTCACAGGAACAGCCATTATGGCCGTCGCTATCCTTGCCCTTGGAGATGACAGCAATGCGCCCCCTGGTGCCGGTATGAACGCCCTCATAATCGGACTCATCAGTACTGCTATCTCTATGGCCCTTGGCTGGAATACCGGACTCGCCATGAACCCTGCCCGTGACATTGGCCCGCGTCTCGCCCTCCTCGCGCTGGGCTACGGCGCCGAGACCAGCTTCCCCGGGTCGTACTGGTTCTGGGGACCGTGGTGTGGGCCTATCCTGGGCGCGCTCTTCGGTGCCCTCCTATACGACGGCGCAATCTTCGTCGGAGGCGAGTCCCCAGTGAACTACCCGCGAAAGAGGATCAAGCGTGCATTCCGCAAGAAGAAGGGCAAGTGGAACAAGCGCTTCCAGGCTGTCACCAGAGGCATCAAGATCGGCCGGCCCAAGTACGCCAGCGATGATTGGAAGTTTGAGTTCGACGAGGCGCGCTAAAGGTGCCAGTGTCGGATGTGTCCCGGTTCAAGGACGGGCTCTTGTGAAGAGCCGTAATGCGGAAATACTCTCGTTTCTCCATCCTGTTTTCAATCCGCAACTCCGCTCATCCCTTCAAGTCACAACTTCGAGCTTTCTCAAAAAGAAGAAGAACATTCCCTACCAACTGCTAAACACTCATTCAATTTCCTACCCGTCACACATCTCTTCGCAAACTGGCAGCTGAGCTTGCCCACCAAAAGTTGTTTGCTTTTATTCTTCTCGGGCAAAAGAGAGTGTTCTGCTGGTTCTCGTCGTTTACACCGTACCCGTTTTATGGCTTTTGTTTTTCTTTACCTATTACGTCACCTGTCTACGTCCTTGTCTTTGGATGGCGTTTTGCATTTTGTTTTTGGAACTGCTTCAAGGGACACGACACAGCACGACGCACCTTCTTTCCTAGCATGGCGTTTATGGTTTATGTTTTTCAAAAGGCGTTCCAGCAGCCTTGTCACTTACGTGGGCACCTGAATAGTGCGCAGCTGAGAGACACAAATGCAATAGAACCGGATAGAGTGGGACAAACGAGGGTTACAAATTGGCTGGGAGCGTCGTGCTCATTTTGGCAGTTTTTGGGAGGGGTTTCATTTAGACAGGTTCAGACACTGCTCTCGAGCATGTTTGTTGGACGGCACATATACATTTTCTCATGTAGAAATCGACACAGAACATTCTCTCTTGCCAAAACTACTGAATGCTCAGTTGGATCAGTGCTATCATGGTCTGCTTGGACCCTCTACTTCTGCTCTACAGCTGCAATCCTATCACTGCGGTACCCTTGCTGACACTCCCGACCAGAAGTCACACCTCGCGCCGCGGCCGCCCTCCCAGGACAGGGCGTCAACGAGGCGGAAGTTGTTGGCGATCCCGGCTCCGACGCGCAGGTAGTAGCTCAAATCCGTGGTCACCACAACTTGAGTCAGGTCCCCGCCCGTCGTGTTCAGGTCCATCATGTACGGCTGCTGTGCCGTGTACCGCGGCCAGTTGATATTCCCATCTGTGCCAGCAGGCGCGGTAGCATTGGCATATCCAGCAGTGGCTTCGTCAAGGGTGATGGTTGGATCATCGCGGACAATGAAGTTGCCCCAGACCTTCTGAAACGCCCGCCGGAAGTCAGCGTTGGGGGTCGTTGCGTCGACCGCGAAATAAGCTGTGAGGTCTGAGCCGTGAAATCCTGGCGTGACGGAGAACTGGTACTTCCATGCCTGCAAGTCAGCTTGGCTGAAGGCTTCGGCTAGCCATTGGGCAGGGCAGACGAAATTCGTTTCGGCCAGGATGTTGAATGCGGTCTGCTGGATGCCGGTGGCTAATCCAGACTGTGTTAAAGCGGTGGGTCCTTCTGTCCCGAGGGTGTCGTATCGGATGTCAGAGTCTCCTGGAGCGGAGTTGTTGATTTGGTAAATGTCGTTGAGTTGGTCTATGTCGGATGGGGAGAATAACGGGAAGCTGCTGGATACGAAGCTGTCGTACTCTGCCCTCGTCTTCACTTTGGGGTTGGTCAAAGGCACCCCTTCGTTTGCATTGTTCTTCATATTGCACCACGTCAGAAAATGGTCCAAGGACTTCTCATAAAGACGACGTAAAGGGGAAAAGAATCTGGGAGGCATGGAGACAGATGTAATCTTACTCCGACAAGTATCCTTCTTCCAGCAACCAGGCCCTTGGACAACTGCACCGATGGTCGCTCTTTGATGTAGTCCTGATCAATGACAGGCAGGAAAGCCCAGCTGCCATAGGTCCCGAAGGACTCTGAGACATTGCCGCTGGCATACTGCAGGACTTCGCTCTCCGTCTCAACCAAGCATTGGAAAACACTCGGATATTGCTGGAGGCGCGAGTTGTTTTGACCACAGCCGGCCAGACTAGCAAACTCACTGTAATACTTTGTCGGGACCGGATCACGGTAATCGTGAATGGCGTAGCTGTATGGGCTTGCAGATATGACCTGAGATGAAGTCAGCTTTAAGCCGTCTCTCAAAAATCCTCAAGAAAACCCCCACGTTGCTGAAGAGATCAGTCTGCTTGCCACCATGTCCCAGAGCATGAAACATAACCGATCCAGCTCCCGCGGACTCGCCACCGATAGTCACTCGGCTCGGGTCGCCACCGAATTTCGAGATGTGCTCCTGGACCCATTGGAGAGCACGTCTCTGATCCAGAAGGCCAGCATTGAGCTGACCATGGGCCTTGACGTCTTCTGATGCCAGAAAGCCAAATGCGCCGAGCCTGTACTGGATCTCAACCGTGATGAATCCATTTCCGTTTGTGTTGATCAACACGCTTGGGTCATATACAGCCCCGAAGACTCCATAACCCCCTCCGTCTACGTAAATAAACACGAAAATGTTAGCTGTCGTCGTCGGGTCCTGATTCGCAGCGTCATGCGACGAAAAAGCCTCAAACTAGGCAGCAATCACAAACGAGCGCTACAAGCACAAGGAGGGGCTTCATACGTATCCAGACAAACACCGGCAGATCCGACGCATTTGGAGCCGCGTAGACGTTCAGGAAGAGGCAGTCCTCGTCGCCCAGGGCAGAACCGAACCCATAGACCTCAGGTAAGCCATACCCGCCTGTCTGCGGACACAGAGGGGGCTGGTCGACGGCTGAGACAAGGCTCCCGTTGCCCGTTGGCGGTTGAGGGGCTTGCCACCGCAGGCTGCCGACTGGAGGGGCCGCATAGCGAACGCTGGCGCAAGTTTGTTGTCAGTTTTTGACAGCCCGGGTACCGTAGAGAAGGGAGGGGGTTGAGAATACCTCTTCCACACGTTCAGTCCGTATGTATCGTCGTGGTATCCCTGGTAAGCCGCATACCCCAGGTCGACCGTCGGGGCAGAAGACCGCGCAGTCGGGAGGGCGCGTCCCTGTGCAAAGGGTGCTGCCGCCAAGGTGGCGACGAGCATCAGCAGCGAAGACATCTGCATTGTTGTTCGGAGCGACCGCTACCCAGTCTGTTTGTACCAAGTGAGTCTTCACAGATTCCGTCTGCCGCGAGAGCAAGCTGCAGTGGGCGAGCCTTGACTTATAGCACCCGCCATCGTAGGGCGTTTGTGTCATCGCAGGGCGTTGTGTCACTTACAAGTATCAGCAGCCTTCCTCTTGCGGAAAACGGCAGGGGGCTTATGCAGGATCTCGCTAGCCCTAGCAACCATTCAGCCCTAATATAGAACAATCCTCTGCCAATACTGTAAAATGCAACCTTGTCTTGAATCATAATGCCCGGCTGTACTTTTATACCCAGCAACTTGTGGCGGAAGGATTTGCCTTCAGCCTAGCCCAAGCCCGAAGAGAGTAGCCGGACATAAGACATGTGTCGTTCTACCAAAACAGGGCCACGCTGTAAGAGAGGCGTTGTTGTGGGGAAAAGAGGAGCAGATGCCCAGAGGCTTGCCGCTGAGGAATGTGCCATTCTTCATTCCATCGTGGCCCCGGCTTGTTGTTTACATGCATCCGATTTCTGCTATATCTACACCATCCAATCCGTCAGATCCTCCACATGTCATGATCCAACAGACAAGATCACGGTAGCATCAACTCTTTTCTGCGTGATAGCAAGGCCACACACCTCCCACAACACCATTTTGACGTGCTTAGCCCCTTCAGCCAGACCGACCTCTGCGCCGGTCTTCCGCCGTCTCTATTGTACAGATCATACCTCCTCGGCCGCCCCTGGTCCTTGCTAAGGCTCCTACGCGGCCACTGCTTTGCGGGTAGCGTTGGATAAACGATAAAGAAATGTCTATCATTTCGTCAGTCGGTCATGCAAAAGGATCCCCCTGCCGCCTGCCGCCACAAAAAAGCGAAATCAACCATGCTGCATGCCAGGCCAACCGCCGAACCAAGATAGTAAAACATAGGGCATGGAGATGTCAAGACACAGGTCTTGTTCGTGCTCATCTCGTTCGCTCGTCAACGCCAAATTATGAGTATTGCGGATTGGGAGGAGCGTGCGTTGTCGTATGGGAGCGGAGAGTCGTTGGTCAAGTTGGAACGGTCACATCGCCGCTTCGACGCTATCAAGAGCGTTTAAAAGGGGATGTTGGGAGATGGCTGGCTGCCCAGCATCTCCTGCTGTTCCTGGAGCTCCTCGCCGCCGGTCTCGATGGAGATGCCCAGGCCGAGCTTCGCAGATTGCTGCAGTCACAAGTTAGTATCTCAACCGTCCAGACCGCGCGCCACCGCTGGACTTACCGTCGCATGGTCAACATCAGCGCCGACAGTCATCATAACAGGCCCGGCGACACGCTTCTCGAGCAGACAGCTCAGCTTGCCCTTGGAATCCAGCTGAGCGCGGAAGGTGGACATGCGGAAGTCGTACTTTGCGCCGAAGGTGGTGGTGCCCTCCTTCTGGAGAGGTCCGCCCATCATTGCGCCGGCACCGCCAGCCAAGGTCAAGCTCATATCCACGCCGGCCTGGACCTTGTCGGACAGCTTCCTCCAGTAGGTGGTGTTCAGGCCACCGGTAGCAGACAGCTGCGCGGTAGCAATCCAGTCCTCGCTCTTGTACTTGCCGCAGTAGGCCACCATAGCCTCGGGGGGCTGGCTCAGCGCGGGCCTTTGCCACATAGCCTCGAGTCCGAGGGCGAGCTTGGGGGTCACTGCCTGCATGTAGCTGCCGATGAAGATACCGGTGAGGCCACCCTCCAGGTATGACGGGTTCAAGCCCTTGATGGATGCTGTGAAGTCCTTGCCGGTGTACTCCTGCTCCCATTGCGCCATGTCCTGGCCTCCGGTTCCGATCTGGAATTGGGTTTTTGTGACCAAGGCTTGCGACCACCTCCAGTTGAATCTTGTTGAGAGCTGACCGTCGTTATCGATATTTCCCTGCAAGAACATCTGTTCCACCAAGTCAATGTCAGTGCTCTGCCGTCGATTCCACAATCATGCGACGGCAACGAACCTTGCTTGTCCCGTAAAGGGCAGCGAATGTATATGGGTTTGACCGCTCACCCAGCGCGAACGCGTGGGAGACCTGGAACAGAGGGTACAGGCTGAAGGCCTTGGTGAGATCGGCGCGCAGGCCAGTGAACATGTAATTGTTGAGGAGCACATCGCGCTGGACCTCCTTGGCCAGACCCTCGACGGTGCCGGGGTTCGACAGGCCCAGCTTTGCGCGGCGCTCTTGGAAGGAGCCGACGGCATCTGTGAAGGATTTTGCGATGGGGTTGTTGAGCAGGACGCCGAATGGCGAACTCGAGATTGAGGCCATGACCGCAGTGGCTCAGAGTGGACTGAGCGAGACGACGGGGGCGGGCGGCGGCAGCGATGGAGAGGTCAGAGAATGTGTCGACGTCACAGCCAGACACACCAGACAGACGGGTTGGGAAAGGTCAGCGGGGCGCGTCGGCTCGCGAGGGATTCACCAGGACCAAACAGGCGTCGCTTGATGCAACAACAAGGCGACAGAAAAGGCTCCCAGGCTGGGCGAAGGAGAGGTTGTGGTTGAGGTGAGGCTGACAGATTTTGGTGGACGTCGTCTCGACACTGCGTAGGGTCGGAGCTGGCAAACCAATCTTGGAAGAAAGACCCAGTCCAAAAATTTCGAGCTCTGCTAGGTCGGTCTCTGACGACAGGGCTCTGGTGCTGGGAACCGGGGACTAAGGGCAGGGGGGAGGGGAGAGGGGGAAGGTAACGAGGGTTGTGGACCGAGGGAGGAGGCAGATGGACCGTGCATAAATGCTAGAGCTACGCCTGGCGTTCCTATGCCACGGCGTCACCTAGGCAAGCTCTAGATGTACAGAGCCCGGGCACGGTCCGTCGTAGGTGCAACAAGACAGGTGACTACACAGTATACCGAAGAGGAACGTGTGTGCTTGATCTCAGTATAACATTTGTCCCGTTTTATCGCAGAGACTGTCAACAAGACTGAGGATCGAGAGGCAGGGCATTCACTCAATCAACGACGTATCGACGAGTGAACCAATCAGTCAGGCGGCTCATGACCACGACGGACATTGACCATGGGCAGCCCCTCTTTCTTAGCGGCACCCCGCGCCGGGCAGCTGAAAATAGAGGACAAAACCCGACACAGAAACATAGGCTGCCCAGGGTCGATGCTGAGAAGGCCCGGACCGTGCCTTTCTCTATGCCTACCGCACCCCAGCACACACATAGCTGCGTAGACTCGCATCGGAACTTGTCCTTGACGTCTCTGGTAGAAGCAAACTCGGAAGTCTCTTCTCTCGTCTTGCCTCGCCTTGTCCTGTCTCGCCCAGGTCTCGCCCCTCGTCCATCAGTCAGCAGCAGCGTTGAACTTCTCGCATGAAAACCCTGAAAGACCAGAGCAGCGGAAGCAACGACCGACCACCTCCGGCAGCAGGTAGTGGGTGAACCCGCGACTCAGGCCCATCGCTTCAGCCCGGTTACCGCCCAGGCCTATCAAGCACCGTCCCGGCTTCTCCCTGTGCCGTCTCCCTCAGAGGCATTTCACCTTTGCCATCACCTACACCCACAGTGCTTCTCAGGCACTTGCTTTCCTCCATCATACCTAAAGCAACCTGTATTCACTCACCACCTGGAACGTCACCTTCCGTACCTGTAGTCAAATTCACCTTGCATTCGGAACCGCCCTTTTACTGCCGCTTGACCTCGAAATCGACACCTATCACGAAACCTCAGGCGGCATCTCTTGCATATCGCCTCGTCATTGTGCCTGTGTGCAGAAGGGCAGATTGGATATCGGCTTGAGGCTTGAAATTGTTTGTCCTGACAGGCCCTGAGTGTATCTGTTGGGTGCTTGCCTGCTTGTTTAAAGATGGATACGCTTCTGTGAGTAACTCTTCCAATATCTGTGACCTTGCCCTGGCCCACGAGGCCACACACCCGCTCGCCCTTGCCCAAATACCTCCCCTTTTCCTACCCATTCTTCACAATTCCACCAGAATCCACTCCTCTGTCAGCGACGGGCAAGGTCAAGCCAAAGGATTGGACATTCAGGCTTCTGTCCGTTCAAGTGCAATGTCACCGACCAAGATGGCCAATCGAAACATAGCAAGGCTAAATGCTAGGCCGGAGATTGGAGATGATTTGGACGTCCAGACAGCTGATTCAAGCAGAACGGCCGAGATTGCGGCCAACGCACCGCGATACCGTCGGAAGAGCTCGACTTTTATCGATGCCATCCACGATGTCACTGACGACCAGGATATGGCCCCGGCCCAGCTCTATAGCACCATGTCTGGACGACTCTTCCACTCCGGCAGGATAGCAATCGTCATGGTCGGTCTCCCAGCCAGGGGCAAAACTCACATCTGTGTCTCTATGGCACGCTACCTTGCCTGGCTCGGAGTCAAGACTCGCATTTTCCACCTTGGAGACTATCGTCGTGCCACCGTTGGCCCTGGCGGCCACGTGCCAGAGGACTATTTCTTCCCAAACGCCACGCCCTCGTCCGTCATGCTGCGCCAGAAGATCCTCAAGAAGTGCCGCGAAGACATCTATGCATGGCTTAACCACGAGAATGGCCAGGTCGCCATCTATGATGCTGTGAATCCCACCGCTGCTGGCCGGCGATCCCTGGCCAAAGAGTTCGCGAAACACGATGTTCAAGTAAGACCTATTCTGCCCACACTATCTATTACTTCATACAAGGTTCCTGTGCTGACTCTCACAATTCAGACACTGTTCCTCGAATCGTACGTCAATGACGATAAGATCCTGAGAGAGAATGCGAGAAATGTCAAAATTCACTCCCCTGATGTGAGTGCCAAGGCTAGTCAGTCCTATGTAGCCAACATGCTTGAGGTTAACGATTGCCACAGTTCCACGGCATGGATCCAGACGAAGCTGCCAAACTCTACCTTCGACGGATTGAGATGAAGATTCCCGTGTTCGAAACGATGAATGAGAATGAGCTTAACTATGTGAAGATGATCAATGCTGGACAGGGTTTCTTTTACAACAACGTCAGCTTTAACGTGAGTATGCCCTCTCGTCTGGTAATGACGACAAGCGAGACCAAGAGGGATCCCTACCCCTGTGCTCACGTCGCTCGTGACACCTTGCTGACGATATATGGGCAGTACCTCTCACATCGTATCGTCTTCTACCTCACAAACTTGCACATAAAATCCAGAACAACCTTCTTCGTCCGTGCTGGCGCCGCAACCGAGGAAGACTCATACAAAGCCGATGGCGGCCTCAGCGAGCCAGGCCAGGCCTACGCTGTCAAGATGACCGAGACTCTCATTAAACATCGCGAGCAAGAACGGCAAGCGGCCATCGAAGCCGGTGGGACTGACATTCCCTTGAAGCCCCTGACAGTATGGACATCAACCAGACTCCGAACGGTACAGACTTCAAAACCTCTCCAGGATAAAGGTTACAAAGTCCGCCAGCGGTCCCAGATGAGCCAGATCAATCCTGGCGTCTGCGAAAAGCTCTCTGAGCGAGCCATCCGTAGCATATATCCCGATGAGGTGGAGAAGCACGAGCTGGATCCGTATCACCATCGCTATCCGCGAGCAGAGGTAAGTCACACATGAAGTTGTTGAGAGCGAGGATCAGGTTGCTAAGCCCTTGTGCAGTCATACCACGATCTAGCCGTCCGCCTTGAGCCCATCATTCTGGAGCTCGAGCGCGAACAAAACGACCTCCTGATCATTGCGCACGAGTCCGTTCTCCGCGTCCTGTATGCGTACTTGATGCATTGCAGCACCACGGACATCCCCAAGCTCAAGTTTCCCCGCGATGAGATTATCGAGATCATTCCGGCGGCGTACCAGAATGAGGCGAAGCGTATTCACATTCCCGGTCTGGATCCGAGGATGGTGCCTGGCTCACCCGAGGATATCCGCATTCCTGTACCAAGCATGCCCCCGAGTGGGACTTTAAGTCCAATACCAGGCCTGTCCAGTCCGGTGGACGGACAGGCCACGCCGGTTTCCATGGAGGGGCAGAGACCGCCGGAGAAAGTCATTAATAAGGCTGCGGAAATGGTTGCGGATAAGGTTGCGGATGAAGACTGATGAAGAGATGCGGGTTGCGGATCATGCATTGTTCTTTAACGCAGCTGGGCTTGCTCTGTACAAGTGAAGCCTGACTTTGATGTCTTATATCCTTTCTGCAGACTGGACCTACCTCATTGTAGGTGTAGAGCTAGAGTTATGAACATGATAAAGCTTTTCGCGGCAGCTTCACTTGGCATCAAAACTTGGCCATTTGGTTGAGGAATTCTCTGACACCTGTTCTCCCTCTCTGTCCCACCCGGGCAACGCTGGTATATTATAACTGTTGTGTGCTTTTAAAATCAGGCAGTAATCATCTGACAATGGTAAGTATTTATTGCGAAATCTGACTATTGCTTGATTTTGAGTACATGATATCGGCTTGTGGAACAGCCTCGATCGTCTATTTCAAGCCGTCAACAAAATCTCTGTGCTTCAACACTTGTATCTTTTGTGGCTTTGAATCTGTTAAGCTTGGTCGAGGAATTCACTGACAATTGTTTGGAGCTTGGTGCCAGCCTAACTAAGTACATTATCATCTTCGATTCCGGTCACCTGCAGTTTGCCCACCCATACCGTCTCCATTAATAGCCCTGCAATCGAATCACTTCATCTGAAGTGAAAGGGCGCTGACTGAGGAATGGGCGGGCTTCTATGATCATTTCTGGTGCATTTGTGCCATTCCACGCTGCATGGTCCCTGGATTACAACAACCAGAAATTGTCTTACGCACCAATTGCACTTTTTCTCATAATCACAATTCCTGCCGAAGAGACAAAAAGAAAAACCGATTTCATGAAATGTAACCTATGAACCGCTGGCTATCCTGCTCATAGACGAAACCCCTGGCCTTAGAGGACCTGCCTGGGTATTTCTTTAGGCCAGAACTGGCACTGGGCAGACGCGACTCCAGCATTCAGCACTAGGACTCAATAACCCAGGTAGTATGTCATGATGCTAGTATGGGTGAGGCGAAATGTTTCGCTGGGGACGATAAGATTTCGTCAAAAGCAAAAGTCAACAGCATGTTGTTAGATTCATGCGTAAAGCCAACAATCTGTTATATTCACTAACGTCTCTATTCTCGTCGGTGGAAGTAACTGTCGGTCAAGTTTGGGTTTCAACCGATGCGACCGGTAGATATTCGGCTCTTCGCAGCAGTAGACAATGAGAGAATTAGGTAGGAAGTCCTCTCCATGTGAGGAAGCCACGGGGGTGACTTGGGGCCAAGAGGGTTCCGCGAAAGAAGAAATTGAATACTGTCGTTGGAAAATTCGCTCTGAAAGGTTTTAGAGAGGTATTCTGGCCATGTTGGGCGCAGCGGTCCATCAGAGGCGAGCCCCCTGCTCGTTATGGATGTGTCGGATTATGCCGGCTTGTACCGCTGCCGACGGAGAGAACCTGGAACAACCGCTCGTTGGCAGTGCCCAGCCAGTGTGAGGCGTGTGTGTGTTTGAAGTCCGTAACCCTCAAAAGAAGTTGTGCCGCCGTTCGCTGCTGCTGCTGGAACCCCCCGTCTGCAGTGCAAACACGCTTCCGGGTGAGACCAATTTACATGATGACGCAGTAGGAGCAGTCGTTGGTTCCCATGGAGGAGTTGGCAGTCTGGGTGTGCTTGGTGGTGGAAGGCATTCTGGTTGCTTCGTTGAGGCTCGGAAGCGTTCAAGGATTGTTGAGTAAATGGTGTAGAATGTTGCGGAGGTCTGAATGATTGCTGACGATGAGCTGGGAGGGAAGCCTGGGAGAGCATGTTGGAAGTCGGGATACTTGTAGTCCATGAGTAGTGTAAAGTTTTGGGTAGCCGTGTCTGCATTACCAGAATTTCTGGTGGTGAATACCTCGGTCTGAGTGTTTTGGACCGCCATCATGGATGTGCTGTGATTGTGGTTGGTATTGTTCGTGTTTATTGACAATTGAGACTCATTACCTGACAGCACCTTCGCAGTTTGCCATTGCGATTAGGAAGGAAGAGAAAAAAAAAAAAAAAAAGCAGATGGAGACGGACCATAGAAACTGACAGTGAGGTTATATCGGGAGGCTTGATATTGTGTCCTAGTATTGTGGCCACCAGACAAGGAGCGTTGCCTAGAATAGCAACGTCAATCTGCGTCACTGCAACGCGTAGCAGTGCCGAGACATTATTCGTTCACTCCAGTCCAAGACATGAAGACTTCTCTGAAAAGAAAGTTTACCCAAAATTTCAAAAGGATGAATGAACTATTGGCCCAGGAACACATTTACCGGTTCTGGTTTTGCTTCTGTTCACTGCGCCTCGTACACAAGCACGTCTTGATATTGTTCCTTGGTATTGTGATTTTGATTATGTGGAATGAGGTAGTCACAACTTGAAGTGGGACCATAATGCAGACCACTCTCGCAAGTGATAGATGCCAATCCCCCGAAGATGATCTGTTGATCACAAGTGATTCCGTCTATCATGAGTCGCTTCGCTCACGAATGTGCGCTGACCAGTCAATTTCCACGTCCTGCAAGGCCCAAATGTTCCACATGATACCTCCCCGAGCCTTAGAAGCGTGTGAAAGGCAACCTGCGTCATGAGATCAGTCTGTATACTTGAAGTAAAGGTGCAAGCCAGGCGACTTACCATTTGCCCCTCCAGGTAATGACGACCCAGGCATCACCCTTCTCATCAACCTCCTTCTCCACCTTGGTGCTGAAGCAGATGGCGCTCATGATGCCGTCGCCAAACTTCTCGTTCAAGACCGCCTTGTACGCGTAGCCATAGTTTTGGATGACCTCGTACAGGCGGTAGATGAGCGGCTCGACGGGTGGCATGGGTCCCGAGCGGCCACGGTCGGGGATGGCCATCAGCTGGGGCGCGAGGACCTCCTTGGGGATGTCGAGGAGCGACGAGAGCTTCTCAACATCCTGGGCGGAGGCCTGGGCCTGTCCGTAGAAGAGGGCGGCGACGGCGACCTCGCTGCGGCCCAGCAGGTTGGCGATCTCGGAGAAGCTCAGGCCGGCCTTGGTCTTGGCGTTGAAGAGCTGGAAGACGTGTTAGTTGCGTGCTGGTGGTGTACACATGTATGCGGCCTCATGTTTATGGTGGCTTTCATTTGTCACTGCACCACTTCCTGGGTTTTTGTGAGTCCAAGGCCGACTCGGGCAGTTCACTTACAGTCTGCGAGTGCGCCGGCAGACGGTCAACGATAGAGCTCTGTAGCCTCTGCTGTCAGCTTCACCATTGCCCTGGATGGTCGTGAGGGATTTCGTACATCGAGCGTCGCAAGTCGCTTCTGGTCGGCCATTCTCGGAGATGTCGCGGCTTGTAGTATCAAAAGTGGTTATCTGGGGTCTGGGATGTGTTGTGAGTATTGGAGCTTAATGTGGTCTTCAGTATTGGTATCAACTTCGAGAGGCTCTTGGAGACAAGGCTTTCTATGTGTTGTCTCAGGAACGCCAGTGGTGAGCCTTAGCTTGAAATAGCTGCTGCTGTCAGAGAACAGCAAGCTCGACGTCATCCACTCTCCACCGGGGGCCCAACGCAGGTTCCACCGTGACGGGTCGGGATGCCTGAGGATCCTAGATCCACTTGCAGGCGACCCCACCCCACGCCCGCCGACTCCGCACGGAGATATCCCGGCCTCTGCTGCTCTCGGCGAGGGCAAGTTACTTAGTCACCCGTGCCGAACACCACAGCATCTCCGAGGCCAATGCATCTGTCAGGAAGTCAGAAGGCCAGAACCATGTCCTCCTACCGATAAATGATAGCAGAATGTTATTTTCTGCTCGGAATGAAACCTGCAGCGCGAATCCCGCAGGGCGTCTCGTCTGGAGCCGCCTTGGGCGCAGTGCATTTCATTTGCATCGTTTCCAGCCCCAAAACCATCATCTCAGGGCCCAGGTAGAATAAATATGGCTGGAAGGCCGTAGTGCCAAGAGAATGAGTTGCACTCTTCCCCAGCTTCCAACCCTGCACGCACGTTGAGAAGGGTTTGCATTTGCATACACAAGGATCCCGCACAACCTCAATCCTTGTCAGCCTCGATGCCAAGGAGCTCTCACGCCTCTTCAAAGCTTCGAGAAGCTATGAAGACGGCCCGTGTTGATCTGTTGAAAACGCCAAGACACGACAGCCCACCGGACGAACGTTCTCGACAGTGAAACATCAGGCCGTTTATCAGGCTGGGAAAACGGGGGCCAGGCCGTTCGTTTCTGTCTGCCTGTCACGGTTGCTCCGTAAGAGGTGACAGTCCCGCATGGTTTCGTATCTGTTTTAGGCCCATTCGTGAGAGTCCCTGGCCCGCCAGATTTGAGAAGCGACTGTCAGAGGCAATCAGGGTCTGATGGAGAGACGGCGGATGGGGATGGGTCCAACGAGAGGGCGGGATCGCGTGAGCAAGGTCTTCCTTGCAAGTGCGGTGGTAAGCGACTAGAGACGAGGCAGATCCGACGCACGCGAGCACACGGACCCCAGAGCGCACCGCCGGCGAGAGCGAAAGCCTCACGCGAGCTGCGGGATACCGGCACCTCGTCTTAAGAGCTAGCTCACGGCCCAGAGGGGCAGTGGTTTCATTCGGTGTCTGGGAGTCTCCTGAGGAGGACAGTTTCGGTGATAGTGTGACCTCTTGGACCCCAGGAGCTGGGGATGTTTGGACGATCCGCCGATCTACAGAAACAAGCTTTCTATCAATCCAAACCTAAAACGAATCCCGCAGGGGCTGCCCACCCTCATCCTACACCACGCCCGGCAAAAGTTGCCTCGCCCCGTGTTGGTGTGCCCCATGCTCTCGAGACACCAGCCATGCAGAAGGGTGAGATGAATGTGTGGAGCAATGGATGAGCCACCCAAATGAATGCATTAAACTCTATGTACACAGCCTTGCTGCCTCCGCTGACGGCGTCTTCGATAGCTGTCTTGCACGCCGGCCCAGTCACCACAACTTGACTAGTACTCCCAGCCCCGCTTGGCTGCGGCCTTTACATTATCCGCATTAAGCAAATCAACGCCCTCATGGACCAACAGGTCCCAGATTCGGTTGCGGGTGCTGACTGGCCACTCCGGAATGTCCCAGTACCGCGCCTTCAACCCCTTTGCGTGCGCCTGCTTCACCTGCAGCCTGATCCTCCGGATCTGTTCCCTGCTCATCTTGCCCATCCAGGCGCTGCCGATCGTGGATCCAAATGACACGCTCGCGAAATACGAGTTCGTCGAGTCGTATGGGGACTCGGAGAGGCGGTCTAGCGGCGCATCGAAGAAGTAGTCGCGGTACGTGTCATTTGCTGTCAGGAGGTCGAAAGGGGTGTTCCCCGTGCCCACGACCGTGATGGCCCTTTCGTGTATTGTGCCATTGGCGATGTGAGTGAGCCACCCTCGTTCGCGGAGGGGTTGGAGCTGCTCAACAACCTTGGGCCACGTCTTTGCGCCGTCGGTCTTGAGGTCCACGAGAAGAGTAAGTGTTTGGTCGGGCGCAGTGTCAAACACGCCGCGACGGGTATCGTTGTAGAATTCGGTGTTTGGATTCTGTCGCTCGAGTATGTCGACCAAGGGCTGGATGTAGAGTGACTCGAAGGTTCGGTTCGGTTGCAGGGCCGCCCTGCTGTGACCAACGTAGAGGTGGTCGTTGCGAGCCGGGTCGTCGAACAGCCACACATCGGCCTCCACGCTCATGCAGCCTTGGTTGAGGGCCGTGAAGAGAGGTACTTTGCGCCAGTAGTCGTTGTGTGAGTGTATCCGTTTTGGTACCACATCTTGTAGGAAGTTGGTTGGATACCAAGACAAGCCTTCTGTCCCAGTGCCTGCCTCTCCCCATTTGCAAAATAACTCTTCCTCCAAATCGTCCTCCTGGAGCCACGCAGCCCAGCCCAGTCGGATGGCGATGTCCAATACCAAAAGCATGGCGCTAGCTTTGGTCAGTGTGTGTGTGCTAGCTGAAGTCATGGGTCACTCACCTCAGGCTGAACAAGCACAAGAGCCCTAGAAATATCCATGTTCTCCTCCGCTTGCACGATCCGAAAACTGTGTAATCTTCATCACAAGTGTGCTCCAGGACAAAACTATCGCCGCTTTTCTGAATGAGAGGGTCAGAGTCCCCGCTGATAGTAGCTTCGCTGTCCCAGCTATCCGTCCTCCGGTGAGACATTATTCTCCGTTCTGAGCTTGAGTCCCGATATGGTTGTAGAGATTCCATGTTGGTGCTGTACATGCTTGTGGTGGAACTGTGTAGTGAGATGAGGTGTGTGGTGGACTTTATATATATTCCGAAGGTGGCTTTGCTCTTGATTTGCAGTGCTTCCCGTCCTGACATATTCCGAGAGATGTCAAACCTGAATCAGAAGGTCATGGCGGTGACTGGCTCTCAAGATGGCGCAATGCTTTGGGCCCCTGACCATCGGACGGAGTGTGGCGCTAGAGGGGATCTCGACGATAGACTAAGCTCGTGAAGCTCCTCGAGCTGTGACTTTTGGCGCTAGGATAGCTCTGGACCCTCTCTGTTTTCGGATGCATGAGCCACTTTGGGCCAGCCAGCGATACTACGAAAGTGGTAGTGTCTGGTCCCGAACCTCAGATCTTACGATGGTGAAATACTGTTTCAGTGAATCCCGAAGGAGGGGGGGGGGCAAATTGTGCCGACCGGGACTGTGCCTGAGTGATAATGAGATGACAGTGGGCAACTGTAGCCGGAGACTGGAGACAGAGAGTCATGAACAGGAGAACAGAAGCTTGCCTGGAGACAGGAATAGAGAATACTTCCTCTACTCCCTCAATGATACCAACCCTGGGACCTCGAAGGACGGCCATCTTTTAAAGCAAATGCTGGCCGGTGACCACATGGGCCGGATACGGGACAAGAGTGGACAACTGCCGCCTCCTCTCCGTCTATCCACTCTGTCTCCGCCCGTCGCTGCCCAGCACATGTGCGGGCTACTGGGGCATGTATCCTCGCATGCAGATGTTACGGGAGAATGCAAGAGATGAACCCTGGAATGTAAGACTGAGGTCCGCTGCTTCGACGATGGACCCTTGTTGTCAGCCGAGATATCCCTGCGCCCAAAACAGCGCTAACGGGACTGCACATGATTAGCTACTTCACTGCAGACAGACACGGTCGGCCGGTGCAGGGAAACGGCGCTCCGTTGGCATTGGGGAAACGGACAGAAAAAATCTCCAATCTGGAAGCCGCATTTCCACACGGGGCCCGACTCGGCTCTCTCCAGTGGATAATAGTCAACGATCACTTCACGCATCGACCAGAGTTTTTGCGCCACTCTTTTCCTGGCCTCCGACATTTCGTGCCAGCATTTTATGGTCATCTGCCGCCAGAATGCCTCACAAACATACCCGCAGAGATAAGGATGATTCCACGTGGGTGCATAGCTTCCCAACCATTTGCGCTTGACTGCCTGCATGTGCCTCATCACAAGGTTGCAACTGACATGGTGCTCTGACACGGTAGATACGACCTGCCACCGACTCAGATAGCCAGGCCGCTCCCCGTCGTTGCGCCCAAGCTAGCGAGGCAAGCGCTCAAGTCAGGTGGAAACAAGGCCAGAGGGAAGCAGAACGCCAACGATGCCAGCAAAGACAAGGAACCAGACGCACCCCGTGGTGCCAAGCGCAAACGAGGTGCTGCCGACAAGAAGGACGATGCGCCTCGTGCCTTCAAACGGCTGATGGCATTTGCGAACGGCAAGAAGCTCAGGAGCGGCCTCGACGACGGAGTCAGAGATACGGCAGCAAAGAAGAAGAAGAAGAGCAAGGTGCCTGAGGGCGACGTCGCCGTGGAGACGGACAATGTTCAGGAGGAAGCGCCTACGATTCGGCCGGGCGAGAAGCTGTCCGACTTCGCAAGGCGTGTGGATGCCGCCCTGCCAGTCATGGGCCTGGTGAACAAGTCCGGCAAGAAGGATCCCTTGGGGCTCAAGGCCCAGAGGACCCGCAAGGAGAAGAAAATGCACAAGCTCTACGACGAGTGGCGGCGCGAGGAAGCGGCCATCCAAGAGAAGAGGAGAGAAGAGGCCGAGGAAGCCGAGGAGGCCGAGATGGACGACGAAGGAGCGGGCGTCAAGTGGAAGTTGGACCTTCAGGACCAGGCCGGCAAGGGAAAGAAGAAGAAAGGGAAGAAGCGCCGCTCAGTTTGGGAGTCTACTGACGTGGACGACGAAGACCCGTGGGAGGAATTGAAGAAGAAGCGAGGGGAGAAGAAAGTTGGACTGCACGATTTCGCAAAGGCTCCGCCTGAGCTGAAGACCAAGCCAAAGGAGCTGTTCAAGGTTCGCGGTGCCGGGGTTGATGTTGGGACAATACCCAAGGCAGCGGGAAGTCTGAAGAGAAGAGAAGAGCTTCAGGGCGTCAGAGAGGAGGTAGTGGCTGCATACAGAAAGATGATGCAGGGCAGAAGGGAAAGGCTGGAAGCGCAGATGGAATGACAGTGGAATAGTCCACGTTGACGATGAAAGATACCCATTCCATTTGTAGGCCTTTGCATTGCTGCAATAGGCCGTCAATGCAAGAAACCAGTCCAAGACGTTCATTCCACACCAGACTCATTCTCTGTGCTCATCCACCAGCTCATTTGTAATTTCCAGGAAGCTGTAGTCTGGTATTCACCTCCTGGGCTCTGAATCACTTGGACCTCAATTAACCCTGCCAGAACCAGGTATTTAGCAACGCACGCTCGAGACAGAACTTGGCAACCAGGCCAGCCAACCTACCATAACAACCACGAATTGTAGCCACGACCTGTTCTGGGAACCTCCAAGTCTTCGAGACCAAATTTTCAATGCCTGATCTGTAAGACGTGTTTGCCTTGGTTCTCCAGCGCCTCCCGTGATGGCAAACTGAGCAAGCTGCGACGGCGATAGCTCTCAAGCTCGGACCCCCTCCGTCCCCAATCCGACGGCGCCCAAGCCATCGCCCCCACCCATACAAGACTTGCCGACTACCGTACCGCCGCGCCAAGTCGCTGTTATTTTGCAACGCAGCGAAACTCGACGCCGCGCGCCGCAACACCATCGATTTCAATCCACTTTTCCATCAGCACAAAAAAAACCTCGGGGTCCTGCTTTCGAACCACCACCAGACCAACCATAACACATGCTTTTCTCGTCGCTATGAACGCGGAAACGCACCGAAATCATGGCTCAGGGTCTGGACGAGCTTGTTGAGTGGCTTGTCGGGGAGGTCTCATTTTACGGCGACGGTGAGTCAAGTGCCCCATGGCGTTGCATGCATCGTTTACACATCGCATACCTTCAAAGCATCCATCGTTCATGTGTGCTCATGGCTTTTTCTGAAATGATGGTCATGTTGCTTGTCGTGTCTTAAACACACGGCGCGCTCATCATATGGTGACCCATTCCCACACATCACCACACGCGCAAATTTCAAAACGAACGCTGACAGTAGATAATAGGATGTCCCGTGTCTGAGCTAACTGCTGCCGTCATAAGATTTCAAGAGAACGATCACGATAGGCGAAAAGATGCATCCAGCGACAATGGCGACCAGCAGCATGGAGAGGTGCCAACCAAGAGCCCGCCGACGGAAGCTCAGCTCAAGCTGGTGCGCCTTGCTTGGAAATGGCTTCTGAGCACTGGCGAAGTCAGCATTGGTCCTGAAGGTGAATGGAACCATCTCACATTCGATGAGATAATGTCTATCCCGGAAGACGCTGGGCAAGCCGTCGCACCACTCAGAGATGAAAAGTCCGAGCTTGCCGCACCCAAGCACAAGAAACTGCCCAAATTCCAACCTCGCATATTCGTCGGGGAGGAGACCATCTGGAAGACACTCACCGGTCACAGCATCGACTACAAGCGCGTGCCCAATCTCGAGTGGAAGTGCCTGGTTGCCATCGGCTCCACAAAAGAGGACGGCATCCTTCAGGGCGATCTCAACAGAGCCACCGGCCAAGACAAGCGCTCCGTCCCTAAAAGGACGGACTTCCTCGCGCAGAAGGGATACATCGCAAAGCGCACCCACATGGTGAGAGGAATGAAGACCAGCAAGCTCTGGCTGACCAAGTTCGCTCCTGCGCTACCAGTGCCGTCCAACCCACTCGGCGGCAAGGACTTGTCTCGGGCCTCGTTAACTCGAGATATGCAACCTGTTGCATGGCATCAGCAGTGGACCGGCAAGGACAAATCAGGCAGGCCGGAGATCCACTACATGGCGCTGGGCCAGACCATAATTGCCATTACCAAAGCCTGGGGCACTCTTCGGATTAGAGACTTGAAGGCGAAGCTTGGTATACTGGGAAAGAAGTGGCAAATGAAGGTCATGTCTAGGTTCCTTCGTCGTTTTCACAAACTGGGCAACGTCACCTATGTCGCTGCTACTTTCGCCGGCGATAAGCATGTGTTCAAAGACTGCGTCAGGTTTGCCAGGGATCCTACGGAATCGGATTGGAGGCTTCTCTTGGCCACCGGCAAGAAGACTTCGCGGTACACGAACCAGGGCAAGGATAAGCAACCAAGAGCCAGATCGAAACCAAAGGGAGGCAAAGGAAGAGGAAAGAAAGCGTCCAATGCTGCTCAACCAGCTGTCAAGGTTCTCAGGAAGAAGCCCAAGCTGAGGCTCGGCGCCACCATGACCGGTTGGGTTCCCGAGAAGCCACTGGCGAACACAGTTGCCGACTTCGTCCTCACAGGAGGCGCGCTCGGCTACTCAACCCCCGAGATCAGCACCGACACTGTCGGCTACGTTTTCCGTCGGCATATGTTTACTCACTTGGTAAATCTGAGCAACGGAGACGTTCAACCTGCCGGCTTACGAGAATACCAAATGAGCAAGGAGTTGGTCAAACTGGGAAACACAAAACAATACATGTTCTCCGTGGAAGGGGCTCGAGGGTTCAAGCCACCCGAAGGACCTGAAGAACAACTCACCATTGACCCGGCTCTACGGCAAGATGGCGATGGCATAGAGCAGCCACCTGCAAACAACAAGATCGAGGATGCTTTTGGATTTGGATCTGTCGACCCCAAAGTCTTCTCCGAAGACGGGTCCTTGTATCTCACGCAATCAAGTCGCATGGAACCCGGAAAACAGATCAAGCCCCGCCGACCTTACGGCAGCCGCAAATCGAAAGTCCATGTGGCTGTCAGTGGTGCTCAAAGCATAGATGCAGCGGAACAATTAGATGCGGAGCAACTGGGCGTTGAGCAGGGCGATGAGGCAGGTACAATGGCTCCGGCGCCACGCCGCAGAAGAGGTCGGCCTCCCAAGGTTAAGTTTCAGCCCACCGGCGATGACGCCGAGGAAACCCCATCCAGTAGACCGTCAAGGAAGCGCAAGGCATCACAGCGTGCATCTTACTTGGAGTCTCTTGACTTGGAAAATGAATATTCCGAGATGGTGGCAGAGGCCCCTTCTATCGACGGACAATCGCGGCCTAAGCGCAGAGCGGCAATGAAGGCACACGTCACCCAGGAGCAGGAGAACGATGTGCCAGAGGATGAGGAAGACGAACCGGATGAAGAAGCCGAAGAGGAGCAGGACCGGAGCAAGCCTGGCGTCTACATTGGCATACCTGGATCGCTCAATCCTCATCCTCATAAGAAGGGGCGGCCGAGAAAGTCTCTTGTTGTAATCTTCAGATCAGACAAGATGAAGGATCCAAACTATCTTCCAGGATGGACAGACTATCCCGAGCCGATCCCACCGTCACACAATTCTGAGGCCAGTCACGCACCACGGAAGATCCCAACTCGGCCACCGCTTTCAGTAGCTGTCGGAGCGACTGGTCTTCATCAGACCGACTCTATCGAGCAAACAGAGCCTCAGGTCCACGATGCCGTAATTATCTCAACTGAGCCCGCAGCAACTTCCTCACAGAATCAGAAATCGACTCAAGAAGCTGCTGAAGGCAACGAAGGCACCATTGTTGTTCAAAGCCTGGGCGGTGCCGATCAAAGCCAAGAAGGCCAGGAGGCCCAACAAGAGCATGCCAATGATGTCGCAGACCACAGCGCCTCCCCGGCGGCCGTCGAGCCATTGTCGGAAGATAAGGCTGCAACGGAGGCGGTTCGTGCTCCTGCGAAGACAGAGCGACAACCTAGGAGGCCCAAGCTTGACAAGTATGTCTGCGAGAAGTGTGGTGGAACCTGGAAAAATGACATCGGCCTCAAATATCACTTGGAGAAGGCCAAGGTCCCCTGCAATCCGTTCTACGCTGAACATCCAGAGCTCATGGTCAAGGTGAAACCTGTCCGTACTAGCCGGTTGGTGGCCAGAACCCCTGAACCTCACGATGAAGGCGCCAGCCCCGGGAGCAGCGTCAAGAGCAGTGTTAGTATCTCGCCTTCGCCTCGAACTCCCAGGTCTGCCCGTGTTCCCAAAAAGAAGAAACCACCTGTTCCTAAATTTGTGGACCAGAGCGATCCTGCGAATCAACGTACCATTCTCAAGCAACGGAGCGCACTCAGAAATAGCCAATTTGGAATCTCAGGAGTGTCAGCTCCCCGCGGGCTCAAAGTTTCAGAAGCTGTTGCGAAGGATGCGATGAACACGACCGAGAGTGCCACACGAGAGGTGATCGCTGCCACCGCAGAGCCAAGTGCAGCTGAGATTGTTGTCAGTGACCATATGGTACCCAAGGACCCGGATGACGCCGAGCTGGACGAGGATCTGCCTTATCTTGCACACATCCGTGCTGAGAAAACAAAGCTGCAGCCGAGGCTGTCAGCCCCGGGCTTCCAAGAAGTTGAACCTGGAAATCGGGAAGGCGAACAGAGCGTTAACGTGGCTCAGGAGGTCCCAGAGGTACAGGCTACAGAGCCAGCGCTGAGTTTGGACCCAACATCGAACCTGGGCCCAGCAGATGCGATTCAGCCATACTCTGAGTCCCCTATCCCAGTGAATGCGACTGCACCGTATGAGCCTTACCCTCTTGGGGTGCTTGAGCAGACAACTCAAGGAGCCGCGTCGACGGTTCCTCATAGATCACCATCTAGTACACAAGTCAGCGCCAGAGCACGGAGAGCCCTACCTGTACAACGCCCAGCTGTCCCGGTCGAAACTAATGTGGCGCCACTACGAGAAGACTGGCAACAAGGCGGAGCTTCCCAGGATCAAATACCGCCATTCCGGCTGCCGCTCACAGACCTCAAGGCCAGAACTGCCAAGGAAGTGCGTTCACACAAGATCGAGGAAATTATCCGGTATCTTCTCGCCAACAATGGCGGAGTTTTCCCGAGTGGCAGAGCATTACTCTACGCTATTTTGAAGATTTATATCAAGGAATGGCCGGATTTGCCCCTGCCAACAACAATGGGTGTTACCAGGGTTGTCAACAGGCTACAAGAACAGCACGAAATCAAAGAAATGTCTTCGGCATACAAATCACCTACTGAGCGCCTTTGGACGACTTTGGTCATGCTTACACTGAGCCACATCGACCCCAACGGCCCGGTGGCAGGCGATCTCAAGAAGAAGATGAAGGCCGCGCAACCTAATGTGTACGTCCCTCCAGCATTTGCTCCTGATGAGAGCGAGAAAGCGCACTTCAAGAAACTGGATATACTTCCTGCCCAACGTGGCAAAGGCCCCGGTAGACGAGACCACAAGCTCGAAGAGGAAATTGTGACTTTCGATGCGCCTTTCTATCTTCAAAAGGGCCTTGCTGGCGTGCGACCGCGTAACCGCCCACGTGCCGTTCAGTCTGAGGATGAAGAATCCAACGCTGGAGATGATGAATCCGAAGCTGCCGAGACAGCTCCTCTACCACGTCGTCGCGGCCGGAAGCGAGCTGCTGAAGGCCAATCGGAGGCACCCGCAGCCAAGAAGACAAGGAGAGGGAGGAAACCGCGCAACAGGATTTCTTTTGATGCAGCTGATGACAATGACTATTCGGTATCATGGTCGATTTTGCCACACCAATATAGCATCGATGAGTCCCACGCGACAAATCCAGGCTTAGGGTCTTTGCCTGCCTCATTCTTCTCGGGAAATGCCAGTGCGCCGACCAGTAGCTACACCGCCCCAAGCAAGGTGCAGTTCCTTGAGCCAAATACCCGTCTGGAAGAGGAAGAAGAGCCAGATGTCGAACCCGAGGATGTCGAAGAGACCCCTACAAACGAATCAGTGAACGAGCACGGAGATTACTTCCTGCACACCGCAGTGGAGGGTTCGTTCGTGCACACGATCGAACTCGAGTCGATAGGAAAGGGAGTCTGGCCGGGTATTCATAACCAATGGTTTGAGGCCAATGACGGGAGCTTCACGATGAAAGGCTGGTTCCCACAGGCTAGAGAGCTTCTGAAGGAACACCTACCCAAGACCATGGAGCAGATGGCATACAAAATTACCAGTCACTGCAAAACCGACAAGTGGGCAGATCCAGCTTACGGCCAATTTGTCACCAGCGTGGACGGCTGCATGTCCTGGGAGCTTTCGGACCAGGGCTATAGGTCCATGTCGGGCACTATCGCTCCAGACTATGTCTTCATCTGTTTCGCACCGAGTCCTGCAGTTTCCAACATGGCGCCGTGCACACTACAATGGCATGATGGCAATAACTGGACTCCCGACTCGATTCCTTACGAGAAGCTGGTGTACGATGAAGAAGAGGCGGCTAAGTCAGCCGAGACTGCCGAACCATACGGGATCATTCCAATCTCTGAGCGAGGCGTACGCCGGGGGCCTGGTAGGCCGCGGAAGTACCCACCCTCTGTGCGTGACGGACCACCCCGAAAATATGTCAGGAAACAGCCGAAGGATGAGAGCGTCCGCGAGCTGAAGCTACAGCGTGAGCTTACCGCCTACCCGAGAGAGCCGAATGAATACTTTCGTCAGAAGGGGCAGGAAGACCCTGAAGTTGACTGGAAGGCCGAGGACACCCGCATTGCTGCATATGTGGCCGTGTCAACGCTCTTGGGCGGTATCAACAAGGCCATGGACTGGGGTATCATGATGAGGATGTTCCCAGATTCGAAGCTGTCAAACCTGCGCAAGTTTTGGGCCACTATCAAGAAGGAGCGGGAAGGGTTCATCCAGAACTTGACTGCCAAGTTTCAGGAAGACTTCGTCGAGGCATACGAAAATGGTGATCTGCCTCCAATCGACTTCAACAAGCCTCTGGAGTACGACTGGCTTCGTCTTATCAAGTGGACGTTGGCCCTCGTTGTGAGAGAGGGGATTGACTTACCGCCAAATATGCCACAATTCGACGAAGAGTTGGAGCTGGTCCCTGTTGAAATGGGTGAGTTTGACTGGCGCGACAGTTACTACCACTGGCAGAGGTCTGTCTTCAACAAATTCCAGGACGCTGCTGCGGAGCCAGCTTCGACGGTTCTGGAGAGGCAGGAAAAGGCAGAAGATGCGGATTCGACAATTGCACGCTCCTGGGTTCGGGCGCTCTGCTGCACGGACTCGGACAAGTACACGCCTCTTAGCATCAAGAAGAAATTCCTCGCGCTCGCCCGAGGTGGTCAACGTACTGAGCAGGAGATTAGCGATCTTCTTGAGCAGACCATACGCGATCTGGAGCACCGACGCATTGCTATCAAGCAGAAATCCCAAGCTCTTGCCACGGGCCGGCCTTACAAGCTCAACGAGCATTTCTTACGCACGTTGGACCGCTTCTCCAACGAAGACAAGTTCACTGTCGCTGCGGCTTTCAAGGTGAAGATGGACAAGGCCTTCCGTAAGGGCAAATCCGTCGAGATCCCCTGGCGCACCGAAGACGGCATGGTCATCGCGGCGTTCAACCTGCAGGCTTATGGGCGGGTGCATATCGAGCCTATGAAGAAGCTTCACGTCCCATTCGGTTTCAAGCCAGGTTTCTACGAGTCGCGCAAGTTTCCCAAGTCCTACTACCGCTTTGATCTGCAGGTGACGCCTACTTCCCGGTACATGTACAATGAGGATATCGAGATCCTGAGGAGGGCAACTGATGACTCCGTCATTCCCGGCGCCAGCGAGGACGGCAAGCTGCCGATGTGGTGTGATTTCTTTGGGGAGCCTGACCGGTCCCGTTGGTTCAAGATGCTGTCAGCGGTACTGTTCGTGCTCGCCACCCGCGGTGCGATGACGGATGAGTTTGCAGCCCAGGCACTGCGACCCTGCATCGAGATATTCGAGGTTGAGATGGTCCGGAAGTGGGCTCTCAAGATGGGCGTAGTTAGGGAGATCACCGAGGGATGCGGTGCTGTCAGCGTTTCTGAGTGGTGGTGGTTAATCTGTGGCCTCCCCGTGACCGAGGCAAGCGAGTCCAAGGCCGATGGTCACGACCAATATTCCTCGTGGCATAAGCGAAGATGGCGGGGACAGTATCGGGTGCACTAATCAATTTGGCCCTGACGGCCCGAGGTCGGAGTGCGTGCAGATCTCACGCCATCTGTGATAGAGGTGTTGCTGGTAAGATGGTCATCAGGAGATCTGCTTTTGGAAAAGCTTGTACCACCATGGCAGCATTGGCTGCAATCAGTCGCGGGCGTTCGTCGAAGACACCGAAGGTCAGAAGACTGGGAGGCATTTGCGGAGGATACCGGTTTCACGGCTTGATGCGAGATCCCTACCGCAACAGGATTCGAGCGTGGCGGTACTGGTCACTGATCCGACCAGCTTTGATAGTGTTGTTTGCATATGTACATTCTGAATTGGATCACTCAGAACGGGTAGCACACTTTGTGTTGGCGGCCTTCTCAGGTTCAATTGACTTTCGTGTCTGAAGCACATTGTATTTGTTTGCTAATACCAATTTATCGAGCTCCTGAAGAGACGCTCCTATCCAAATGTTTCCCAGTTCCTTCCCGATTCCCCTTCATCCCAGTCCTATCTCAGATCTTCGCGGCGATCTTCGAGATAAACCCGCCCTTTCCGGCCCACTGCTCATACACCTCCAACTTGTCCGCCAGATCCCGCATCTTGCGCATGAACTTTGGTCCCAGCACCCCTGAGGGCCCTTCCCTGAGAACCGCCGCGAAGACGTACCGGCCCGTGGGAGACAGGACGCCGTAGAACTGGTGAGGTCCGTCCCCGGGGTGCTAGAGGGTCGCGTGGCCGCCTGCGTCAGCCTCAAGCTGCTCCTATGTCCTTGAGTCTAAGGAAGGGGGGGGGGTTCCCTGGGTATTGTTTACTTACCTCACCGTTGGGCGACCCGAGCAGGGTCAGCTTGTCGTCGACCTCCTCCTGCATCCCGCTGAGCCAGCTGAAGTTTCCGAACTCAAACGGGCACCCCTCTTGCTTGAAACCTAGCTCCAGTGCGAGGCGGAGGTACTTGCCCTCGGCGGGGTTTGGCTTGAGGGAATTGTTAGGCATATTCCAGGGCCTTTAGGGGAAGCAAACGTGGGTCGAACTCCCCCGGGGGAGAAGGGGGCTTGCGTCAATGGCTACTCACAGAGTAGGTTGGCTGCTCAGCGGACGGGTTGGGTGTCTCGTGCGAGCAAGCTATTTCGCCTTCCTTGGTGAAGACGGTGATGATTTCGATTTCCTTGCCCCGCTTCTTCACAAGCCTATATAACCATGTGTCTTAGCGTGATGAAGTTTGTGTCATCAGTGATATTTGCTATGCCTACCGTCTGAGCTTTCCTAATTATTCTTTGTCAGTCCAATATCCAAGCAGAGCTAGAGGTGTAGGGAGGCCGTCCTCGAGTGTTGTCCAGAGCAACACGGCGGAGAAGTGGCGAACACAACTGAAAACATACTTAGGACATGTTTGCTCAGGTGATGGGGTAGCTCTGGGAGGCCCGCGAGGTCTGCCTTTGTCGCAGTTGGGGACGGCATCTCTTGATAGGTTTCGTTCAGAGACGAGTTCTCTGATGCTTCTTCCTCTGGGACATTGGTCGCCGAGTCACTCCATGTCTGCTCCGAGACGTCCATAGAGGGAACATCATCTGGCATCACTGGCACCCTATAAGGGTTGCTTGATAAACGGGCTGATTGGACTTCCGCCATGGGGTTGTTGCGTTGGGTTGTTAGATTTCAGGGGCTTGTAGTATGAGAGCACGTGGATTTACAGAGTCATCAAGGCCGCAGAGGAGGAAATGCCATTTTATATTTCCCAGAATTTACTGTTGGCGGTCTCAGGCCCGCCTTCTTTCCCTCTATCGTTCATGGATTGGTTCAACCCATGTACAAAACAAAAGCGTTGGGGTTTCGACGGGTCGAGGCCGCGATCATATCTGCTGAGAGTTCCTCCATGAGATGCGGCATACCACCGAAGCCAGCCGTATGGCCCGGGCCGGCCGACACATTACACGCGCCGACGCCCAACGGAACTCGTACTTGTGAAACCACAACATGGGCGGGCTTCCGGCCGCTTCGGGGTGTGGCCGGGCAGGTTGGCCGGGCATGCGACCGTGTGGCCAGGCGGCTCAACACAGGTATACGAGTCCGAGTTTCGTGGTCTGAAACATAGTCCTGATCTTCTGGCAACCGCGTCAGCAAAAGAAGTCTAGACGGAAACAAATAAGAAGAAAGCCATATGCAGATCACTCTGGCTCATGTAAGTGGATGACGGCCACTGTGCCTGGGTGAGATACAGTTTGGCGTCACATGAAGCGCAGTTTGGAGGTTGAAGGATCCAGGCGCCAAGAGCGTGTAAAATTGTTTGGCTGCAGTGTTCATGGGTTTCGTTTCTTGAACTCAAAACAGCCGTCGCACAGACTTCTGGCTGTGTGCCTCGTCACACTGTAGCTTTTGTATAACCTGAGCCAAAGTGAGGTGAGGTGGTGTTGCTTGATGAAGCCTCGTGTGCGTTTGTGTAAGGGTGGCTCCCGGTCGGCCAATGAAAAAGATGGATGGCTGCTCGGTCAAGTGAGGCCGGGGTCGAGACAATTGGGACATTGTTCCCAACGAGGGAAGCTTAGTACAGCGCAACAGTGCATGCAGGGCGGATGACCGATTGTTGAGAATTGCGATGCCGGCATGGGTGGTGTGAGGGGGTAGCGAGGGTAGCATTCCGGTAGGTAGGCACGCGTGCCACACGCCCTCCTGGCCGTGTGGGTTGGCGCCACTCGCGTAACAAACCAGCCAGGTTGTAACCGGCTGACTTTGAGGGAAATGCTTCTTTGAGAAATGAAGACAGCAGCACATGGCAAGCACTAGCCGCGTGCCTGTGGTGGCTTTCACACCGCCTATTTGCACACGGGCCCAGGCCTGGCAAGCCCTGGTGAACCTTGATGAGCCGAGCTTCAGCGAGAACAGACGTGTCTGCTTCCTGGCAGGGTCGTTATCAGATCAGGCCCAATCTGAACAGAGTTTGTATCTATTTGCTCTGGCGATCTGGGGCAGAATGCTCACCCGCCTGGGCATGCTGGAAAGTCTAAGAAAGAGTCTGCGGCAGGGCTTCTTCTAGACATCACGAGTAGACTACAGTAGACTACAGCAGCCGCTCTGAGGGTGATAAGCAGTGGTGGATGCAGGCGCCCATCTCCTGCAGCCGCGGCTCGCCGGCTTGCACGAGGTTGGTTGCACCTGGCCGTTGCTCGTTCGCTTCAACGATAAATGCTTGCACAGTAGGCACTTGGCTCGTCCGAGAATACTACTGCTCTGCGCTATTGCCACGAAGGCTCCATTGCTTTGGTCTTGGTCTTGACGAAGATGGAATTGCATCGACGATACAGCCTGGTCATGATTCGAGCGCTTTGGCAAGGCGCAAGGAGGGCCTTGTTCTGACAGCCGCCGGTGAGTCAACAGTTGGAGGAACGTTTCTTCCTGACCTGATGTGTGTCTCAACCTAGACCAAGGCGGTCTAGTCTATTGAATCTTATGCAGGTAATTTTCGCAACATGCACCGTCGACAGCGCCTCTGGACTACCATGCAGCAATGATAATATAATAAACAATAAGACAGCTGGAGACATGGGCAGGAATGGCCAGCCCATGCACCTATCCATTCGCTTGTGGCGTTCTGCGCCAGGAAGAAAGACAGGTGGGGAAACGGCACGAGAAAACGGTTTCCTATCCCCGTGCCCGCGCAAGCCTAGGCTCGGGTACTGTACCGTACCGTACCGTATGTATGGAGGCTGTTGCGCACGTCAGTCACGCGCGGGACTGACATCATGACGCGATCCGTCACGGCGCAGACAGCTTCAGATTACCAATTCTCCGTGTGCTGGGCCAATTCGACAGCCTGATGTGCCTGGTTCCTGTGCGAATCGACCTACCACCCAGATACAGCAGGAGGATCGCATCGTAAATGACGGTGGAAGGTGGAATGTTGCCATTTTAGCAGGGCCTTGGTCTATCTCTGCTGGAGCGTGCAAGGTCCCCGGGCCAGCCTGGGTTTTTATTTGCTCTTGCTGTCTGGCTGCCAGGCTGTACTCCGTACCTACCTAGGTAGTGTATGACTGTCTCGCAGTCTGTGAGCCGACAACACGGGGACAGTGTCCGGACCGATGCAATGCAGCACAGAACAGAAACGATCGCCGTGCACCCCCTGCGCCCCTCCCCTCCCAGCAGAGCTTAGTGTTGCCCCAGATTATGCAACCCAAGGCCCCGCCGATAACGCACTTCACGACATGGTGCACGCATCAGTGACAGACGACATGTGCCAATGCTGTGATAACAAGGTAGCTTGGGTACGTACACCGTCCCTTACGTACCCGTAACCCGTACCCGTTCAGTCCTCACAGCTGCCATGAGCCAGCACTGCACGAGCTAGTGGGCAGGGACAGGGAGCTGGGGTGTCCCGCCATTGAGTCCTGGGTCCCACTCATTCACGCTTCCGCCCGGGATAAGTCTGCTATGTACAAGTCACTTTTCTCCACCGAGTCGCTCTTGTTTGAACTTCTCAACGGCCTCCTTGTCCCGTCCCGCCCGACACTGTAAATTTTTTTCTGCTCTTCCTCCTCCTCCTCCTCACCTCTGCCTCACCACCCTTTCCGCCGCCGACGACGAGGGCCCAAGCTGTACACACCCAGCCCCCGCGCCAGTCTTGAGATCCTCGGCCGCCCAGGCCGCCCTCAACGCTTTTCGCGACGGACGCCACCGCCTCTCCAGCCGTGTATCCTGGCCAGCCTCACAACGACTGGGTCGAGCACATCGTCGCCTTGCCGCAGCTGGACGGCAGCATGGCCGGCTTCGCCAGTTGCTCGTGGCCGATATGGCACGTGGATGACTTCACCCTGTGCTTCCAAAGAGAGTCAGTGCCTTTGCGCCACACGCCCAGCCCGCCATCTTTGTGTTTGGCACACGCACCCTTGCCCGCCGTTGTCCTTGTCTCATTGCTAACCGCAGTCGTATAGCTACCTCAAGGTTCTCCTACCGGCCATTGTGATATCGCTGTCTCTCCTGAACCTACTCTCACAAGGTATAATCCGAGCAGTTAGGATAAGACGAGCAGGCCCAAAGGCATACAAGCCACTATCAAATGGAAACACAAACGGCCACGCTGCTCACCAACACACCGATCTCCCCCCGGAGGATGAACAGACTGACGAGTCTGAGGACGAGGGCCTCGCAATCAACGGTGGCCGGCTTGCTTTGGTCAAGACGACGACGAGGGGCTCAATAGTCCAGGCAGATGCGCCACCTGCACAAAAGCTCTCAGTCATTATCGAGGAACTGGCCATTGCGGCCTTGGTCGTTGTGAACGTCGTTGCTCTCGCTACAGGCGCCTTTGGCGGGATTGCCTCGCTGCCCTCTGTCATCGGGCTTGTCACATGGGTCTACGCTCTTGTTCTCGCAAGCCTTCGCCTCTTTCTCGGAAACACCCAGTGGCGTGTCCCCCATCTCTGGAACCACACGGCGACCATCTACTCGCTCCAATGGCTCTTCACCGTCGCGATATTTCGCTCTGTTCTCATTCGGCCCAGCTCCAGGCTCGCTCAGGTCCTGGTCATTGTGGAATTCGCCCTCACGACCCTCCTTTTTGGAATGGCTATAACCACTAGGAAGGGCAATAAGACCGTGCTGCTAGAGTGGGAAGACGGCATCCAACCGTCACGGGAGCCCCTGGCTTCCATATTTTCCAACTATGCATTTACATGGGTCGACGCCATCACTTGGCAAGGCTACAAGCAAACCATGGAGATTAAGGATGTCTGGAACCTCATGCCCAAAGACAAGGCCGGGGCAGTACTGGCTCACTACCGCCAGGTGAAGAAGACGATGGCCCTTTCGTACCACCTTTTGGCATATTTCAAAGGCCCATTGGTTGCACAGATTTGGTGGGCTATCCTCTCGGGCGTTTTCACTTTCTTGCCGACCATGCTTCTGAAAGCCATTTTGGAATTTGTCGAGCACCCTGGCGAGGCCCCGCTCAGCGTATTGTGGCTCTACGTCATTCTGCTGCCCGTGACAGATCTCGTTCGCTCGGTTGCCGACAACCAGGCTCTGTGGGTTGGCCGCAAGATTTGCATCAATGTGCGAGCTATCTTGGTCGGTGAAATATACGCTAAGGCTCTGCGACGCAAGGCTGCTGCTGGCAACGATGCCGTACTTGGCAAACACAAAGACGACAAGAAAGCTGACGGAAGCAAGGGCTGGCTGGCGAAGCTCAAGCGTACCGTTGGACTCGGAAAGAAGGACGATAAAAAGCAGGCGAACGGCCAGGGCACGCCATCCGCCGGGGAGACCGCCGACGCAAAAAAGGATGTAGCCGACGAACAAGCCAACCTTGGCACAATCATCAACCTCATGTCCGTCGATAGCTTCAAGGTGTCCGAAGTCACCGCATATCTCCACTTCCTTGTCGCCCATGCACCCACGCAACTGGTCGTCGCTATTTTCTTGCTCTACCAAGTAATGGGCTTGAGTGCCATCCCCGGATTCATCGTCATGGCGGCATTGCTTCCTGTCAACATCTACTTCGGCAAGGCGTTCAATAGCAGCCAGAAGTTAATCATGGCAGCCACTGACAAGCGAATCTCTATTACCAACGAGGTTCTTCAGAACATCAGAATCATCAAGTACTTTGCGTGGGAGTACCGCTTCTCCGAGATCGTCGATGAAAAGCGTAAGGCGGAGCTCAAGGCCCTTCGGAAGCGGTACATGGTTTGGGCTGCCGCAGTTGCTGTCTGGAACACGGTCCCTATACTCATCACGTTCTTCTCGTTCTTGTCGTACACACTGATAGAGAAGAAGCCGCTTTACCCATCAATCGCATTTACGGCGATTTCGCTCTTCATGCTTCTACGTTACCCTCTTGATCAGATTGGCGACATGATCGCCCACGTCCAAGAGTCAAAGGTGTCGATTGACCGTATTGAGGAATTCTTGAACGAGGAAGAGACGCAAAAGTTCGAGCAGCTCGGCGAGGATAACCTTGACGAAGAAGGCAACGAGGTCATCGGGTTCAGAGGTGCAACACTCATCTGGGGCAGCAGGGATGCGATCGCTGACGACGGCTCCATGGCCTTCCGCCTGCTGGACTTGGACATCGACTTCAATATTGGCAAGCTAAATGTTATTACTGGACCAACTGGCTCGGGGAAGACGTCGCTACTGATGGGCCTGCTTGGTGAGATGTCACTCATGGAAGGAAAGGTATACCTACCGGGTGGACGAAGCCGTGAAGATGTCCCAGCGGATCCCGAGACCGGCCTAGCTGAGACATGCGCCTACGTTGCTCAAAGCGCCTGGCTCGTCAACGCCGACATCAAAGAGAACATCGTTTTCTCAGCCCCGTTGGACGAGAAGCGATACCGGGAAGTCATCGTCGCCTGCGCGTTGGAGCGTGATTTGGAGATTCTCGACAACGGCGACATGACACTCGTTGGAGAGAAGGGCATCACGCTCTCCGGTGGTCAGAAGCAGCGCATCTCTTTAGCTCGGGCTGTCTACTCGAACTCCAAGCACCTACTTCTGGACGACTGTCTCAGCGCAGTTGATTCTCATACCGCCCAATGGATCTTCAACAACTGCATCAAGGGGCCTCTAATGCGCGAACGAACTTGCATCTTGGTAACTCATAATATTCCTCTGACGGTGCCCCACTCCAGCCACGTCATTGTCATGGACAATGGTCGGGTGTCGTGTCAAGGCGATGCCAACGAGGTCATCGATTCCGGCAAACTGGGCGAGGAGGTACAGAAGGCGAAGGCTGGCTCGGCTTCAGCCTCTGTCTCGAGGATTCCTTCCCGTGTACCCTCTAGTGTTGGGGAGGAGAGTGGAAACACACTTATCGATGGTGCTGGAGAAGGTGACCGACTCTCCAAGTCCAAGTCAGCCGGCACGAAGGGAGAGAGCAAGGATGCCATGGACGAGGCCAAGGCTGTTGGCGCTGTCAAGTGGCCAGTTCTGAAGCTTTACCTATCCTCCATGGGCGGATGGGCTTTCTGGCCGGCAGCTTGCCTCGTCTTCATCCTTCAGCAAATCAGTGGTGTCGCCTCGAACATTTGGATCAAGGAGTGGGCCAACCAGTACCTTGAAGACAAGACCGCCTCAAATGTCCAGTTGACTGCGACCTCTCAGAACTACCACACTGCACTCGTGCCTTCGGCGTACTTGGGCTCCATTCCAAAGTACAGCCAGCTCCAGTCGTGGCTGCAAAGTGCCGGGAATGATACAGCTCTCACGACCGCTAACCCGCACGGCGTTAATGTCACTTACTATCTCCTCATTCTTGCAGTAATCGGCTTGATCGGGGCGATATGCGCCTTGGTCAGAGATCTGTGGATTTTCCTTGGCTCCCTGACGGCGTCATGGGGACTCCATAACCGCCTCATGAGTTCGGTAACCAAGGCCCAGTTCAAGTTCTTTGACGTGACACCACTCGGCCAGATTATGAACCGTTTCAGCAAGGACATGGAGGGTATCGACCAGGAGGTTGCACCTGTCGCTATCGGAGTCATGACGTGTGCATTGGGCATCCTCGTTACTGTTGTGTTGATTGCCAGTGTGACACCCGGATTTCTTGTGGCTGGCGTTTTCATCACTGCTGCCTATGTCTTCTTGGGCAAGTTCTATCTCGCGTCATCGCGAGACCTGAAGCGACTCGAGTCTGTCCAGCGCAGCCCGTTGTTCCAGCAGTTTGGAGAGACCTTGAGCGGAGTCACGACTATTCGAGCATACGGCGACGAGCGTCGTTTCGTCCGTGAGAACTTGCAAAAGATTAACGCACAGCTGCGTCCATTCATCTACCTATGGGCCGCTAACAGATGGCTTGCGTTCCGAACTGACGTTCTTGGAGACCTGGTCTCGTTCTTCGCCGGAGTTTTTGTGATCCTCAGCCTGGACACAGTACAATCTGGCTCTGCCGGTCTGTCTTTGTCCTACGCCATCGGCTTTGCAGATAACATTCTCTGGCTCGTGCGTCTGTACGCTATGAACGAGCAGAACATGAACTCGGTGGAGCGTATCAAGGAGTACTTGGAAGTCGAACAAGAGGCGCCCGCCATTGTGGAGAAAAACCGACCACCAGAGAACTGGCCTGCCAAGGGCTCTGTCGAGTTCATCAATTACACCACAAGGTATCGCGCAGATCTCGACCCGGTGTTGAATGGGTTAAGCTTCAATATTGGCGCCCGGGAAAAGGTTGGCATTGTGGGTCGAACTGGAGCTGGAAAAAGTTCTTTGGCTTTGGCATTGTTCCGCGCTCTTGAGGCCGAAGAAGGCAAGATCCTCATCGACGACATCGACATTGGGTTGATCGGCTTGCGGGACCTGCGCGAGGCAATCACTATTGTGCCCCAGGACCCGACCTTATTCATGGGTACCATCAGGACCAACCTCGATCCCTTCGACATGTACAGCGACGAGGATATTTACGCCGCCCTTCGCCGCGTGCAACTCATCGGGCCGGATGAGAAAATCCCCAGCCGTCCCGGGTCTTCGGGCCCTGTACCCCCAACACCAACCATAGCCGCGGAAGCCATCGCAGAGTCGTCAGCCAGCACCAGGTCCGCGCCTGTCGTCACGAACAAGAACGTCTTCCTCGACCTCAGCTCCCCAGTCACCGAGTCCGGCTCCAACCTGTCTCAAGGCCAGCGACAGCTCCTCTGCTTGGCACGGGCCATGCTCAAATCACCAACAGTCCTGCTCATGGACGAGGCGACGGCCTCGATAGACTATGCTACAGACGCCAAGATCCAAGGCACGATCCGTGAACTGGAAAGCAGCACAATTATCACGATTGCGCACAGGTTACAAACCATTGTTGACTATGACAAGGTCCTCGTGCTAGACAAGGGCTCCATCATCGAGTACGACCACCCGTGGAACTTGATGCAGAAAAGGGACGGGCAGTTCAGGGGCATGTGTGAGACGAGTGGCGACTGGGACGTCTTGGAGAAGCAGGCTAAGAAGGCTTACAAGGCCAAGCACGAACTCGTCGACACAGAAGTACCATAAGCATTGGAGGCTCCGGCGCGTACGCTGTGAAGCCTGACCACTCACCATACAGGATACGTTGAAGACCACGGCAGATATTGGACGGGTAGAGAGAGTCTCAAGTGGTTCTCTGTACATAAAATGGCTACGCCCTTTCTTTGCCTTGTGTATAGATAAGGGACGGGGACGGACCCCAGCATGGCGCAGCTTCTTTTAATTTAATCATAGAAAAGCATTGTTCACTCGAGATCTCAAAGACGGCCAACACGGCCGCGTAGTCTACGAACCCCGATCGCGTTGGCGTACTCCCCCTGATCGGACTCTCCGATGGATAGGGACAGCCGGCGAGTTCTGCAGCTCGTCTCGTTTTCCACAGGCTGTCGACGGATCGAGCAGTCATTCGGATCAATGAGTGCCAGTGAATTGACTACGGTGTTCTAGAGGTCATGCGTCTCCAAGCAACGGGCCTTGAATAGCAGGACTTGAACAACAGGTCAAGTTCATCTGCCAAGTCTACCTGACCAAATCATAGGTCACGCAGGTAACTCTATTGTTCATATCACAAACACCAAGTTTTGACGTACAGTTTAGTTGTATATATATATATATATTCTGCAGCGTGAATTTACCGCAAGATTTCTATTCAATTAATCATCATGCTGATCAAGCCAGTGTTGGCTAATTGTGGTGGTAATGATGATGATAGATATATTCATTACTTCGACGCCGTTGTGACCCGACACCCCTCTTGCCCTTTGTCGACAGGACAGCGATATGCAGATTCTACCCAGTCCTTTCCCATGCAAGCCCCGTTGTTTTCGGCCGGTGCTGTTGTTCCTGGCCTCCTGAGTTGTTTCCCCCTGAAACGTTTCCTTGCCTTGCCCTGCCCGGGTCCAAGCCGCGAGGGCAAAAGGTCGAAAAAAGATGTTGAGAGAAGAGAAGAGAGCACGATGGCCGAAGCTGAGGGAGCGTGCGCCATGCTGTTGTGAGGTAAGAAAGAAGAAGAAAAGGGTAGGGGCGCGATCCCGCCTGGAGAAGTGCTCAAGAAAATGTAGGTGTGGGGATGGAGGTCGACATGAGGCGTTGCGAAGTGAATCGCAGCGCAGGCCGTGGTCGCAGCGCGACGTGTAGTCTCCCGTCCCTTCTCGCCCTTGAATCTGCACAACCGCTTAGATGCCGCTGCCTGATATTCAACAGAGCCCGTTCCCTTGGGAAGATCCCCTGCCTCTTGTCACTACTCCCCATAGTACTCCCCAGGGCACGCCTGGCCGACCTGAAGAGCAGAGGTACATGACATGGAAACAACCAGTAGTAAGTAGTACATGAGTTGATGATCCAGAAAGCAGATACAGGAAACAACAAAAACTTTTTTCTTTTTTCGGTATCTTGGGTGTCCCTATCTCTATATCATCCCGTTCATTACCACAATCACCTTGCCCTTGAGTCCGGGATGGGGTGGGTGCTGTTTGGGGGGCCCGGATCCCCATTCCTACTGTCCCGCCCACACAAAACGAAGATAGAAACGCCAACGAATGCGAGGTATGATTGATATCCATCCAAAAGCACAGAGAGATCTCATTGAATTTTGTTTTCCCGTCCCGTGAAACTCCGCCCCAATGATGATCCTGACAAAGGAAATTTCTGTTGAATGCAAGTCCCGCCCCGAAAGCCTGATGGAATGCTGATTGGGTATCTGCTGCATAAAGATGAGCTGCTGTCCGGCGAGAGCCCGTAACCCACGCTGTCAAAAGCGGTGGTGGTTGTTGTTGTGATGTAGTTCATTGGTGCCATCGAGGCAAATGGTCAAGTATAGATCCAGGGCGTCAAGCTCATGAATCCAGAAATAAAACATACGAGCCGACAGTACGAACACGTGGTACCTGCCGCTCAGAGAAGCGAACAAGAAAAAAGGCGGTAGTTATACAGATTCATGGACAGAGGCTCTGTCGTATCTTCTATGCCGAGAGGCCCTGTTCTTTGTCGAAGCTAGACTTGGGGCTCTGCTGGTTTGATGACCGGTTGAACACTGTTCTGCCGAGGCTCTTCAGCTTGTTGTTCGAGTTCTCGCCCTCCGTGTCGTAGTCAACGAAGACGCTGGTGATGGGGTCCACCTTGGTGCGGCAGAACAACGTTGAGAAGAGATATTGGTCTCCGTTGTGGTCAAACAAAGGTAGGGTGCGGTAGCCTTGTTTGAGACTTGTCAACTTCGCCGTGTAGGTGGCAACTGCCGGCGCGCGATCGTTGTAGTTGTTCCCTTCCGAGAGCTTCACCGACCACCTGATGAAAATGAGGTCCGGGTACTTGGTTCTGGCTTCGAAGACGAACTTGTTGTCGAAGACAGGGTTGAAGCCGTTCTCTTTGACGATCCTGGTGCGATGCCTGAGTGGCCTCCGAATCGGTGGCGCGTTCGATTCCTGCTTGTCCCTCTTGTCGTCGGCGAGGAAGGCCTCGACCTCGATGTAGGGGTCCACGGTCCGCCGTTCTCCGAGGTTGAAGGGACGCATGAGCTGTTGTGCCGAGATGACGTCGATCGTGAAGCTCACATTTTTCCGCTCTCGCTTGTTGCTCAGCTCCTCGGGCAGGTCGGGAACTGTGTGGAACACTCTGCCTGATTTCGGATCCATCTGGAGCTCCCTGAAGGCACGTGGCTTCAGCACGTATCCGGTGGTGTCGGACCCCCCAGCGAACATGGCTTGATTAAACTGCATGCCAAGGTCGAAAGTCTGCCAGTTCAGTGCAGCCATCTGGACACCGCGTCTCCAATAGATGAGCGGGTCGAAGTTGGTTGAAGTGAAACGGTGCTGAGCTGGGTACACACGCATCAAGTATCGCATGTTGTGGCGGAACAATGCCCCTTTGCTCAACTTGTCAGAGCTGTTGTTGAGGAATGTTCGCTCCTTGAAGGAGAGGATGTGGTTGAAGGTCTTGCAGTCAGCGTCATCAAACCCTCGGAACTTGATACCAAGGCAGTACACGCCAAGATCACCAAGGGCTTTGGTGATCTTGCTCTGCTTGGAGCGCGGGGGTTTTTCTGCTCCACTGTCATCGCTGGAACTGCTGCTGAAGAGTTCCTGGACGTCGGATGTCTCGCCTTCAGCGATGGTGTTCACGCGGCGGTTGCTGCCCCGTCGGGCCCCAGGGTAATGGGGGCTCAGAAGAGGGCTGTTTGGGATAGACGATTCCCCGACCTGGGTAGGCCGAGAGAAGGGTGATGTCAAACTGTTTCCACGTCGTCTCCCCGAGCCGTTACCCTCGGCGTTCTTTGTCTCGTTGAGGTTTGGCGTCTTGCACTTGATCAGAATACGACCGCGCAGCTGCTCAGGCGTGGGAAGCTGGTCGTCACAGCCTTCAAGCTTTTCTGTCACAAGCTTCTCTCCAAAGACATCCTTCATGATGTTGGCCATGACTTCCTGTTGCGTCGCATTGCAGTGCACCTCAAGCGAGATCCACAGTGGATAGGTTGATTTGACGAATGCGTACTTGTTGATAGCGCTAACAGCCTCGCGGAACTGGATTTGACTGGTCAGTGTTTTGCCATGAGTGACAATAGGCTGATTGTCTGGACCGTCCCAGCAGTCGATTTCAACACAGCGGCAGCCTCGCATAAGAGCAGAGATGTAGCCCTCGATGCTGGATACGTCTCCAATTTGGCGCCCAGTGAGATACGTGTTGTGCGAACTGGAAATGAAGTATTCGTTGCACGGTCGGTCAAGCACAAAGTCCTTTAGAGCAACCTCAATGGGAGTGTTGTGGATTGACGTGAGGTATTTTGCCAGCGCAGTCTCAGACATGCGTGGCTTCTCGAAAGTACCGCTGATGGAGCTGGTCTCGGATGCTTTTCCACGGCCGAATTGGTGAAAGACTGTCTCCCAGGCGGCCACGTCTTCGACATTCTCGTTCTGGACGTCCTTCAGGAACCTGAGGAAGTCATCGAAAGTCAGCCCGCCTTCCGGGTCGGAGGCGATCTCCCGATACACGGCCCGAACATCTTCTCTTCTCGCAGTGAGGCGCACGAAGTCCTGGAATTCGTCAAAGTTCAATGTACCTGTTCGCGTCTTATCCGCTTGGTCGAACTTGGCTTTGAGAGTTTCTTGTGAGACATGAATGTGCAGGTTGCGGCAAACGCGTTCGACACCTGCAAAATGGATTACCTCCTCGTCAGGAAGATTGTCTGGGTAGAGCCTGGTCATCTCTTTGCGCCAGTAAATTCTGATGGCTCGGTCGTTGAACGACATCAAAGAGGTCATCAAGGCTTGCCGGTGCTTCGAAAGCGCATCAAGTGTCGACACCCACGCATTGAATGACTCGTCGTCGTCCGTGACGAGGTGCATGGTCTTCTGTTTCTTGTCCGGTACTGCGTAAAGAATGGAGAAGAAGCGCGATTCCTCCGCCTCAGAAGCACCACAATCCAGTCGGTACTGGCGAACCTCTGGGGCGACGCGGATCTCCTTGATGTCATCGATGTAGACGCACTTGGACGGCCTGTTCTTGTCCCAGTAGATTTTGCCGGCCTCGGAATCCAGAACCAGGTTAAGGCGCTTCCGCCTCTTGGACAGCTTTGAGACCATCGTGCCCAAGAGCAAGGATTGTGGAATGACAGGTCCTGTGTGGATGTCGGAGAGCGTTGTGTAAGCGGAAACGGACGGCGAAGACGCGTTGGTTGGAGAGAAATCACGCAAAGCCTCGCCTTCGGCGATAGGCACTGGGTGGGACACCTGCTGTTCCCTCACAATGCCGGTCTCCTCGTCGCTCTCAGAACCAATGGCGATAGCATACTCAGGTGGAGCAGCAGCACCGCTATCACTCCTTCCGCGCCTCATCACGGCGGGCCCTACGCTGGCATCGCGGCTGACTGGGTGAGTTGAAGACGTACGCCGGCTTCCCCTAAGCCGGGAGCTTTCCGTCTTCACCCTGCTCGATAGACGTCTGAAGATGCCGGTCTTGGGCGGCAGAGGGTCATTTTGCGCCGATCGCTCGCTTGTTATGCTCTGTGGCAATGAGTTTGTGCTCGTCTTACGGGATATGATGGAATCAGGAAGGGGTTCCATCGTCGGCACAAGAGATGATTCCGAGTCCCTGCCGCGGATGGGCTCCGGAGACGGCTGTATGGAGCTGTTGGTGGTCAGCACCTCGGGATCCGGAGACATGACGGGCGAGAATTGCTGCGGACTGGACGCCATGGATGAGTTGGTGATGGCGGAGGGAGGGGCGGCTGTCATTTGTGGATGGGCAACAAGGTTGTTTGTTTGGACCTCACTGGGGCGAGGGCGCCGCAGCTGTGATGGTTGAGAGGTGTGTGAAGGCTGAGAGGTGTTCTGAAGCAGTGAGGGAGAGGAGGGAGTTCCTTGTGTAGAAGTGGTGATGGACGGCATGTTGCTTGAAGCGAAGTACGGTACCGGCCGGTAGGCTTTCTCCATGAAAGGGGGGTCCGGGGTATGCGGACGGAAAGACCTCCGACCTATAAGAGGGAAATGGACATTTATATCAACGAGGAGATGGTCAAGAGCCGCATCTTAAGGGAACCCGTCTCGGTAGGCCCAGTGCGTCCGGGGGAATGAGTGCGGGGAATGAGATGAGACTGATCTCCCGCAGGAAGGATCGTGGGTAAGGACCAGATAAAGTCGGGGCCTTCCTGGGGTCGAAGCTGCACGCGGGCGAGTGACCTCGTCGTCAGCGAGCAACGGGCGTACGGCAACAGACAGACGGCAGCGCTCGCGCCTGGGTCCAACGGAGGCGGGTCAGACGAGGTATATGCTGTGTACAGCTACTGTACGCGGCACAAGCACAAGCGCAGGGTTGCGCGGGAGTGCCAATTCTCTGGGAAGAGGGTGTGGGCGATACCTTGGGGTTGTGTGTGCAGCGCAGCTTTTGGGGCCGTATGTCGCGATACCTGGCTCACGGCAGAATGATGATGTGGCAGCCCGTTATGCAAGTGGACAGATGCGGTTTCCAAGGCGCGGGCTGGGGTGTATGCGTGAGTCCCACAGGCGGTCCGCAAGGGCAGCTGCAGACTGCTTGGTCCGTGACTGGGACGGCGATCTCTCTGGCAGTCCTCGTCTGGTGGGCTCAAAGCAAGCAGCCAGCCCACGGTCACGACTCCTTGGCGCGCCTCCTTTGACGACGATGCGCGCGAGCCGAGCCTTTCGCCGCTCCGACTGTGTCTCTGAATCCCGAGACTCTGGTCGCCCTTGGTCCTATTGGGCGCGTGCAGTCCTCCCTGCCCTGTCGTGCTTCCCCCGCAAAGCCTAATAGCGGATTCTCAGCAAGCGCGCAAGCCTGCGCAACGGTTTGGGCCCGTCCAAGGTGCTCGGTTTTTTTTTTCTTCAAGTGCAGCTCAGGGTCCAGAGTACGGCTCGTCGCGAAAAAAACACAAACGACGGCGATACCTGGAGGACGGCGCGGGAGGGCGGCCTGGAGAACGCCCTTTCTGATCAGGCCTTAGGGAAGTCGACAAGGTTTGTGATGCCTGGTGCGCCAAAGGAGGTGGCAGTGTGCGTTGGTGCGAGCGTGTATGTGTGTGTGTGTGTGTGTGTGTGTGTGTGTGTGTGTGTGTGTGTGTGTGTGCGCGCGCGTGTGTGTGTGATCCAGATGGGATCGTGGGTCGCGGACTGGTCGCGGCGTTTTCTCTTTATGTGCGATTGTGTCTTCGTTACAACTAAGAACCGGTAGTTGTGTGTGATTTATTGAAGTCCAAGATACGGTTCGTCCAGCGTCGTTTGCAAAAGTCGAAAGGCAAGGGGGATAATGTCAGCCCTAATCCAGTTGAATGTAAAGGTGTGTGGTGTGTCGAAGTGAAGTATTGCAGTAGGGTGAGGGCAGGGTAGGTACGGATGTATCTATCTATGTATGTATGCATGGGCGACTGGGTGGTGGGTGGGAGGGCTGGCCCATACGAAGGGGGGTGTGTGTGTGGTGGACGATTTCTTAAAGTGCGATCGATGCTAGCCCGAGTGGCATGGCCGGGAAATTGTTGGCGACAGGGACAGGGGACGGCTCGCGCACTATGTAGGAGGACGAGAAGGAACTGCAAAGTACCGTGTAGCTGACGGTATGGGCGCAACAATGGGGGTGGTGCTAGGACCAGGCAGTGCTTTGGAGGCTTTCTCGTGGGAGGGGGTGGAGGGAACGAGCCTAGGTCACTGTGTAGGGGACGGGGGGGCAGAGAGAGGGACAGCCCGGACAGCCTGGACAGGAGGGTACTCGATACGGCACCAACGGCGACAATCCTTTCTAGCTCGAGGGGAAAAGCGAAATGCGATTGTGACCAGAAGACGGGATGACATGGGATGGGGTCCTGGGGAATGAGGACCGCCAGGAGGTGCAAACAGGGCGAAAAGGTAGAAAGGTACCCGGGCGGTTTTAGCGCGATACCGTAGAATTGGCAGAAGCGCAGGTGCAGGTGCAGGTGCAGGTGCAGGTGCAGGGGGAACTGTGCAGGGGGGGGGACTGTGCAGGGGAGGACGCATGTGGCCCGGGGGAGGGAAGGCGTCAGACGCATGTACCGCCGTACCTACCCTGCCTCGTGCATGTACACGCCGCCGTACCGGGTACCTAGTACCTGGGCCGAGACTCAACCGCACAGAAGGCCAGAAGAAGAGTTCCGCAGTCAGCTGTGTCTGTCTGCTGGCCGGGTCAACGACCAGAGACGAGGGCGAGGACGAGGACGAGGACGTGGGCGACACCCAGCCGCCAGACAAATCAGCTCCCAATCCTAGAGCAATAGAATGTTTTGTATATGTGTGTACATGTTGTGTGTGTGTGCATCTGTACTGTGCACCCCCAAGGCACCCATGCAACGAGTACTATGAATAAATCATTGCCTGTTCTGCCGTGCCGTGCCGCCCACAAGAAGAATATGCTGCTGATGTGAGTGCGAGTGAGTTGTATCAGTGTGTGTGAGTGTGTGTGCTGCTCCCGAGCTGAGCTGAGCTGAGCTGGAGCTGAGCTGAGACTGAGACGGGTGAGATGAGGGAAGACGCAATAGGAAGTGGCGTGTGGGCAGGGAAAGGAGACGCACGGAGGAGAAAAATAGACCGGCGTGGATGGGGCTTGCCTGTAGATGGAAAGAGGGACAGCGACATGGGGGGTGGGGGGTGTGCGGGCCGGGCGGTTTTGGGAGAGCGGCCAGGACGGCCCAGGAAGGCCCCCAGAAAACACTCCAAGACACTCGAGGAATTGACGTGGCGCCCGCGGTGAGGTGACGACACTGGGGCCGGGCGGGGAGAGGAAAGGTGGGATTGGCATGGCAGCACATCAGTAACGAAAGGACCGCCACGGTGCTGTCGTCGCATCTGCTGTGCAGGATTGGCTTGGTGCGCGCATGGGGTGCCTGGGTACAATATCTGCTGCCAAATCCTGCAAATGGGTCGCTCGTGGGCCGCCACCGTTCACCGTCTGGGCAGCAAGCACACCCGCACACTGGCCAAAACAGCGGCCCCCCTCCCTTCTTCCACCCTGGCGAACCCTGGAAGGGCCTGGGGGCAACAGCAGCAAGCTACCTGAGGCGACGAGGCAACATAGGAATCGAGCTGGGTACTAATCGAGCTAGTCGGCTTTGGAGCCGACTGAGCTCTTTGGCTTTCCATCTCGTCCGGGCGGGCGCTTTGCACGGGCACAGACGTCCATCGAGACACCTGGGCCACTGTGGGCAGCGACAGAATTCTTCATCTCCCCTCAAGCCCAATACTCACTCACCCTTCGCAGTGCGACCTTCCGCCGACGCTCCAGATGCATTCCCGGCCAGCGGCCCCGGCGGTCACGACAGATGCTGCCTGCAGGGGTGGTTCGAAGAGACAGCCGACTTACCGGTCTGGACGGCCACTCATCAACTCGAGGGCTGCCACCGCGACCGAGGCGCAGTCCGCTTATTAGCAGCAGTAGGCAGAGGAGATCCGAATCCAATGGCCAACCCAAAAACTGTGCCTCTTCCTATGTACCATCACACGGCATTGGATTGTACTGGAAACCAATGTCTTCCCTGTCTGCACCACGTAATGTTGGTCGTCATTCCGTGGGTTTGAGCACCTTGATCTCTGTGGTCGAACGCGCGTCTCCAAACACTCAGGATGGCTTCCTACTACGGTGCTTACCCTGCTGCCCCAACGCTGGCACTGAGGCACTGGCCGGCAATCAGATAGCCAACGGCCCACCGGATCTACTGTGGCACCACGCAGCGCCGCAAGCGACGCCTGGCATCTGACCGAAACAAACAATCTGCTGTTAGTATGGGTGCGACTAGCTGTGCTAGGTATGGCGGGGGAGGGGAGGGAGATGGCCAGAGGTTGCTGAATCAACCTCAAACCCAAAATCCGGGGGAGACGACTGCCACAGCTACAGTGCCGTTGGGTCGCCTGTTAATACGCCCCGCGCCACACGGGCTGGCTGCATTGTCCCAGCCCGCCCAGGCCTGGTGCTGGTGTGATTATTTAAGGATCATTCCTAACCAAGGGATGGGACCCTGCCCGAGTGACATTCATCAGCCCTCAAAGTCGATGAGCCAGCCCCAGGATGGCCGTCCGAACGGGCCCAGGCTACCAGGCTACCAGCTCCCTGTGCTGTGCTAGCCTTTGTTACTGTGTACTTGTCCACCGCAGTAGTAGACCACCCGGGTGTATAGGTGGACACCAGCAGGGTGCAGGGTCTCGCAGGCTCATCAACCTGAGAATCAAACAACATTTGCATCCTCACAACCCGTGGGGCCAAACGCAACAGAGGGTAGCGCGTCCCTTTCCCCAGAGCCGACCATGCGAGAAGCGGCAAGGGCCTACGCGGTAGGGGAGCCCTCGCTTGAGGCCTCTCATTGACTCGAGCTCGTTGTTGATCAGTATCGAAAGTCCCTGATGATCCGTTGCCCAAGTCTCGCATCAGACAAAAAGGCGGCAATCCGGTGGGGGCTTGGGTAGGGCGGGCTCGAGCCTTGGGGAAGTGATCTTCCTCTCCCAAGCCTCCCAAGCCACCTTAAGCTTGCAACGATCCCGGAAAGCCAGAGACATCACCACGGGCAGGGCTCCATATCTGGGGAACCACAGCGGCGGAACCGAGCCGCCTGGTCGACTTTTGATATGAGGTGGGAGGAAGGTGAAGGCAAGGTAAGCGCCTTGGGGCCATCTCATCCATGCACCGACCATCTTTGCAAGTTGCAGCCAGCAACGACAACACACGGCCAGGACCTTGACCGTATCGCGGGTCTGCCGCCTCGACCCACCCCGGCTCGCGGGAATCTGAGTGACTCAGAGTCCTGCGTTCAAGGTTGGCGGTTTGCGAGTGGCTCGCGGGATTCGAGTCGCATTAAACTTCGCCCGCATTGCGATGCATTGCTCCATCTAGACCATCCGCTGCTCGTCAGGGAGCTCTTCCGCGAGATTGCAAGACGCACGAGGTAGATGGGCTGTTTGTGTGACCTCGTGCCCACCACCAAGAATTGATTGATGACCCCAGAAGCCAAAACCTTACACAGTTTTCCTCCGGGAGGAATTAGCACAGGCCACAACCCGGGCCCTGTCACGGCTTGAGTACACCTCTCGAGCTCGAGCTGCGTTTGTTGCCCTCGAGCTTCGGATTAAAACGCCAAAATCAGAGGATGGAAACAAATCGAAATTAGCCAAACCTAACATCGCCTGTGACAGGCGGTACATGGTCACGTTCCCCAACATCGACGATTTTGTTTGACTTGCGGTTGCAGCGGCATCACACTACTCCTGGCCCATGATTTGTGCGCCCTCTCTGGAGTCTCCAATCCGCATCCCCAATAAGCTCGTCGTTGCCCGCTCCACATGTCATGATCCTCGTTCGCACTTGCATCGAAAATGTACGGTCCGTCTGTGCAGCAGCGTAGCAGGAGCCCACGATCCGCCAAGAGCGCCGGTTGACAAACTACAACTCATCCCACGCGACGTGTGCGCCTCAATGGTGATGGGCGCAGTTGAAACACGCCAAAACTTGATTTGGCATGCCGACGTTGAGCCTGTAGTGGGCGAGCAAGCCTCGCTCAGGATCCTGATCAACGCCAGTGATGCCTATCATTGTCCATCAATCAACCGACGGGCAGCGGTCAAGCCGCCGTCACCGATAGCAAAGTGCTGATCGCAGCGCGCATGCTGGGGCTTTGACGTGGTCACAGCCCGACGAATCACTTATGGAGCCCGTCTGCCCGTCCGTGGGTGTCACTTGAAGAGGGGCTCCCATAGTACACCACAGCTCCCAAAGCACATACCAATCGGTCTCCTCTGCTCCCCATCCTCTGCGACCGCCCAGGCGACGGCATCGTGGGCTCCAGTGCGGTGCATGCCACTGCGGTTCAGTCCACCGTGTCGTCCGGGCCTGCGATCCGCGCCCTCCGGCATTGGATTCAGACTCCACGAGGTGATGGGATCAAACGGTTGCAGCTGGGGTAACCTCTGCTCCCGGACCTGGTGTTTGACAAGCGAATATCTCCCTCCTCGTGCTGCAAGCAACATGGGGTGGGGACTGCCTACCCAGGTACTGCCCACGGTTCGCAGAGAGATGAACAGAAAAGTCTAGGAAACGGTGATGAGCAGGGCCGCGGGAGCCAGGTACCAAGTACCAGATACTTCGCTGGGCTCCCAGGTGTCTTCCATGGTTCGTTCGAGATGCAGCCTTGTCGGCGCGGATCCCTGTCGCGCGCCCCACCTTTTGCCTTTCGCCCACATGGCATTGTTAGGAAGCGCAGGAGCCAGTTTGGAGTAGGTGCGTCATTGCCGTGAAACCTTGCACAACCTTGGAAGGCGCAATATCCTCATCATCCGCGACCAACCACCCTGGCAGGCTGCAGAATAAACCGACCGGGACCCCGTATCCCACCAAAACCCTTTGCATTACAGCCCGAATTGCTTAACAACCAAATAATATATGCTTAGTTCTAATAGAACTGAAATGCTTAGAGTTAGCGTTTGATTTTATTAGTATGAAAATATTAGATAACTTCCAAGGCTATGGCGGACAAATAAATGGAAGAACCGCAAGGTACGTTTTCTGGTACTGAGGTACGGTCGGTTTTTTGTGCAGCCTGCCAGCCACCTCACACGTTTCCCTGACTGGCCACTGGCTTCGATTTCTTCTTCCGCGCTTCCTTCGAGTTCCAATTCCTACCCAAGGCAACCCTGTCAAAAACCCTAGCAAGCATTATTTACCACAAGCGCATCATGACTGCATACCACTGCAAGTTTTGGGGGGGGGGGGTGTTTGGGTTTTTGCAGGCGAGTTGCCAGCGCTCATGTTACATCTGCATTGCATCATATCGTCACAAGTGCCAGCTGGGAGTCACAAATTACCAGTCTCCCTTGATGAGGATGAAGGATTAGTACCGAGGCCTGTGTGCTCCAGCTCAGCATTTCACATGGTCCTGGGTAGGTTTCTAGCTAGTACCGGCCTGATTGGGAAAGAGCAGGCTTCAGCTCCCGAGCAATGACAGGCAGATCCTCCCTCTGCCCTGAACTTGCGGCGCACCCACCCGGTGACATTGGCATGGCATGGCATGGCATGTGGGCTTGTTTACAGTCTCTGGCCGAAATGTTTCAGAGTGGTGCTGTCAGAAGTACCACAAGACGGGTCGGGTCAAGAAGGATCATGGTTGTCAGCCGGCATGTGCCGTGCCTCATTCTCTGAGCCATGGACATGGGCCTGGAGGCACAGGCTGGAGGCACAGGTGCAAATAGTGCACTGTACAGCCCCCTTGGCAAGATGCATGATGAGGTTGTTATTATCGTGCTGTACGAGAGTCAAGACGCCTGCCTGCTGATGCTATAAATACTCCTTGTCCGAGTCGACTTGAGCCGTCTCCATCACAAGGGTCCGTCCATTGGTCAATCCCGTCGCTGTCGTTGTCTTTGAGTTGCGAGCCTCAAGCACCACTGGCCCATGCTCCATCCCCCTCGAAACTTTTTGCCACATGGGGAATGGTTCGAGGTGGAGGAGGACATTGTTAAGGCTCACGGGCGACGATCCTTTGCACAAGACAGCAATGTCTCGGCTTTCCCCCATAGCGTCGCACGGAGCGGGATTCGGGAGGACTCTCAGTCTCAGCTGCTGGCTATGGGAAATGACAGATGTCAAACTCAGCAAATCCGTCCTCCCACGACTTGTCTTGGCCCCGGACGCCGAGACGACCCCGGAAGCGACGGCACCGGCATCGGCCGAGTTGAGCTGCGCGACCCTTTGGGGGAGGGCTTGTACTATATTTCAGATACTATGTGAAACCTCGCCCCTTTCCCACCGGCCGAAATAGTATAGTGACTTTCAGCGCGACGGTCCGGCTGGTGAGGTGACGAGGAAATTGTTAGTTGTGGGTTGAGCCAATCTCATGCGAAATGTCCATCGTCTCCTGCCACGGTGCGCGACCAACCCCCTTCTGTCTGTGCCTCACTTTTCATGCCTCGAGCTTTTGTCGGCGCTTCCGCCGAGCTGATCAGCCTGTCAGGTCACCAAGACCTGCCTCTTCCTCTCGTCCTCCTTCCTTTGTCGTCGCCGTGATAATCATCGTCATTGACTGATTCGGTCATCTCGATTCCCGTTTCATAAACCATTGGCCAACCTTATGGGGTCGCCCGTTCCTGAATGATAGGCGGTAAGCTGAGACAAGGCCTGCGACCATTGGGCGGCCCTGTGCGCCGCGGTGAGCGGCCTGGGGGGCTCCGCTTTTACTGCTGAATGGGTGCTGCATTACGGCCATCATACCAGTCCACGATTCTTCCTCGTCGAGTTGCGCGCCAAAGGAAGCGTCACGAGTGCACATCAGCACCACCGTGTGACAGCCGCAACCAAATCTTGTTGGCCCGCAACTTCTTCTCCCCTGCCAACAGGGTGCCTGGGGCCCCATTCGCGACCAGCATTGAGGACAAAGCGTCTCTTGACACCTTCCTACCCCGAGAAACACCATACCATCAGTATGGTACCTACCCAGTAGAATCTTGGAGACGGGCAGTTTCCGAGCCTGCACAGCCTGGCTCCCTGGAGCATCCCAAGCCCGTAGAGCGGAAGCTCTCAATGGGCTCGCATCGTCTCGATTGGACTCGAGGTGAAGACCGCACACCGCTCTTATGACTGCTCGGTTTAATGAGCCTTGACAGACCCCTAGCCAAGTCGCCGGCCCAAAGGATCTCGCGCGCTGGTACAGAGCCGGCCGCCGTGAACCGCCGGCCTGCGATGCAGCGTGTGATGTACTTGGTAGACCGGCCATGAGGCCCACAAGCGGCAGGGCACCGGCAGGGCACCGTGAGTGAGGGGGTAGGCGGGAAGGGCAGGTATCGCAGGCCGCCGGCCGCCTGCCTCATCTCCAACTGAACTGTAACGATCTCTCTGGCAGGGCGCCGATAGTCGACTATGACAGTGCTACCTCCTTCGCTTGGGTCCTTGCGGCTGCATAACATGAGTAGCTCGCCGGGCTACGTGGTAGTCGACCAGCCTGTGTTCCGCAGTAAATACAACCTCGACCCCACGCTTTGCATTCGGCCCTGTACCGAGCCGCCAATCAATTCAAGTCGATGGTTCTCTCCGTTTCAACTTTCAACCGCCTCACTTTTCTGGTGTCTGCTGACCAACTTCGTCATCATCGGCCAGCAGCTACCTCCTCTGCTTACCGACGACGAACAAACAGGTCCCTGATGCATCCAAGTGCCTCCACGATCTGCGAACACACCACGTCGCCTTCAATGACAGCGTCAAGGTGATGACATGCCATGCGGCTCATCCAATGGGGGCCTGTCGGGCACGCGTGCGGCGCGCATCACCGAGCAGATCCAGCTCCTCAAGAAATATGAGCAAAAAATCAGAGAAAAAGCAGTCTCGTTTGCAGATACGTTCCCACCCCAGCATTCCGCACCCGGGCATTCGCGGAACTCTGCCGATGGGAAATCACGACGATCGCGCGGCCTATGTAGCGAGCGTCCGTTCCGACAGCGCAGCGTAGTAGAGTGGTCCCGATGATCGTCAAGATTTGCGCGCGTCCTTTCCCACGGCAGCGCGGAGGGAGATCTCTTCTCACCCTCTGTGGCTTCTCCCACCCTCTGCCTCTCTCTCATGCACCCACACACATACATACATACATACATACATACATACATACATACATACAGAAAGCCCAGGAGGCAGGGAAGTCGGGTGGATGACACACACACAAGTCACCGACAGCAGTTTAACCCGTGACACCACCGAGGGCGATGGGCTTTGGATGGGATGGATGCTGGTACGGGACGTGAAGGATTGCATCCGAGAGGCTGCAGCACGTGGCCGGGGGGCCAGATTTATTATGATGTTGTCTTCACATCAGAGTTGCCCTGCAGGCCGACTCGCAGTCACTGGCGCTGGACCAGCCAGCACCCAGCAGCAATTCATCCATTCACCCGCCCGTTCGTCGCATGGGGGACGCGCGAAGGTGCGCAATTAATGCACCGTGTGTTGCGCGTAATAAATGCACTCTGGACGTTCTGCAGCAGGAGCAACCCACCTGCATTCATACAGTACGCAGCATCTACGCAGTAGTACATGCCTACAGTACCTTCCTGCCCTGGCTGGTGCGAGCAGTTTCTGTCGAATTCCCACCTATTGTGAGATTGGCAGGGACGGGGGAGGGGCGCACCACGCTGGAGTCTTCCATAGTGGCCCCATCAGTTTGCAGTTTCCCGTCTTGCACATGCGGTCCAGTCAGTCAGTCAGTGAGTGAGTTAGTGAGTCAGCAGCGGAAGCCGTGGGACTCGAGGCTGCTTGACGAAGTTCCCCGTCCAACCGGTCTGGCAGCACCTGCCTACTACCGAGGTACAATCCTACCTACTATTTTCCCTAGTAGTACTTCTACCTACCTGGGTGGGTACCCAGGTAGCTGGTCCGCAATCCTGTCTCAGCAGCTCCAAAAGACGAGAAGTAGAAAAGAAAATATACGGGTACGACGCGATGTCCGTACAGCACGCCCGACTGCATTGGCTAGAATAACTCAGCTTCATCTCGGATACACCGTGGCCAATTCTGCCACACAGGACCCAATCCCCATCGTCGAGCCATCGCTTATTAATAATGGACGAGCCGCTTCTCCCCCCCGGCGCCTCATCCCCGTTCCCCAGATTGGGTACCTCTGGTGACTCGGTGGAAAACCGGGGAAGCAACAAGTGCGCAATCAAACCAAGTCTCCCTCTCTCTCCCCTTCAGGGACCCCCTTCGCCTCGTCAGGCGGGCATGGCAAGGCCGAACGCTAACACAGTCCACCACGCACGTCGTCCGCACTCCCCTCCTTCTGCTGAGCCTCATGCGCCCGCAATCCTTTCGCTCTGTTAAGACATCGATGGAGCCGCCAAACGATCTGCAACGCAGTTGCACCGTCAGCCCACGCGCCGAGAGCCGGTCCCTGGCTTGTTTCATCCTCGCCAACAGGGGTCAGGCCAGACTGACCTCAACCTCACCCGTCCATCACCATCGCCAACGCCAACGCCAACGCCACATCCTCTCCGCTGCCCGCCTGCCCGCGCGGAAGCCAGCCTTTGCCAGCCTGAACTTCAGCACGGACGAAGCTTCTTGTGACTCCACTCCCGAGCCTAACACAAACCGTGCGGTATCATCTACACTCGCTGCGATAAGCTCCCCGTGATTACCGACAATGCACACGCAGCAATAGCTGATCGAGTCTGTCCGACGGAGCTGGCAATATAGCACAGTATTGGCACATTGGGCGTCGCATCTCAGTGAAACGCTATCGACCGAAGCGGACGCTTGTTGTCGCCCGGGTGTTGGAATCATGTGTCGGGCAAGATCAATGAGCGCCCGCAATGGCCCTGCAGAGAGCAGTTTACGCGCACCGGCATTATCATGGAGCTGTCAAACCATCCGATCGCATGGTTGTCGCTCGGTCCCTCGCCTACCAAGGCTCAACGCTCGGCGACTCAAGGCTATCAAGTCTCTGCTACGAGCGAGATACCTGTCGACCGAGGGCCTCACCTGCCTGGAAATGACATGTGTGCCTGGTTTATCGCCGAGCGGGAGGAGCCGTCGCAGCATGCGCTTTTGCCAAAGCCCCGGCCGTGCCTGCACCCTGTGTGACGGTTATGCGAAAAAAGCAGCTGCTTTCCTTCCCGATTTCAGGGATTCGGACGTGCGACATCTGCATGAAATAGCTGCCAGGCCCTTCACCGGTGAGAAGTGAGCCGCCCGCCTCTTGGACAGGAAGATGACAAGTGACACGTGGAACGACACCGCTCCTTGCAGCAATTTTCCCGACAGCGGATTTGGCATCGCACAGATCTTGTCGCGGCAATTCAGAAAATGCCCGCATGTCGAGTGTGTAAGCCGGCACACCTGCAATGCAGCAGGCTTGCATTCCCTACTGTGTTGACAAGTGTGATCAACCAGGTCCCTAGAGGCTTGCCGACCATCATGCTCCCATGCTTGGCTTCATCAGTGAAAACAAAATAGGGGTCGCCCAGTGCCTTGACGCTTGCAACAGAATGATTAACAATGCCGCACCTTAGCGGGTATCTCTTCCGGACGTCATGCTGCAGATTCCCCGAACGTCGTTCCTTGGTCTCCCCGGCAGCGGACCAGCGGGTGACTGTTGCGCGGGAACCCTTTCTCTGGGCAAGCTCTTCCGCGGCCGGGAAAATTGCGCGTCCGCATCTCAAAAGGCTTCAGAAACTCCGCAGTGCCTACGTTGCGGCACCCATCCGAGTTCTCTGACGACCGCGGTAACGAGAGTGGTCATATGTCGATTACTCCCTCGATGGACTGCGGAGAATTGGTCTTTACCTGACGCATAGCGGAAATGCTCTCAAGCAAGCCATCTCCTCGAGCTAATTGTGTCTTCACGCCGGATAAGGATTAATGGCAGCAGATACTTGATGTCTTCATTGTACAAAGTACTGCGACAGCCATGGGCTGAACGGTTTTCATACAGTCTACCGAACTATCGCGTGGGCGACAGGGTCCACCTCGATCTTAGGGTCGCATTACCCCTTTTTTTGACGTTGGACGAAGAGCATTTAGAACGTATCTGTACGAGCCTACAGGAAATGGCAGGGTCAACGTTGTGTGGAACAGCCCTGTCAATCTGTTTCAGCGCCTCCGTCAACTCCAGCCTTGTCCTGGGCTGGGGACGATACACTTAAGGCTGAAGAGATCGGTCATCGGGAGTAACAGGAGCCGACACGTAGCAGCTGCGTGTGCAAGGCGCCCATCTTGGCCAACAGGGAGCGCTGATGACACACGTGATACAGAACGGCTGGCACTGGCAAGCCCCTTCCATGACACTGTGCTGGACGCGATGCTCAGTTGATGATGATCTACTATCGAAACTGCAGTCATTATTGGGCCACGACATCCATCCACCAGCATTCCTGGGGCCAAGGAGCATCAAGTGACGCACACAGACTGGCAGTCTGCAAAATAAACCGACCGTACCTCAGTACCAGAAAACATACCTCTCAGTACTTCCATTTATTTATTAACCACAACCCTGGAACTTATTTAATGTATTTATATAATTAGAATTAGACGCCGATTCTAAACATTTGAATATAATTAAAACCGAGCACACACTATTTGGTTGTTGAGAAATTCGGGTTGCAATGTGAAGGGTTTTGGTGGGATACGGGGTCCCGGTCGGCTTATTTTGCAGACTGCCAGACAGACAAGCAGGATGATGAGCCGCAGCGCAGGTGTCATACCGGCCCCCCCCCCAAGATCCTCATTAAGCAGTAGATCCCAGCAGCCATCCCACGCCGTTGTTGTTGTCGGTTGGACCACAAGGCCAATGGGCGCTGTCATCCTGCCACACCATCCCCACATTATGCTTCGGGCACTCTCGACGCACGCCCTCCGTAAGCATTCTGAAGCGACAGGCATCACTCCTTCTAGAAGGCTTCCACCTGTGTGATGAGACTCCACCGCAGCCAGCCCCGTAACAGGTGTTTCCGTTTACTCGGATCAATCGGGCTCTGCTTCTGCGCTCACAGCCTGGGGGCCTAATAAGCACGAGACTAAATGGAAATGACGTAGCGCGAGTAGCCAGGACGCCAGCCGCCCTGTTCCTCGAAGGCCGGAAGTTCCGACACGCTTACCTACATGTCACGGAGGTGACACGCAGCGGATCGAATGATCGTTGCTGATCTGGAAGCCCCTAAGAACACTGACAACGAGCTAGCATCAAATCACCCCATAAGGCGACATCCGCGATTTCAGAGCATTGTGCAATCTCTCGTCTGCTTGTGTCCTCGGCGGACTACGGAGACCCAGCGTCGACGCGGGACATATCTAAAATTGTGGAACGCAACGCTGCGCGAATCCCCCACGTTTCCCACCCCCTGCACTCCTGCAAAGCAAAAGGCCTGTCACCATTGCTTAGCCACTCGCAGCGGTACTGCATCGCCCCAGGAGGCACAGAGGGTGAAGGAATTGCGGCCCTCTCGACCCCGAGGACGGCACCCTCCGACCTTTGGCCAAGAATGGCGCTGGTTCTGGCGCAAGCGACAGGAAGACCGACGCCAGGAGAGCTGCAACCCGACACAGGCTTCCGGGCAGCCTTTGCTCTGGTCTGAGGACAAGAATGTGCCATTCACCGCCATCATGGAACACCGACAGAGTCTTTTGGCGGACGGTGGACGATGGACGATCTCTGGCAACGTTGCTCGGTCACCTCGATCCCGCCTGTCCTTTCCAGGCCCCTCCGACCAGAGGAGCGAGGCACATCAACCCGGGACGGCTTCGAGCTGCTGCAGCATCCTGGATGTCATCACCACGGGCATGCCAAGCGCCCGCTGCCAACGGGCGTCCAAGAATATCGTTCGCGTCCAGTGAGGCCTGCAGAGGTCTGCCGCATCCGATCCTGGTTTCTTCGAGAGGGGACATTTGCTGCACCGCCTTGTTCTGGTCCTGTGTGACATGAGGAGGAAAGGCAATTTGGCTGACGACCCTGCCTGGTCTACTAAGTCACAGGAATACGATAGCATTCCCCTTGGGGCCATGCTGTTGCTGGCGAGAGATGGATCATACTGAAGCATGATAACGTGGCCGAACGGGCCAACTACCACGTCCGTACCAGACGGTACTTGCATGTCTGTTGCTGATTCCAGGAGACGATTTCAGTCACTCAGCAGCATGCCAGCACTGACCTTGGCCGTTGGTGCAATACATTTGCTGCATCACAAGTCCCGGGCTTACTTTGATAAAGATATGTCCTCTCGTTTGCTGCTGTTCTTACATCACTGCTTCTGAGCATCTCAGACCGCCTACGGATGGTCAGATCGAGGCTTCCCTGTCTGCTCCAACGTCTGACGGTATGTCCCGGAGCTGCTGCAGCTGTTGGGCCACACAACTTGCACAAGAGTCGCTGTTGGATTGTGCAGGTTCTCAGACCTGCATGATATGGACCCGTCCTCCCAGAGCAGGGGCCAGGATGAGCTACGTGCTGATGGTAATGCAGTGAACCCATTGCTGCTTGCTGAAGTGATCTCAGCAAGCATCTGTCCCAGCTTCTGCAACTTTTCACCAAGAATGTAGCAATACTTTACAAGACACAGCACGCTCTGGATTTATGGGAAAATCACATCTTCCTTCAGGTGCAGCGGCAACAGGGGGGGGTACACCTTGCGTCTCGTATCGCGTGTGTCATGAGGCCGCCTAGCAAGGCAACTTCTGCAGAGCTGCTGCAGCTCCCTTCCTGCGTCTTGTCTTGGTCGCCATGCGTGATAATGGGGGACATGCATTTTGAAGGCATACCATCGCTGCAGGTCGTTCAAAGGCCACCGAGGCTAAGCTTGTATCTCGGACAATGCGGCGGTTCGCAAGTCTCTCCTTGTGCAACCCTCCAGCTGTTGTGCCCAAAGAGACCAGGTGCAGGAACAATCTCACTTGTGGGAAGACAGATGATGCCATCTTCACTACCAAGAGACATATGGCACACAGACCTGCCATGCCCACCCCGAAGCATAACACCTCAGGCCCAGGCTTGATGTTGCCTACATAACCAAGCCGTGACTGCTGCTTGGCCACATCTTGTGGCCATCTTCTGATCTGAAAGATGACGGGCTTACCTTTGAAGTCAAGCCTTAGAGACGAAGGCCGAGTAGTGGGCAAGTCACACCAGCCCATCCCCCGGCCGTAACTACTTTGTATGTCGTGTCTTACTCATTACCAGACTCTCGTCTCAGCCTCATGGGCAGTTATCATGATAACTTCCATCAAAAATGATATATCAGTTGTCTTTTGCGTCTTTGAGAAACCGCCGCAGCGTTCTGTCATACGCCCCCAGGAGCCTGACACGGTTGGGAAGACACTTTATACCCTTATTCCTGGACTCCTTACAGATGGCCACGCCCTACACCCTTTTCTTTTAGCCAACGCCCCTCAACCTTCGATGTTGCCCGCATGCACCGAGGGCCCGATGTCTCCCTGCTGCCGATTACACTACGTTGGTACCATTGAGGGTGTTGGACAGATGCCCTAAGCGGGATATATGACAGCTCGCTAGGCAGCCCTGGAAGCAATCGCCGTGCACCAACTCGACCGTCTCTGGAGCGGCAGCGGCTGAAGCCGTGCAGCACCCTCCACGAGACTGCCACGTCAGTCTCATGCCCTCCAAATTAAGACAGGGTTGCGTCAATATTGGGTGTTCTCGTGCGATGAGTGTTGGTGATCCGCCAGGTGTCAGGTCACAAGACGGGATGGCACGGTCAACCGTTCCGGATGTGAATGCTCACGATCGGCTCCTCCGTCACCCCATCCGGATGACCTCGCGGAGTACATTTCCAGAAAGAACATCGCACACGCTCCCCTTCCACAGGGAATAGGCCGAGAATAATGCGGCATGAGGATAGGGCCATAGACGGCCGCACCGCCCGCACCAGCTTACGAAGAGCAGACCCAGGACGCATATGCTCACTTGCTCGGTGCCAAATTGTGGGTGGCTCAAACATGTTTGCACATGGTTGCGGAGGCGTAATCGGCTGCTGTGGACCTCAGACTGCCGGGTTCTTCTGCGGACAGACGTGTGTTTCGTATCATTTGATTTGCGTTGAATGCGCGCACAAGGTTGGTGATCCTGTCTCTTCTTCTCTCGCAGTCTTGCACGATATACATCCCCTGCCAGTGCTTCGTCCGACGGATATCTCCTTCTTCTGATGCTGAGACTAGGCTGAAGGAGGCATTCGAGTCTGACTGACAAGCTTGGCACGGACCCGTCCAACAATCTCGCCTCTCTCCCGCCGAGTTCATATGGGGCTCTCTGCGGATCTGCGGCTCGCTATCTGTTTTCAGGAGGCGACGACGACGAAGCCAGCCACTTCACAACCCCATACCTCCTCTTGATACGCTCTTGAGGATCCAATAGTGCCGGACGGCTTGACGGACCAGAGGTTCCGCCCAAAATCGGTACAGTGGCAGCATATTCTGGACCGCCTCTAGGGATATTTTGGGCCACTGGGGCCGTTCGTACGATCCGTTGACCTCGGAAATGACGGCTGTTGCGACCTTCTGTGGTGTTCCCATGGTGCCCCATGTCATATCGCCTTCGAGGATGTCGATCATCTTGCCCACGTGGGCTTTGGCTGCTAAGGCGTCCATATTAACGGCCAAGACCCATTCGTCGTATTGCTGACTTGCCCACGGTGAAGTTCCACCCGTATATCATACACCGAATTGTGGTCCATCTAGGGGCGTGCTTTCGTTGTACAGAGTCCATCGAGACGGGATACGGACGGCCCAGCCACGCGTCGCTTTTGTCGCCTGGAATAGCGCACGAGGTGGGTAAGACAGAGATTAACGAGCTCATTCACCACACCAGCTGCATATCTAGGGGATCCTTCTGCCTCTTACTGCGACGCATGTGATGATGGCCCGCTCCTAATGCAGGCCGAGCTCTGAGGTCAACATCTGCGAGCATCCGGGCCTCGGACTGGGAGGATAAATAACAATCAACGACTTAGAGCCGCAGGACGTTCGAGGCCTCCCTGCCACCTCATTGTGCATGGAATGATCAGTCTGTTTGCCTGTCAGAAAAGCGATATCTGACGAGTTTGCTGCCAGGATGCTTCTCGACCCCGGACTCTGTGCCCAGTATGTAGTCACGCACGAACCAGCATACGGTCTTTGTTGAGACGCTCGTGGCACTGTCAGGGTGTATCGGTCTGGGGCTCAGCTGACTCCAGTGCCTACCCATCAACCACGGTCATCAGGGGAACGAGGTAAGCGTCTCGATCATGTGTCCCATGCACAATGCTGGTTTCCAGCACGTTGCAGCTCGTGTCACAGCGCCAATATCAATACCGAGGAGAGGCCACATGTCGAAGTGATTGCTCGTATCACTCCTCGCGGCTGTTTTCCTAAAGCGTTCAAGTGGCATAAGGGGGTCCAAGGGATCGGGTATGTTGACATATCACCTTCTCTGTCCCGGTATGAATACTCTTCCAAATATCAACAATCACTCCTGTCAAGCACCAGGCCGCCACGTCTCTGACCGGGAACCACGCGGAAATAGCTGGGCGAGGGAAGAGGTTGTGACCGTGCTTCTGATATCATTTATCATGAAGCAGCCACTATACTGAGCAACCATCATCAGATGCTGAGGAAGCTTGCTGGGTTCGACATGATGTAGGCCCGCTGACGGCCCACGGCCATGTAGCACGCCAGGACGTGCAGATTCTTGAACTTGGGGGTCAAGATCAATGTGCAGCACCTGACCCCGCGCCATCGGCAGTCATCAGTCGGCCGCAACGACTGTGGTATACGGACATCTGTGTGAGAGCCGGTCAACTCACCCAGTCACCGCCCGACCGGACCGTTTGCTGGATTCTGGAGCTTCGGTACCAGCACTCGCACGCCCCTGGTTCAGACGCCCGGCGCACAGTCAGGTTACACAAGGGACAAATTAGGGCCGCGCCGGCATTTGTGTCGCAGTTTCTCATAACCATATCATGTATGTATGTACACTTGGTAAGATATAGGCCGTGCAAGAACCCCACATGGTAGACACCCTTGCTCACCTGAACTCGACCGCCCGAGTAGTTAGGCTGTCGGTTCTCACTGGCACACCCGCAATGTGTGCAGCCGTCCCCTCCCGGCTGGGCCGGGAGATCCTGCGCAGACAGCAGAGTGAATAGAGTGCCGAATACTAATGCGAAAGCGAACGCATAACAGGATGAAAGGGGAAATTCCAACCAAGGTCCTCCCGCCAAAGACAATTGATTCCCTTGGGGGCCCCTTGTTGAGCATACGGCCCAGGCCCAGCCAGCGTTTTTTCTGCTAGCGCGCCGAATAGTCCGCAAGGCAGCCGAGACATGCATATGCATTGCGGCTTGCATGCGGTCGTCGCCTTACGGGGAGAATCGGCGCTGGCTGGCTGGCTGGCTGGCTGGCTGAAGGGCCCGGAAGCCAAGGGCAAGGTGAAGGAACGGAGCTTGCATGCGTGCTGAGGAGGCGCCGAAGAGCGGTGAGACGCGTGGGAAATACGGGGGGGCTCTAGTGAGTGACGAGAGACCGTTCGTTGCCTTACGGCAGGCCTGGACGGGGGCTGGCTTGGGGCAAATGGGGGGGGGGGGATGGGATAGCGTGAGGCAACGGCAGAAAAAAGGTCCCTGTCGCCTGCAGTTGATGGGCCCCTCATGTAAGTGAGTCGAAATCGGGAAGGAGGGCCATGCGCTCCATCGGCGCATCGGATCGGGGCCTCGTATGTGTGTCTCTTGGGACGACACTTGGGACGACACTTGGGACGACACTTGGGACGAACCTTGGGCCATCCCGAGCCGTCCGGCGCGAGAGGTGTACAGGACTTCTTCTGCCGAGTTGCGATACATGCCAACTCGATGGAGCTGACAAGCCCGTCTGTACAGGAGGGGGGTGAGCGTGTGGGCATTCCCAAGTGGTGACTTTGCCAGGACACCGGTTGGACATGGCAGTGACATTCCTCAACGATGTCGTCCTGTTTCGTTTCGTTCCGTTTCGTTCTGACACACACACACGCTCACGCTCACGCTCACAGACCTCCCTGCCGAATCTGGGTGCTGCTGTGGGTGCCGCTGAGGAATCTGGCCGTGCCCAACAGACGACATGTCGTTCTCTCCTCCCGGACCGCCCAATACCACCTGTCACACGGACGCACCACACGCAACGAAAGGAGTGCCAAATCAAAATCCCCGTGACACAAGCCTGAGGTTGGCACAACTCCAACGCATGAACATTATTATGGCCATGAGTTAACGACACCGCCTTCACCAGCGTGTGTTACGTGCCGCCCGCGTCGCTCAGCCTCCTCCGCCCACTCCCACCCCCTGGTTCTTCATCGATCTGGTGTCACAACCTGCACTACCCCTAGCCTTAGATCGCTGTCCTCCATTTCTTAACCCCTCGCCAGCCCTGTCACCACCGCCGTCGGGCGTTTCGTCGAACACACGGCACTCGCAACGCCCACCCCTTGACGTTTGCACCACCGGCATGCAGGTGAAATTGAATCCGGCCCCTGCGGGTCCAACGCTTCCAGGACACCGAGGAAGGGGCACCGAAGAAATGTCTTGGATGCCCTCCCCGGGGACAAGCTGGTCGCACGAGGGGGCGGCTTCTCCGGCGGCCCATCTTCCGTGCACAAGGGGGCAGGAGGAGAGCGGGCATTGAATGGCATGAGTTGTACATGAGCAATGGCGGACAACATAAAGTCGGGCATGCATGTTGTTTTCTTTAGGGGCGTGTCACATAGGTACGCCCACCGTGTGCGACGCAGGCCGACTGCGTGCTTGGATTCGCAAGTCTAGTCCTTCCTCGTGGCGTGACAGGCGTCCCTCCCCGGGAGGCGACATCAGCGCAGCGTGGTGTTACTTGTTGGGCCTGATTTATGTGTTGCCTATCCAGCCCTCACTGGTGTAAATGCCGTGTCAGTCGACCGCGGCTCAGCGGATAGGCACATATTCCATCCAGTTGACCGCATGTCTGCCTCTCCACAGATGACTTTCTGACATCTCAGCTCACATGGGTGACACATAGGGCTCAGATGTTCGTTCGTCTGATTTCTTCGAGGCGGTGCGTGAAACTCGGTATTCGTCCAGTAGGAGGGTGCATCGAGCGGTGATTCCCACTATGGAATTACCCTCAGCTGCTCGAAAAAAAAAAAAAAAAAATCGAAAAAATCAGGCGATCGAGAAGGCAACATCTCGGCGAGCTCGTTACGAGGGGAACTGTCTCACAGTGGAACGGTCGAGGCGGACTCCAGTCCAATGGCGAGCACGTCCGGACGAGCGGTCGCACTCCATGACTCTTCTTGTTGATGTTGCGATCAACGCTTGCGGTCCAATAGATGTTGCGTCGCTCGGGTTTGGTCCCTGATTCACATGAGCTGTGTAAGGCAACCCACCAGGCACTCACTCGTTGTGTTAGGCTGACACTCAGGGGTAACGTCACCTTTGCGAGCCCAGGTGTGCTACCCTGAAGACATGTGTGAGAAGCTATCGAGGAGGATGGGCCATAGTTACCGCGCGATGTATACCTCGCTCACCTGTACGTTGATACACAGGCAAGTCGATGGGAAGTTTGTCTCTGGTGGCCCAACCCTCCTTGGCTGTCAAACAACGCTTCATCGGATTTTGGGTGATTGGAATGGGTGGCTCATGCTGGACTATTTGATTTGAAAGCAAGGGCAAGCACTGCGACACCAGAGGATCAGAAATGCGTACTCGAGAGTTGCTAGGATGAGTGGGTTCCGCAGGCAGGACGCTAGCCCTTGAGCCCTGTCATGAAGTCCCAGTTTCCTTGCAGAGGCAGCGGAATTAACAATATCGCACGAATATCCTTGAGAGAGGATTCGGCATACCAAATGTTCTCGAAGCAGCTCTGGGCTGGACGAATTGTAGGGTCGAGATGAGCATGTAGATACTTTGCTTCCTATTGCCGCAAGAGAGCCTCTTGTGGAGACAAGCATATTCGGTGCTCATGATGAGAACGCTTTGCCTGACATGGTTGTGCTGTCCTCTCGTTTTCCAAACCGGAAGCCATGTCCCAGACGAAGCAGCCTTTGTGCCTTACTGGAAGGCGCCGAGTCAATTGACCTCTAAGAATACCGGCATGGGGTGTAGTACAGCTCGCCAAATAAAACCTCGGTGGGCATGGCAGCTAATACGAGGGAGAAGCTCGTGAGGAGCCATGAGTATAGACGCCAATTAGTAGTACGGAGTCCGTCGGATGGTGGCAGATGAGGTGCAAGAAACCAAGAGGCTTGCCAGTTTCTAGGACTGTAGGCTGCTGCGGGCACGTTTAAAGCATCTGCCGTTCCGTCAAGAACAGTAATAGCTCGCCACCACAGATCACAGTTCTTTCATGACCTCGCCCACGGCTCTGGCAGCCATCCTCTTCCTCTGGTCCTCTGGCAGACCAGCACTCATGTCCTTGACAGCCTGCAGCTTCCGCATCATCTGCTCTACCTTCTGAATGTCTTCGTCTCCCAGCTCGTCGCCACCATCATCGATTTTTTTGGCCTGAGCTGATGCTTGGTCGAGGTCGCTCGGCTTACCGCCTATTGCCTGGTTGTCTCCATCGTCACCTTCGCGCTCTGCGCGGGCCTCCCAGATTGCCTTCTTCAGACCCTCAAAGTCTTCCCTGTCGAAACCGAAATCCAGGTTCTCCGGGTCCAGGTCAGTTCCATCCTCATCGTCTACGCCTCGACTCGTCCCGTCTCCCAGTGCCGCTAAGTCGTCGTCTTCATCTGCTGTCGCAAGCGAATCCCAGTCATTTGATTCCAGAGCCTCGAGGACACGAGGAATGCCCATTTTCTCTGTGAATCTGTGAGCAAGAAGATTCTGCGTGAAAACCCTGAGTCGATGTGGGACAGATTGGAAGAAAAGTCCTTACCACCAAACTCGTTCTTTGTATCATCCGGAGTGGCGGATGAGCCAACGTGCACAAACTCAAGCCCGGCGTCCCCGCAGAGCTCGTCCCACACGTCCAAGTCGTCGAGGTGTGGCACTTCACCGATGCCGACGCCAAGCCCCACGCCGTCCCATTCCCATCCGCCGAGTCCCTCCTTGACGACCCTCCCGACCTCCCTGATCAGGTCCTTGTTTTGAGAGGACGACGTGGATGCTGAGACGTGAAACACAACGACCACTCCGCCCAGCACTTCAAGGACCTCCTTGGCCTCGGGGGAAAGGAAAGAGCCGGCCCACTCGGATGCGGTGGTGATGAGGTCCAGCCATATGGGAACTGTGGCTGTGTAGTAGGCCGTCTGCAGGCTGAGGTCGTGGGTCGTGCCTGCAAGTGACGATGTTGGTGAGGCGGGCTCTGGACTGACGCCGGTGAGGCCTGGAATGCAGTGGCAGTCAACATGCTGCTTCCCATGTAAAACCACCATTCAAGAGTGGAGCGGTGATATTGGGCGGCTCATTTCGTAGTCCCACCTTTGATGACGCGACTGAGGTGCTCCGTTGAGTCTTCCAACGACACCGCCAATATCCTGCGTGGGTGTGAGATGACCTGCGGTTTGACCATGGCGAGGGAGTGGCAGCTTGGAAGAAATGTGCTGGACGGATGATCTCTCAACCCTCTCTTCTTCTGGGCCCGGGAAGGACGTGATTTCCTGAGCAGAGGGTATGAGGAGTGGGATTTTGGAAGAAGCTTGATGTCTGTTTCTGTTGTTGTGCCTCGCTGGTCGATGCGGCCTCAGAAGTGCATCGACGTCCCGGGGCTGAAGTGTGTCCGGAGATCTACAGCGCATTGCAGGTGGCGCCCGCTTATGTAATTCCAGGCCCATGGATGCCACTGCCCGCCGCCCCTTGTGCTGCTGTAAGCAACCTACAGCACAGATGTTAACGCTAACTTTGTTGCAACCACCCAGACTGTCGAACTAGGTGAACTACACCAACTCAGACTTAACCAGCCATCGTTCATCGTGACGGCCCTTTGGAGAATTACCCCCCCCCCCTCCCCAACGCGGGAGACATGTAGCGACAGCAACGCGACTCACGCCCATGTCAACACGAGTCAGTCCTATCCCGGTGTTTCCGGGCGTCGGACCGGCCCGGACGCAGCTCCGGACCCGGAGTGCTGCACCAAGTATTACCGAACTCCGTGTAGGCCGGACGGAGGAGGGACCGGGTCGGGGAAACGACTGGACACATACGTCAAGGAAGAGAACAGGATCCTTTGCCCACACAGAGTCTGTCGGCTTGAATCTTGCTCTTAGGCCGAGGTCCTCAGGCCACGACCCGACCTCGAATCGGAGAGGCTGGACGGTCAGCGGCAAAGCTGGCCTCGACCGTTCGCGAGGACATCTTCCCCGCCCACAGCGAGCCACTGCTTACGACATCTCCATTTCCCCCCCCGCCCCCCTCGTTCCCCCAGAAATGCCCGGGTGACTGAGACTTCATGTTGTGAGGCTATGCACGCGCCGCACTGGGAGCCAAGGCTGGTAACTTCAACGAGACCACTCGCAAAGTCCCGAGGGTCAGCTTGGCTGCAGTCGCTACCAGTAACCAGCATATGCTTGACCCAGAGCCGAGCCAGTGGAACCAGGCACATCGTTGATCACACTACTGCTAACGTGGTCTGGGCCAAACAAGGCATGCGGCAGTGCATGAGCAGCAGCAGTTCATCCATCAAGGTGCCAAGGAACCCGCCGCCACAGAGAAAGGCTTCCAACACTTGAGGGACCACCCCGGAATCAGGCACTTTTAAGAGACGGCACATGCCGGGCAAGCACCAGATGTTGGACCCCCGAGGCGAGAACAGGTGGTCAGACTAGCCAACCAACCTGCAACACCCGAAGGAGGAGGAAGGTTCTACTGCAGACACCGCACTGTACCCACCAATATATTGGTCCCCATCCCGACGACAGAACGGGGCCCCACGCAGTCAATGACTGCTGAGACACGCACACTCTGTCCGAAGCGAAAGTGACGCGTCCGGGCCTCTCGGGAGGACGGGCAAGATGTGAGGGGCCCCACACCTCCGACCCGCGGTCTAGAAGGTACCAGTTACATGGATGATGGGCTGGCTTAACACTACTAGTATCTGTGCCCTCCATCAGGTTAATGTGAAAAAAAAACAATTAATCGGGCCCGCAAACCACGGGTCCCGCTCTTCACGTCGCCCGGGATGCACTGGGTACTTCAGAGCACCTGCTTGCGTCGTCTCCACACCTTCTTTCCCCCCGAAACAACTCCATCCTCCGCACGGGTGGGCGAGACCGCGGAGCATGGGGAGCACGTTTCGTCTTTGAGTGAGGCGCGCCGGTATGGGGTGTTCTACACACGCAACGTGAGGCCGGACGCGCGTTCCGGGAGGGGGAGAGTTGTCGCCAAGATGGAAAGGACTTGGACGCCAAGGTCAGTCCTTGCAGGCTGGCTTTCGCATTCGCGAACTTTGTATGGGATCTGGCTGTGGTCTAGTTCGATTTTGACTGGACGAGGTTGAACTGGTAGTGCTTGACCACAAGCACGATGTCACACGGCATCACGTCACGGCACCCGCAAGCCCTCGTCGTCAAGCACCAGGCGCTGGCGATGTCAGACACAGCCGTGTGTGGTAGAATTGTTTCGATCAGACCGTGAAACCTCAGTCAATCCCCCATAGTTCCCCTATCTACCCTGGAAGGACTCATCCAGCAGCACAAACGCATATTAAGACTGAACGCCAGGCTAAATGCATAGTAGTTAAATAGCCAATATAGACATCCTGCGGAAGACAAAAGCCCCGACGCGACCTTTCTGCCCGTCGTGGTAACTGCCATCGTATTCCCTAACAAGTACAATTAGTCCACCTCGTCCTCGTCATTTCGCTGTTTATACTTCGCGTTGGCATTGGCGAGGGAGTTGTTGGACGCCTTTCGCAGCAGCCCGCTCACACCGCTGCCAACACCCATATTACGCCCTCCGCCGGTGCTGAACGGGTTGTTGGGACTGCTCGGTTTTGGGTTCAGGGGCCCAGAGCCCTTCCTGTCTGCCTTCTGCCCCTGCCCCTGCTGCTGGGCCTCTTCCTCGGTGTCGTCGAGCTCGTCGCTGCTCGTGTCGAATAGGCTGTCGTTGTCTCCGTAGACATCGTCCGGCTTCCTTCGCTTGACCGCGTCCCTCTTCCCTGCCGGGCTCAGTCTGTTCATGTTCACACCAGGTTGGTCCGCATACAAGTTCGGGTCCCTACCCAGGACTTTGTCGGCCTTGCTTGGTGTCTTGCGCGGCGGGCTCGGCCTCTCGTTCCCATAGTGCCGGCCGGCGCCCTCCCAGTGGAGGGTTCCACGACGGCGGCGTTAGCTCCGACTCCACGTCGCCGCCGTCATCGGGCACGCCCCAGCCAGCAGCGCGTTCCCTAGCACGCTGCTCATTGCGCTCTCGCTCGATGCGTTGGGTGGCCTCGAGCCACTTGGGCGATGGCTCCCACGTCCAACCGTCGCCGGTGGTGTTGAGAATCGGTATGCTCCACAGCCAGGGGTTGTGCCCGAAGAGGTGCAGCAGGTTCCGCCTCCAGCCCAGGTCGAAAGCGTTGGGTAGCTTGCTGCTGTCCTGTTCTTCGAGGTACTCCTCGTATCTCTTGCGCGCGCGTTGGCGCTCCATCTCGTCGTAGGACATGTGTCTCGGCATGCCGCTGATCAGCGTCGTGTTCTCCTGGTCCCTCTGGACCCTCTGGCTCGGCGCCAGCGTTCGGAGTTCCTCGCCCTCCTCGGGCCGGCTGACTCCCGGCAATATGTTCTGGTGCGCATCCAGCAACTGCTGTCCGTAACGGGGCATCGGGACCCCTCGCCCGTCGGTGTGCTGTGCTTGGTAGGCATTCTGCAACGTCTTTCGCAGCGGCGAGAGGTACCTCGTCTTTTCGAGACACTCGATGGTGGTCTGCCCGCGAGCCGCCAACATTATGTGCCACGCTGTGAACGCGCCGACGACCAGTGATATGATTCCAGCAATGACACACAACACGATGTAGTTAACCGGCATGAGTGATTCGACGTACGTCACGTCATTGACAATCTCGTCCCAGGTCCAAGACCCCGCCACCAAGAAGCTGTACATGCTAAACAGGGTTGTATATATGAGGAACAGCAGGAACGCCTTGTGGTTGCGCAGTCCGATGCAGGTGGCGAGCCACGGGCAATGGTGGTCCATCTTGAGGACGCACCGCCTGCACGTCGAGCAGTGGTGCGCGCGGTCGGGCTTGCGGGCCTGGCATTTCTTGCAGAAGCGTATCTCCCCGTTGGACTTGACGGTGAAGGTGGTCGGGCTGGTGGTCGCACGCGGCTCGTGGGTGGGCAGGGTGCTGTACCCGCTGCCGTTGGTCGTGCTGCCGGGAGCGGTGAACACGGCGGTTGTGTAGGACCAGTTCAGGAGAGCGTAGAGGATGACGGCAAATAGCGATGACCATGTGCCTGTGGAGGAACGCGGCGAGAGCGCATTGTCAGCGAGCCGGGTCTCTCGGTACGGAGCCTAGAGCGGGCTTTCGGGCTCGGGACTGTGGGTGATCGTACCTATCCAACTTGATTTCTGGGCGTTGTACCCTATGTTACAGTCGACAAAAACGGCCCATGTTGTGATGCCGTAGACGAAGGCGAGTGGGAAATATGTGGCGCATCGGCAGCAACACCTCTCGATCCTCCTCGCCCAACGAGCCATGACAGAAGAAGCGTCTAAAGAGCGGCGCCCATCCATCGATGTGTCAAGAGTCCTAGGCTAATGACGCGAAGATTGAAACCATTTCAAATTGTAGAGTAGCAGAAGGGCATATCAGATGCAGGTGCAGCAAGGAGAAGAAGAAGAAGTGGTATAAGGAGCGACAGAGTCGTCAGGAGTGGTCACTGCACGGTTCGGCGCTGACGGCATGTCGTTGTTGTTGCTCCCAGGTGAGGCTGAGTGCAGATCGCCCCCAAGGGTGCGTGCAGCAGCGAATCAAAACCCCTGGTTTGAAACGGCTGCAGGGGCCGAGAGCATCAGTCAGCGGCTCCAACTGGTCACACCCCCTGTACGAGTCTACTATTGTGCTGTCGAGTACTACACGGCTTTATGAGTCCTCACCGTGTATGCGTCCTCACTTGCCTGGGTAGGATCATAGTTTGGGATTCCAACCCGCAACAGGTCTATCATACGACCTGCAATCGTCCTACAGCGACTACGTACAAGCATCTGTCCAACGATACTACCAAGGTAGGCAGATAGTGCGGACGGATGTTCCTGTCATACCCGAAGCAATTCTGCTCAATGCCCTTAGCAGCACCTGTACTCTATCAACCCTTCCTTCTTTCCCGTCGTTTCCGGGGTGCGAGGGAGCAGCGACTCAGTCTCAATGGGCTGCGAAGCAAGTCCCTGTGAAACAGTCTTCGCAGAATCTAAGACCAACTCGCTGCAGAACGTATTGATTTTGGTGGATGAAAAAAGCTCAGCCTCATGACCACCGACTGCCAGAACCGCCTCCACCCTTGGGCTCTGGCCACCGACTGAACTCAGATGGCTTAATCCGGCATTCCTTGTCCTGTTCGCGGAACACTGGTCCTTGATTCCATGTATCCCAGCCGAAGGCGGCAAGCTGCTGCCAGACGTAACCACCTTTCGGCTGCTGAGGCACCGCTGGTTGCCCCTGGATCTCAGGCCGTTGCTGCTTCTGCTGCTGCTGATTCTGCTGTGGTCGCTGCGGTGTTTGATGTTGCGGCGGTTGATGACGCTGCTGCTGATGCTGCCGATTCATGCCAGAACGCTGGCTCCAAGGGTTAGCACGTTTCTCTTGCAGCTGAAGCCGCGAGAGCGCATCTGCGGTGAGGGACGTCTCCGGACCAGAACCACCACGACCGCTGTCATGCTGCCGTCCGGGTGGCGTGAACCGCGGACCCTGTTTTCCGATCTGTTGCTGATGGTTGCTCAGGGCTGCTTCCGTGAGCCCCGGTCGACCAGTGGGGACTGACTTGCCTCCGCCGCTGAATCCATGCATCTGCATGTGACCAAAGGTTGGGCCTGAGGTCTTCTGCGGGCCATACAGCTCTTTGAACTCCCCCTGAAACTCAAATTTCTGAGTGTGGTCATCGAAAATGTCCCCGACCTCGATCATGCCCAATGTAAGCTGATCGAGGAATATTCTATACATGTCCTTCTCGGCAAACTCGCGATTTATCTTGCACTTCCTGCTTGGGGACTCGACGTGGGCAGCAAGAGAGAAAAGACTATCGAAGCGGTCTAGACAGGAAGGGCAAGTGAACTTTCTGCCGCTGTGGTTGGCTGTCCTGAGATGCTGTACGAGCGCGGCCTTGTTGTTGAAAGTTTTCCTACAATGGCGAAGTCCCAGGTTAGCAAGCTTGATGCTTTCGTGTAGACGTGTTGTCCAAAGACCGATTCAGGAATGTGACTGTGGCACGGTTTCCCCAGAGTGTTGTGCTCTTGGGACATGGGGCAGGTGACACGTGTTGAGCTAGGGAAAGGGAAGATGGTAGTCATTCTTACTTGCATGTTGCCTTGTGAGGGCACTTGTACTTTTGCAAGATATCATGCCAGCATTGCTGTGGATCGAAGTAGGGGCTATTCGGGTCGAAGCTGTCCCTCTTCTCGCCACTGGCACGCGCAAGTGCAGCTTGCTGGTTGGAATTCAGGTCCTGTAACTGCTCGGCAGTTGGCCTCTGGGCTGGGCGTGAGCCCGGAAACAGGTTCTTGTCCCGGGCCCAGCTGTTCTCCTCACACTTGCCCTCCAATGGGTTGTTTTGATCCCCAGTCAGGATATCCGGAGCATTAGTGTTTCCACGCAGATACTCGTGATGGGCCATCCTGGGGAAAGCCTCGTCTTTCGAAGGGATAGGCTCTGATGAAGCCCATGCGTTCGGATCGACAACCTCCCACTCCGACAGCAGATTGTGGCTTTCCTGCCACGAAGCTTCTGGGTCTGCATCGTGTCCAAGATACAAGGAAAAGTCCTTTTGTTTTATTCTGGGGAGCTCTTGCTTGCTCTCGAGATCAAGTTTCGCCAGACCTTTGGCGAAGGTAAACTTTGCCGCAAACCGAGCCTGAAGGGTCTCAATATCAAGCTTGCTGCACCGGCCAAGTTCCACATGCTCGATAAAGGATGACAGCGACTCGAACTTCACGGTGCAGCCTGGGCAAGGAAAGTTTTGCTTGTGACGGTGCGCCTGGAGACCGAGTTAGAGTCGTCGCCGCTGGGCACATCCCATGTAGAGCATTTGCATCCTCTCTTACCAGTCGCATGTGCTCGATAACCCCGCCTAGGGTGTGAAAGTCCCGGTTGCAGATTTCGCACCAGAGGTGCACCGAATCTTTTCCTGGATCTTTATTCTCATCTTGGATCTTCTTCGACTTGTGAGCGCGCAGGGCGTCTGTGGAAGGGAAAGTAGTGCAGCAGTAGCCACAGGTCGTAGGCCCGACCCTCTTCAACTTGGGGGGCCCTTCCTGCCATTCCTGACTGCTGTTCATTTTGAGACGCTGTGATGTCGATGAATGGTCTTTGTGAGCAGATGTGTTGAGGGGGAAAAGGATGTGCTGCTGCTGTTGTTTTTGTTATGGGTGGGAGAGGCTTTTCAGGCGCAGAACCGCCAGTTGGTGATTGAAAAGACTCCCAAAGCTTGGCTGAGCAAGCCAAAGGTGGAAGGTGCATGAAATGAGAACAGACACGTTTTGAAATCTGGCAACCCGAATGCATGGGATTGTAAATTGAAGTCAAGCACACACGTGTGTGCTGGGGAGACAAGAGTGGGTGCGAGCTTTGAGAGCTGAAATGGTGGGAGAGGGACAGTTCAGAATTTGGGAGATGTTGATGCCCAAGTCAACCAAATGTTTAGCAGGGAAGGAGCGCGAAGTGAGCAGCATGTATCTTGCCTACGAAGGTACCACTGGCGACCTACTGCGACGAGGACGACTGGTATTTATGAGAAACGGTCTGAAGCTCGCAACGAGACTCTTACCAGGAGCGAACGCACACTTGGACTTTTGTCAGTGAAAATCCGGCTGCAGCTGCAGTGGTCAGATAAGAATTGTGCACACTGTCCAAGGGCACGCAGAAGCCCAAGCAAGTGCTGCGAAGTGTTGTTATCAAAGCACGCCTACATTTGTACCTGTTTCAACTCATCTGGATGCACTTGGGTAGCTCTGCTTTCGACTAGACACACGAGCCTGCCAGACAAAAGTGCTCAGCCAAATCTTCCACACAAGAGCCGAGAGTATACGGTGGTTTACCAGGCCTGTCTCTTGGAAAACGCCCTCGTAGTCACTGAGAGCTCATGTAGAATCGAAGCAGCAACTGAGGTTTGCGGTGCTATACTCAGGATGCCACACAGTCCTCGTCAAACATCAATACGCCATCACAGACAAGCACCATGGGCTGATCCCGAGTCTGACAGTTTGGTATGTCCAGACAGTGATGGGAAAACGAGCAAAGCTTGGGCAAGTTCGACATCACCGGCTTGATATCAAGATCAACCACCGTCTGGCCATCTTTGTTGACAGAGCCAGCCATTCAAGAATTAAAAGCATAACTCGATGCCTGCACTGGTCTGACTGGACTGAGTGAAGTCTACATGGGAATTTTATCAGGCTCCAGAATAAATAAAACGGCCCGCCTTATTAAGAACCTCAGTTGCTTCCGGTAGGACATTCAGAGGGTGAAGTTCGTTGTGGGAACGTCGACCGCCCAGTTGGGTGAACCTAGGCTCTAGGCGCAGCAACAGGAGCTCATCCAGCGGCAAGTGGGGCGGGCTCCGCAGCGTCATCAGCCGCCCGCGTGTAGACCAGGTGTGTACAAGCAGTGTACCTAACAGCCACCTGCAGTGACCACCCGTCTACGGCGTCTCATCTTGGTCCGATTAACAACAAGACACATTGCAACCTGACAGTACCACTACCATCTTTTACTTTGTCCCGCTAGATCTCGCTAACCTACTTAGTTCTATTACCGTTCGAGATGTTCGTTTCCGACTGATGTCAAGCCACATTTCTTTTCCTGTGATACCCATCCCGATCACCTTCCTCCTTATCAGCAACACTCGAGACGTGCATCTTGCCACTCATTCCTTTGACCATGGCGACGAAATTTAATTCTAAATCGCCCACCATGAAGCGCATAAGTGAGTAATGCAGCCTCGCAGGGCCACCATGCACCCGCCCGGCCACTGAGACATCTACTGACAAGGACACCCACTCTGCAGTGCGCGAGGCTCAAGAGATGTCCAAGTCGCCCTCCCCGGACTACTCGGCTGCACCACTAGAAACCGACCTCTTCGAATGGCACTTCACCCTCCGCGGCCCACCCGGGTCCTCCTACGCCGACGGCCTCTATCACGGCCGCATAGTCCTCCCCCCGACCTACCCGCTCCGCCCGCCGTCCTTCCGCTTCCTGACGCCCTCGGGGCGCTTCGAGGCCAACCGCGAGATCTGCCTCTCGATATCGGGCCACCACGAGGAGACGTGGCAGCCGGCGTGGGGCGTGAGGACGGCCCTGGTGGCGCTGCGGAGCTTCATGGAGACGGACTCCAAGGGCCAGCTTGGCGGCCTGGACACCACCGACGCTGTGCGCAGGAGGCTGGCCACCGAGAGCAGGGGCTGGAGGTGTAATGCCTGCGGGGGGCGGACGAACGAGGAGATCATCAAGGAGTGCGAGGACGCCGCGAAGGCCGCCGAGGCGGAGGCAGGCGAGGGGAGCAGCAAGGCCAACGAGGTCGAGGTGCCGCCCGAGCTGAGCATGGGCTTCAAGGACGAGATGGAGAAGAACGCCGCGGCGGCCGCCGCCGCGGGGGGATCCGCTGGGGGAAGCATCGAGGCGACGGCGCAGGCCATGGAGGACGCCGAGACCGCGGAGCTGGCAGAGGGTTTCGTGCAGACGGTGCCGCGGGCAGATCTCGGCCCGGGCGGAGCCTCGTCAACAGCCGCTGGGCTGGCGCAGCCGGGCCAGTCGGTTCCCCAGCCCACGAGGACGGTCCCGCTGCCGAATGCGGCGCACAACACTGCCGTGCCGCTGCAACAGGCACAACTGCTGCAGCAACAACACACGCTCAACGACAGGGGCGTGCCTAAGTGGATAGATAGGGTCATCGCCGCGCTCGTCGTCTGTCTGGTGGGCATGATATTAAAGGTCATCGTCGGCCGGTAGCAGTTTGGCATTTGCGCTTGGCGTTGGGAGGCTGCGGAGCAAGGCGTTCTGATGTGGTTACATTCCCCTTTGGATTGACGGCAGGCTGGCACATAGATGCTCAAAAAGAGCCATGGACCGGTGCGAGGGCTGCTCTGGCTAGAGTACTCAATGTAGAAAGTTAGCGAACATTATTGTTCTCACTGGGCATCTTCTTGAACATGGCTATTCGTTTTCTCAATCCAAGAGGACAGACGTCGGAGGCATCGCCGCAGAATTATTACGGAGTCCGCCTTGATAGCTTTGTGTAGGTTTTTGTGCACGCAGGAAGTAAACGGATGAGTCCAGACGCCACGACTCTGATTGTTGCCCATATGGCGCCCTATCTACGTGGTAGTGCCCTAATCTTGAGGGCCCGCGCCGACCTCGAGCTCAACCAAGCCATGTCCGAATGATGACTAAATGTCCGCCTTGCCAGGCAGTTCACATTGATAAAAGCGCTTGGTTCCAAGTAACTTTCCAAAGCAGACGACACCGGTATGTGATGCTTCAATATGCTATAACCTCATTTACACAGCCGTCTTGTGCGGCGGCTTGCACGGAGCCTTGTGGTTCTCCATGGTGTAGCGAAAACATTGAATGCTTTTCCCAACCCGGACCGCTGAGCCTTTCCCCCTTTTCGGTGCAACCTTAGGTTGTTAAATACACGTGAGCCCATTCTCCAAAACCGTCCCCATTGGGTCACAAATGCAAGCATCGTCAGACGACTTGCATAACTTGAGGCTAGTTTCTTTAGCCCATAATCATGCCCTTCATGCTAGACATGTCGCCCTCCTTAGCCGCGATTTCGAAGTAGCTGTAGATGATACTTTTGTGGTTGTTAGCGGGTGGATCCACTGGCGGGAAAGGGATTCAATGACTTACGTGACAGCAAGGAGGGTTCCAGTTCCGGACCCAAGTGCGCCCATCAAATCGCTAGCAACGGAAAGAGCTCCGATGCAAGCGCCACCGAAGGCAGCGGCAGTGGGAATAATGCGCTTGAGCTCCTTGTACATGCTCTGGTCACGGTGGCCAGCCATGACCAGACCCTGGTCCTTGAGCTGCTTGGCAACGTCGCGGGGGCTGGAGCCAGAAACCTCGATCCAGGTCTTGGAGAAGATAGCACAGGCAGTGAGCATGTAGGCGATGTAGACGAGCGTGTGGATCGGGTCGATCAGAGCATCCTTCATGTTCAATGGTGGTGACATGTAGTACACGAGACCAGAGACAGGGGACAGCTGGCCAGAACCCTCCTTGGCCTCCCACACACCGAACAGACGGACCAGGAGGTTCTCGCCGAAGCGGGTGGCCAGCATCTGGGAGATGAGGAAGACGTTGGAGGATAGAGCCGACTGCAGCATGATGGGCATGTTGGAGGTGTAGAACAGGCGCACGGGGTAGGATCCACGAGCACCGCGCTGACGGGAGGACTTGACGGGGATCTCGACGCGGAAACCCTGGAGGTAGATGACAGCGGCGAAGACGACAAGGGTGGCCAGCAGGTTCATGATGTTGGGCAGGTTCTGCCTGTAGAAGGCCTCCTGCAGGGCGCGCTGCTTGTTGGGCCACGTCATGAGCAGGTGGAAGAGAGCGATGACGGCACCCTCGTACTCGGGGCCACGGCCAGTGTTGATGCTGGTCGGGGAGAAGGCCTTCCACATGATGGACTCGCAAATGTTGGTGGCGATGAAGAGAGAGATACCGCTGCCGAGGCCGTAACCCTTCTGCAGAAGCTCATCGAGGAGGATGACGATCATACCAGCGATGAAGAGCTGGAGGATCAGCAGGACGACGATACCGGCGCCAAGATCGGAGGGAGGGCCGTAGAGGCCAGTGAAGACGTAGACGGTGGCGGTACCAGCAGACAGAATGAAAGCGAACAGCTTCTGGGCGGTCTGGTAGAGCTCGCGGTCCGACTTGAGGTCGAGGTTGACGTCGATCAGGTGGGTGCCGGCCAGGAGCTGGAAAACCATGCCGGATGAGACAATCGGGGTGATACCGAGTTCCATCAGAGTTCCTCGATTACTCGCCATCATCATACGCAGCCAATATAGCGGGTCGGAGGTGTCTGAGGAGACGATGCCGTACAGGGGCATCTGGCTCATGACCAAGAAGATCAAGAGGGTGAGACCTGTCCACATCAACTTTTGGTTGAAGGGAACCTTGGTCTCGGGCTGCTGAACCTCTGGGAGGAACGGCACGAAAGGCTTGACCAGGTCGAGGAATCGTACTGCAGGGCCATTGCGCACACGTTAGCAGCTTGCCCAGACGCAATTGGCCACACGGCGCCATCACTGAGGCACGCCTGGTGCGCGAACGTGAACGCGAAGCTCGAGAGGTCGGGATCGCGACTGCACGAGGGCAAGAGGGCGACGGATGATCGACTTACGGCTACTCATGATGGGCGATTTTTGGCGGGAGTGAACTCGATTAGAGATTCATCCAAGAAAGGGGAAAGGGAAAAGAAGGCGAGCGGCAACGGCTCGGTTGAAGAACGAAATGTGGACAGAGGGTTGGAAAGGAGAGGAAGTTGATCGAAGGGGTCCTGAGCCGCGAAATAGTAGACAGATAGATCGCAGGTTGGGTTGAGCTAGCTAGGCTGGCTGTAATCTGGCTTCAACTCGGGCCAGGTCTGCCGGCTGGTGCCCTGGTGCGCTGGTGCGCTCAAGTCAGGCAGTCAGTGCAGGGAGCTTTGGTCCCAAATTGTTGATGTGTCCAGAACGGCAACCACTCAGAGCCAGGGGAGCCCCCCTGGCCACCAATTGATCGAAGCTCGGTGGAACGCCCGCCTCCACAACTCCTGCGACCCCACGTGACTCTGTCTAGCCGGCCGGCCGATTTGAGTTGGGTTGAACGACCCTGACCTTTGCGACTGCAATATTCGGAGCCGAGGCGGCCAGATCTTCAAGGCTTGGTTGGACCCTGAGAAACAAATGTGATGTCGCTGACACTGAACCCTCTCTCATGTGGTAGCTCATCGTTGACTCACCTGTTCGGATGATTTTCACAACCGTTTCCGGAATCATATGCTCAACACTCGTCTGATCTCACGGCTAGTCTCTAGGCATGTGCAATGCCATTCCACAATGTCGGCTCGCCAACCGCCCACGGCCCCATTGTTGGTCATCCTAGGCTCGACAGGTACAGGAAAGTCTGAGGTGAGGTATGACCACCATGGCGCATGCCACCACTGGGACTAATCTATCCTCGCAGCTTGCTGTAGATCTGGCAGTACGGTTCAACGGCGAGATCATAAATGCAGATGCTATGCAAATGTACAGGGGTCTGCCCATCATCACCAATAAGATTTCACTAGAAGAGCAACGGTCTATACCTCATCACCTTCTGGGCAACATCAGTCTGGACCACGAGACTTGGGTCGTGGGAGTCTTCAAGCGGGAAGCCAGTCGGACTATCCAGGAAATTCGCAGCAGGGGCCGGGTCCCTATTGTTGTCGGAGGTACGCATTACTACACCAATGCTCTTCTATTCAGAGACGGCCTGGTGGAGAAAAGAGATGGCTCCGCCGAAGAAACCCTGGTCCAAGACAACTCAGTCCAACATCCGATCTTGAATGGCACCACGGAAGCCATGTGGGAAAAGCTCAAAGAAGTCGATCCTGTCATGGCTGACAGGTGGCATCCCAATGATAGACGAAAGATTCGCCGTTCCCTGGAGATATTTCTCACCACAGGAAGGCCAGCATCCGAAATTTACGCTGAACAGCAGAGCCGGAAGAGAACAGACCCTGCGCCGCAACAAGACTTCTCTAAGCCTGACGCTCTGCTCTTGTGGGTGCACTCTGAGTCTCAAGTGCTGAAGGACCGGTTAGACAGGCGAGTCGACAAAATGCTAGACAATGGTCTCATGGATGAGATCACCGAAGTCAACGACTACCTACGGTCAAAAGTAGAATCTGGAGAGCAAATTGATCTCAGCAGGGGCATATGGCAGTCGATCGGCTTCAAAGAATTCCAGCCCTACCTCCAAGCCGTGGAGCGAGGCGCCAACGTCAAGGAACTCGAGAAACTGAAGCTCGAGTGTGTTGAAGTTATGAAGACCGCGACCAAGAGATATGCCAAGTACCAGACCAAGTGGATATCGAAGCAGATGTTACCCTTGCTGGAAGAAGAAGGAGACCAGGACAGGCTCTATGTGCTAGATAGCACAGACGTCACGCGGTACTCCGAGGATGTCCTTGATAAGGCCGCCTCCCTGACGCAACTATTTTTGGCCGGGGACGTGATGCCAGATCCCCCCAGCATATCAGATGCCGCCAACAATGTGTTGAATGCTGCCGTCAAATCTGCCTTGTCCGCGCAAGGCACAACCTGCCGAAAGCATTGCTCAGTTTGCGAAACAACTCTCTTGACAGAGGAAAGCTGGCAGAAACATATCCGAGGCAGAGCACACCGGCGAAAAGTCCGGCATGCAAAACAAACTGCGCTGGTTCCTGCGCAAGATATCGAGACCGCACTCGTGAAAGTTGAAACAAACCCAGTGGACTTGCCCTAACCTTGATGGCTGCAAGGTTGTCCATCCTGATTGTCAAACCAGTGGCCTCATACCTGTCATTTGAGTTCGGGCGTGAGGATCTCTAGACTTCTACGGACAAGTCCAAGTTTCTCGCTTTTGTTATAATACCTTGACCGTAAGCCTTCCTGCGAGACGAAGCGGTTCACCGTGGGCCTCACTCCCTCTGTGGGGGGGGGGGGGGGGGAATAATGCCTCATGGTGTCAAACTTCTCTACAGGCACTGCTAAATTCAAGCTTGACAGGTAGCCAAGCAAGAAATTTGTGATGAAGTCTCCCTTCATGTCTCATATCTTGCTGATATGCGTCGCATAGAAGTGACCGGCAAATCTGATCATGCATGATCCCTTACATCGTCTGCAAGCTTAAGTTTCTCTGAGAGAGTTGCCCACAGTCCAAGCCCTGCAATAATTCAGGGTCCAGTTCTCGTTTAGATCTTGGATTGCTTTCCTGTCCCCGGGGTTGAGGGGGGGGGCGCCTGAGACAAGAGATTTGTGAGTGTGACCAGGCTCCAAGGTGATGTACTAAAGCAAATGCGGAACGATCAGAAGCGGAACGTATCACACGGCTCTCAGTTCCGCGATTTTAGGCATTGAGGAACGTTGCGTGTGGCGCACGTGGGCGATGTCCGCACTTGGCTTCTCGAACGATCTGTGGCGTAGAAACCATGACAAACATAGCTGATCATGTGGAAATCATACACAGCCCATTGCACCTTTAGCTACTAAGAGTTGGTGGGCTCAATAACACCGAGTAGAGATGTCACTTCTGTTTCATCTTACCCCAATAAATTTGCCAGTTGGGGCAGACTCTTGTCTTGCTTCAGCCTACATGTTCATCCTACAATACCACTTCTACACTCTTCTGTTCTGTATGCATTTCGATTAAGAAGAATTGTATGGGACTTCATTTGCTTGGGTATAAAAAAGAACACAATGTTGAAAACAAGCCTACTAGGAACGGCACCACCTCATAACACTCCCTCCTCCTGACCCTAGGCTGCTAAATCATAGTAAATACAACTCCCCGTCCGGAAATTGTACACGAAAGCATGCTTGAGGCCCGCATCGCGGAACTCAAGCAGCATGTCCTGGACTTCACGCACGTACTTCTTCTCGGCGTTGGTGACGTCGAGCCTCCGCCAGGTGTCTGCCTCCGAGAGGCTCGTGCCCCTGATGGCGTTGAGCACGTTGTCGGTCGTCTCTATAGCCGCGATGGGCCCGTCCAGGAAGCCCTGGACGAGCTTGGCTGCGCTGCTCTGTGCCTGCTCGACGACGGTTTGTCTGTTAAACTTCTTAGACTTGGTCTGCGCGGTAAGGACGCGGACTCCTTGCTGGTGGTGGTTGTGGTTGGAGTACGGGAAGGGGCTCGTGTCGCCTAAAGAGTTGTTGCCCTCTGTGTGGGCTATCCCGCCGCGGGGCCGGGAAGATGCGGTGGTCTTCGAGTTGGAGTCGCGCTCGCGGATCTCGCCGCAGCCAGTTCAGCAGCTCCCTTGCCGGTAAGTCCTCATCGGGTACGTTGCGCCAGAATGTCTTGATCTTTAGTATGTCCGCCTTGACGATAATCATCCACGCGGGCTGCTCCTCTGGCCTGTCCGGGATCAGCTCGTCGGGTGAGCGAGCATCATCTGCAAGTTCTGCGCTGATGGTGTTGGTCTGTAGGGTACGCAAGACCTCGAGCGCCGTTGATCGCCTAATTACCGGGTCAAAACTGGCCACGAGAACATCGCAGCGTCTCTCACTGAAGAGGCCATGGGCTTCTTCTTCCGCGGCCCTCTTCAAGAAGGCCTTTCCACCACTCTTTGCGGGTACTTGCGCCAGCTTTTCCCATGGGAGGCTCACTCCAACAGCATGTCGCTCCCCCATCAAGCTACTACCCGCCTTGTGACGATGTTCCTTTATCAGGCTGTCGTATCTTCCTCCGGCAGCCAAGACAACCCTAACCTTCTTGTCGAACACGCAGGAAAACATGAGGCCGCCTCTGAAGAATGCTTCATTGACTGAGTACAGCGGACTGAGATATATCTTGGTTTTCACTCCAAGAACTTTGCAGTATTCGCAGACCTCCTTCAGATGGGCGATCGTAGATGAAGCCTTTTGGTAGAAGTCGGTGGATCCGAAAAGAGTCTTCAGCTTGGAAAATGTCTTCGCAGGGGTATCTCGAAAGTCGAAACGCTGAAGTTCGTCGACACTTGTCGCGGAGACGCCGCATTGAGGTGCACGTAATTCACCTCGAAGTTTCTGCCAGGTCACTCCTTGGACGTTGAGTTTGCTCAGTGTTTGCGCAGCTGCTCGCCTAACAGAGGGCTCGATGCCACAGTATTCGAAGATGAGCTGAAGGAGGTCAGAATGGCCAAGTTGGAATGCCATCTGGCTGGAAGACAGCGTCGGAAAGGCGGCAATAATATCATCAACCACTGATAGAACGCGGGCTTCATTCAAGGACAGGTCTAACGTGTTGGTCGCCACAATATCGAAATCCGCAACGCCTATTTGATTCGGTTGACCGCCGCCGTGTTGTTCCCGGTAAACGCTCCCGAACGAGTAAGAATGCTGGGGGATCGCATTTGTTGACTTAGCAAGCATGCGAGCACGGCCCATTTTGAGATCGAATGGTAGCTGCAGCAGATAGCCGTGGTTATCCAGTAGCCTGACCGCATTGGTATACTGGGACGAGGCAGGGTAGAGGCTCGGTGTGGGCACCTCAACGGCGCCGTGACACTTGAAGATGGAAATCAGTGTCTCCTTCACAACACGCTGACGAAGAAGCTCTGTAGCTGACAGAGTTTGTGCCTGCATGTCCCAAACAAAGTCTTTTGCACGGTCTACTTTTCTGGAGAACAATATCGACAGTATTTTCTCAAAGAATGGAGAGTTAGGATCTGCCACACCAGCACTGTGATAAACTTGTGAGCTTTCTGTGTCTCTAGTAGGCTCCAGCGCGAGAGAGCGCAAAGAGAACAGGAAGACGTCGGGATGGGGTGCGCGGAATCTTACATAGCTCGCCGAATAGTATCACTCTCCATCTCATCCGGAAGCTTATTGCTCTTCAATAGCTCGGTGCTGGAAGGACGCTCTTTTGGATTGTGAGTGAGCAGAGACATGATGATCTCTGCTTGAGCCGCGCCAGGGTCAAAATCAGAGGGCAACACAGGATGTGGCCTGCGAAGATCCTCGAGAACCTGGGCTCTTTGCATGCCAAGCATTGGTGGATAGCACATCTCGAAGAACATGATGCCCAGCGAGTACATCTGTCAGAATGGGACCGTTAGTAAGTCTCGCCAGTGGCTACACGAGGAAGCGTCGTCCAGATAACTGCTCTGCGCGTCCCATCTTTGTATCAAACCATCGAAAACAAACAAGACGGATGACAACGGTGTCACACCTGTACCAAATGGAAAGCAACAAGGAAGACGACGGGAATAGGTAAAGTAGTAGCAGCTCGCAGCACATAAAGTCTCAAGTGCAAGAGGGCCGTTGGGAGTTGACCTTGGTGTGCTGTTCATAAAGATGACAAGTACTCACATCGACCTTAGAGGTGTAGCTGCCACTACCACCTGATTTGACTTCCGGGGCAACATAAACTGATGTGCCGACACTTCTCGTCATGTCCTCTTGATCCATGACGGAGGCGTGTGAATGTGCCTTGTCTGAAGCTATAAGACCCTTGCTGGCCAGTCCAAAGTCCCCTATTTTGACATTGTTGACGCCATCTGGGCCAACGCTGATGAATATATTGTCTGGCTTAAGATCACGGTGGACGATGTTCAAGCTATTGAGCGCACAGAGTCAGCTGTCCCGCAAATACCAACTGGAAAAAGGAACCGCATACCTATGCACGTGGACCAGACCCTGCAGTATCTGACGGAAAAGTCGCCATACCTCCGTCTTGTTCTTGGCTAGATTCCTTGCGATGAGGTCACGAAGCGTCTAGGAATTTGTTAGCTCAGTACGAACGTGATGATAGCAATTTTCCGGAGCACGCCAGCCTCCGAATGTCGTCTCATGAGGGCACTCCAGGTAGATTATCAAAAAAGGTTCCTCCAAAATATTGGCAAGGCAAGCAAGCAACTTACCCGCTTCTCGCAATACTCCATGGAGATATACAATATTGTCCGGTAGGGCCTATGACTTGGTCGACGCATCCGCTTGCGTACGGGCAGGATATGTTGAGGCCCCTTGGTCCCATACGTGTCAGTCCCCGAGTCTTCATCCGATTGGTCTGATTCCTCTTCGTCATCGCTTGAATCATCGTCGTCATTAATGGCATTGTCGTCATCGTCGTCGTCGGCCTCACTGTCGTCGTCACCAAACTCAATGTCCAGTCGCCTGCTTGAAGAAATGAAGTCCAGGCCGCCTTGGCTTGTACCGAATTCGATGTTGAAATCACCTTGTGAGACAGTGTCCCGAGAGAGTTCCGTACCGCCAGCGTCAGTCGAAGCCTCCTCGTCAGTTGCTTCGGATACATCGTACACCTCCTCCAGCCAGGTGTTGAAGTAGCGTACAACAGCAGGGTGACTCAATTGGGAAAGGAGTCGCACCTCTTTCAGCACCTCCGTCAAGCCTCCTTGAGAGCCTGAGGAGATTTTCTTGATGGCGTATATTTGGCCGTCAAGCTTCTTGCGTGCCTTTACGACCTCACCGAAGCCACCTTTGCCTAGGCGGCCCTCTTCAACAAAGTCTTCCTTGTATCTAGATGAAGTAGGACCGCGAGTTGTCGTGGAGTTGTGCCTGGATCTACCGCGAATTGGTGTGATTTGAGGCAGAGAGGAGCCAAGTGTGGTGCTGGAATGACCCCCAGACGTATTCTCGACGAATAGAGGGGCGTCCGTAGCCAAGAACTCACTGGAGCTCAGCTCGAAAGCGCGCGGTCTCTTCTTCGGATCTGACTTGAAGAAGAAAGCAACCAATTCTTCTAATGCATCGGACAGCGACAGCGAGTCCATGAGATCTACCGGCGAGTGATACTTCTGAGCGACATCGAGACCGAGAATCATCTGGAGGAAGACGAGCCCGAGATCCCAAATGTCGGTCTTCTGAGTATACTGCGCTTTGGAGGCAGCCGCAATCTCAGGAGGAAACCAGTAGGCGGACTTGGCATCCCTCATAGAGGTCACTGCTTGGGTCGTTGTGCACAGGTTGTGCAGCTCTCTCTGATAACCGGCATCAGCCAGCTTGGGGATCATGTCGCCCGTTGACTCTGTGACCAACAAGATATTGCCGGGGTGTATATCCTGGTGTACGACTCCTTGGCTGTGGAGCCAGCCCAGAGCGTCGAGAAGATTGACAGTGCAGCTCCGGACCCTGTTAACATCCAGATGACCTGACCACCGCAGCAGCTTTTCGAGCGATCCGTCCTCGGCGAAAGGGCTCAACACGCTGACACTCCAACTCATAGCATTCGCGATGTCGTTAGCAGTGCGGCCGATCTTGTAATCAAGGACCTCGAGGACAGCCTGGTGACGGAGCTTTTTCATCGAGTCCAGCTCCGACTCTAATGCCTGAAGCTGCTTTTTGAACTGCACTTGGTCCTTCCCCGCAGAGTGCACCTGCACCTGCTTCAATGCGAGCCTGGGTCGCTTCTGGCCTGTTGGCAGTACTGGACGTACTTCGTAGACCGTTGTGATGGGCCCAGCGAGGAACTCGGTCTTGGCTGTGACCACACTGAAGACGATTGAGTTGCCTTCAACGTCAGTCAGCTTACAGAGCTGGTCGAAGACGATACGTTCACCCTCGGAATCTCGAGTGTCATCGTTGGGGCTGAAGGCGACATGGCTGGGCGGGTTCTTCCTTCTCGACTCCTTCACCCTTTCATCCTGTCGTTTGAGCTCCTGCTGTACCATTTGGCCCAGATACTTCTCCTCTTCCTTGGTGTCCTGGAGCTTCTTTTGCTCCTCTTTGTGCTTCTGTTCCTGCACAAGCTTAGCCATGGCAGCTTCGTGTGCCGCTCGTTCTTCCTCTAGCGTCGGGAGAGCGCGCCCAGCAATCTTTGCCTGAGCGGCCTCCTCGAGAATTTCTCTGATCCCTTCGACGAGGCTCGAATTCTAGCTAAGTTAGACACGTCCACCTTCTGTTTCATCTTGAAGACCAGCCAAACATCATGACAGACCATGTTCTGAGACGCAAGTTGTACAATTGGTCTACGAAAGGGGTAGAAGACACAATAAATAGTAAAGGCACAAAAAATAGCTGGAAACATACCAAAGGATCAAAAGGTGTGGGACGCTTCGAGGTCGGTCCTTGTGGTCTGAATGCTGGAAAAACCGATGTTGTATGGTCCGTAAAAACTCTGTTAACAGAACTCGCCAGTGTATAGTGTCTAATGTATGACATAGTTAGTCTGAGGGAAGCACACACAGGGAGTCAGTCTCTGTGGATACAACGGTGGTAACCTGACACTCTGTCAGACCCTACCATCACGAAGCTGGTCCGGGCAGTATTCACGATGAATCACGAGCAACCCAGGAAGGACGACGATACCAGTCTGGAGGTACGCCTGCTGAGGCTAGCTCAGGCCAGATCCCCTGCCCAGATCCGTAGGCGGGGTCGTCTCTCCTGTAGGGAATACTAACAACCTTGGACGGCCCAAGTTAATTCAATTCAGCTCATATCGTCCAACATATCAGGAAGACTACAAGAAAGATTACACCTGGGACGCGGACAAATATAACCAATCCTTGGCTTCATAGCAATCAACCTAGAAAATAATGTGCCCATTTACTGCGAGCCCAGAGTGAGTCTTAAATGCTGTCAGCATACAAAGTACACAGTAGGTGGTGCATCAGAGTGGGCAGGTCCACATTGGAGAGCAACAGTCTACAGCTCCGTCCAGGGGAGCACAACCAGCACAAATGTGAATGCACGCGACACACCGGGATCCATGTAAGGGGGAAGAACTCGTTTTGATATAACGCTCCATGTCTCTCTTGCCATCTGATTCCATCTCTTGATGCAAAGTGCTGACGTCCGTGTGTCCATACGTCTGTCTCCATTGGAGCTTCCGCTGCAGCTTAGCGCCGGCCGACCTTGGGACGGCCTTCAGCACGGTACCACCTGGGCACCTGCCAGCAATTGCCCGGCCTACCGCCAAGCACCCAAGTAAACATCCAAGAAACGCGACGCTCCAGCCCTCTGCCCGGATCGCGTTAATCACCTACATTCCAGCCCATTTGAAGAGCTTCATGATTACAATTGACTCTTAGCAACATCACCTAAAATCCGCCCTCAACCGTTGCCACAATGCTCGGCTGGGCCTTGCACAAAGCAACGGGCAACGCGCCCCAGAACGCGCCGACCCCAGGTCCAGGTACTGCTGCTCGCCCATGAACCGCTTCGAGCACATCCACTTACGCGCTTCGCCTACAGATGATACCTTTGTCGAACAACCAAGAAAATCGCCGCCCTGTTTTGCAGCGAGGCATTGCAAACGCTCCCGCTCCAACCCTGCCCCCAGTCGAGGCCATCCTCTGGGGGGAAAGGGAGACGGGCCCCGCCGCAAAGTCACGCCAAGCCCTCCCCGCGAAGACATAATAGTATCCCCACAGACGGGGGTGGGCTGGCTTCTTTATAATTGTTTGTGTGGTGGCAGCAAGCATATACCGAGTAGAAGAGCTGCGAAGGGGCGAGCGAAGCAGCCGAGGGGGGAGCGTGGTTGGGGGTGCACGTTGCATACGTTGGTATGAGCATCCCTTTCTAAACACCGTTGGCGGGGTGGGTGTTCTGCTGTCTTTTTATGTGGTCAACCTCCTCTCGCTCGCCTTTTCCCATCTGCTTTATTTCTATGCTCTCTTCATCTCTTGTGTCATTTAATAGCTTTTTGTCTCCTCTTGTTGCTTTTTCTGTTTTTTTTTTTTTTTTGGAACGCCTCTAGTAGAGTATACGAGACTTTTGTCGTGGTTGTGTGTGTATTGTGGAACTGGGTCCTCTGTGCGTTCGTCAGGTACCTCAATGAAAGGGCTGGGTGGATGGTGGGGGGGGGCGATGGCGTTGTTTGTGGGAGCACACGAAAGTCGGTTAGGAGGTGTGGGGACACGCACCCTCTCTCCCCCCCCACCGCCCCCCGCCGCGCAACCACCACCCCCGCCAATCACAAAACAACCACAACCCCCAACAACCCACACCCCGAAAACCCAACCCACCGCGCAACACAAGCAACTCACCCCTTGTTGGGGAGGAACCACCACACCCCCCAAACAACACAAAAGGGAAAAAGAGAAAAAGAAGAACAGGATATCGAAAACAAGAACAAAAACTCAGCAAGCAAGAAAAAGGCATAAACAATATCACAACAACCACGGGCGAGACCAAGCAAACCCACAAAACCCCACACTCAGGCTCCCAATGCTTGTAATAGACACACACAAAAAGAACAGAACCAAATCAACATCTGGGGCAGGTCATGGAAGACACCGAGAAGTGGGGGGGTGTATTTGGCCGGGGGGGGGTGGAGTCGCTTTGTGGGGCGTGTTCTGAAGGGTGTGTAGAAGAGGGGGAGAAAACAGACGGCGCGGGGGGGAAAGAAAGGAGAAGAGGGCGGAGTGTGAAATGGTGGGGGGGAAATCGGGGCGGGGGCGGGGGTGTGTAACTCTTCTCTAACTAGATTCTTCTGGGTATCTAAATTAAAAAGTACACATCTCACCCCTCAGCAGAAGGGAGAAAACAAGACAAAGACACAACAGTGCCAGAAGGGTATAGTAAATTGCGGTGGATCTGGAGTCGGTCTATTTAGTAGGGGTGGGTCGTATAAATAGGACAACGCAGATTAAGATAGGAGGGGGGAGGGGCTTAGGAGTCGGGCGAGCCCCCCGAAGATGAGAGCGGGACTTTACACGAAACAGGAAGAGAATGTGTGAGTGGGATTTATGGGTGGGTGGGGCGCGAAAAAAAGGACGGCGCGAAACCAAAAAAGGCGACACGCGAGACCCAGGGCGCTAGAGAAACAACCGAGGCAAAAAGGGCAAGCTAAGAGGGGAGACATGAGGCAAGGACCAAGAAAAGCCGTGAGCACAGTCCGAAACACAAAACAACAAAAAACCAACTCGAGATTAATATAACAAAACGACAAGCGCCAGCGCAACCATCACCGGCAAAGACGAGACAAGTGGCCGAGCTGAGTGAACCAAGCATGGCCAAACTGAAAAGACGACAAGGAGGACACGCCAATACAACCAGCCGATTACGAATACCCTCCAGAAATAATAAGATCAAAGCGGCTAAATTATCACAGACCCCAGCAAAGGCCCCTCTCGACTTGCTGTCGACCGACGCCCAATGGCGCATGGGTTCCTGGGAAGAGAAGAGTTCGTGATGGGTCCAACCAGGCGCGAACCACACGGCGCCCGTCGTCGCGGGATAGAGGATGCAGTGTCCCTCAACAATCAACCCACTGGCCCAAAAATCGAGCCTCGGCTTACAACGCGTCACAACGCTTATCAAAAGGCGAGGAAACAAAGGGGAGAGAGAGAGGAAGATTCACTCAGGAGCTCTGCAGATCGAAAGTCCTCCGTAGAGGACATGCCCGACCGATCGCCTGTGTTACCTACGCCTCGGTTATTCAGCCGCTCGTGTAGATGAATAGGCTTCAGGAGCCTGGCGACCGGCTCGATCACCAGCTTTTCCGGGTCCCCAATAAGAAAGTTCGCCATGGGAACAAACCCGCTGTAGTCGCAAATCAGCCGAACGGGCCATCGGGCGATATCTGTACAGGGTGGTCAAAAGCTCCACGGCCGCAAGGGTACAGCTTTCTGCTGAACCACCCCGCCTTGACCAAGGAGACCACAAGTCGCGGGAGCTCTTGGTCGGGACAGACAAGGCCGAAGAACCTCTGAGCGCGACCACTGCCGGAATAATCCTACGCTGATGCATGTTTCCTCCAGACCATCGTCTCTTCCTGCTGATCGACGTGCTTGCGCGATACGCCAGGTTAAAGACAAGGAGTAGCGGAACGACGACGGGGCCGCGACGAGTGCCAGCACTGCCTGTCAAGGAAAACTTGAGGGGAGCGCGAAACTGAGCGAGAACAAGTTCTGTTGTAATGGAAGCAGGCATAGCGGGCTTGTACGCTGGCGAGGATGATTCATTGTTTGGATTAGCGACTTTGCACAGGGCTAGTGATGATACTAATTTTTCCTCAATTTGGTTGGTCCCCTGAGTACCCTGGAATTGCCATGGCGTTTGATAACGTATGATTAGTGTACGTGTATTTGTATGTAATAGTGGGGAAATATACTGGCGATAAGGTAATTGAGGGAGCATAGGCCGTGTGAACGCGTGAGCGTGCGCTGTTAAAGACCCGCACCAGGTCCTCAAAGTGATCCAAAAAACAAGAGAATGACACTACCAACACATTACTGTCTGTCGCTGCACTTCTAATACTATATATCTCAAAGAATATCACTTGGTATCATAAACTCGAACCACCCGAGGAGAACACACGACACCGTGATCGGATAAACCTAAGTGCGAGACTGATATCCGAGAGAACCATGGCGCAGTGATTATGAGTGCAAGCCAGTCATCCGCGCCTGATAGACAACCTGCAGAGCAGCAGCCGAGCTGAACGGCGACAATCAAGTGGACATTTGGTCACATGGACGTTGCCGCTCATCAACAAACCAGCGTTATCACACTCAGATAGTAAGCCTCACCACAGAACTCAGAAACAAACCAGTAGGGGAGTGACCACCAGTGAAAGATAACCCCTAACGATTACCGCAGCAAGCATGAGCCACTTCCTCGCCCCGAAGTAAAATCAGAACTGCCCCTACGCACAGTCGCTTCAGCAGCCAATCTAGTCAGTACTCCGCCTTCACGCCCTGCCCCTAGGCTCGTTCGCCTTCACAGCCGGCCGCTCGCGAGCCCGAGTGGCGTAGCCATCGCAGGCTCGGGCACATTAAGCACCGGATCGGTCTACCGTTCTACGCCCCGCCAGCCTGCCTGGAAAAAGCATCGGTCTGCGCCCGTCGCCGTTTGGGTGTTTGTGGTTCACAGTGTGTGGACCTCTGTCCTGGTCCTCCGTCTCTGGTCGCTCCTGGGGGGGGTGTTTCCTACCAGCCGGAATCTGTCTTCCTGGCTCGCCAACGTTATTCCGACAGCGCTACAGATGCCCGGATTAGAGATAGGACAAAGATTCGCCCGAAAAAAGGTGAGACTCGTACGATGGCGGCTTGGTCATGGTTGCACACGTTCGTTGCTTTGTTTTTTATTGTCTGGTATGGCGTGGCAGGCAGTTGGCCGCTTTTGTTTAGGTTGATCAGCTGATACTGCTCGTTTTCTGCGTTAATCAAGATCGTTCGGCGCTATTCTCTTGGCGTGGGGGTGGTGGTGGTGTTTGTTGTTTACGTGTGGTGTTCCTGGTGTGTTTGAGTTACGTACATTGGGCCTGGTCGTAAGTGTAGTGGTGACCTTCCCTGATGGGCGGTGTGTCCAAGGGTCTTTTTCCGCGTCCGACTGTTACGACTGTGGCGCTAGGCCCCGAGGGCGGCCACCGTCTGTCGAACGCGCTGTTTGGCGAACAGTGACTGCACGCTTGCGTCGGGCTGGGCACTAGCAGCAAACCCCGGGAGACTCGTGATAGTCGGCCGGCGGCGTCGTGGCGCAGGGGCGCGCCCTGCTGACAGGCGGCCCATCTCGCGCCGCTGTTTGGCGTCGTCTGCCGCGTCGTCGGGCTGGGCCTGCACCAGACGGCGTATATCTTTATGCTTGGCCACGTCAAGGCATTGATATCCGCGGCCGTCCGGGCCAACCTGCTGGGCCCGTATCAGGCGCAGCGGGTGCTGGCGAGCAGCGAGGTGATGGGGATGATTTCTGCGGCTATTGAGAGGGGGTGGGAGACGCCTGTTGAGGAGGCGGGACAGAGTGTGCCGGTGATGGATCTTTGGATTGGGAGGCACGAGGTTCTATACAGTAGAATATTCAACAGTTAGAGGCTGTGTTTGGGTGTCTGCTACGTAGTATCAAGTTGGCATCCGTTTGAGAGTGCCATCCATTATAAGCCGTGCCAAAGTGGCCGCTATGCTTCTAGTCGCTATTATCATCGCTGTCATACGAAACTAATGGGCCTGCCGGGGCTTTCTTCTCCTTGGACGCGACCGCCACTTGTGCAGATTTCAGTGCCGCCAGCGTGCTACTAGAGAAGATCCCATTCTCCTCGAGCTGCCTTTGAGTCTCATCTGCCGCAGCCTGCGCCTCGGTCTCTCCGCTCTCGAGCATCAAGCGCTGCTGCTGCTCCAGATCCAACTGATCGCCATGGCCTGCCCTTGCCCTCGGATTGACGGCATTCTCTCCCCTGGCAAAATGTACTTCGTCCGGCGCCTCGTAGCCTTCCAAGCCATAACTGCTCTCCAACTTTCTCCTCTTCCTCGCCTCCGGGTCTCTGCCTTCTATCTCGGCAATGAAATCCTCCGGAAGCGCGCGGCGGACCGCCTCTGCAGCTTGCTCCTCGATTCTCCTTGCCTCTCTTGCCTGCGCCATTGGGTTGGGGTCGGCCGTCGCCCACCGGACGTTCAGGATCTCGCTGTGGTCCAGGCTCTGATGCGCCATTGCCTCCTTCGCGAACTGAGCGTTGGCCTCGTTGGAATATGTGATGAAAGCGACGCCCCTTGTGTTCAAAACTCTGATCCGCTCGACCTCTCCCCACTCAGCAAAGTGACGCGCCACGATCTCCTCGATATCGTCGCTGACATGGATTCGTCCGGCGTATATGGTGCGATTCTGCCTCATAAATGAGCCTACGCCGCCACCCATGTCGTCGCGGTAGTCGCTGAACTTGTCACGGCCGAAGCAGTCGACGTTGGGGTTGAAAAGGTCGTGGATTGTGGGTAAGCGGTGCAGGTATTCGCAGTCTTGACCCTTGGGACCTGTCATAACATCGATTGTTAGCAAGATGTCCCTCTAAGCAGGGGCGAAGGAGAGAATAGAGCCAGGGGAGGCTTACATATCCCTCGCGCAAAGAACAGGCAGAAGTAGGAGCCGGACACCTTGTCTGCCTTTGTGTATCCAGTGTCCTTCGCGATGTTGCATCTTCCTTTTGCCGCTTTCTGGGATGCGTATTTGTCCTCGCGATCGCCACCGGACCATTTGTTGTACCAGATATTGAAGATGGTTCCGGTCTGGGGTGGTGGTTCCGACTTGATGAGGGCGGGATCGATTTGCGGTCGCGCTGGGCGCTTCTTCTTCCTGATGATCTTCTTCACTTTCCTGGCAGCAGGTTCCGCAACCTCATTGCCTGTTGTGGTGAGCGCGAGCTCTTCGTGGGGTTCTTCCGGGGCGTCAGCCATCTTCGTTTGGTGATGGCAAGAGGCGAAATTTGGTAGTGGAAGGATGGGTAGAGATTTGGGTTGAGAAGTGTATAAAGTAGAAGGCACGAGGCTGACCAAGTAGACCACTGTACCCAAGGAAAGATCACTGCAGAGCGAGCTTGGGGCAAATTTAAGTGGGGCACGTAAAGCCCAGTGTGCCCCTCCACTGCTGCCGCTGCACTCACCTAACCACATATCTCATTCATTCGAGACTCACCATACACGGAGATCCGTTTAACGAGGGACGGAAAGAGGAACGAGCGCCATTTCTGTGGATGCTCTGCCCTCACGCGGCTTATACTCCAGCTTTTCGCCTCATTCGATGCGAATTGTCAAGTGTCCGATCTCATCGCTCTCGACATACTCTACCCGGGTAGTGAAGACCTGGTTATATGTGGGAAAGGGTCACGGCGAACATCACTGAATCTCTAACCCGGTTCGACGGACAACTCTCTTCCACCGAAATATACATCTTTCTCCAGTACTCCATCGTGACCTCTGGTCACACCCGCCGCAAAGATGGTCAACATTGTACGTATCTCCACGAAAGGCTTCGCTCCTTCTTGCCTGTGTTCCGGCTTAGTCTCTCCTTCCCCGGCGGTAGAGACCAAGGTGGAAGAAGGCAGCAGGAGCCGTTCCTGTGCGCCTTCTCTGTGCTGGCCATGGCTAACTCATGTACCTGCGTAGACGGACAAGATCAAGGAGATCGAGGATGAGATGAAGATGACCCAGAAGAACAAGGCGACAAACTATCACCTAGGTCTTCTGAAGGGCAAGCTTGCCCGGCTTCGCGCGCAGCTTCTCGAGCCCGGTCCTGGGGCAGGAGGTGGTCCCGGATCGGGCTTCGATGTGAGCAAGAGCGGCGATGCGCGGATAGCACTGGTGGGGTTCCCATCCGTGGGAAAGTCCACCTTCCTCTCGAAAGTCACCAAGACGAAGTCGGAAGTCGCGAGCTACGCCTTCACGACTCTGACGGCCATTCCCGGTGTTCTGGAGTACGGAGGCGCAGAGATCCAGCTTCTTGATTTGCCTGGTATTATCGAAGGCGCGTCAGAAGGAAAGGGCCGAGGAAGACAGGTCATTTCCGCAGCCAAGACGAGTGACTTGATTTTGATGGTTCTAGACGCCACAAAGAGAGCGGAGCAGAGGGCGCTGCTCGAGGCCGAGTTGGAGGCCGTTGGCATCCGCCTGAACCGGGAACCACCGTGAGTCCTGCCAAGAAGGCTCTTGCCCAGATCGCCGCTGACCAGAAGCCTGTAGTAACATATATCTGAAGCCGAAGAAGGCAGGCGGCATGAAGATCAACTTCCAAAACACACCCAAGAACCTTGACGAAAAAATGGTGTACAACATCTTGCGTGACTACAAGATACTCAACTGTGAGGTTCTCGTTCGTGACGACGAGGCAACGGTGGACGACCTGATCGACGTGATCATGAAGAACCATCGTACTTATATCAAGGTGAGTCTAAAGCTACACCTTCCTCTCCTCACGAGTTTGAGCAAACGGTGTAAAGTGCCTGCCTTTCAGCGGCTACTCCTGCCCCTTTCCTTTTTTGGGGGGGGGGGGGGGTGGGGGTGAAACCACTTACTGATGTGACCGTAGTGTCTTTATGTCTACAATAAGATCGATTCCGTCTCGCTCGACTTCCTGGACCGGCTGGCACGTGAGCCCAACACTGTCGTCATGAGCTGCGAGCTCGACCTGGGCATCCAGGACGTGGTTGACAGGTGCTGGAAGGAGCTGGCACTGATACGGGTGTACACGAAACGGAAAGGCATCGAGCCGGACTTCAGTGAAGCGCTGATCGTGAGGAGTAATAGCACCGTTGAGGATGTATGTGATCGAATTCACAGAACCCTCAAGGATACCTTCAAATTCGCCATGGTGTGGGGCGCAAGTGCGAGGCATATACCACAACGAGTTGGATTGGGACATGTGGTGGCAGATGAAGATGTTGTATATATCTCTACAGCGTGGAAGGCGTAGAAGGGAATATATCACTGCGGATCCAAGCATTTCCTTTGCCAAGAAAAAATCGTGTCTGCGCTCTATTGTTCTCGGGCAGTGTATTATGCTGGTCATCAATTCGTTACCCAGGGGGCGGGATTCGGTATTCCCTCCCGCTTCCCCCCTAACCCATCAAAATGCACCTCTGGTATAGTTCCCTCTTCCTGACAAACGCCGAAGCCCTTAAAACCTTGGGACCGCCGATCCAGCCAACCCTAACCGAGAGCCCATCCATCATCAATTAAGTGAATTGGACAAGCAAGCCCTGGCATATCGGGCATAAAAAAGCGAAGGGCATCAGTGCCGGAAAACCCAATCCCATGGGGGCTGAGAGGGAAGAGTCCCAATCCATATCTGACAAAGGAGAACTTTTCGTTAGAACGAGTAGCACGAGGAGCCCCGGTCGTTCTCTATGCGTTGTTGGATGGCGGGGAGTCAGCCTTGGAGCCGAAGAGGCCCTCGCTGCCTCGCAACCTCTTAGATGATGCTTGGGCGAAGAGGGACTTGGGCTTGACCCTGTGTTGGCAAAGGACGATTAGTAAATGTATCCGATTTCTGGGGCCATCCACGAACGGTAACACATACTTGCCAACTTGTTTGTTGCGGAGGGCGTTCAGCTTGGCCGTGCAGGGGGACATGATCTCGTCTGAGGGGGAGACGTAGTTGGTCCCGGATCTATGGTCGCGGGTCAGCTGTGAACTGGAGGCCACATATCAGATTCGGGCGAGAACCTACTGCTGTGCCTCCATCTTGGACTGCAGAACCTGGCGGTGGTACTCCATGCTCTTGACTGACGAGTCCTTGCCGTTGGGAGCGGCAGCGGCAGCCACGGGTAGGTTGGCGTCCTTTGCGCCGAGTACGTTGGCGCCGGTGTTGCCGGTGGTGGAAGACATTGTTCTATCGGGTGGTGATGTATCGCTGGTGATTTCTCTGCTGAACAATGGACGCTTCGGGAGGAATGTCTCGCTGGTAGGTGTGTGTCTGTAGATGCGGCCGTGGATGAATTGCGGTGCGCTTTTTTATTTCGACTGCACAACGGAACAAGAATTCTTTAGGATCGTAAGAAGGGTCTGTGTTTAGTGAACGAGATTGTGGATTCCACCTCGAAGATCTTGGGGTTCTTAAAGGACATCCGCTGCAGGGTGTGTAGGCGGCAATGGCAGTAGGTGGCGGATTATTTACTTTTAGGGGCCCTGTTGTCATGGGCAACCGTCAACTTTTCCCCCCTTCCCCGTGGTAAGAGTCACTCCAGCCCCTGCAAGTGCATAGCCCCCGACCCCTGTCCTTTAGACCAGCTCCACCATGACAGCATTGCAGCGGGTCAACGGCCACGGCAACATCCACACAAGAGGACTGCCTGCTTTCTGATCTGCATGGGAAATTGTGCTGAAAGTCAGAGTGTCCATTTACAGCTGGCAAGGTTCCAGAGCATGGAACAAATGCTTGTTAATAATCCGAAAACATGGCCATACCGGTAGCGACAATTTGAATCAGGTACGGCAGTCTGGCCCTTTTGAGTTTGAATGAGCAAGCGAGAGACTTATGAGCTCTCCCTCTACTAGCATTCCGCCATATGAGATTGTCCAACAAGAGGTTACTTTCCACGGTAAGATTGTAGTAAGTCTTGGGTCTTTTCGATATATAAACACAATCAGTTTTGGTTTTATGGCGGCCATACTGCACTACCGTGAAGCAAAAGTCTACAACTTAGATCTCTGGATGTTCTGGCCCGGCTGCGCATGCTTCAACCCATACCTCTTCAGCAGCTCCTCCGACTTCCTCTTCTGCGCCTCGATCTTGGCCGTGACCTCCTTGCCCCTCTTGTTTTCATTCCTACCCATCTGCTGGAGATGCACCTCGTCCGGTCCGTCCGCAAGCCGCAGCGTCCGGATGTTTGCCCACATGGATGCCAGCGGCGTGTCCTGGCTGACACCGGCACCGCCAAACGACTGCACTGCGCGGTCGATCACCGTCAGGGCCATCTGCGGGACGAGGACCTTGGCCTCGGCAATCTCCCTCAGGGCCGCCTTTGGCCCGTGGTCGTCCATGGTGATAGCCGCGTTGAGCACGACGAGGCGGGCAGCGTCGATCTCGAGCCGGGACTTGGCCACCCACTCGAGGATCACGCCGTGCTCGCGCAGCTGCTTCTTGAACGGGGTCTTCTTGGGGTCATTAATGCGCATCAACATCCACTCAAGAGCTTTCTCCGCCTTATTGTCCACAGGATCAGCACGCTGTCTCACATCTTGGAATGCTTGCTGTAGATTGTCGGTGCACTTACCGCGCCAATGGTACGCATAGCATGGTGGATACGGCCTGGGCCCAGTCTGCCCTGTATGATTTCGAAGCCGCGGCCCTCGCCTAACACGAGGCTGCTCACCGGGACGCGGACGTCCTTGAATGAGATATGCCCGTGGCCGTGGGGCGCATCGTCATATCCGTACACGTTCAACATCCGGTGGATAGTGATGCCCTTGGTGTCTGCTGGCACGAGGACCACAGACTGCTGACGGTAGGGGTCCTTATTGTGAGGATCGGACTTGCCCATGACAATGTAGATCTGGCACCTAGGGTCTCCTGCGCCACTGGACCACCATTTCTGCCATGACGATCAGCTGAGATTGTTCCAACGACGGCGTGCCAGACATAGATCTTACCTGGCCGTTCAGGACATACTCGTTCCCCTCCTTGCGGATGTCAAGCTCAATATTAGTAGCATCACTCGAGGCTACCTGGGGCTCGGTCATCAGGAAGGCAGATCGAATTTGGCCCTCGAGCAAAGGCTTCAGCCACTGTGCTTTCTGCGCGTCATTGCCGTACTTGGCCAGCACCTCCATGTTGCCCGTGTCGGGAGCAGCGCAGTTGACTGCCTCGGATGCAGACTTGGACTTGCCGAGCCACTCTGCCATGAGGCCGTACTCGAGGTTTGTGAAACCTGGGGACTCCTTGTAGTGGCCCTTGGGCAGGAACATGTTCCAAAGCCCAAGGGCACGAGCCTTTTGCTTGAGCTCGTCAATAATGGTTGGGTAGTGGTCCCATCTCGCGTTCCCAGAGCCCACCTGGGCCTCGAGGACTGGATCAGCTCTGCCACCTGTCAGTACTGGCGGCTCGGCGATGTCTAAGGAGAGCTGCAGCTTACGGGATGCATTCCTCTTCCACAAATTTGGCCACGATGTCCAATGTCTTCTTTGCCTGATCGCTCACACGATTCTTGCACTGTAGAGTATCTCACCTTTAGCCACAGCACTTTGAAACTAGGGATCTGATCTGGGCCTGCGGTTGTAGACTCACAATCTCTGGAATTCTGGACGACATGATGGTTTGATGGTAATGTGGAAGACTCTTGAGAAAGACTTATATACAATCCAGTGTGAATCAATGGATTCGAGTATGAGGATCAAGAGAAGTGGAGGTGAGGGACGAACATGTCGGACCACGCTTGATGTTTGGTAGTAGACCTTCCGAGGTTCCCTGTCTCCCCCAGGTTTGGACCGAGGCTCATAACGCCCAGAGTTCTATAGGGGCAGAGGGGGCAGGCCGACAGCGGGGAAGAGCCCACGGATAGCCTGGGGTCGGGCGGCTGGCGGGGCTCTCATGGTTGCATAGAACAAGGATCAGCCATCCCCGGAGCCGGGACTTTGGACCCAGCAGGCGCGTCCTCTTGGGCCCGCAGAAGAGATTGCTCTCATTGGCCTGAGGCACATGGCATCGCACCTGCTTTGGCTGCACGAACATGGACTTCGATGCTGCAGAGCCTCAACGTGCATCTATCTACATGCTACTGTCACCCACTCCATCACTACACAACCTATCTCATCACCAATTCCATCTGATACTGTTGTAGTATCAACAGCTCACCCCGTTGGACTTCGCTGAAGACTTATATTTTGCTCAAACTCTGGCAGTGAATCGACGATTGCTGGCAGCATTGGTTTCAACACAGGAGCTCACTCCCGGGCATCTCTACCAAGGCAGTCAAGGCTCCGGTACAACACAGACACATCCAAGTTCGAAGCGGCGCATCAAGAGAAAGGAGGAACTGGAGTTAGCTGTGTAAACAGCACGTGATGTCTGCATCAGGTGCTCCCAGCTCCGGTGGTGCTGGGCAGGCTGGCGGAGGCTATGGCGGGCAGGCTCATCATGGAGGAGGAGCAGGTTCTGCTGCTGGTCAAGGGTCATCAACATCGTCTGCTCCTGCCCCCCAGTCCACACAAAATCTCAACCAGATCGTAAGTCCATCAGATTTCATGCTGTGACTCGGGAGTCCCCCCATCTCTCCAGAGTTCCGTTCGTGGTGTGCTATTTTGTACCTGATTCACCTGCGTGCCGAGGACCTTCCTGCCCGGAGAGCTGGCACTCTGAGTGGAGAGACCTTGGCGCTCTGAAAATGTCGTTCATTTGTGCAAGACATGGCCATTAGGGAAGCGGAGGGCCTGCTGGCACATGTGCCAAGTGTCCCTAGGGCGGCCGTGCGGTCAGAAAACTCTGGGGACGCCTTCTGTTGGGTACATGGGCTGGCGATGCCCATAATATTCGGACAATGCCACAGTCAAAGCTCGAGAGCCATGGGCTATGGCTCAAGAAGCTATCGGATGAGAGTTGATCTCATGTGCTACTGGAAGCCAAATCATCTCGCAAGGGAGTGTGATAAGTGCACAGATCTCGAGTTGGTTGCAAGGACCCTATATGAAGGCTATGCGAGGAACATGGGAAATGTAGTTGTGGATTGTGGCGTCTCGAACCAGGCGAGAAGGATCTCAGTCAGGCAACCAAAAAGGAGGCTGCGAGTGAGGAATATGCCAGCAGTACCACTTGAGGCAATATCTCTCACATTCACCGCACTGGGGTGGTCGGCGCGACTTTTCGTGACTTCACTCCGTCACAGTCTACCTCTGCCAACGAAGGGGTTTCACCTATTGGGCTTGGTAGCGTCAAGGCCAATTCACTGCATCTGAAAGCTGGTGGGGAGCTTTTGTTTGCTCAGTGAGACCATTCTACTTCACACTCGGGCTTTTCAACTTCTGCTGTGGATCTCTCTAGGGCCCTGTCCAAGTGGCGCACGCCCCAATCGCACCTCCACATCACCTTGACCTCGTGGTGTACTCACACACGCCATTGCTAACTGGACTTCCCTGATTAGGTCACAGACTATCTACTTAAAAGAGGCTTTCTGAGAACTGAGGAGATATTCAGGAAAGAGTCAGCCAATCTCGGACCTGACGGTCGCCCACAGCACAAGTCAACGGACGAGATGGGGTCAAAGAAGTATACCAAGGCGTTCAGCTTGCTGAAGAACTTCGTTGATAACAATCTTGACTACTACAAGGTAATTGGTTTAACATACTCGTGGCGCCGAACGCGACTGATCATGCTGGCTGGTAGTTCGAGCTGAACAAGTTTCTGTGGCCCATGTTCATTCACTCCTACCTCGAGCTTGTCGACAACGGTTACCCGAACGAGGCCAAGACCTTCCTGTCAGACTTTGGTGACGACTTCAAAATCATCCACGGTGACGACCTCAAGCTGTTGTCGACCATTACCTTACCTGCCCACGTCAATGAGAACGAAACCACACGGCTCTACAAAACCTCCAAGTACCAGATCCCAGTGACTGACAAGGTTGAGGATCTCGTGTTAGGTCATCTGGAGAAGGAGTACGATAACGGAGGTAAGACTATGATCCATCTGCTCGGGCGGTACTGCACCCTCAAGACCGTCGATCGGGGCCTTGCCAATCCCAAGAGTTTCTATGCAATTTTCAACAACCAACCAAGCGTCCGTGTGGATGAGGCCGATGTACTGGAGGGCATTCCTGGTGTTTTCACGGGTGTTAGGTCCAACGTTGCCCCCGACGTGCCGCTGAAGCTCGGTCCTCTACCAATGGAGGCAGAACTGCAGGAGGAGGTCCGGGCCGAGATCGAGGAGGAGGATCGACGCCATCCCCCGCCCGACGGAAGATCCACTCTCCTCGAAGAGTTCGACAACAAGATCAAGCGTGAAGAGAGCATGGATGGGCCCGCTCGTGCGGACCTTCCATTACCGGCTTCCCGCGCCAGAGATGTCTGGGGTGAGATCGAGAAGATCAGGGAGCACAGAGACCGTTTCCGCATCGAGGGCAGAACAGGTGGTGTTGGCGCAGCTGTGTCTGTTTGCATGTACACATTCCACAACACCCTCGGAAGGCAAGTACAACACTCCGTGAGCCAGAAGAGCACTGGCTAATTCTCCTCCGGTAGCTACAACTGCATCGAATTCTCCAACGACCAAGAGCTGGTTGCTGTCGGCACTATGGACTCGTATATTCGCGTATGGAGCATGGACGGGAGCCACCTAAAATCCGCCCTAGACAATGGCACGCAATCGGCGACGAATAACCGTATGCTGATAGGACACTCCGCCCCTGTCTACGGGCTTTCGTTCTCTGATGTTGTGTCCGTGCCGCATGAGAGTAGGGACACTCCGAAGGCACCGCGATTACTGCTGTCATGCTCGGCCGATGGCCACATCCGGCTGTGGTCACTCGATACCTGGTCGTGTCTGTGTATCTACAAGTCTCATGACGGTCCCGTATTCAACGTGCAGTGGGGACCTCACGGCCATTACTTCGTCAGTGGTGGTTGGGACAAGACTGTTCGAATATGGATGCAGGATCACGCGACGCCAGTCAGGACCTGTATTGGCCACGATACCAGCATTTCCGCCGTCGCGTGGCACCCAAACGGCACATATGTCTTCTCAGCATCCGACGAGACTGACAAATCAATTCGCATGTGGTCCGTCATCACCGGAGACTGTGTTAGAGCCATGGTTGGCCACCATCATTTCATCAACACCATCGAATGCGCCCCCAACGGCAAGCTCATTGCGAGTGCCGACATCGACGGCAATATCTTTTGGTGGGACCTCGAGAAGGGAGTCTGTATCAAGAAGAGTAAGGGCCACGGCAAGGGTGGCATTACTTCCCTCAGCTTCAGTGTCGAGTCCAAGGTCCTTGTCTCCGGTGGGGTGGACAATACTGTTCGTGTTTGGGACGTGGACCTTCCTGCCGATGGCAGCAAGCCTGTTGGTGGCGCCGCCGGCCAAGCTGTGCAGCCCGAGAACAACACCAGCACGGGCGATTCCATAGGACCGAGTGACCGGAGTATCACTGTCGGTGGACAGCCTCAACAGCCACCTGCTGCGGCAGCTTCTTCGTCGAACGCTGGCGGTGGTGCCTCCGGCAGCTCTGGTGTATCGGGCACTGGCGGCGGCAAGAAGAAGGGAAAGGAGGTGCAAATCTCGGCCGATCAAATCAGCGCTTTCCCTACCAAGAAGACGGCCCTCAAGAAAGTTCGCTTCACACGCATGAACCTGGTCACTGCGGCTGGAGTGTACGAGCCCGAGCGCTGAGTTGAGACGCTCGCGAAGCTATTTGACGTCCTCGGCTTCTTTCTTGACTTCTGGAATGCTCATGACTTAAGGCATGGCAAGGTTTCCTAGCCTTTACCACTACCCAATTCGGAAAATCGGACCAGAAGGGTCGAGTTTGATATCATTTCCGACCCTTTGATATTCTAGTCGCTCTGAATGGGAGAATACCCATGTTTTATGGCGTTAGGGAACTGTGAAAGGCGAGATGCTCTACAAAAGGGGCCGCAGAGCCAGGTTTGATGGTCGGTCTTATCATTATTGTACAATTAGCGTAGCCCCCAGGAGTCATCGGGTTCGGGAAGAGGCCTTCATTGCTAAGCACTTTCGTAGTGACTAGGGAATATCCAGCCCATAATCTCCAAACTGTTGGTGACTGTGGTCAGTTTTTTGCAGTGTCTCAGCCGAGTTTGTTATCGAAGAAGGTGGAGACAGATAATAAGCATACAAAAGCACCAGCTGCACAGCTTGTCACCAGTCACTGATGCCTCAGACGGTAGGCCGGGGTCTCGGGTACCAGATAGGTACTGCTTAGATTAATTGCTGCGGCTCGGTGAACCCACGTTTTGCAAGGACGATAGCTATGATACCGACGGAATGCTGAAATGGAAGTCTCTTGCAAGTTATGATTACCCTAGGCAGACTGCTTGATCGTAGGGGATATGACGGCAATCGGCTTCTCTGGCCGTGGTTTTGGCCGAGCACCTACTTGGGTACCTCTTAGGCAGGCAGGTACGTCAGGAATGGCCCAAGCTTCGCCAACCGCGCGGGCGCAGGAGCAGCGTAGCTTGTAGACGACAGCAGATGCAGTTCACCAGTCCACGACGTGCATACCTTTTGGCGCCACCTACCCGTCGGAAGAAGAGACTGTGCAAACCAGCAGTGCGTAAAATCTGCACCAGCTAGAATCAGACAGACATCCATCTCTCCATCCACATCGGCACAGAAAACACGACAGAATATGGACCCCCTGGGAGAATCGCCCTGGGCCGACGCCCCTGCCCAACCACCGCCCTCCTCAACCTCCGAGTCTCAGGCAGCCGGCGACGGCGACACCTCCAAGCCAGCTTCAGAAGCAGCAGCTCCCGCCACGACTAGCACCGGCCCCCGCCCTTCCCGCCTGACACCCCGTCGCCTTGTCGCGCAACCGACCAAGTTGCAAGCCGTCCAAGATGATCCCCTCGGGCCTCTCGGTGCCGCGGAGCCGGTGGCATCTGGCGCCGAGGGCGAACCGCCCATGCCTCCCCAGAAAGAGCCACCCGCGCCGGCTGCCATGTCATCTACGCTACCCGTGCGCACAATGATGTCCCCGGGCCACCAGCAGCAGCAGCAGCAGCAGCAACAGAGGAGGGGCGTGGTCGACCCGCATCGGGTCGACGAGGAGGACGATGGAGATGACAGGCTGGGAAGCTCAGGGGGGAGAGCGCCGCCGCCGGTGCAGGTTGCCACGCCCGTGCAAGGAAGAGGGGCCGGACCACCGAGCGTCAGCGTTGAGCAAGCGGCCAAGCCGTCCTTCTCCATCACGGTCGGGGACCCGCACAAGGTCGGCGATCTGACTAGCAGTCATATTGTGTATGCCGTGCGAACTAAGGTATGTCTCATTGATTGCCTTGAAAAGTGCCAATGGCCACTTTACGGCAAGAACGGGTGCTAATTACGTTTCGTTGACTTAGACTACATCCAAGGCCTACAAGCAATCCGAGTTCGAGGTCAAGAGAAGATATCGGGACTTCCTATGGCTCTACAACACCCTTCATGCAAACAACCCGGGAATAGTCGTGCCGCCTCCTCCAGAGAAGCAGGCCGTCGGCCGATTCGAGACCAACTTTGTCGAGGCAAGACGCGCGGCCCTCGAGAAGATGCTCAACAAGACTGCTGCACATGCGACGCTGCAACATGATGCGGATCTCAAGCTTTTCCTGGAGAGCGAGTCGTTTAACGTGGACGTCAAGCACAAGGAGAGGAGGGAGCCGAACCTTGGGGAAAGCAAAGGCATGTTTAGCTCGCTAGGCCTTGGCGGTTCGAGTAGCAAGTTCGTGGAGCAAGACGACGTAAGTTTTCCCGTTATTTCCAGCCACTTCCCTGAATCTTGTAAGACGAGACACTGACACTCTGAAGTGGTTCCATGATCGTCGGGTATACCTTGACGCCCTTGAGAACCAACTGAAAGGCCTCCTCAAGGCCATGGACACGATGGTGGCTCAACGCAAGTCAATGGCAGAGGCAGCCGGCGACTTTTCGGCTTCTCTGCACGCACTGTCAACGGTCGAGCTATCTCCGACCCTATCCGGCCCCTTGGAGGCCCTGTCAGACCTGCAGATCACCATCCGTGACGTGTATGACCGGCAGGCCCAACAAGATGTCCTGACTTTTGGAATCACCATCGAAGAGTATATCAGGCTGATCGGGAGCGTCAAGCAGGCGTTCGGGCAACGTCAGAAAGCCTTCTACGCTTGGCACGCCGCGGAGTCAGAGATGCAGAAGCGCAAGGCCAACCAGGAGAAGCTCCTCAGACAGGGCAAGTCTCAGCAGGACCGGCTGAACCAGGTCAGCGCCGAGGTTGCAGACTCTGAGAGGAAGGTTCACCAGGCGCATTTGCTTTTCGAGGACATGGGACGGCTGCTGAGACAAGAGCTGGATCGCTGAGCGGGAGAAGGTGGAGGACTTCAAGAGCGGCGTGGAAACGTTCTTGGAGAGCTCGGTTGAGGCGCAGAAGGAGGTAAGTATTTGCGACAATGAAATTCAACATCAGGGCGCGTTGCTGACTTTCCTCACAGCTTATTGAGAAGTGGGAGACATTCCTCCTGCAACTGGACTCAGCAGACGACGAGACCGTCTTCTACAAGCCGCCCGTGTTCCAGCCGGCGGGCGGCAACAGGCCGGCGGGAGATACTGCGGTCGACCGAGCTCGGGCCCGTATCGACGAGGATTCTGACTAGAAAGTCCAGAATTCCACGAGGCGCTATAACAGCTATAGCGATCATGGACTCAGCCGGCATGGCTTCGTGGGGATGAGCTTTACCTGGCACGGCACCTGAGATGCTGCTCCACTCTATTCGTGATGTCGACATCCAGAAAAACCGCATGCGATGCAATATGGGATTCCCAAGGGGTAGGGGGCAAGTTGTGGTCAGCCCCGGTGTATAGGTAATGTCTCCTAGAAGTAATGTACATAGAACATTGCAGCGCGTCGTCCCTCCATCATTCCTAGCTACAAAATCGACATGACAGCCGGCAAATGTTCCTCTCAAGTGGTCGATATCATGTGTGCCAAGAACAAAACCGTTGTCTGTTTGAAACGAGCGCTTCAATCGTCCGTGACCACAACCAAGCCTGCACGCTAGACGCCACCTCTTTATTTCTTCTTCCCCTTCTTCGCGACACGATTTGAAGCGACCTGTCCGCCCTTCAGGTTCGGCTCATCCCTCACGTACGTGGCCATCAGGTCGGACAGGTTGTCCAAAGCGCCATCGTCCTTCCCGCCCGCGCTTGCTGCTGCCGCCGATGCGTCCGCGGCGTCCGGCTCGTCCGCCAGGTCGTACATGGTTCCGAACCGGCCCCTGAAGCTGGCCAGCTTTCCGGCCTCGTCGAGCTCGACGTTCTTGAGCGACACCTCGGACGGCTGCCAGGTCAGGTGGTTGCGCGTGTCCTTGGTGGACCGGTGCACCGGCGCCGGGGACGTGGACCGCGTGGTGTAGGTCGATCCGTCACTCAGCTGGACTATCTGTGTGAAGGTGTAAGGCCGCTTGGGCCGGACGACCTCGGTCGCGTGCCGGACTTGTTGTGTGGTCTGCCTTGCTATCCTCGATGCTGTTGGTCTCGGTGTGCTGGATAGGAGGGCGGATGTGGATGATGGTAGGCTCCTCGAGAGGAGGGCTGTGGGGAGCTTGGCCATCCTGGAGGGGGGCTTGACCTTTGCAGATGAGGCGGTGGTATTGCAGGGCCTTGAAAGCTGGCAAATCCAGAGAGTATGGCTGATTTGGTTGTCCTTCTTGCTGGGCGTCGTCGGCCGTTGTTCGAGGTTGGTCCAGGTGAACGGTGGAAATTTCGACCGCGGCTTATCGCGTGCTTATCGTAGCTCCCCTACCGAGCTCCCGGCGGCATGTGGCATACTTTTTTTCTTCTTAACCTTGGGCAATGACGACTTTCTTTTCTCGCAGCACTTGTCTCTACTCGCGAATCAAAAGGAATTCCATTCGGTCATACCTGAATGGGCTGAGATGAGGAGAGCGTGCATTTTGCGCCAATTGGGCAGATGCGCGGACCATCCACCAGTTCTGTCTCCGTCACGATGCGGCTCTGAAGCGGCGCCCGGGTCACGGCCTCTGCGCCGGGGGCTCGCCGGTGCTCTACGTACGATCTACCACCCTCCCTCCAGGTCAATTGGCTTATTCGTGCTGATTTCTACATTTCAGACTCCCAAGGACGGTCACTCTCCCAGTCATGCGCCCGGAAAGAATCATGGAGCATCACCCCTCCGCAGGCGTCTTCGGTCCAACCGCACCCACACCACGACGCCGCCTTTGACGCCCTGCCCCTCCCGGAACAGCTGCGCTCCGTGATGCGCCTCCTCGCGCACTCGGTCGTGGTGTGCACCTCCGCCGCCGCCACCCCGGAATCGTCCGCCCCCGTGCCCAGGGGGGATGACCATGTCCTCCTTCACGTCCCTCTCGCTGCGCCCGACGCCCCTGGTCACTTTCAACATCGCGACCCCCAGCCGCACCCTCGACGCGGTATCGCGGAGCCGCCAGTTCAACATCCATGTCCTCAGCGGGGATGTAGCTGGCGCCAGGGTGGCCGAGTGGTTCCGCAAGGGCAACGCCGACGACCTGCGCGTCTTCGAGGCTGACAAGCTGAGGGATGAGTGTGGCTGCGAGGTTGTCACTGCAGAGAAGTCAGGGGATGGGGCGGCACCGTTGTTGAAGGGTCCCGGTGTGCTCTTTGCGCTGCGGTGTAGCCTCCTGGGCGATGAGCCGGCCAGGGGTCTGGTGAGGGTGAGGGATCACGTCATCGTGCTGGCGGAGATTGTCGACATCGTCGAGGGCGAGGGCGAGAAGTCAGAGCCAGGACCGTTCGCGCTGGCATATGCTGATAGACTGTATAGACAGCTTGGGTCTACGATGGCTTTGGTCGAGGATTAGACGGTTGATACGGCATGTAGCATTGGCAGCGGCGTTAGGTCCGGCTTGGGGAAATTGGTCCCTGGAAATCCTCCACATTCAAATTATGCCCAGCATGCCTACAGTCTGGGTCGAGCACAGCGTCAAAATACAGCCCAACTCTGCGCAAAGACCGTGCAGCCCGTCAAGGAGGGCTGGGGCTACATGGAGCCTTATCTGAGTGTGGAAATGACCTCCATCAGCCCTTGACCATCAAGTGGCTATCCTCCAGGCACGTGAATCCGACTTCATCGTAGAGCAAAAGCGGCGAGAGAAACAAAAGGTTGAAACATGCAGTCTCCAGACGTTCCGTGTCACGTTCCGTGTCACGAGCAACTCAATTGCAAGTGTGACGTCTATCGAGGTATGCGGGAAGCTCTGCCGAGCGTGACGGCACCGACGAAATGTGACCTGTTTGTGCAGGCAGTGGCGATTTATCGCGACTATACTGTATTAACCACAGCAAGGGCGTGTTGGGAGCTCAGATAGTCTGCCCCCTCCTATCGAGACGGGCCTCGTTTCATCGCATGCTCTGCCATGAATACTAAGAAATTCGCTTAGACGCGACTATTTCAGGCTTGGCATGCCAGAGGCTCAGTGGGCGAGCCCACCGCTATGGTACTGATTTTTTTTTGAGTGATACTCTTGGGGTCTGGCGCCGTCCCTTCCAGGCGTCTGTGGTGGAACGGGACAAAGGCAATTGAGCTTGGTCCCGGCCGGGGCTGAAACGACTTGGGACGAATTGGACGGCCCGGGCTGGGTCGAAGTACATGCAGATCACGGTTAAAATGCGGATGAATGAGAAAGTGAGCAGGCGTTGGCGGCACTGGCGTGTCTGCGTGTTCAGTAAATCTGCCGTTCAAGTAGCAGAGAAAAGAGCCACAGATCACAATATCTCCTTTCATCTCTCGGGGCCCGAGGAGAGGAGACCGAAGAATAGAAGTGCAGCAATGCAAACGGCACACTGTTTTGGCACGACAACCGACCTCAACTAGCAATAGTGCATGGCAAGGGCCAGGAGAGGCTAAGCCAGTATAAGCGCCGACCCAGCGCCACGCGAAGCCGCCTGACGAGCTGGGCCCAATCACCGTGAACGAGGCCGATTGGTGGCCGGAAGAGCCACTCGATTTCAAAGCGTCCCGTTCCAACAGGTGTCGACCAAAGTTTGAAAGCTGATGTATCATTCACTGTCACCTAAAAAAAACAACACTCAAAATAGACGCGTTAAGCAACAAAGGCGCAGAAGCGACTTGTTGGGAGGACGTCGTTGTGTTGGAGTCCGTTCTCCTTGACTTATACCAGCGGACGCACTACGTCGCCGCCACGTCGCCGCCGTGTCTCAAAGCATCAACGCCCTGTTAGCAGTATCTGAGCTAGTGGCAACGTGGAAGGTTTCTCCGCTTCCAGCCTGGCTCTAGAAGCTTTGGAAGAAGGCAATTGCTCAGCCGCGAAATGACCGCGATGGCATGGGGCGTAAGCGCAAACGACACAGGTGTCGGCGGTCACCCGTCCCGTTTCCAACAGTTTGGCCGGGCCTCCCTCTCGGCCAAGAGTGTTTGCTAGTAAGACACGAGAGTCGGTGCGGCCACCGCATATTTGTCGATCCCTGCGCCGTTGTTTGCTACCTGCTACTGCTGCTGCTGCGTACTGGTTGCTGACGCGGGAGGGAGAGAGATCTGAGAAATCAAGGGAAGGGAGGGCAAGCCACTCGCCCGAACAGCTCTGCCCTCCACCGCGCGCTCGTCTCGTGAGGGCCCTTCCGGACTAATGCACGAGGTCGGGCTCTGTGTCGAGGCACACCCCCCGGAGCTGAGCTGATTGGCGAGCTTGGCCCAGGCCAAGAACGGAGAGGCTCGATGTGGCGGGAAGTTTGATCCCACCCTCGAGCCACCCCCTCTCTCGCTCTACACTATTGTGTGCTGCTGCAGAAACACAGTAGTCTGCCCTGCGCTGTTCTGTGCTGTGCCCAGTGTGCTTCCGTCCACATCTGTTGTCGGTATCGCATGGGAAAAAACCGAGCCGAACTAGCAAGGTGACGATCGTTTGGTCTGGGCACCTGGCTGTTGCTTGCCGGGTTGGGACACAGGCGGGCAGGCGGGCAGGCCGTGGCCGTGTTGGATGCTCATGTAAGCTGTCATGTGGGAGCTGATCTCATGGCACCTGCCACTACCATGTACCAAGCTGTCGACAAGCCGGTTCTGCTCTCCCGAACTGACCCAGGTCGAGTCGGGCAGTGTCCAGTGGCCACCTTCAGACAGTCTCGAGAGTACTGGATTGAAGACCCAAAGGGGCACTGCATGTGGAAGGCAGCATGAATTGAATTCGGAGCGACACTGCAATCTGCAGGGCACTGTGAGTAGAAGTGGTGCTGATACTTGGCATTTCCGAGGCTCCCTGCCTGCAGGTGCTGCCGGCGAACAGCGTCACACCTCTCGGTTTGGGGGTGGCGACTGGCCAAGGGTAGTCGAATATTTGTTTGAGGGGGAGGGGGAGCGAGCTATCGGGAACAAAAGGCTTCCTGGGCGGTTTTCCGTGGGACATTTGGGGTCTGGACCCGCCCCGGGTTTCCGCCGCCGAGGCAACATTCTTTGTCCCAGCCGGCAATCAGACTCCAGTATTGCAGGTACTATGTAGATGGGTACCTGCTGGAGTCTCCAGCCCGCTCGGAGCCGACGACCACCAGAGGGAGGGTATCCCCGTCCCAACAACAGCTGCCATTGACGGCTCGCAAATGCACGTCTTCAGGTGTTTTGTATACGTTGTGCCAGTGAGCTCCCGGCGATAATAAATTGCCCGCACTGCTACTCTTGAGCCCCACGGCGTTGGGAGGAGCATACCCTTGCATTGTCGCAGTGTAGATTGAAGGGAGGGCGGGTGTCCATTGACCTTGACCAGACGTGCCATCATCAGAAGCACACAACAGGCTATAATTACATGCAGGCGCGCCATGCGATGTCGGTGGGGGGGACCACCTCGCCTCAGCACATGGGCATCATGAATAATGCGGTGGCGGGCTATTTGATGCATGCACAATACTAGTCTACGTGGTCCACTGCCCAAATAAGCATACGGAACCTCGACATCTCCAGATGCTCGCTCCGACCAACTAGAGTCGAACTGTATGTTTGCTTGCTTGCTATCCGTTCTCTCACCTCAAGCAGGTGCTAGACGTTGTCGAATAATTTCCCAGTGATTGGCGAAGGAAATAAGCCCCGGGTATCGCTGTCTTGGGGTGCGTACTGCGCCTGTACTGTGGTACAAGACACCCACATGGATACAGTGCCTAGTACCCCTGCCCAGCCTGCCTAATAACGAAGGGCCCCAGGTGCATTGCAGTACGTCCTGTCAGCTGTGCGTGGAGTGCCAATCCTCTCCAATCTCGCTGGCCCTCTCACGCATGGCGAATCTGCAACGCCTGCCTGCCTGCCTGCCTGCCAGCACACCCGCTGTGCAACAAGCATCGCTCGGGTCCTGGGCCCTGGGTCCTGGGCAGCTGGGCTGGGCTGGGCTGGGCCGTCCTTCCCCACTCTCTTCCCTTCCGTCTCTCGCTCTTGATTCCTCCTTGTCCCTGCCAGTGCCCACTGTCCACAGCCACTGTCAGGCCAGCCTTGGGCACGCACCATAGTTCCTTTGATTGGGGATGGATTGATCCGTGATCATTCTTTTCTTCATTTCTTCATCTATGCCTGAGCCTCTCTCTCTCTCTCTGTCATCTCATCGTTGCCCGCCCTGCCAACACCAGGCCGAATGCGTCAACCGCTGCAAATTGCCCGAGACTAGCACAGCAGAGACAGACCGACCGGGCTCTGCAAAGTGAGTGTGAGACTGAGAGTGAGAGTGAGACGGGACAGTGGGCGAGCGAGGCGGCATTAGCCACCACGGATAACCCGTTTCGAGTCGCCCTACAGATTACGGTCACTCCTTCTCTCCTCACCCATCCCGGTCCAACCCTCAACTGAAACCTGATACCACACCGCCAACAATCTCGACACACATCCTCGACCGATTTCCTTTCCACTTCGTTTTTGTTTCCTTCATGCCATCTCCCATCCCTACCTGATCTCGGCCGGACTCCCACTCGCTCCTTTCCCTTCAGAAATCCATCGAGCCGCTCGATTTCCTCACCCCCGACCCGGGCCTCGACCACGCCGCATCTCCCCTCGAGGCAATTTCTCGGATTTGCAGCTCATCACGTCCCCCCGACCTTGCATCCCGGCCTGCCAAATTACTTCGATTAAAGCACGAGCATTACGAACAACCGTCCTGCCTTTTTTGCGTCATCTGCTGCTGGTGCTTTTCTCTCCAGTCGCCCGGCCCATTGCATAAACCCAAAATAAATAGCACTCAAACGCGCCCGACCGCAACACCACATTCAGGGGTTGGAGTTTCGAATCTGTATAATCCTCAACCTCAGCCGCCCTCCCAACTTTGCCACCCTGGTTGTCATCACCCACCTCGCAGGATCACCTTGATCTTGACAGCCCATCATGAGGGAAGTCAATTTCAGCATCCCGAACGTCAACAAGGCGTCGGTGGGCATCACCACCGCCCTTTACGACAGACGAGCCCTCGACTGCACATCCACGCTACCTCTGATCAACTCTTTAAATCACCTGGCATATCTCACGACCTCCTCTGCTCGCATTCGAGACATCCTCACCGTCGATGGAGGCATCGAGCGCCTAATATGTATCCTCAAGCAGGGCAGGAGCAAGGACATGATGGACATGTGGAAATGGAACCTGGCTTTTCAATGTGTCGTCAACATAGGAGTTAGAGGCACCGAGGCCGTCCGCACCAGGGTCGTCGAGGCCGACATGGTCCCCGTCATCGCCACAATCCTCGACAATTATATCAAGGTTACAGAAAAATTGAGGGAAAAGGAAGAAAAGAAGAAGCGGCTGCAGGACCACCCCAGCCGGTCCAGGCACGACCACAGCGGCGTCTCCAAGTCTGGCAGCTTTTCCAATCGGTCGGGGCGACTAGACGTGGACCACAGAGCTTTTCGACGACAGGCGCCTCCGCCCAGTATCGACATTACCTCCGTATCCTTCCCTGCTGGTGCCGGCCCTTCGGCCCCAGCTGAGCAACCGCAAGCCGACATCACACCCACCATCTCGCAGTATCCTGTCACAACTCCTCCGGAGCGGCCACCGTTCCACACCCACCGCCACCACCACCATCACAGAACTCAAGATCCGCGACAACACGCCACCAACCCACCTCGCCAATCCCTCCAGCCGCTTGCGTCCACGGTTGCCAACGCGGACAATGACACTTTTATCCGACCAGTGCGGGATGTTGATAGGCTGGCATCCATGATGCCTTTCGGCCTTCACTCATTGTCTTCGCAGCCGACCTCGCCAACAACCCCTCTCCCGCCCCCTCAAATGAGGTCTCCGACCGTCCGTCCTGCTTCGGGCCTGGCACAAGCCTCAAGATCTCGGCGTCGTCCGTCCATACGTCACCAGAACTCCACCGCCGACTCGGACGACCTGAACGGCGACAGCATGCAATCGGATGACTCACCCGATGCCGAAATGTCGGGAACTGCTGACATCCAGGACGTTGGAATCCAGGACATCAGCATGGAGGGCGAGGACAGCATACTGGCCGAGACCTCGATCGATTTGACACCCCCGAATGGATCAGAAACTCAGCAAGATGGGACTTTCAATATCACGCACCGGACGCCAATGGACGGGAGCATAATGAACACCACTCCCACCCCTGGGCCAACACTTGGCTTGTCCCCAAACAGGCCTCCAATGGTCAGCCCTCCGCAGCCAACAATGCCAACCGCCAGCGTCCCGCATTATCTCCTCGGCCGTCAGATGAACCCCAATCCGCAAATGATGGCCGCCATGCCTCGTGAGGAGGACGTGCTCATGTCTCTACAGCTCCTCGCCTATGTCTCCAAATACTGCAATCTCCGTACTTACTTCCAAAAGAGCCATCTGGTGCCGCGGTTGAAAATCGGAAAGGAAATCACAGCTCTTGATAACGATGACCTGCCGATGGAGCTGTCCGACGACGAGGAGGAGTTTGAGGAGGAGTACCTTCTGCCCAACGACCTGAACATTTTTCCCTTGGTCGAGAAGTTCACGGTCCGCTACCACAGTACAGACATGCAGTACTGGGCCGGGGTCGTTATGAGGAACCTGTGCCGAAAGGATGACACTCGGGGCGGCATCCGTCAATGCGCTTATTACCAGTGCGGGAAGTGGGAAGAGTACACCCGCCAGTTTGCCAAATGTCGGCGATGCCGGCGAACAAAATACTGCAGCAAGGAGTGTCAAAAGAGCGCCTGGGCTTTCCATCGCCATTGGTGTGTCGCTGCAACGCAATGAATGATGCCCTCTTCAGCGTCTGATTTTCTCATCAACAATGGATTCAATGCAGTCACGCAGCCACCTGGGCATAATGTCTACTTTGCAGCATCACCTACTTGGTCTTTGTGCGGCCCAACAGCATTGCGAAGCACGCATATTTTGGAGGCGTCTCTGTTCACGTTGTGATACCTTTGGAATGGTCCAAAGGCGTTGGTTCTCGCGGATGGAAGTCGCCGCAACTTTGGTTTAATCGGACACACCTGTTCCTCGGCTATTTCTCACACTTTCGACAGGGAGACTGGATGATTGTAAAGGAACTCACCTACTTTTGATCGAAGACAACTATCCAATTCTCGATCCGCGCTCGTCTCCCAGTTGTGATGTCGGTCAGTGGAAGTCGGATGATATGGCCAGCCTCAGATGACAATGCCTACAGCACTCCGCAGCTTATTTGGCCTGACGAACATCCTGCTTCCCTTCAACTTGGACAGGCGTCAAGCTCTCGCTTCGAGCGATTTGACCGATTTGGCAGGCGTGAAAAGGGAAGGGTAGAGGCGGGATAGGATGAAGGTTTTAGGGGGTCGATACCATCCCAGGGGAGCAACCTCTGGTATGCCACGATACATGCATGGGCCGTGAATGGCGTCTTTTTGGTTGCTTTCAATAATGGCTTGTCGGTTTCTGCCCTCACATATAATGCCCACCCACCGTGGTACTGGTTTCTTTTGTGTTTTTTGAGTCTGCTGCTTGCATCATGATGAACAAGGACAAGGACAAAAACAGGATGGACAGGCTCGCTACCGCGATGCTTCACACGAAATGTTTCTTTTCTATTCCTTTTGCATAGGGAGCGGGTGATTTCCAAAGTAGGAGAAGAAATGATACCTGGGGGAAGTCAAGGAGAAATGGGAGACCGCTGACCTCTTGTCGAGGTGAATGAGAGCAGTACTTTTGAACCAAGCTTTTGCTGTTCCCTTGCGGACCGTGATTTGGAGCGACGTGGCTCTGAGCAGTGGTCGTCACATCGTACGGCTCGCCCTAGTTCCGTTAATGAATACCTGAGTCGAGCGAAACCAACTGAGATGTGGTCGTAGAGATGGCTGTCATATTTGGCTGAAAATGCTTGTGCCTCCGTTCCAACAGCAAGGTAGAACAGACGATGTCATTCCTTGCTGAGATACATGTCGATTCGACTACTGCTTGGGTGACAGACGTCAACATCAACGGGCTATTACACTCGCCGAGTGTCGTTCTCATGGAGCTGCTCTTCCCTATTTAGCTTGTGGTCTCCGGGCTTGATACTGTACTTCGTGTAGTTTGTTGTCAGGCATCATGTTTATTTTCACTGTTGGCACTGGCATGAGACCTTCACTTCGGCTTGCACAGCTGAGCCAGGTTGAAGATACTTCCGGCAAATCTTGCCAATATCTGGACATTGCACGGTATCTTGCGTTTTGGTATTGTTTTCTCCCAGCGCCGCCTAGTGGAATTCACATTATGCCACCACAAGCAGACCGTGTCACCGCTGCGCCCCCCAAACACCATTTTCACATCTCATCACCGTCTCCCGGCCACGGTCTTCCTCTTAGACTTGCCCAAGCGCGCCGTCTTCGCGATCTTCTTGGGGCCGCCCTTGCCCTTCATCCCCTTGGCGCTGAACCCACTCACGTCGCCGGAGCTCTCGGCGTCGCCCGACTTGGAATACCGCTTCTTGCCGCCGAATCCGAACTTGGCATCCTTTTTGGCCCGCTTATGGTTCGGGGTCCTGCTACCCTGGTCGAGCCGGCCCCGCTTACCCGGCTTGTTGAGCTCGTTGTCGACGCCGACGTCGAAGAGGTCCGCCTCGTTAGTGCCGATGTCGCCGCCGTTCTCGGCACGCTCTGTTGGTTTGGTAAAATTAAGTTAGCCTCCTCTCACGATCCTGCCTCTGCTGGGGGTGTTGTGTGACTGTTTGACATAGAACGTACTCTTCTTTAATGCCTTGATCTTCTCCAGTGTCTCGCGCTTCTCCTTCTGCCTCTCTTGCAGCTTCGCGACCTGCACCTGCTTGCCGAACTTCTTGAGGTCGCGCAATTTCCTCGCCTCGGCCGAGGCCTTCTTCGCGGTCGCCTCCTCGATCAGCTTGGCCTTGACCTTCTCCATGTGCCCGTCGTCCTTGACCATCTCGGCGAAGTAGTCCTTTGGCCGCGAGAACGGCAGCCCCTCGGCCTTGAGCAGCGCGCGCCTTGTTAGCCGCCTCGAGCGACTGCGAGTACAGCTGCAGCTCGCGCTGCAGGTCGTCGGATATGTCCTCGATCTTAGACTCTGTAGGCTCGGAAGAGACCACTGTCTGGTGCGTGGCGAATGATGTGCTGGAGTCCTTTGGTATGGAGATGCGTTTTACGGCGGCGAGCAGGGCTGGCTGGTTGTTGATGGAGAGCTTGGTCTTGACGAAGAGGTCCTCGCGTTCCTCCTCGGGCAGGTCCTCGAGGTCAGAAAGCGCGATATCAGACTCCTCTTCTGCGTCGTCGTCGTCGTCGTCGTCGTCGTCGTTCTCGTTGGCCTCGGCGAGACGTTGTTTGCGTCGGTTCTCGGTCTTTTTGAGGATGGATTTCGGTTTCCGCTCTATCTTCTCCTCCATGTCGACCTCTGACTCGGAATCGGTATCACTCTCGTTGAGAATCGCCGCAGCACTCGCCTCTTCGTACACGGACTCGTCGTCGTCTTCATCTTCGTCGGACTCCTCTGCTGCTATATCCAGGAGGCCTTCGCCATCATCGGCCTCCGAGTCGTCATCATCTTCCCAATCTTCCTCCTCCTCTTCGTCTGGTAGAAGCCCCTTCTTGCGCTTTTCTTTTATGACAGCCTTGTGCTTCTTCTTGTCCTTGATTTGTTTGACTTTCTGTACGCCGTGGAAATTCGCAGTCAGCATTGGTCGGGGTTGTTCTGTCGCAAAGGTGCTTGAGGGAACGGAGAAACTGACCTTATCTGTCAAGCCCTTCTCTGCTGCGAGGGCAATCTTGAGTTTGCTGCGTGGTGCCATGTCTGCAATGTTCGCCGGTCAATTGGAAGTATAGGGAGACAGACAGAAGCGGTTTGCAGCTGGGTTTGCTGCATGCAGTGCTTGAAAGTCGCAGAACAAACTGGACCCACCCAAAAAGTTTTGGTCGGTCTTGATCTTATCGGGCTTATCGTGGCAGCCCGGTCGGCCCGCTTGACGCCTTGATGGTCGGTGCACAGGGTCCAGTAGGGCGGTACAAGGGGCTCCAAGCCCAGGGTCATGGTATGTACTTGCGTATAAGTGTGGTTTAGCGCCGACTCGCACCACTTTGGTGCTTTGCGACTCACACATGAGCATCAACATTCGCAGCCTCTAACACAGAGGAGCTCCATTGTCAATCCACTGACGCATGTATGCCAACTCTGAAATCCTCTGCTGCTCGGGTAGCAAGTTCAGGATGACTTTCGGGTCAGCCCACGGCCACGAAGAAGGCGCTATGAGAAAGCCTCCACAGTCCCGATGGGCATTGTTAAAAGACGAGATCCATTTTACACAACTTACAAATTGAATGCCTACAAAACGATTCGAGATGTCCTCTTGCTCCTCCGTGCCCTTGTGCTGGCCTGATCCGCGCTTTTGCCACATCAGGCCACACACCCTTGCGTTTCTTGGCATAACACGGAGATGCGGGACAGGGGATGGAATCAAAGTCAACAAAAGAAACGCCCGTAACACAACGTCAGCCGGGGACAGTATGATTGGTGTACCACTTTTACTGCCAGGCTAGGAGCCATATAAGGCTTGCGTTTCGCCTCCTCTGGCAGATCTGATGAGGAAACTCCTCCCCTCGCTCCGCACAGTCTAGACTTCAGCTGTCGGCCTCTCGTATCTTTCAACCCTAGCCAGCTCTGACAGAAACGAGCCATGCTTAACGAGTACACAATCGCACTGATCGCCGGCGTCGGCCTGGGCGTCCTCGTCGTGAGCCATGTGGTGGCGTATCTCAGGTCACCCCTCAAAGACATTCCAGGGCCGTTTCTAGCCAAATTCACCAACATGTGGCGGCTTATCGACCACTACAAAGCCACTCAAATTAGCACTCAGCGAAGATTGCACGAAGAGTTGGGCCCTGCTGTCCAGATAGGGCCCAACGTTGTCAGCTTGAGCGACCCTACACTGCTGAAGACTGTGTATTCGACTCGTGGGGAGTATATCAAGGTTCGTCACCCCTGACTCCAGTTAAAAGGATACTCTCATGAGAAACTGGGGGAGGCCATGTAGCAGTTTTTGTGGCTACTCTAACGCCCGGGTATAGAGCGACTTCTACATAGTCAATGACGCCGTACAAGACGGACATGTAATCCAGAATGTCTTTGGCACTCGGAGCAACTCCCTCCACAGCAGGTATTTGAAACCAATACAGAAGCTGTACTCAGTGAACAGCATGCTCTCTATGGAAGGGCTGGTGGATAAGACAACCAGGTCGCTGTGTGAGCAAATCGAGAACCGCTTTGTGGATGGCAAGAACGTGCAAAGGACTTGCGACATCGCCGACTGGATCGAATTCTGTAATTGCAACTATTCATCGACCCCATCGAGTCATGCACTCTTTTGGCCATTGGCCCTTGCTGACTCTGGTCCAAATTCACAGATGCGTGGGATGTTGTGGGCGAAGTGACCTTTAGCAAGGACTTTGGCTTCCTCAAAGGAGGCTCTGATCAGATGCAACTGATAGAGACAGCTGAGAGTATCATGCATTACTTTGGAGTCGTGGGTCAGATGCCCATATTGGACAGGCTCCTAGGCAAAAATCCCTGGTTCGCTGGACCAAGGAGCCCCATCAAGTTCCCCAATTTTGGGAGAGCTGCTGCGTTCTGCTTCGAGCAGCTTACAGAGCGTCTGTCCAACTACGACCTCGAGAAAGAGGGCGGCCGGCAGGACTTCCTCGGGGGGTTCCTCAAGGCAAAAGAAGAACACCCAGATGTTATCAACAATAACGAGGTGTTGGGTTATCTCTTGCTAAATGTAAAACATTATATACACCCAGCACATGGACAACTTCGCAGCTGATATGGTTCAGATTCTCGCCGGAGCGGATACAACAGCCATTGTGCAAAAGGGCATCGTATACCACCTTCTCAGGAACCCGGTGGCACAGGCCAAGCTCCGAGCTGAGCTAGATGCCACGAACCTTTCGTTCCCAGCGTCGTTCGCTGAGACGAGAGACCTTCCTTACCTCGACGCAGTTATAAAAGAAGGCCTGCGCATGCATCCTCCAGTCGGGAACATTCTGGAGCGAGTCGTTCCATCTCCAGGTCTCGCGCTCCGCGACGGACGTGTGATAGCACCCGGAACAATTGTCGGCATGAACCAGTGGATTGTATCGCGAGCCAAGGATGTCTATGGCGACGATGCAGATGTTTTCCGGCCAGAGAGGTGGCTTCGTGAAGACAACGAGACGAGTGTGGCGCATGAGGCGCGTTTGAAGATGATGAAGGACGGAGACTTGGTCTTCGGCGGTGGCAACAGAATATGCTCGGGGAGACATATGGCGACCATTGAGATGTTCAAGGTAACGGCGACGTTGTTCAGCCGATATGATGTGAGTAAGATGATCTCAGCAGTTTGCGTCTCTTCTAATTCTAGTGACACATACAGCTTCATTACTAAACTATTTCACAGATGGAGCTCGACGACCCCAGCATGGACTGGACGACTCATCTATGGTGGTTCATTTTCACCAAAGACATACGAGTAAAAATAACTCGACGTATAAAGTGATTTGCATGGGACACAACACGAGGATCTCCAGGCTGGTATTATTGAGAACTAGTGGCGTCGAAAACGACAAAGAAGAAACGAAGTACGAGGTGAGAGTGATTCAACCATCCGCTCTTCAAGAGGCAAAGAGAAGGAAAAGAAACTGATTTTTTTTATTAAAAAAAATAAAAAAAAATAAAGGGAAACGGAGAACGCGAGAAGATGAATGCAAATAGAATCATACAGCCCGTCGAGGATATGTAGCAATTTCCGCCTCAGGGGCAAGACTCTAGATAAAGCTGTCCTTGGTCCCAATCAAACGCTCCAGATTCTCTCTTAGGTAAAACGTCTGATGGTGATGCTATCCTTCTCCGAATATGGCACCTCGATCACCCCTGGTCTAATGAGTCGCGGCATAATCTTCTCATGGAACAACTCATCATTGCGCACGCTAGATACGAGCATCGTTCGAAAGACCCTGCGGTGACATACAGGCATCTCCCAAGCTGTTGAGCGTCTCGGGCAGTTCGAGAGGGCCCCGTGAAGCCTCTTTGCGGCCTCGCCTCCTTGATACACTGAGTCGGCGATGCTTTGAACTGCAGCGGAAATTCTGCCCGAAGAAGAACGGTGAGTTTGTCGGCGAGGTCGGCGGTGCAAGGGCACATTCCATCTCAGCTGTGGCCTTGCATTTTACATTTGCAAGGCTGGAGCCGTGTTTTGCGTTGACGTCTCGGTAGCACGGTGAAGCCGCCGCGGTCGACAACCTATTTATACTGCATTGCTCGTCCCGGGTATGGAGTGTTGCAGCAAAGGAGTTACCGTGTTGGTCACAGCCGTGTCTCGTTCAGTCGAGGCAGAGTAAGCGAGCCTGTAGTCGAAGGCCAGCCCGCTATCACAGTTGTGACTGGCTGGCCAGCCGCACTTTCCTACGAGCTGTGATGACCATTGGAACGCTTGAGGAGGTTTTATCACGGCACAGGTACATGCCCCCTTCTCTGCTCCGGATCATTGGTATTGGTCATCGGCACTAATACTTTGACGCCTTGTCATGCACTGGACAAATGTACAGACCACGCCGGGCATGGACGGCAAAGCCTACTCCCATTGACAGTTCTGCAACATGACCAGACCTGAATTTCGTTCTCAACCAAATCTTGCCTGTTCATGGCCTCTCGCATGTCTTGTGTGGTGCCTGATCTTTTCCCGTCGACATGTTGACTTCATTAGGCCGTAAGCATCACACTGTGGTGGGACGAGAAGCGCATGAAATGTTACAAGGTAAGAACCCGCAGAACAAACTAGATCCTCCATTGGTGTGGGTTCCATTGCGCCTTGAGGGTTGACAGCACCAGGGCTGACGGGTTCCCAGGCATGTATTACTCCGTCTGGCTCAGACTCAGTATCTGCCTCGTAGTATGGATGGGTAGTCGAGGGAATGACATTTAACTAATCACCAGCCAAGACTCCAGACGACCTTGCCCGACTTGATTAATGGCTGAATTGAAACAAAATCTACGTCACATACAAGAACGCAAAGGCGGTCAGAGAAATCGCGCGACTGACTTTTAACCATTTCTGCAAACCTTGTGCTCGCATTAGGGCGTACGGTCTGTCAATGTTTCCAGGCAAAGCCAGGACCCTGGAATATCAAGCAATTTTAGGCTCAACGGCAATTTGAATTATTAGGGACTTGGAATGTGATTACTGTCACCTGTGCTTTCGTAGACTAATCCTTCGGGGACAACTTCCCCGGGCAGGCCACCCCAAATCCCAAGCTTGTAGAGAACAGGTCGTTTGTGTGGTCACAAAGTGTCTCAGCATTAGAGCAGCAACACTTCAATTGAGTAGGATGGCACACAATTCGAAGTTAGAACACCACTTCGGAACCTCGGTAGTCAAATGCTACAAGTGTCCTGGGCACCTACTCACGAACGCTGAGATACCAATTATAGAACAGTGCCCTGGTAATGCATCATAGTTCACATCAACGTGGGGATCAAAAAGTAATTGCAAAAGCCGATTTTTTTTTTCTGGAGATCTCAGCCCACCAGAACCGGACTGACAATCTGTCTACTGTGGGGAAACTCTGTCATAGAACGTTCCTCTGCCACGCTCCCTCGTTGGGAGTCAAATCCATCATGGGGAGACCAGTATCACTCCCTGCAAAGGACCCGGCCGGCGCGTAGTCTTTCCTCCGCCTGAGGAACAGTAAAAGCCTTCCGTGCATCTTCCTTCCTGTGCGTGCCAAACATGAAAGCTCGCAGAGCCAGCCAAGCCCCGTCTCTTCCTTTTCCGCCATTCCGCGAGTGGAACTTGAAAAGAGAAAAGCCTCGCTCGCTCTTGTGTGATGGAAGTATTGGGCCTCTTCCAGCTGTTCGTGACCCTGATTAACCTGTCTATCTTGTCTATCATAGTTTCCCGTGCTCGCCGTAGACGTCGTTGTCGCGCGTCCCGACCAGAAAGATCCGAGAAATCCACTTTTGTCTATTGGTTCCTGTTGCGTCCAGTGTAAAAGCAAAAAAACAACAAAGCGCGGTGCCGAGCCACCGTCATCCATCTATCAGGCCAAATTCCTTTTTGGTATGGAGCGCGTAAAAACATGACCGTCGTAATGCTTCGATCAGATCCAGGGTAGTCTCCCCCCAGATAGATGATGCGCTCGTAACTGCACGCCTCGGGGCCCTTCTGCAGTATGCGTTCCTGGCTTTCCGGAAGAGCCCTCATCTAAAGGGTATCAAGAAGGGTTCCAGAGCCGTGCATAAAACCAATGCAAGCGCTCTGATGACTGAGACTGATGTGAGGACCTGAGCATGCCAACTCTAGAAAGACCCGGGATAATATCCGAGTCAACTCGGTCGTTACGCGCGTGTTTGTTCCGGAAAGTGAAGATGAACAAGGTCGCCAGGCGAATGATCGTATGTACTGAAATCAAAGATGCCTGAGAAGAAGTGTCGAGTGGAAAAGAAAACATGCCGTAAGAAAACGTGGTCCCTTGGTTGGGGAGGTGATGTTTACCACCAGGACGACTGGCCACCCGGACCACCGGGGTTGCCGTAGCCGCCGCCGTAGCCACCGCCGCCGTAGCCACCGCCGCCGTAGCTGGGGGCGGGAGGGGGTCCGCCATAGCCACCACCGTAGCCGCTGTTGGGAGGTGGGCCACCGAAGCCACCACCACCGCCGCCGCCGCCGCCGAAGCCACCGCCTCCGAACTTGCGGAAATCACGGTTGGCACCACCTCCTCCACGACCACGACCGCCGCCGCCACGGCCACGACCGCCGCCACCAAACGACGACTCACGAGCAATGGTCTCTAGGAAGCCCGGAACCTCCTGGTTGGCCTCCTTGAGGAGCTCGATCAGGTCTCGCACGACGCCCCTATTGCCGCGGTTGAAGAAGGCAGTGGAGATACCTGTGTTACCAGCACGGCCGGTACGACCGATACGGTGCACATAGTCGTCAATGTCGGTGGGCAGATCATAGTTCACAACGTGCGTGACGTTGGGGATATCGAGACCACGGGCAGCGACAGCAGTTGCAACAAGAATGGGGCAACGGCCGTTGCGGAACATGTCAAGCGCACGCTCACGCTCACGCTGGGTGCGGTCGCCGTGGATCGACGTGGCTGGGAAGCTCTGGTTGATGAGGAAGTCAGACAGAGAATCCGCCATGCGCTTGGTCTCGACGAAGATCAGAGTCAGGCCGGCACCGTGGGTGTGGAGGATATCAAGCAGGACGGAGCGCTTGTCGATGTCCTCAACGTACTCAACCTTCTGGGTGATGTTCTCAGAGGTGGAACCGACACGACCAACGGAGAGGAAGACGTAGTCCTTGAGGAAGTCGCGGGCAAGCATCTGAATATCGCGGGGGAAGGTGGCGGAGAACATGAGGGTCTGGCGGTTCTGCACACCGGGCATGTCCTCACCCTCCACGATTCGTCGAATCTGAGGCTCGAAACCCATGTCAAGCATGCGGTCAGCCTCGTCAAGAACGAGGTACTTGATGTTCTGCAGGGAGATGCGACCACGCTCTATGAGGTCGACCAGACGTCCGGGAGTAGCCACCAAGAGATCGCATCCACGCTCGATCTGGCGAAGCTGAGAACCAATGTCGGCTCCACCATAGACGACGCAAGGTCGCACCCAGGAACGATAGGCAAACTTCCTCGCCTCATCGTAGATTTGAGAGACCAGCTCACGGGTGGGTGCGAGAATGAGAGATGTGGGGTAGGCCTTGCGTTGACGACCAAAGCCACCCTGACCGACAGGGTTGGCAGATGGGCCGCTCTTGTAGGCCTGAGAGAGGATGGGGAAGAGGAAACCACCAGTCTTTCCCGAACCAGTCTGAGCGCAAGCCATCAGGTCACGGCCGCCCATGACGATGGGGATGGAGTACTTCTGCACTGGAGTTGGGTTGGTGTATCGAGCAAGCGCGATGTTCGAGATCAAGTGGTCGTCCAGAGGAGGGTTGGAGAAGGTAAGGACAGGCTCAGGAACATCCTGACCCGAAGCCTCGACGGGGATGTCGTCGTACTTCTCAAAGTTGATACCGGTGTGCTGCTTGGACGGATCATCTTGGGTACCGAAGAGCTCGCGCTCAACGCGAGGGTTGGCAGGGCCAGGCACGTGTTTTCCATCCTGCCAACGACCATCCCCAGAGCCCCTAGCTTGTCCTCCGCCACCTCCGCCGTGCGCACCGGGACCGGCATACGCGTTGGGGTCGAAGGAATGAGGGCCTCCCCTGAACCCGTTGTTGCGGGGAGGGGGGCCGTTCCACTGGGGACGGTTGTCGTAGGAGTTGTTGCTGTTGACGAGTCAGTCAGTATCTGAGCGGTTGCACGAGTGAACCCAAGCTGACAAGAGCCAGATGGAGCGTCTCGGAACGGGAGGAAGGCAGGAGAGTGCTTACTTTGCCCAGGCGCTGCTGTTGAGGCCGGCGATGGGTCCAGGGCCGGGAGCTGGACCGGGAGGACCGTTCATGGGACCGGGTCCGGGACCCTGGCTACCTCTCATATGAGGCGGGATGTAAGATCGCTTGGTAGGAGGGTGTTGCTCCTGGGGGGTGGGGCCGAGCGAGAGCCCTCCCATGTTGAGTTGATCAGCCATGATTTCGGTCGAGGTTGGGTGTGCTGACGGCTCGGTTTGATGTGGTTGATGTTTTGGAAGGTTGTCGTTGGTTGTTGCTCAAGATGTCATTCAGCCTGAGAAGAGAACGCAAAGGTGGCTCCGATCAAGGAATGAGTGACGAATGGAAAGAACAAGGGTCTATTTGGCGATGAGTGTCGCAAAGTGCAAAACCAGGATGCAGAGAGAAAAGAAGATCTTCTCGTCTCTTCGCTCGTCTATTACGTTTCGCGACAGGTGTGGTTGTCGATTAAGCGTGGCTCGAAATGAAAAGCCTCGCGGATGGCCTTCTCGAAGAAACAACAAATGACTTCTTCAAAAAGGAAAGGAAACTGAACACACAGTTGAGGATGGGATGTGGTCAAAAAGGTTTTGTGGGTGGGTGGGTGTTGGGGGGAAAAGGGAGGAGGGAAGAGGATAGGAGAGAAGGGTGTTGGCTGCTGAAAAAATTGTCAAGTTTTTGAGAGGGCAGGGCCCAGGGCGGGAGGCAGAAGGCAGTCAGTCATCAGAAACGGCACCCGCTGGCTGGCTAGCGCGCTGGCTAATAGACGCTGCCTGGGTCACGTACGTAGAGGAAAGCGCCACCGACGGGGCCGGGCGGGCTGCAGAACCTTGGAGGGATACCCTGCTCTCGACGATGCCGTTTGGATTTGCAGAGGGCGCTAAGCAGATACCTGGCGCGGTTCGCCCCATGTAGGCGATAAGATGTATCGTGTTAGCAAGAATCCATTGATGGCACAAGCCACAATGCCCTTTCCGTCGACAGATCTGTGTGTCTCTTCACTGTCTTGTTTTCAGGTAAGGCACCCAGACACCTGTCTGCCAGTCCGCTGGCGACTGACTACGACACCTGTTTCACATCCTGGGGCTTTCATCTGTCTATTTTCTTACGTAGTTGTATGGTGACCTGAAGGAGCTGGGTTCCATCCGCTTCGGATATATCCGTACCGCGTAGTCTCTGAGCCTCTACCCTTGCTGACATTTTGCCGCAGGAAACCCCAGCGTATTGGTAATAACTGTTCACAGGGCTCCAGGGCGGGCAAACGGGGAACGCTTCAGCAGACGAGATTGCCGGCGGCTCGTCATACCAAATACACAGCAAACGCTAGGCTTCCGAGACCTCACCGCCAGGCTGACACGCCCGACTGCAAGTCCATTCAAGCGACCAACAAAGCGCCTTTGAGTATTGCCTACACCACCTGCATGTTCCACTGCTACGCCACTCCATTCCCACTAGCACACGCAATACAGTATGCAGTCTGACAGGCAGGAATAGCCATCCATTTCTCAGCACCACACGGCTCTGACAACAAAACGCCGCCCCAACAAGGCACGGTCACTGCAACAGATCGCGGCTGTGGGCCGATCCTCCTTCTCAGGCGCTCCTCAGACAAGGAAATCCGTTTCTGCAACGTCGAGTGTGACGAGAGACCAGGTGCAACCCTTGGTTTCCCAGCCCCCGGCCCATCTTGCTGCAACTGACATTCGTGCTATAACCTCATTCGCATCTCCAGTCTGCATTCACTTCAACACACACACACACAAGCTGGCAGGGTGTGTGTGCACTCAGTAATGTATATGCAGCACACAATTACGCGCCATACTAGGTATTATCTATCAGTGGCCGCTTGGTGTCCTGTGGCTCCCATTGTCACGCTATCATGATTTCACATGCCTGGACTGCTGGAGACCCTGACTGGCCTGGGCCGGTCTACGGCAATTACCCCAATCTCAACACTGTTCGTCCAAAAGGCCATTAGGTCTCTTGAAATTCTATCATGGCGATCTAGCTGTTTCGACGGTTTTCGGCCTACAAGTCGTCCTCGGAGGCTTTGAAATTTTGGAATCTAAGGTTTTCGCCCCTTTCTCTCATCTGCTGAGGGCATCCGGCTTTCTTCGCCACCCCCCACAACGTCATCACGCATCTGCAGCAGGTGGCCCTGGTGAGCTGACTCAAAAGGCCTTCACTGCTTCATGCATCGTGATCATTTCCATTGGCTATCTCTATGCCTCTGTGTAATTCCATGGTATAATACACTTTCTTTTGCTTGAGAACCGAGCCCGTCCGTAATGCGCCCCTGCCCGCCCTCTTAAGCACTCTTCACCACCTTGTCATCATCGAATTCAATGTCGATAATTCCGTCCTTCGTTACTGCCTTCACAGTCATGCCCTTGAAATCGATAGGCATCCTCCTCTTCAGTTCGTCCGTGCACTTGTTCAGGATCTTGATACCCTGATGGAGAGTGATGTCGGGGTGATGGTGCTTGTCGAGGATGGATAGGCAGTAGTATCTGTGATAGAGTCCATGTCAGCGCTCACGAACGGTCACACGCCCCTCCCAAGGCCGCCGTCGTGCGGTGAAGACATAGACCTACTGCGCGTAGCCGTGGGCAGCGTAAGGCACTTCTGCCAGTGACGCAAGGTAGTCCAGCCAGTACAGGCTGGGCTTCTGTGTGATGGGGTCGACTCCGCCGAGGAGGAGGTTGACATTGTATGGCTTCCGTGACCGCAGGCTCGATGCAAGCTCGCCACGGACAAAGTGCGCCAGTGCTGACGGTGACAGGTCGGTCTCGTTGCGCATCGAGTAGAGCTGAGCATTGGCCTGGAGGTACTCGGCAAATTGCACTGTAGAGAATGGTCAGCTAGACCGCGTGTTTTAGAAGTTCCCTGGAGAGAATCATACCAGTATCACCTGCTTCTCCAGAATACGCCATCAGGGTGTGCTTGTTCAGTTGTCGGGTCTTGTCATCGGCAGCTTTCAGAATAGTGGCACCTCGCATCGCAGCCTTGGAGGCCGCGATCAAGGTGAAGTCCTTGCCTGTAATTCCCAGCAGAACCTCCCTGCGACCATGTCGTTAGAACGTGTATCTTGCGGGTTGAGTACAGTATGCGCGGAGACTCACATTGTGTATGTCGGTGCGTGTCAAGGGGTGACGGGGAGAAAGTATTGCGTTGATGGAGGAGAGTTGTTGGTCGATCAAGCTCCCCCGGATGGCAGCTTGCGTGAGCTTCCAGCCGGCCTGTCGTCAGGTCTCCCTCCAGGTAGCGAGCAGACGAACGCGGCCCGCGCTTGCCTGGGGGGGCCTGGGCCGCAGTTGTCTGCCGGCAGGCAAACCAGAGGTGTCCCAGCACTAGTCTAAGTCCCTAGGTACCTTGGACAGGGATGTGGTCCCTGGTGGGGGCCGTGGCCCAGAAAATTATTTCCAAAATTTCTTGACCAAGACAACCTTAGCAGCATTGGAGAAATCTACCTATTCGGCAGGTCGAGGCAGCCATAGTTCTGGCGACGACTTGCAGCTGCCACCACCACCACCACAGTCATGTCGTCTTTCTTTACGGGCCCTGGGGTCCAAAGCAAACGGAAGAGACAAACTTCAGCAGCAGACGGTCCAAAAAAGAGATTAGCAACATCTTCCAACTCGATCCCCGTGCAAAAGTCGGCCGGCAAGGCAACCAGAAGGCCAGGCAACCCCGCGCCGAAGAAACAGAGAGTCGAGCGTGACGAGTCAATATCAGGCAGCGGCTCGGACGATGACGACCTTCCTGAGGACGAGGACGAATTCAATGGAGTCGACTGTGACACCTCGGGGTCAGAGGCTGAGGGAGAGACAGCGGCGGAGCGGCGATTGAGATTGGCCGAGCGGTACCTTGACAATGTGAAGGGCGAAGTGCAGGACGAGTACGGCTTCGACGCCGAAGAAATCGACCGTGACCTTATCGCCGAGCGAATGCAAGAAGATGTCGCCGAGACAAAGGGCAAGGTCTACAGGCAACTTGCCGGCGAGCTGCTATTCGAGCAAGCATCACACACGATTTTCAGGTGGAACTCGCAGAACGTGAACTCGATAGCCACGTGTGCTCCATACGCCTATACGGTCTCCAAAGACATGTACCTGGTGAAGTGGAAGCTCCAGGACCTGCCGCAATGCCAGTGGCCGCAGACAACAAAAAAGAAGCCCAAGAAACCACCTGCGCCGCCCAAGAAGAAACCACAGCGGGTGGCATCGAGTCGAGGCGACACCAGGAAAGCGAAAGACAAGAATTACCAGGGCCACACCGGTCCGATACTGAAGGTCGCAGCATCACAGGACGGGAAATTTGTGGTGACAGCTGGCGCGGACAGGAGGATGGTGGTCCACGATGCCGAGACGTTGAAGCCCATAAGAGCATTCACTCAACATCGTGACGCTGTCACGGGCCTAGCCTTCCGCCGGGGCACGAATCAGCTGTACTCGAGCTCCAAGGATCGGACCGTCAAGGTATGGTCACTCAACGAGCTCGCCTACGTCGAAACACTGTTCGGCCACCAGGACCACGTCGTGGACATCGATGCACTTGCTCAAGAGCGCTGCGTGAGTGTAGGAGCGCGAGATAGGACTGCACGACTGTGGAAGGTTGTTGAGGAGACACAACTGGTCTTCCGCGGCGGCGGTTCTGGTATCTCCGAGAAGAAGAAGGACATAATGCCGAACAACAACGTCGACCCCAATTCCAATGCTCACGAAGGAAGCATGGACCGGATTGCCATGATCGACGATGACATGTTCGTCACGGGCAGCGACAACGGTTCTATAGCTCTGTGGAGCTTGCAGAAGAAGAAACCTGTATTCGTCCTGCCCCATGCCCATGGTATCGAGCCAGCACTGGCACCAGAGAAGTCATCGGGCGAGATAGATCCCGACCCTGCGGTGGTGCCCCCTCCTCAGCCGCGGTGGATCACAGCTCTGAGGACAATACCATACTCAGATATCATCCTGTCAGGCAGCTGGGACGGGTACGTCCGCGTTTGGAAGCTGAGCGAAGACAAGAAGCGGCTCGAGCGCGTGGGCGTCCTCGGCGCCACGTCCGACGAGGACGGCAACGTTCTGTCGCACAATCCACAGTACCAGTTCCCTCAGCAGGCACTCACGAACGGCAACGCAGATGAGCCCAAAGTCAACGGCAACTCATCATCGCAGGAGGTCGCACGGAAAGAAAAGGACAAATCGGCCTCGCCCACCCCGGACTCTGCCCTCGGCCTCGTCAAGGGCGTCATCAACGACATCTCCACCTTTGAGCGCGGAGACCGCGGCAGGGACGGGCTGTGCGTCGTCATCGCGCTGGGCAAGGAGCACCGCCTCGGCCGGTGGAAGAAGCTGCAGGGAGCTCGGAATGGCGCCATGGTGTTCGAGGTGCCCAGGGTGCGGAAGGAGGTCGTCCAGACCAATGGTGTTGATCATGCGTCCGACGAGGACTCGGCGTCATAATTTGCATAGCATTCATGATAGGCATGGCTTCAGAAAGAACTGAGGCAAACATGATAAACATCCCTCCTTTCACATCGTGTTCGATTTGGCCTACGAGACTTACGTAGTCGACTTTGCTTGCAGAGGATGTCCGTTTGAAGAGGCATATGCAAGCCATGCTCCAGGGATATTCTGAGGGCACAGCTGGTGTAAAGTCCTGGTGGCTGTCTCAAGCCGTCCTCTGTCTTCGTTGTGTAGACTGTCCTAGAGACCTGGTCCATCTACGCAGAGCCAAGCCTACACTTTTTGGTCGATGCCCACACCGGAGATACTGCTTTGCTCCTCCTTCAGGCAGAGCTCTGATACCGACGGGCATGCTGAAGCTGAAAATTTGTGCAATATGCGTTTGGGATTGGGTCCACTTGAGTTTCATTATTTTCTAACGCTGTTTCAGCACCGGCACACCATTGAGCCAGAGGACGCTCGTTTGCGTGAACGAGTCTCTACCATGAGAGCCGGCTCTATTCAAGTGCCTGTTCCTCGGAATAACTCTGTACACGAGTTTGTCCTTCGTCCTGGTCGCCCATCTCACCGAGATCCCATCATTCATTCCAAGGTCAGGTCGATCGTAGGGCTCTTCTTCTTCTTCTTCTTCTTCTTCTTGACTTCCTTGCCTCCAGCTTCTTCTTCACTCGAGGACGGAATGACTTCGCTCTTCGTGACCTTACTTTTCGCAGTGCCAAGCTTGCGAGCATATCTACTTCCCAAGTGAGAATTTGCAGTCTTGACCACATCAAGACCTTCACGATTCGCACTACGCTTAGAAGGTTCAGCCTTGCCCGGTGAGCTTTTAGCCGATGATGATGATAGCGGCGGCAGAAATTTCCTATCATCATAAGCAGTGCCAGGCGTGGCCGTCCTGGTACTTGCGTTTTGAGGCGTGTGCCCAGTAGACGGTGTCCCTCTTGCTGCTGGTTGCTCCGGGGCGTCGTCACCGCTATCTAACTCAATTGAATCCACAGGCTTTGAGGCGGGTGTGATCGAAGGGCTGTGTGCTTTGGTCTCCTCGATGCTCTCGTCGACATTCACAATCATGCTAACGTTGTTGATATTGACAGATTTGTCGCCGGCCGTTGGCTGTGGCAGATGAGCCTGAGGCTCTTCATGAGCTGGTCGTATATCCTGATCAACAGCTGGCCGCGAAAAACTCCTTTCAGCTTGTACGGGTGTCGCCTGACGAGAGTTTGCCGCTGAGCCTGGTGGAGGTGCGGGCGATTGTCGAAAAGGTGGCTCGTCAGAAGACCGAGAAGGTAACCCTGTTGTCGTCGCCAGGCCCTGCTGCTTAAGCTTTTGACGCTTGACCTGAGCCCTCTCACGCCTCATTCGTTCCTGATCTTGCTGGTATTCTTTCTGCAGCTTGAAAATGAGATCGCGGATCTCACTCCGTAACGTGGGAGCATCGAAGTTCCAAGTTCGCTCCTCACGCTGCAGGATGTTCGTCGCAAACCTGTCCGGGTCCTTCATGAATTCTCGCATGTACCCCAGGAGATAAACACCGCAATCCGTGAAGTTGGGCTGCGTTGGGATATCCCGTGCACTCATTCCGATGGTAGCAGGGGCCTCGACACGCAGCCCCTTCTTGGCCTCGATCTCGTGCTGCAGATAAATCTTCAGCGCGGTGCTGACCGCCGAGTGCGTGCCATCTAATGAATCAAGGGTAATCACCCTTGTTGCTTTAGGGTCGTACTTCCGTTGGTTACCTTTCTTTGGGGCTTTCGTCTTCTTCGCAGCAGCCGTTCTCCTGTCTTCCTGCTGTTTTGACGCAGTTTCGGCTGGTTCGTCCTCGATCGAGATGTGGCTGACATCGACGGCGATCTTCTTCATGGTGTCATTGGCTGACACCTCTGACACCTCATCCTCTCGGACGGCCTCCGCCTCATCTTGAGGCTTATCCAAGCCAGGCTCATCTGCTTCCGATGCGGTCTCTTGGGATGAAAGGAGCTCCCTTGCATTGCAAATGATAGCGACATACCAATGTGCGTGCTCATTGATTGGCACGATGATGTAGTCGAACGAAAGAAGATCAACTTTGGCTGTCCAGTTTTTGACGCCTTCGTAGTTGACTGTCCCTCGTTTTGGCTTCAGCTTCTCCCAGAAGAAAGAATTGAAGCAGTAGACCTTTTTAGCCAGCTGTTCATCTCTATCCTCCAGTTGCTTGTGAAGGAATTTGATATAAAACGTGATGATTTCATCATTCAATAGCTGGCCCTCGTCGAGTCGTTCCACGTCGCTTTTGCCGACGACTGTACGTTCGTACACGAGATCGATTTTCCAATCATCGGCCCAGTTAGGATGCTTGTCCGTCCATCTTTCGACCGCTGGAGAGGGGCTTTTGGGCTTGGGGCCCGCCGATCGAAGATTTCGCTGGGACCGCAGCTCGGGCTGAGAGGTGCCTGCCCGAGAAGGGGTCTGCCACTTTTCCTCATTGCGCACAATCCGCCGTGGTTGATACTCTGACTGACTCTCGTCACCAAAGTCCTCTCGCAGTTGCTTCACTTGCTCGGGTGTCATAGACGTTGCTCCGTGCGCAAGGACCTTGGGTTGAGTTTTTCCCTCGGCCAAAGCTGAGGCATCAGTCCTCATTTGCTGTCGAATCGGCCTTTTATCGACAGCTTGCTGTGAAGATGATGTCACCGGCCTTGCCAACCGGACTGACGATTTCGGATTGCTACGATTGGTCGTGGACTCTTTATGCTCCAAGTATTGCACATCGGTGTCAGCTACTTCCTTCGCTTTCGCTTCGTTGTATGCTGCAATTTGTTCAATCTTGTGGTCCATCTCCTTGACAAGAGTGCCGCTGTGCCGGATCAGTAATGTGCTAGTGATCTGGAACCCTTGGGACTTACATAGCCATGTTGTCCCTGGCATCGATGCCACGGATCTTGCAGCACCGGGTCACAAATTGTTCCTGGTGAGCGTTGCGAAATTGTAAGAACATGACTGCCCCTGTCTTCAACACTGCAGTCGTGTCCGAAGACTTCACTATCTTGACAACCATTGAATTTCGGGCGCACGAAATTTGCGTGACCTTGGAAATCTTGGGCGTCAACCATTCGAGATCGGGTATTGGCTCTCTGGACACAGCATCGACAGCTTCGAAAGGCGAATTCACGTCCGTACGTGAGATCAGAAGACAGGACTTATTGCTTGCGCCCTTAAGATCTCCGTGCATGCCTCCATCAGCTGGATACACGTAAGTGGGTTCGCAGACAGCCTTAATGACTTGAAGCCCGCCACAATCATCTCCAACTCGTGCAGCTCCAGAGGCGAAATTCGTTCTACGCATATCGGCGCGATTCGAAGATTGTGTCCGCCGTTTGGCTGCGGGTAAGATCTGCGATTCCTCGTCGATTACGATCTCGGTTGGACGCTTTCTTCCATTCGTAGCTTGGCTCACTGACCCGGTCTGTCTTTGGGACCTGGGGTTGACATGAGCCGGCTGGTCTGCACTCAGCTCGTCGTCGCTTTCGTCGACGCTTGTGAATTTCGAGGCTGTGTAGACAGCATTCCCTGTTGCTGTCTTCGCATTCGCCCGGCCGTTGATCACAGATGCGCGAGCTACTGGGCCGTTCGTCACCTCTAGTTCTTCGTCGTCCTGGATAGGATCGTCCGAGGGCTTTCGAAGAGACAGAAGATTATTCCGTGATTTGTATCGCGCTGACAAATTTGTCTTCTGCAAGCACGCCTCAGAGGCACCGTCTGCAAGGCCGCCGGAAGAGCGCCGTGCTTTATCCCTCCTCCTCGGCCGTGTGCTTTTTCTAATGCCTCCCCTGTGCTCTGTGCTGCGATACTCTTCGAGTCCCTTGCCGTTCGCGGACCTATCGGCACTTGATCGTAGACTCAGGGCATCGTGGGCTCCTTTCCTTTGGGCGCTGCTGGCCGCGACAGATCTCTCGGGCAGTCCGGAGCTGCTAGGTGTGGAGCGGATGTCGTGGCCCGTATCGTCCTCGGTTCGCGGTCGCTTCGGGGTATTCTCGTGGGCGAAGTCGTTGAGACGTTTCTGGGTCTTAGCGGGCGCTTCTGGCTGAGGAATTGGGCCGTTGAGCCAGTTTCCGAAGGCGAAGCTTTGGCTGAGTTTCTTGAGGCGGTCATTCATGTTTGCGTCTCCTGGTTTCCTGGTGATCTTCAGCAACGGAGCCATGAGATGATCGCCAAAGACTTACCCATAGTCGGGGAAGGAGTTCTTGTCAGACCAGTACCTCTCGATCGGATTCCTGTCATAAGCTCAGCTCCGGCTCCATGATACGCCGTGATAGGTCTTCCAAGCTACCATGGAGGGATCTTCGCCGCAGCAGTAGGACCATCCGCCGCCGTGGTAGCGGGTTCGCCGCAACCAGTGCCTCTTCTGTTGACTCGGGTCGCTCGAGGCTCTTCTCTGTGCCGGATACGGGTCAGGCTCCTCTGCCTCCAAAGCGCACAGGTGCAAAAGCGTCAAGACTCACGCAAGACCTGCCTCCACGACGTGATCCGTCTTGCCCGTCTTATTCGGTCGCACGGCCGAGTCGCCGGCCTGTACAAAGAGTTGAGATAGCCGCAGGGATTTCTTGAGGGTACAAGAAGGGATTAGTGAGTGTAGCAGACAAACAGACCGGAAACAAAGACGGCCAACCAAATGGGCAGTCGACTGCACCTGCGTCGTCTGGGGAGACTTTTTGACGTTGAGATCGGTCTCAAGTTGCGCACCTGCACCCACCATCCCTGTCCGGGTGGCCCCACTTGCCTTGGGAAAGTACCTGGGCAGCTGAGCACCCAGGACTGATGTCAACCCACAGCTAACAACCACAGGCACTAGCGGCAGGGAAGGGTACGGAAGGTGCAAGTAAGAAAGAAGCAAACGGGCATGACCGTAAACAATGTCCTGTAGGAAACGGTCAACTCACCATCTCCCAGCCCATCTTGCTGCACAGCGGAGCGTCTGGGTCTTTTCACCGATCAGTGGACTACTAGGTTCCCTCGGGTCGGGGGTCCCGGCCCAAATGGTTTGAAGCTCACCACAGGCACCCGGATTTCAGCAGTCATCCACTGTACAGCTCACAAGGACGGCTGAAGCTGTGTACCGTGAAAGGCGGAGGCGGCGTCATCTCATCATGCGGTCGAGGACTCTGCAAGAACAAAGGGGAAACCCAAGGTGGTCACATTTATTGTGCACCAGCACAGGAGAAAGGCCGGTTGCAGGTGTCAGTCTACAGCTACAGCAGCATCAGCGTTCTTGGAGAGGGGAGTTGCGGAGTTAGAGTATGCACTCCTCCGTCCAAGGTTTCTCACATCATCCATCTGCGTACCTATAGGAGCCTAGGATAAGTAGGTACATAGGTACACGGATAGCATCATCAAATCCTAGCAACTCCCACCTCTGGTAACCTTCCAATTCACGAGCTCCAGAGCGCAAACGTTTCAGCCAGGAGCCCATGGCCTCTGGGGTTTCCAATGTCAACAATGCGGGACTACCGTCTCATCCTGCACCCGGAAAGCGAGGAGCTATCTTTCAAGGACACAGATCTGTACATGTCGAACGATTGTCTGTTGGCGACATCTTCGATGACAAAACAGGTGAGAATTTCTAATTATAGCCTAGGTTGGACCTGGTTGGTTCGGCACAGGACTGACCAACATCACAAACGATCTTGCTCCTAAGATCCACGAGAATAGTAACAATATCACTGCTGTCTGTTGTATTGTCCACTTTCCGTCCTTCACTTCTGGGCATCGAGTACGCCCTTCATATTTTCCCCGCTCGTATAGTCTCAGCACCTCACGTCTCAGTCCGGATCTGTCTATTCTAGAAGTCCTCACCAGTAAACGGGCTCTGAACGCTGCCAAATCCCTGAGGACACTGCCTCCCCAGTCCAACGCTTCCGCTTCTCATGTAGCAGATCCTTGCCTCGGCGCATGCTTGGCTGGTGCAGTTGGGGCTCATAACACTACTTTTTCCCTGGTAAGTATTCTGCAGCGACACCAGGCTTCTGTCCTTCTCCATCGCCTCGGTGACCCGATGCCAAAATGTTGCATTCAAGGGCTCACTATCCGCCCAGCCCGCCGCTGCCCCGTACGCGTCGCGGGTAGAGTACTCAAACTCCCAGGTTGGCCCGGACCCTTCGAGCGAAGAGAACTTGGAGACATCCGAGTAGAATGTGTACGCGTCCATGACCTCGAAGGAGCCGGTATCTATCTCGTACATCCTGTATCTGTACTCCGCCGGATCGGTTAGTTTCTCTTATAGAAGTCAAGGCCAAAACCAGAGCCGCGTCGCAGCTTGTGCCATATGCCACACAAAAGACCTGTCCCCCCGCCCGCCCCACAATACCGTCTTTCCATTCGCTTCCCAGGAGCAGGCCCCAATGTGTGATATAGGACAGTAAATCACTTACCCAGAGTTAATATGTGTAAGTGGGGTGAGTGAGGGGCCGACCCAGGCGTTGGCAATGGCATTCTCAGCAGACTGCGTTGTGCCGTTGTTGCTGTAATAGATGAAAGCTTGGTCTTCATGGGTGTGGCCAAAGAATACTCCGGCAATCACGTGGGGAGAGTATCGCTCGACTATCTGATAGAAGTAATCAGCCCCGCCTGGCGTGGGATTTGTTCCGTCCCCTGGAACATTGTGAGTAAAGATTTTGGTTTTTATCAATGGAAAGAAAGACGTTGAACATGGTCGCTGAGGTACGGGCTCACGATTTCTCGTGCACTGCACCCTCTAGACTACCCAGAACACAGATAGCCTCCTGTGAGTACTTACAGCCGGTCAGGACGTGGCTGATGATGTAGGCTCGCTGGCCAGCATCTTCAGCCTTCTGTAACTCATCGATGAGGAAGGTGAATATCCCGGAGTAGTCAGGATCTGCAACATGCAGGAAAGCGTAGTAGTTGCCCTGGTAGTAGAAATCGCTGTTGAGGGTGATTATTCTAACCCCAAGTGGGTGAGTAACCGCGTATGCTCCATAATGCAAAGCAGCCTCAGCCTGAGTACTGCTATTGATCCAGCCATAATGCTCCCACAGTTGTGAGATGTGGTCATAGTTCCATGAAAATTGCTTGCCCAGCGGTCCGTCATTGTCAATTTTGTGAGGGGCATCGTTGTTCTCCGGGCTGCTGTCATGGTTGCCCAAGGCAGTGTAAACGGGTCCCCCAATGTACGCTTTAAACATCTGGAGGAGAGCATCCTCGACGTTTTCGACAAAGGCTTTCGACAGCTGGGCTTGGGAAGGCGCGTGAGTGACCATATCTCCAGTGTAAAAAGTCATTGCAGGGGGGTTATCTCGAGATGTTCCCGTCAAAGGTCCTATGGACTGTAGGGCTGCAAGTGCCAGGTAGTACGGCGAGTCACAGTCATACCAACCATAAAGAGGAGCCGAAAGCTCGACAGCTGGCATACTTCCATTCGATTGAGGACTGCTAGGCCGACAACAAGGCCTGTTAGTACAGTTCCCTTCTGTACCAACCTGGTATCGCGGATCTAGATGTAGGAGTCAGTCGAGTTCCCTTCTCTGCAGAAGCTCATTGCTCACCTAAGTGCATGTCCGACAAATGGAAGACCTTTGCCCTCTTCCCGCTCCTCATAGGCACGCTTGTGTCAACCGGCCGCTCCTTCGGGAATTTGGCCTTGACAGGAATCACCGGTGGCGTACTGCAGAACTTCGTGCTCAACGAAGAGCAGATGTACTGCCCGTCCAGGCCCGCAACATCAGCTTTTACCAACACCTGCGTCCACACAGCCCCAAAGCTGCCCGCTTTGTAAGTGGTCTTGCACGATGAGTTGGAGCCGAATCCAGTGGCCTGGCAGAGAGCGACCATGGCGTCCGGGACACTTGCGGGAGCCAGACTTGCCGCCAGCTTCGCAACCGATAGTGCTGCTACACATTTAGAACAATTGCCGGCCAACCCGCTATTGTTGGCTGAGATGATGTCAAGGATCTCGGCTACAGCTGCCGATATAATAGCAGCGCTGGCGGTTTCCGAGAGATTGGCAGCAGCCACAGGATAGAGGACAGGGTCCAGGTCTTCCGTCGGTATAGTTGATGGGTCCGTGAGATTCAGCGGAAATGTGATGTTTAAAACAGGATCGTATATGGCTGGCTGAGGCTCCTGTGTTGGCCCTGGTTGGACTTTCTCACTGTCAGGACTTATATTGTTGGGCCACGTACCGGAGACACTGGCAGAATACTCTTACCGTAGTAGGACGAATACACCGACGTAGGGAATGCAGTAGGGACTACATAATACGCTTCTCCTGGGATAGTGGCCTCGGTGGCAGCCACGACGGCGAGAAGCGGATATTGTGGCCGCATACTGGACAAAGGCGTAGCCGAAGGGCGGTTCAGCTTTGGTGTGCAGGCAGACTACTTCAGTCCAGGACCACTTCGAGGTGCTACAGGCTGCAGACCACAGTCAGCGGGTAAAACGAATGGCACAGGTTTCCAGAGAGCTCGAGGGCAGCCTGGCATAAGTATCTTGGCAATGCATTATGCTGCATTCTCGTGGATATTTAATCGTCAAGCCACAAGCTGACTGGGAACACAAGAAGATGTTCTGATGTCCAATGAAAGTTGTTGAGTGAGATGCGTGAGGGGCGCGATAAGCTGCAAAAGGACGAGGCCGACGGGAAAACGTGCAGGAATCATTGGATTCCAGTTCCGGCCCGGGGACGGCGATACGGATCTGCAGGAAATGCACCCACGACCGATCGTTCGGGCTGCAGCACGTGTGCCCAGCACAATAGAAGCCTAGGTGATGAGTGCCGGACCAGGGTCTCGAGTAGTGACTGCCGTTGAACTCAGCAATGGCAACTTAGCATACCTTCTCATACCTCCTTGGTAAGGCTGATTATTCAAGGCGAGCCGAGCTGGCGAGGAGGCAGGCAATCTGCTTAGACAGCTGTAGAGGTCCGAGATAGGCCACCTGGCCTGGCACACGACACTTTGCTGCCCTAGACAACCAGTAGCTCCTATTATACACTCTGACCTGGACCGGACATCAGATAGCGGACCATGGTGTCGCTGGCATGAAAATGACTGATGGCGTTGAAGAATGTTGGCCTCCATCGGTCCGAAGCCACGTGGTGGTTGCTTCCATTGCCAGTTGCAATCAGATTTCCAAACGAAGCTCTTTGGGTGCTTGCGGCTTGTGCACATTGGCCTCTTTCCAAAGAGCAGAATGTGAGCTGAATTGGCTCGCTCAGCCGAAAGGCGGCCTTTGGTATTGAGGGTGATGATAGGCAGGGTACTATCAACATTGTGTTGCACAGATGTTGAGCCCGCGGATGGGCCCCTGGAGCCTCGCCTTGTGAAGAAACGGTTGCAAATGAGGTGGAGTGCGTGGCTGCCGTTTTGGGTAGGTTGGCCAAGGCCAGCCTTGTACGCCGCCTTCCCCTGCCCTGCAGCGGCTGTTCATGCTCTCACCTTAGCTCGCCCTGCGCTTGCACCTCCTGCACCTCCCGCATATGAACGCGCTCATTGTCTTGCTGCCATGATAGGGCACCCGCAACCCGTGGCCAGACCCAGCCCCTCATACTCCTAAAGTAATCACGTCCACTCTCTCAGCTGCTGTCCTTCCACGCTTCCAGCGTAACGTGACGGGCCGAGGTCCCTGGCATGGGCCGCCAGAGACTTGACTAGGCGTCGATGAGCGGCTCCAAGCGGAAGGCAACCAGCATCAGCACCACCACCACCAGCAGCGCCAGCAGCAGTAAACACAATACCAGTTGGCACTCAGGCACGCCAACGCGCGTCTCGGACAGGACCAACACGTATGCGCACCCGTAGCCAGGCCAAGGCCCAGCGTGCTGCACCTCCGAAAAGACCAGGGAGACCAAAGCTGCGCCATGATACCCGCCAAGACAACGTCTTTGCCATCAAGGATATAATTGACGAGAAGTTCCTCCACGGCAAGCGTCACTACAAGATCGACTGGCAAGACGATCCAAACACTGGGGAGTCGTTCTCGCCAACTTGGGTTTGCCAGCACTCCCCTCAACAATTCAAGCCTTGGACTAACCCCTGATCCAGGAGCCCGCAGAGAACGCAAACGAGGACGCTGTCAAGGACTGGGAGAGGGACAAGCAGCGCCGTGCCCTGCTCAGTCTCACACCGGAAGCCATCGCCGACAGTGAACCCTCTGAGGCCTCAACACCTGGTGAAGCAACCGGCGAAGCACCTGCTCGAGGCATCTTTGTTGAGCTGCAGTCCAAGTCGGATTTCTTGAGGTCAAGACCAGAGTTTGATCTTTCCGACGTTCTCGTTGTCTCATCGTCCCAGCTCTCACAATTCCCTCACTCCCACTCTCCGATTGAGCTTCCGCCCTCTCAGTTCTTCGTCGCCTCATCTCATCCGTCTCTGGGCTTTATCGCAGATTCCCAGCCTGCAGACCCGGTTATTATTGAGTCGCAGCAGACAAAAGCCACGACTAGGCACCCAGGCTTCAGCCAGACGACCATTCCTGATTCCCAGGATTTTTCAACAGATTTGTCGCAGAACCCCAACAGCGCCAGCTTCACGGGCCAAGGAAGTAACCGGCCACCAGTGGGTCAGGTGACTCAGGACGAAGCAGGAGCATCCGTCAGAGCCGCCACGCAACTCCCATCGTTCGACTCGTCGATACCGTCTCGTCAACCTGGCACCGTTTTGGGCTCCTTTGGAACACATTCGATCCCCTGTTGGGAGGAAGGGGACTGTCTGAAGGAAGACGACCAGCAAGGAGCCCAGACAGAGCACTCGCAAGTAGAGAGCGCGGTCTCAGGGAGGCCAGCGTCTAGTTTCGAGGGCTTTTTCACTCAAGTGGAATTCGAAAGTGGCAATTACGATTTGCCCGGCGGCACAGAACCACGACATTCATCTAAAAACACCGCTTCCCAAAGTGAGCAACCTTCAAACACCTTGGCTGAGGTGACTCCAACGGACGACTCTCAGCAAGCTGCCCAGATAGTGTCGCCTCTAGCAGCAGAAGCTCCTTTATTCCACACACAAAACGAGGAAGACTTCTTCACTGCGTCGGAGGATTACGAGGTCGTTCCGGACACTCTGAGGAAGAACTCAGGACGCAGCCATGGATGAGTCGCAGGTCGTTCCGTCGGAACGCTCAGCGATCGAGGAACTAAGGGCAATCCAGGAGGCTTTCATACCTGGCTATCAAAATGATACCGCAGTCGACAACACGACAGGAGGACAAGATCCAAATGCGCCGCCTTCACCGGTCTCGCCATCCGCGATCCTCAACAGCGTAGAGCACGATTCCATCGAGAACCTGCACCATCCGGATCCCAATCATCCTGCTGTTGACCCAACATCTTGGGTTCACGGACCACCACCCGAACTATTTGCGGACAGTATAGAGCCTCACCACGATGCGTCGACTATGGACTCTAACATAGCATCTTTGAAACAACCTGCGGCAGCCTTGGGTGCAATGGAGGAGCTGGACTTGTCAGCGAGTGCTCTGAAACCACATGTGGGAGCAAGTCTTGAAGGGAGCGATGTCCCCGTCACAGTCACCCCGTCCGCCCTGTTCACTTCCGCGGATCTCAACGTTCCACCTGGCCTCTCACTTCGACCAGGCGGTGGTTTGCCTGAAGAAGCGGAACCCGGTGTTGCATCAAGTGAGGGCCAAGACGATACCGCCATGCATGACGACCAGGACTTCGACATTCTCCCCTCCGAGGACAGTGCACCAAACGAGTACCTCGTTCCCATACCTCCTGCGGCCAGAATTCGCGCTGAGGTCTTGGAATTCATCAATCAACATCGTCAAGAAATACACGCTTTCACTACAAATGTCTATAGCGGCGATGGTGCCCAGTCGCCAGATCCTAAAAGCACCGCGAAGATCGACGAGATCCTCCAGCATCTCACTGAACTGAGCAATCTCCCACCATACCATAAAGACCTCTCCGACCTATCACAGGAAGAATGGGTGAGATATGCCAGAGATACCAGCAGCAAGCTGTCATTTGTGTACGAGTTCCTGGAAGGCTTGCGTGATGCAGCCGTGGAAATTGCCATTCTCGCCGATTCCGGTACGATCTTAAAGCAATTGGAGGCCATAGTGTCACAGGGTGGTTTTGCATATCGACATCTCCGTGGCAATTGGCCGCAGATACCGAGTGGCCAGGGTTCGGCATGCAGTGTGGTACTGATTGACACATCTATCGAAGATGCACAACCTGTGCACACCGCGAACATTGTTCTGGCATACGATCAGACTGCCGAGCACTCGGGCCTGCTCGACCAATACAAGACAGACACTTTGGATAAACAGGAGCCGTTGGTGTTCTCCCTTGTGGAGGTCTACACACTCGAGCATATCAACCGGCGCCTCTCCCCCGCAATGGGCCCCTTCGAGCGGAAGCAGGCACAAGCCATCTGCCTGGCCTTTCTTTCCAGACATCTCGAAGACGAGTGGATGTACGAGCGGATCCCGCAACCACATGAGATGGCGCAGGACCTGATCCGCTACCTCGTAGATGATGAAGGACGATTCACTCACCCTGAAACGAGATGGGAGACCTGGGAGCACCAGACGGTCCCTGAAGATGTCTTCGACAGATATAAGGCCTTTAGGGGTAGATATTTCTCTTCTGGCAATCGCAAGCGGCGGTTGAGTGAGGGCGATGACGTCTCCGAGACTCCAAAACGGGCTCGCATCGAGTCACCGCCTGAAGTAAGCGACGAGTTGAGGAGCTTCCTGGGAACAAATGCTACCCTCACTGGCAATATGGCCCAGGTTTCTATTGAGAAGCTCGAGGATCTTGTTCTTCAGGTAGGTCACTGCAAGTCGGCCTATCCCCATTGAAGTTGTACTAACAAATGCCAGGCAAGGGATTTGAAAGCCGCCTTGGACAACAAAGGCGCAGAATTGAAGGGTTGGGTGAAGACTGTGAGGAATTTCCAGCCAAAACACCAACAAGCCATTAGAGAACGGAACATTTTTGAGGAGGAGCGCAACAAAATGTTCAAGGAGAGAGAGAAGATCCAGAAGTCGCTCGACATCAGCCAGGCAAGGGCGACCAAGCTTTCGGAAGAAAAGCAAGAGCTTGAAGCGAAGCTACAGGAGCTGGCAAACTCGGACAACCCCAACATAACGGCGGCCGCGCAGCGGGAACTAGATCTCGCATCGTCTCGGGAAAATGCAGCAACTCTTGAGAGACAGCTCGCATTCCTGAAGAAGGATGTGGAGTACGCGCGCAGCCGGTATCAGGATGCCTCGGACAAGGCTGCTTCTCTGGGTGAAGATAACACAGCGCTGAAGAGCCAGGTTGCCGAGCTCGAGAAGAGGGCGTCCGACAATGTTGTCAAGCTCCGAGGGATGAGCGCGGATGCGGCCCGCCAGGACGCCTGGCGGCTCTACCAGGACGAGAAGACCCAGCGACTCAGTGCGGAGCGTGAGCTGGACAGGAAGAATGACGAGCTGCGGAACTACAAGAGCCGGTTTGGCGGCCGCGAGACTAGGGGGAGTAGTGTTCCCCGTAGTCCTCGGGTCCGTCAAATGTCCAGCCGCAACACGAGCCCTGTCGGTGACAATAATGGAAACGGCGGGAGTGGCAGTGGCCCTGGCCCAATCTCGGGGGTTTTTGGTCCGAGGAGCACCCACTTGAAGGAGAATTTCTGAGGGAACAGAGGCAGGCACACCAGCTCGGTACGGGAAATGGATCATCGCACACGTTATTCGGAGTTGGAGGCTAGAAAGGTTGGCCAAGTCCCGGATCACAATTATGTTAATACTACCGCACCTATTTGATCAGCAAGCAGTCTATTTACACAACACCCAGAAGCTTCGATGCGTGAACGATGAATAGGCACAGCGTCGTCGTTGTTGCCGCGTGAATGCGGCCAGCTTATCTCAAAGCGGGCAAGAGGTTGAAGCCTGGCGTTGATGGGATGGGCGGTTTCAGTCCGATGGAGGATTGTCGAACTGATTCTTTCTCTCACTTGAGTGCACTTATTTCGTGTTTTTCTGGCAGCCGTCACTTATTTTCTCTGTTATCGGTCGATTCTCCTTCGCATCACGTCCCATCGAAGACAGAGCTATCACTCAGGTATCAGCCTGTTCCAGCACCGGCTCCCACTGTGGTCACGAAGCTCGAGGCATCCCTTGTGAAAGGACTATGGTAAACAACACTGCTGCGGGATACTGGCACCGCCGACTTGCAGTGTCGACTTATCTGTTCCATGCGATGCTTTCCGAACGTGTGGGACCGGTCTGGTGAGAGCCTAACCATACATGACTGCGGTCATAAGGGGCCTGGTTGGACGTCAAAGAGGGCATGTCGTGGTCTACTTACACCGAGCCGCCCTCCCAAAGGAGATCTACGTAGTCGTGCCTTTTCCAGTGCTCTCTATATAAAACGGATTCCCGGCTCATGAGCACTTGCAGGGAGATTTCTGTTGCAGATCAAAGACAATATGGCCAAGTCCAATCCTGACTTTCAAGTGCTCTCTTCCGGCTCTTGTGGTCCGATCCTCGCCCACACATTGTCTCGAGCCCCCGAGTCCAACTACAATGCTGGCAGAGGAACTCGAAGGTCAGGTAGAATAGTGTCGAGTTTGTGGGCACGGCTTTGCTGGTGGTGCAAAGCAACAACACAATGCTGTCACATAGACAGAGCTACCAGCACAGACCGCGTCGTCCAACCCTTTGGCTTTGGCGCAGATGAGTTTCACAGAAGGGCTTGGCTGAGAAGTTTCATTTTGTGGCTGTAGCTATTCCTGTTGACGGGCTTGGGGCCAGTGAGTAATTTACCCTCTGTTGTGGCTGACTCGCTCTGTGTGTCCGTGGCCCGTGTTGGCAAGTAGATACTACGCTGTTGCTTCCTCACCATGGGCGGAGGGGGTTAATGGCAAATACGTCTTACCTCGGGCTCACTTTACTTCAGACGGGCTCGAGCTGCTAGAGAGCCATGCGAGTAGGTATGGAGAGTAGAAGATTAAAGCTCCCCATAGCCTCCTCTTGTGTTGGTACATCGCTCGGTGTCAAACGCACTAGGGTAGAAAGGTATCGCCACCATCACTGGATTTCGCTTCATCTGACACATGAGAACGTGGACAGCGTCAGAATTTCTCCTCCCGCCTTCTATGAAAAATGGTAGTCCCAAGCTGGCTGCTTTTTCGTCTAAAGGTTGATTTTTTGTGTTTGGTAATGGCACATGTACAGATCCGACCTTGCTTAGTTTCGCCTCGCAACTTGGATTCAAGATTGAACTGCCTCCTCCCGCGCGAAGCAGAGCGTAGAGTGCCCGCGCCTCGTTTGGATCGGCGAGATTCGCTGGTCGCGGGTATCGTCTAGTGCTAGGCCGTCTCCTCGGGGTACAGGTCCTCCTTGAGCAGGACGCCGAGCTCCTTGCGCAGGGGCTCGAGCTCGGTGAGGTACTGCTGGTACTGCTCCTTGTTCTCGACCTTGGACTTGATGCCTGTTGTGATCACACGGTGTCAGCCAATCGGCATATTCGTGACGAAAGCAAAGCTTGTGGTCGTTTGCCATACCCTCGAAGATGCGCACGGCAGTAGGGAAGTCGTTCACCCTCCGGGCGGCCCTCAGCGCGGCCGTGCAGACGGAAGGAGAGGGGACCAGATCGTAGGCGAAAGCGTTGTTCAGGTTGCGCTGCATCGGGTCGCGAGAGTCAGCGTGAATTCCGTGTGCCCGGCCTGGCCGGGAAGCTCGCAGCCTGAAGCCACACTCACCTGGAGCTCGAAAACATCCTGGACGCTGTCGAATTCCTTCTCGTATCTGTATCGGCAGTGCTTTCATCAGCCATTGATCCATTTCGGCATGGCCCTCTGGCCCAATTGACCCCGATTGACCCTTGGGTCGAGCTATGACATGACGTGCTGCTGCTGTCTGCCCGTCCTCGTTCGGAGGGTTGTTTGTTCGTCGGGGTGTCCTCACCTGTCGCTGAACTCCTCGAACGACTCCTCGTGGTGCTCGGCTCGCAGACGCGAGGAGGTGCTGAAGCTAGGGCGGGCTGCGACCAGAGGACGGGCGGCGGTGGTCCGCAGGGTGGTTGCACGGAAGAAGGTCGAGGCCGTGGGGCCACGGGCGGCGATACGGAGGAAAGACATGGTTTTTTTCTGTCTCTCGTGCTCCTGCTGTGCACTCGTCCTCGGGAAGGGTCTACGGGCGGCAGCGATAATGGGAGCGAAAGATCTGACCTCACAATCGCAAGTGAGTGGAGAATGGAGTGGTGCGGTCGTGGGTGCGTTGGGCGTGGTGTGCTGTGCGTGGTGGTTGACGGTGGGAGAGCAGTTTTCCGGTAGAGTAGGGTGCCTATCAAGAATCGGACCACCTGCGCTCGAACCAGAGCTGCGGGTAAGCCAGGAGCCAGGCTCAGCTGCCAGACTGTGCCGGCTGGGGGGAAGGAAGTTGTCGGGGCCACCTCTTGCGAGGGCCATGATTGGGTGGCCGTGCCCGGGGGTGCCCTCTTGCGGTGGGCTCCACTCAGCCCAAGACTGGCCAATTGGCCCGGCTGCCTTGGTGAGCAGCAAGCATTTCACCACTATCTTGCTGTGGGCCTGTGTGGGTGAGCTGCTGATATTATGTACTGTGCACTCGGTACCAGGCTGTTGGTCCTGTCTCCCAACACATCATATGCGCATTGCTCATCTCAATAAGACCTCGCTGGGCTGCTGGAGGGTTCATGACGGAGGGTTGGCTCATGAGACAGCACTCGCAATTCACAGGGTGGAACAGGGTACCTAGGTATATAGGTAGAGGAAGGCCTTAGGTAGCGTACTCGAATAGATATACGTGCAGCTGTGTCGCACGGGACACTGCGTTGAAAGCGGCTGTCTGGACTCTCTCCGAGTCGGTTACTCGCTGACCCAAGACCCAGGTTCGCAGAATGGACAGCAAGCGGGCGAGAGCGAGCAGCGAGCAGCAACTCTCGGCTCGTGTTCCGAGCCTGGGACCACAGGGTCGACCTGCCGCATCCATGCCGAAGAAGCAACGTTCCTCGCTGCAGGAACACTTCACCTTGACCATCCCGCTGTTACGGAATGACATCAATGCCATGTGTCGGGATGTTGATATCAGTCCACTTGCATGTGGATGCAAGTAACCAGGACAGCAAGTGCACGTCGACAGTCTGACCTGGCTGCACGTCTCGCACCTCGGCGTTCTCTAGCGAGTCTTGGATGTCGTCGCGAGGTCGGGTCGCCCGCCCTTTCATTCAACACAAACCCACAGAACACATGCATACATACATGCGCCGGCCCCAATGTGTTGAGCCCGCATGCCGGCGGTTGGGAGGCCCACGTTCTAGTAGTAGTAGTAAGAGGCCTATAGAGAGTGGACGTGGACGTGGACGTGGGCGCGGACGTGAAATGAGACGGGACGCGTTGAGATTGGATGGAATAAAAGACCGGCACCCTAGCATCGGCCCCGGCGCCTTGGCCCGAGGCCCTCGCTGATCGGGGCACCCACTGCCTGCCTGCCCAGCACGCGCAGGTACTTGAAGCACACAGGGATCTCATCTGTCCCGAGGCTCTTCTTGCAAGATCACCCGATCCTACGTGCTTGCCTAGGCATTCTCGCACTTGGCTGCCCGGGTCGGTGCTATGTTCTTGTCCGACCTTGGGATTTCGACCAACCATCCGGTCAACGATCTGTGCTACTCCGGAGCAAGGTGCTGGACAATGCGTGGTGAACTTGCCCATTGTGAGACTGGCACTACCTAGTAGACCCCCAACGTAGGTGGTTTCGAGTCACTGCAGTCCCCAATGCCTGAATTTCAGACCGGCCCCGGGAAGGTGCAGCCGCTAGGGAAAAAGCCTGCCACGCCCTGTCGACGTGCGGGTGCCTGTGCGGGTGTGCGAGGGCGCGGTTGTAGCTGCTGCTGCTGCTGCTGCACCTGCGCTTGCATGCGCCCGCCTGGTGCTGCTCTAGACTGGCAGTCTGGATGCGACTGCCACTCGCCCGACCCCTGCGCGCCTGGCAGATTAAACACATCTCCTTTTCCCTGGGGCCTGCTCATCGCGCATACGCTAGACCCCCGAACCCGAATTGATAAACTTTTCCCACTTCCCCATTATCATCATCTTCCTTCTTCTCTTCCCACCCTGTCCCCCAATCCCGATCCTTCCTTCTCCCCTTTCCCCGTTGTTCAGCGCCGTGCTGTCTTTGCTTCGTTGCGGACGGTGGTTTGCTTTGGGGCTTTTGTTGAGAGAGTCAATTATTTTCTTGTCCCTCCTTTTGTGCCGGCCGTCGTGTCGCGAAAGCTAAGCTCAGCTCAGCTCAGCTCGGCTCAGCTTGGGGCAGAGGTGCTCGCGTCGAACTCGAGCTATGTACGTCTCCGTGCCCGCCTCCCGCAGACTGCTTGCTCCTCGCAATCCCACGGCCTCTATATCGTCTCCCGATCAAGGCCAGCGGTCAATTGTGCTCATGCACGCTTCCGCTTCTCCCGCAGACAAATTCCATGACTGACACCTTCTCCGCAGCAGCAGCAGCATCAGCGTTAGCCGTCGCATCCGCGCTCGCCGAACACCCGAGCCACAATGGACACCGCAGCCTCCGCCACCTTCTACGAGCGGTTGCCGCTCCCGACCATCGACCGGCCTTTCGGGATCCAGCTATGGCCTATCTTTGACAAGGCATGGACTTTTTTCACCGGCTACCCCGTCAGCGAGTTCCGCTTCGTCGCCGGGGAGACGCCCATGTCCACTCTTAAGGAGACCGGCATTTTCGTCGTCCTTTACTATCTCGTCATTTTGGGTGGCCGCGAGCTCATGCGCAACCGCGAGCCTTTCAAGCTCAAGGCCATTTTCCTGGTCCACAACTTCTACCTCACTGCCATCTCCGGTATACTACTGGCCCTCTTCATTGAGCAACTGCTGCCAACAATTGTCCGAGGGGGCATCTTCCATGCCATCTGCGACCATGACGGTGGCTGGACCCAGCCTCTTGTTGTGCTCTACTACGTACGTCTTCGAGTTGCATGCATTTGTTCAGCCCAGTCCCGAAAGCTAACGCCCCTTCTCATAGCTGAACTACCTGACCAAGTATCTCGAGCTTCTTGACACTGTCTTCCTCTTCCTCAAGAAGAAGCCTCTGAGTGCGTATACTATAGAGGCCAACTGCGCTGGAATATGTGTGCCTTGCTAACACAATTTTACGCAGCCTTCCTTCACTGCTACCACCATGGCGCCACCGCTGTATTGTGCTACACGCAGCTGCTCGGAAGTACCTCCGTGTCCTGGGTTGTTATCTCTCTGAACTTGACCGTCCACGTCCTCATGTACTGGTACTACTTCCAGAGCGCACGTGGCGTTCGTATTTGGTGGAAGGAGTGGGTCACTCGGCTCCAGATCATCCAGTTCATCATTGATCTCGGTCAGTCCTTGCCCAGTCGCGAAACCGTCTGTGTGCTGTCTTGGCTAACCAATCGCAGGATTCGTATACTTCGCCTCTTATACCTACTTCACCTCCACCTACTTTACCTGGATGCCCAACCATGGCAAATGTGCCGGCGAGGAGTTCGCCGCTTTTGCCGGCATCGGCGTTCTCACGTCATACCTGGTGCTCTTCATCTCCTTCTACATCGCGACCTACAAGAAGGATTCCAAGCCCAACCACCGCAAGTCGCTCCGCCGCATGTCTCAGGCTCCTCTGCCCGATCCTCACGACCTCGTGCACGGTATGTCCGGCAACAACGGCATCCTGAACGGAGAGGTCAAGACCACTGGTGCGAAGCCTAACGGCACTACCACACGGTCCCGAAAGGCGTAGCGGCCTCGGCGGTTCTCGAACGAGTAGGAGCAATTGGAAATCAACGTCCGGGAAGCGTTGTCTGCGATGGCCGACTCGCAGTCGCCATTATTCAGACCTGGCCGAGATTGAGCGTGCCATCGGTGCCGGGATTCTGGAACTAGAGCTCCCAACCATGGCATGTGATGGGGGCCCTACAGTTGTAATGTAGTATTTTTGAATATCTTATGTACCCGTCGGCGTGATGGGCACCGCGGGACTTGTGGGTGGGTTTGTGGTTCCGGGCACAGGCGCGGTCAAAAATGTGGGTGGCTTACAGTTGATTGAGTGTCGGGACATGCGAAACGATTCATCTGTCCGGGGCGGCCGTATGGAATAGACACTGGGACACGAAGAGCTCGGACGAGGCTCACTGACGACCAAGGTAACGCAGCCGGACTCTCTCCGCCTCACCTTCTTTCGAGGGCGCTGAGAAGCTGTTTTACTATTTTCACAACTTCGCTGTCACATATTGGCATTAGAACTTTCTGTGCCCTGCGCGCCAATCAAGGCGCGGGTGCCAGGATAATGCATAATAATCAGTCTCAAGAGGTAGAAGCACCGGTTTGCCCCATTCGTGGTCCTGTTCGCTCTGCACTATGGTATCGCTGTGATGTAGGATCCTGATCACATGTCAGACTGGACAGGCGACAACTGCCCAGTTGGTTTGCGGTCGGAGGCGACCCAATGCTATAACAATAAAGCACATGGCGCTTGCCCTCCAGGCGAACTTCCACGGTCCACCGGGCGTCCTGGGGGCAAGCCAATGCAAGAGGCCGGTTTCGAGTGCTCTTTGCTGTATATGGTGAAAAAGACGAAGCTGAAGTCTGACAGGAGGCTCATCCATCCATCCAATGAATCATACCTTCCCGCCGAACCAGTGTGGCATGTGAATGTAACCCACCACACCCCAAGGGATCCGACTCTGCTGTAACCACGCCGATTTCCCCTGCATCCGTAGCCTGCGGACCAAGAAAAAAGCAAGAGCCTCGTCCTTTTCGGGAATTCTGGGGCAGGTTGTGTGTTTCGCATCGCAACGTTGGGATTACCTTCTGAGCGTCGCGGTTGGGACCAACGTGCATACCAAGGAGGGTTTTGATTCCTTACTTTTGTGACATTTCACACACCATCAGATAAGCTGTGACTGAACCCTAAGCCCCAAACGCTGGTTGGCTTCCGGAAGCCAAACTTCAGCCGCACGAAAGCTTGTCGTCGAGTGTTCACCCGGGGCCCCTTGTGCCTTTGTCCCTCCGCGTTCTCTCACACCGGAACGGATGTGTGGGTGCCCCTAGCGATTGGTGCACACCGTATCTATCGATCACCATTTGGGTTAAGGTTGGGCAGCTGAGACTCTCACCAACGGGGACAGCCTCTGCATGGGATGAGACTGTTTTGTGTGCGAGAGACAAGAGTGCTGATTGCGAATAGGGGCTCACACTGCAGAAGGCACATTTTGCAGGAGGGTACCGATTGGGTTTGAACACGACGAAGTTACACACATGTGCAAGACGAATATGGGGGTTGCAGAGGGATTAGAAGTCTTATTGGTGTTGGCGTGCTATGTCTCAAGCCTGTTCCTACGCCGGCCTCCTCTCGATCCTCCCGCCGTCATCAACCACCCTGGGTGGAAGCCGGCCGGGAAGAGAATGGCCCCCTCCGGGAAGAGAAAGAGAAAAACCTAAGGAACGCCCTGACGCCGCGACTATGGTATCACACTTTGTGAAGAGAAAAGAAGGGGGGAAAAAAAGAAAGAAAGAAATTGTGCATCATTGCGGCTGTGGCACAACGACCTCGTACTCTGCTCATGATTCGGACTCGAAGAACCAGTACCTAGAGAAGTGCTTGTTAGTGACTTGATCACCAACCAACGGGCCAAGACGGGAAGAAGGGGTTGGTGGTACTCACTGTGCGCTGTATTCGACCTGGAAGGAGGCCGGCATGCCGGAACACGTGCTCGGGGCGCTCCCGCCTGCCGTCTCGACGCGATAGACCTCCTGCAGGCGGCCGGTGGCGCCCTCCTTGGCCGAGAGCTTGAGCCAGGGCACGGCCTTCTCACCCTGCTGACCGGCGGGGGCGTCGGCCGGGGCGTTGACGGCGGCCTTCTTGCTGCAGGGGATGACGCCCAGCTTGAGGTTGTCGGTGTCGAGGGTGAAGAAGGGGGTGGTGCTGTCGAGGAAGTAGTGGTGGCCGCTGATCACGTAGTTGCCCGGGGCCAGCCTGCTGTTGGTCGAGGTCGGGACCAGGTTCTTGGGGTAAGAGGCGGAGGCGGTCAGGTTGAAGGCCATGGACACGCGGGGCAGCATGTTGAGCAGGTCCGGGTAGGTGGCGGCGATGCAGCTGGCGTTGAACAGGGTGGCGACGGCGCCGGTGGCCGTGGGTGCCGCCGTGGTGTTTGCGGTATCGCACGTGTAGTTCTGGGTGCCGCGGCCGATGGCGACGTGCTTGAGGATCAGACCCGGGGTGACGTCTGGCAGGCCCTCGGGGGCTGGCACTTATGTGTTAGTCTCCCTCTTTCCAAGTGAAGTGACCACGGTGTTTTGTTGTCTAATAAACTTACTTGCCACTGGCAGCTTCGCAGCGCTCATATCGCAGGCCGGTGCTCGAGCCATCTGCCTGCCCTCCTGTGTCTTCTGGGCCAACATGTTGAAGTACTGGGAGATATCGCTCATGGCGTCATCTGGCATGGCGGCCTTGACATTGAGGTCTGGGTAAACGGGGGCGGCCAAGACCGAAGCACAGAGTGCCGGGAGGAGGATCGACGAAGCACGCATCTTGATTGCTGCGTATTGGTATAACCCGTCGTGGATGAGTAGTGGGTGAGTGGTGGTGGTGGTGGTGGTGGTGGTTGTGTGTGTGGGGTGAGGCGAGGGTGAGGCTGATGGAGTGTTTGGCTCGAGACTGGTAGGTGGTTCCTTGGTCTCGTAACGTTTTCCCCTTTGGGGGTTTTTTTTTTTTTCTTTTCCTTTTTTTTTCACTCGTGACGGACGTCGGAAAAAGAGACAGACGCAGACACAGAAACAGGAAAACCCAGATACTAGGAAAGCCTTGGACGAGAGACGATTGGAAATCGAGCCCAAAGCAAGGAAAGAACAACCAACAGAGAGACTGAAGGAAATAAAGAGGAAAGAGGAAGGAACAACGAGGAAAGCGAGACTATATGAAAATGGAATGAGTTTCACAGACCGGCATGGTGTTGAGGGGTGTGTGGGAGGACATGCTTTTATCTGTACACTCTACACATGCAGACATGCGAACATGCAGGCTGGCCTGCCTCGATGAGCAGGTCGGCGGCACGCACACATGGCTTGCAGGCCCATAGCAGCAGCAGCAGGAGCAGGGACCAGAGAAGTTGCCCAGAATAGAGCGTGGGTAGCAGCCCGTACGTAGCACGTACATACGGATACAGTAGCCTCTGTTGGTTGCAGGTGGGATGGGAAGCAAAGGTGAAGGATGAGTGGACGGAGCGGCTCATGGACGGCAGGGGTCGTGTCCAGGGAAGGAGCATGTCGGCCTGTCGCTTCCCTCCCCTGGTCCCATGTCCTGCAGGCGCTTGAGCAGCGAAGGAGAAGGGGTGCAGCGACAAAACGAGAGAGGTGTCAAGGCCACACGCGACTGAACTTTTCATTGCTACTACTCTGCACTCGTGCGAGACACATCGGAAGGTTTGTGCGAAGCAACACAGCAGACGAACAGACACAGACAGATAGATGCAGGCCGTCGTCACCACTGGCTCTGTCTGGTGTTCAATCTGCCCGTCAGCCAGACTCTACCACCCACCCTCCTGCCCAGGTTCAGCACCGTATTTACTAACAAGTAGCACCCAGATGCGGGTTGTAGATTGCAAGACTCAGATCAGATGCAGATGAGATGCCGAGTCCCGCCTCTCGCTTGCAGTCTGCCCGGTTGCCCAGTGCCCAGGGCAGTCCCAAGTCCCCGCCCGGCGGTTAAAAAAGAGGGCAGGCCTGACTCTATCTATAGACACCCGCCCGCTAGGCCTTCTCCTCGGAGTACGGAGGCCGGCAAAAGACTGATAAACTTGGACGGGCCAGGCGGGAGCGCGTCCACAGGCCAATCACCGCGCGCCCCCCCTCCCCGGTCGACGGCTATCCACTTTCGGTAACACACCTGGGCTAGCAGCCGGTCTAAGACTGCACCCAAGGTAGTGCGCCGGCGGCTCGCCGTGCAACGTGGAATTTCCCATGCCACCCCGGCCCAGCCACTCTGCCACCTCAGCTGCCTTCTAAGCTTACTGCCTGACTACCTAGACTTGTCTACTTTTACATTGCCGTAGTACCTACACCACGCTGCAACACTCCACCTTGCAGGCGGTCTACCTACAGCACCTGTGGCTACTGGGGGCCTGTACTGTGTGTTGTACACACAGAGTTTTACAGGAGGGCCACACCCGGCCGCCTCAACGGGCCAGCGTCTATTTTGTCTCTGGTCAGCGCTTTGCTGCCCCGCTCATCTCATCTCATCCCCCTCTCACCCTTTCTCATCATTATTAATTATTTCAGTCCTCGCTCGGTCCAAGGCCGTCCGTCGATGGCTTCCAGAAGCAGAGGCGGAAAAGAATAGGACAGGTGAAAATCATTATGTGGAGAAGGAGGCTCATGGTTTGATGTTTGATCTCCGCGACATCTCGCCCCAGATTTCCGGCGAGAAACACAAACTAGTCTATCCTCAGATCTCGGTCCCCAGAATCCCCTCTCAGAGGTTGAGCCAAGATGTCAGTCGGGGCTGATCTGCCGCCGTCATACATACAGGATGAGGTGGGTTACATAGTACATCTATTTATCATAGACGTAGACACCCTCCCTCTTCCCCTCTGCCAGCCCGACATCTACCATGTCCACATGTTCATGCAGCTTTCTAATCCCCATCCCAAAAACCAATTGGTCCGTCCCAGCTAGACGGAAATTGATGGTTGCCAGTTGGCGCCAACGGGCCAACCACCCAAGATCCAATCCTTCAGCTCTCAAAGTCAAAAGATGACCTACATACCCGCCCCTCCCCCTCCGAGCCCTTTGATAGCTCCCACACCTCCCTCCCACCCCGGCACACCCTCTTCGCACCCTCGCTTGCTGTGTCTCGCTCCCGCTGGCCAACCACCGCCGGCACACGCCTGCGCTTAGCAAGGAAAAAATGTCCCTGGCTCATGTCTTGGAACTTGGTGCGAGCCGACAAAACTTGGCCCACGAGACCTCGTCGGAAACAACTGCGTCTCCGCTTGCCACGAACCGAAGCAGCTTTCTGATACGTCGAAACGTCCTCGACGCGTGTCCCAATACCCTCCCCTCCTCGGCCTAGCCACATGAAGTGAACCGTCGAGCTCCGGCAACACCTGCGAGGAACCCGCGATGAAGGGGGCGAATGATTTAGTAAATGTAACACACCATAGGGCCTCCGCGGCCCATCTCCAATCGTAGCAGTAGACACGAGTTGGAAATCCGGCAGAGGGAAACGGATGAACGGTGTCGTCCGCCGTGGCATCTGATTCGCGGTCCTCGCTGGCCTTTTCCCCCTCCACAGAAACACATCTCTTGGCCGATCTTGGCTGGCAGATAGAGACGCCGGGAAGCGCCAACCTGGGGACTGCGATACCGCGCGCAGAATGGTCTGTTTTGCACCCGCTCCACAATGATCCCTGGGACTAATCGGTGCAACCCCCCCCCCCTGGCGGCGATCCCCTCCCTCCACAACAGAAACAGAACAGAACAAAGACGAGGTCGTCTTGACCATCGAGAGAGAAAAACAGGTTCTGCAACCTTGGTCTTTTGGTTTCTTCTTGTTGCCACATAGAACAACTTGTAATTACTATAATATCTACGTCCAATTACTGAGGCCAATGCGACCAACCAACTGGGCACATGCCGGGCTAGGCTTCAAGGCCTATCAACAAGAGTGCTACGGGAGGGGAGGTCCTCGAGCAGTGTGAAGCAGGCGGCAAAGGGCTCTTCCTCTTACACCAGTGGGTGGACATCAGAGCCCACTTGGCAGGACTTGTCAGGCGCCACAAGAACCGCTGTGCTGATCTCAAGAAAGAGTGACGGCCCCTCATGACACCCACTCCGGCCGCCGGCAAATGGCGCGAGGGGCATGCCAACGGTCATGGACATCAGTCATTTGGGGACTGCCCCTAGATATGTATTGACCGCATGCTTGCTTTTGATGGCCACCACATGTGAAGCCAACCCTCCATCCCCCCTCCCTTCCTGGGACCAATCGATGAGATGCCTCTGCGTTAACTCTTTACAACCCCATCCGTGAATGTCCTCACCCATCAACACTCTATATTGATTTCAAGGTTCATTCGTTGCTCATTCGCCAACCCATTCAAGAAGGCTCCGCCCAGTTCACTTGATCCATTACCTGCCCGGCCGAGGGATGTGCGTACTGGACCCTTAACCGCAGACGCAAAGGCTAAGAGTCATACACTGTTAGCAAAAATGCAACATACTTTTTCTAGGCGCGTATTTGCACTTACCCCTTTGACTCCCTGAATCCTCATAGCCTGCGTAGCCTCGGTCCCTGGCGCCAGCTCCGAGTTTGATATGCTGTTTAGCTGCAATTTCTGGCTCTTGGGCACAGCCGCCTGCACTCCGACGTTCGACAGCGGGCCCCCTGACGCGTTCCTAAACCGCGCGACGGCCTGCACAATGCCCTCTGCGTTGCGCTGCGTGGCAATCGTCACCACAACGCCGTTGTTGTTGTAACAGGGGAAGCCTGCCGGTGCTGCTGCTGCTTGCGGTGCGGGAGACCCTGAACCCATCTGGCCGAGGAGATCAAGACCTGAAGACGGCGGCGCCGCGGCACCTGCCGCCTGAGGGTGGCGTAGCCTGTGCAGGGCCGGAGCCGAAGAGGTCCATGATGGCTGACACGTTGGATTGAGGGGCGGGGGTGCCGGCGTTTGATGAAGTTGGCGGCGGTGAGGTCGTCCCACCAAGGATATCAGCCAGAAGATCCGCATTGTTCTGAGAGTTACCGTTGGCAGGAGCCGGAGACGGGGCGCTGTCGCCCATGATATCCATGAGCAGATCTTGTTCCGAGACCTTGATAGGCTTTGATCTCCTATTCGCCTTCTTCTTCTCCTTGGCAGACTTTTCGCCGAGGACACGGTTCTCTTCCTTAATCTGCGGCGGTGGCATCTTTTCGAGGACACCGCGCCGAAGCTGGTCGTGGTCGAACAAATTCAGATACTCGACGGCACGCTGTTGGACCTCGACGTCCAAGCTGGCCTGGTGGTTCTGGAGCAACTTCTTGACTCTCTCGACTTGCGTCGCGTCTGACAGCCTGGTTGTCAATTTGACCAATGCGTTAACGATATACTCCGTGGTGACTTGGGTGGCGTAGTTGCTGTTCAGGACGGTGGAGAACAGGTCAATGATCTCGTGCTCCTTGACCTCTTTGACTAGCTCCTCCTCCTCATACTGCCCACCCCTGAGCAGCACATCACCGTACTCTCCAATACACCATGCTCCTGCCTGTGTTAAGCTCTCCTGGGTGATATCCTTCTTGAGACTTGTGTACAGCTTTTGCACCGCGTATGTCTGGAGCTCGGGGGTCGTCGCGATAAGTCGAATGACAGAAGACATGATGGGTTCCTTCACGTAATTTCCAGCCAACGCCAGGACTCTCAGCATGGTGTCGACGTGCCACCTCTTATTCGGTGCATATCGGTCGGCTGCGATGCCGATTTGAGTTGTCAGGGTGGGCTTGAATTCATTATCCGCGACTTCCAAGAAGGCCAAGAGCTCCCTGATCAGCACCCTAACGTTGCTCTCGTTGATGAGCGTGAAACTGAGGTCAAGGGCTCGCCGCCTAATACTGATATCCGGGTCTCTTAGACACTCAAGGATCGTGTTTCGGTGCCTCTGTACAGCGTTCGGCTCGATTGCGACAACCTTGATGAGAGTGTTGAGTGCGACGTAGCGGATGTTGTTGTCCCTGTTGGTGAGGAACTTGCCAAGGATGTTGACGCCGAGCACCCTTAGACCAGAGTCGGCTTCAATGTCCAGAATCGTTCGCACCGCCTCGTATAGGATCGAGTTACCGACATTCTTAGAGGAGTCGGTGTTTGTCGCAACCTGCGCGAGAATGTCGTTGATCTGCTCGCTGATCTGGGCGTCGCCTCTGGCAAGAACCCGGAGCAGATGCAGGATTTTGACCTGTATGAACGGATCCGTGATGCCCATGACATCATGTTCAGGGGCGTAGCCAGAGGATGCAAGTCCCTTCAGTGTCCTGACCAGTATGGGTACGAACTGCCTGAACTTCTCGACTATGCCCTCCTCTCCGCCCTCCTCCTCGTCTGCCTCGCAGAGACTCGTCACGAGTGTCAGTCCACATAGGAGCACACCATGATTCCTGTCCTGGAGCAAGGCAGTAGCCTTCTCGACGAAGTGTTCCTGCAGGTCTGGTACCTTTCGACATATCCTCATGGCGCAGAGAGCGGCTTTTCTTCGAATGTACGGGTTCGCGGTCGACACCAGCTTTTCGATTTCGGAAAACAGGTCTCGAGACATTTCGATGGAGGCAATGTTGCCGAGGGTGCAGAGGGCGAGTCCGACGACATATTGGTTCGAGTGGCCGAGGTCACTGGGACAATGTGAGCAGAGTGCGTCGCTGGGGGGTTCGCTGCAGTCCAGCATACTTTTGAAGCGAGTTGGTCACCAATGTGAGCACCTCCTGGTTCTCATCCAGTAGCAAGCTTGTGGCCAGATGGCCTAGACGTTTGTCGGCGAAGCGTGGTGACGCGAGAAGCTTGAGACACTCGATCTGACCGAAATGGGTTCTCTCGCCCAGGGTGAAAAGGTATAGCAGTTTGGCAACATTGTTTCGCCTGTGAGGGAGCATCGAGGACTATCATCAGCATAACATCCTGTCCAGTGGCACGTCACTCTGGGAGGACGGTCGTGGGACGGGGCGGGACGGCGAGGGGCAGAGAGCATGGAGCATGGAGCTGCAGGGGGAGCACACACCGGACCTGGTGATCGTGGCTTTCCTCGCGGAAGCTGGCTCGTATGGATGCACTCTCCTTCTGGATGACGGCGCGCTCGTCGGCGATTGTCTTTGCGGCGCGGACGTTCCGAATGAACTGCTTGACTGAGATGTGGCCGTCTAGTGTCAGCGACTTGAGATCCATGTTGGCAGCCCTTGTGGCGGCGATGCGAACAGGGCGTGGGTGTGGTGTTGAATGGGGTCGAGCTCACGGGAGGCCATGATGGGAAGGTTCAACCCCACGAGGGGACCTTGGGGCCGTCAAAGGGCTGCTCGGGTAGCAGAGTCGCACCGGCACTGGAATGGGCGCGCGCGTGTGGTGGCAGTGGTGTGCGTGGGAGTGTGCTCGGACTGAGACACCAAAGAAGTAACGTCTGCTGGAGTGATGATTGCTGCCGCCCAGTCTGCCAGCCTAAAGCGAACTGCACCCTGGCAGCAACAAGGTTAGCAGCTGGGAATGCGATGTCGATTGCGGCGGGCCAAGAAAGACCGCCAAGTGGCTTCCTGGATGCTAGGAGGGCCCACCAGGACGGAGCATGCTTACCTTATCTCCTGGACTTGCTGTGACTATGTATCTAATAAAGGGAATTGGGTCTGGTGCACTGAGCTGGTGCATTGGGTTCCTGGTGAAGCCAACTGTCAGGTTGGAAGCTGACCGACCCCTTTTTCTCACCCCCCTGCCCGTGAGAAGCTGGTCAATGCTGCTGCCACTGAGCGTTGACAGCCGAGACTCAACGAACGAAAAGATGGCAAGTATTCCTACCATCCTCAGCATAGGGCTGGATTCTAGAAATGTTTGAAATGTTTCTAATCGATGTATTTAATTCATGCACATGGCATCGGGAATGTGTCTGGATGCGCCAATACATGTGTATACAAGCCCCCCTAGCATCATCATTTCACATCCGGCCGATGCAAAGGATGCGCCTCCGTGTTCAACACCCACGTATCGAGGTCCACGGTGTCGAAGTCGGCAAACACCAGGTAGAAGTACTTCAGCGTCTCGGCGAGCCAGAAGCTCTCCATCGAGTCCACCTGCCCCGGATCCTCCCTCGACACGTCCCTGAGGCTCGCGGCCCCTATCTTGGTCCTGGTGAGCCGCTCGATGTTGTGGAACATTGTCCACGCCTTGTCCATCCACGCGCTATCGCCCGTGAGCCGGTACATGATGAAGACGCTCTCGATGGCTTCTGGCCGGAGTATGTACTTCTTGTCGTGGAGCGCCAGGATCCCAGGAGTCAGGTTCTGGCTGTTGATCATCTTGTCAACCTCGCTGCCCATGGGGTCCTTGCCGCTGTTGACCCCGAGGTACTGGTTCCTGACAGCGGTGCGCCATTTGACGTCGCTGTACTTGCACTCCGGACCAGTCTGGCTCTCCTTGACGTCCCCGCACGGGATAAACCCAAATATCTCGGGCATGATTCCAGTGGCAGTCGCCCCGTACGCCCAGACGCATCCGTCCGTGAGCTGCACTGCGAGATCCAGCTCGCTGGGCCTGCCGAAGATTTTCGACGCAATGCCAACCATCCCGCCGGCGAAACATGTCAGGTGTTGGCCTTTCGGACTGTTCACCGCGGTTATCTCGCCATCCACGGTTCTCACCATGGCGTCACCCGGGATAACTATCGGGATGTCCTCCGGGTTGGTAGCACGACGCATAAGGTGCTTCTGTGCAACACCAATGAATTTCTCGTACATCTTCTTGGGCTGGTCAAGTGCGCCGCCGAGGATGAGGTACTGCTTGGGGAAGTACTCGTAAAGAGAATCTGACATGCCGCCTAGGGTGAAGGCATTGTCGGTCGTGAACCTTGGCCCAGATGAGTCGATTTGAACCGGCCACATGCCCGGCAGCTTCGTGGTGTCCTGGCCCTTTTCGAACTCGTCCGAGATCCTCTGTACGGCGTCGTAGTATTTCATGTCTCCCGTCAGCTGCGAAAGTTTAGTAAACTCGAGTGACAGTGACCCCAGCTCCGATACCAGCACGGTCCTAGGGTGCCTTTGTACATGGCCGGTCATATAACTGCAATCAGCCCGGTCAGCAAAGATTCATCCTAGCCCGGAAACCTGTGTAGAGGAACTTGCAACTTCCAGTCCCATCTCGCGATGGGCATCCTGTTATCCGTATCAAAGGCACACATCACCAGCTCGCCCACCTCCACCGCCTTCCTCAGCAGGCCCTCGTACTTCTTCCCGCTGAGCTCATACGCGGCCAGGAAGCCACCGAGGTATCTTATCGTGGTCTCAAAGACATTCACCAGGTCGGAGTCCGACCTGGAGAAATCGATGGTCTCCGCCGCCTCCACGGCGGCTTGGAACTCGTCTTCGAGCCCCATGATCCAGAGCGTGTCCAGCGCATCCACCAGCGTCGCCGCCCAACCACCAAAAGGGTTCTTGGGTTTGCCGCCCAGCGGCGTCACCTCGTCCGACATCCACGCATACTTCTTGTAGCCCGCCCAGCTGTGCAGGAAACTGTCCTTGACGGCCTTTTGTCTTTCTAGCCTTTGCTTTCGCGCGGCGTCTGACTCCTGCGGAGTCGCGGCCTGGATCTTGGGGATGCTGCTCCGGCCCGCCTTCACCTCCGGAAGCGCCCGCAGCTCCCCCCCGACCGGGAACAGGTCGGGCAGCTTCCGCCAGCGCTCAGCATCCATCTCGCCTCCGTTTTCTGCGGCGCCCCTGTGGGCGTCACTGACGGGCGCCACGTTGTGGTGCCCCGACTGCGGCTCTTGGCCGGGGACTGTGTGGGAGCCCGGGGAGTGTGCTAGGGGCATCTCGTCGTCGATGCCAAACATCCAGTACATGGCAAGGAGCCACAAGGCCACGAGGAGGAGAAGCGGGCGCCATCGCCGCAAGGGAGGCATCCTGATGCTGAGCTGGCCTCGAATGGGACAAGAGTCAGTTTCAAGACAAGCCTAGATTGCAGTGGAAAGCCGATACACGACAGCTTCACACAATAGTACTCATCCGGGTTCGCGGTGGGAATTGCGACACCCAGACCGACCAAAGGCAGATGACGTGGAGGATGGTTTCACGGTCACCATTTGAAGAGAGCGGGGGCCTTGAAAATGAACGGGTTGAACACCGCAGAAAGCAAGATGCGCCGATCGCGGGCAGTCTCATGTACAAAAGCGGCAGATCCAAGACTGAAATCTGAATGTTGAAGCCCTATCACAAACTCGCCAGGAATGTCTCTCCACAGAGCACGCGTGGACTCGCACTTGGCCGTTGACCAACCCTGCCAACTTCGGGGTTCGACCCGCAGTCGCGGCAAAAGGGGGCCAGGACAAGGGTGCTGTGCTCTCATCCCTGAACGCCCCTCTTAATTGCAAGTATCCCGCAGAAGAAGTCCTGCTGAAAATGCGGGGGCAAGGCTGTCCTCGCATGGGCGTGCCAGGTGACGCATCACGCAAATAAGATGTGGTGACGATCACCGTTGAGCACTGCGTGGCAGCCGAGTGGAAATGTATGCTGGCTGCAGCTTTGGGGGCGGCCTGTCCAGGAATAGGACCTGACTGTCGCGGTCACGACACGCCAGATAATGTGCCGAACCTGTAGGGCTGAAGTTTAGCAAGAAGCTTGTCGCGAGGAAACACTTGGCCCGCGGAGAGTTACTGCTGCTGCACGCGCGCTAGGCAGAACACCGCCACATTCAGCGCGCATCGTGCCCCTGGAACTACCACCACACTGCCACTCCAAGGTTTGACTCGGAGGCCGTCCTGCATGTGGAGGGCATTTGACGTTGTCCCACGAACTTCACCTGTGCCCGGAACATGTTTTTGCAGAATTTAGGCGTGAAGTGGACACTTTGCCCATGCGAACGACAATACTGCCAATTACGTGCCAAAAACAGGCTTGGAATAATGAAATATAGCCTTTACCGATCATTCAGACACGTGGTGCCTCGTTCTACTCTAAATGTCCAAGTGACCAGGGTTCCTAACGCGATAGTAATGTGTGAGAGGTCGGGCCAAACCACTATGCTCAGTCCAGGACCGGAAGCCTGGCCGGATGGATGTGAGTCTGGGTCACTAACTTAAGATCAGAAATGATTTCAAGAAAAGAGGACACCTCGATCCACCGCAAAACATTTGTTTGGCACATAATTTCAACAGTAGAAAGCAAAACCCGGCAAACGGAAATCTGAGGCCGGCAATTGGCTCAGTTGAGAAAGACAAGGCTACAGACGCCATTGATCCGCCTCGCTGCTACACGCTTTACACCGACTCATCCATCATTACCCCGGCAAGCCCAGCCGTGCAGTCTGCCACAGTGTAGACTGCCGTGCCGGGGCAAGCAGGCCGGAATTGCTCAGAAATGCGGTTCCATTCTTCTCATCATCTAGGGAATCATTCGTAGTAGGGACTGCTGGGCCGAGAAACACGTAGTCATCTACTTCTGCATCATAAGTTGGACGAACTCGTTGTCTGTGGATTCACATAATCAGCACACGGTCTCGTGGTGGGGCAGAGATAAACGCACAGTCGATTCTTCCGTCGCCGTCCTGGTCAGCCTCGCGAATCATCTCGTCGACCTCGTCGTCCGTAAGCTTCTCGCCGATAGAGGTCATGACGTGACGCAGCTCGGCCGCGGAGATGAAGCCGTTGTTGTCACGGTCGAAGACCTGGTGATATTGTTAGGTGCCCGTCCCGTTCGTGTGGCGGTGGGAGAAAGTAAGGGTAGAACGAACCTTGAAGGCCTCGCGGATTTCCTCCTCGGAGTCGGTGTCCTTCATCTTCCTTGCCATCATGGTCAGGAACTCTGGTTGGTACGCGTCAGTATGTGGTTACAAGGCTGCGGCAGAGGGGTGACACCAGCGCCCCCCCCCTGGGTTCCTCAAAGGGCGAGCATTTGGACGTACCAGGGAAGTCAATGGTGCCATTGTTGTCGGCGTCGACCTCGTTAATCATATCTTGCAGCTCAGACTCGGACGGGTTCTGACCCAGGGATCGCATGACCGTGCCGAGCTCTTTGGTGGTGATTTGTCCTACACGCCATATCTCAGCATGATACTCGTGATACGTGATAGATGTGATAATCGCTTGGTTGGAAATTATGCACGCGCAGGCTGTCGCGGCGGATCGGGCATGACGCGTGCAAGGGTGAGAGGGAGCAAAGAGGGCGGCCGCACTAACCATCGCCATCCTTATCCTACAAGCCGAAAACGGTCCGTTAGCATCATGCGCAAGAGTAGAGGAGGGCGGGGAGCTCATGTCTGCTGGCTAAAGATGACTTACAAAGAGGGAGAACGCCTCCTTGAACTCGGAGACTTGTTCCTCGGTCAGAGAGTCGGCCTGTTGTGACGCTGTTGGTTAGCCAAAAGTCCTGGGATTCTTGCGTGAACGCTTCCTGGTCTTTTCGATGCCCCTCCGAGGGCAAGGCGGGGCTGCCAGAGCAGGGACGCAATGATGGGAGATCGAAGGGCACCAACCATGTTGACTGGTGAAGTGAGTCAAGCTGGAGGATCGAGAGAAAGAGTTCGCTATATTGCCGTCGTCGAGCAAAGGGTGGAGCACCAAGAGTCAAGATGTGTCGTCGGGTGGTGGAAGGATCAAGAAGGGGAGCGTGTTCAGGTTCAGGTTCAGCTAAAAAGGGGGTGAGGTAGGGTGCTGGTTGTTGAATTTAGGACTAATTGGGGTTGACTTGAGAGCTTGAGCCATTGGGTGCGTCACCCAGACTCCTGGGCTCGCTGTGACCTAGTGGCTGCGAGGGAGCCCAGGAGCCTAGGTAGATAGAGCTAGGCCTGCCTGAGGGCCTCCGGGCCAGACCCCTCCAACCCCCAACGGTCCTTGCAACCGTAATCGCCCGTGCCCAGGTGCCTAGGAGAATCTCAGAACGGCCCCAGCTGAAAGCAGGCCGTTGACCCAAGACCAGCAGGCGCATGCAAGGTTGGGCTGCTTGTACTGTAAGTGATACGTGTTACTATTCGGTAGGGTGCTGCGCCCATGTCTACCTCCTTTGTAAGTACAACCATGCAGGATACGACAGCAAACGGATACGCCAGTTGAATGTCCATGTCGAGAGCCTTGTTGCCCGTTACTTGAAGTACTTGCAGTCTAGCGTCCTGGCAGCCTTGCCGACTTGCCGTGATCTCCAGCAGCTGAATATCGAGGACTGCTCCGTTTCAAGGTCCGTAGCCTACAGCCTGCAGGATAACACGGATACCCGGCCTCTGGGTGACTTCATCAATTACCTAGGTACCTAGGTACAACAGCTTCCCCCTAATCTCGCCGCCAAACCTGCCCTGCACACCCGGGTGCAGCACATTATCTACCACTCCCTTTCAAGCGACGTCAGTGTCTTCCACCCGCACCTGCACGGGATATCACAGACATTAGACCATACAGGGACCCAGGCACAAGCCAAGGTACCCGGACAGAGGCTGAGGCGGGCGGAGCTCTCCAATCACCATGCTCAGCCCTTCCTACCACCTCTCGAGTCCCGTTTCGTCATCTTAGACGGCATTCCAAGCTGTCCTTCCTGCATGATCTGCGATAAACAGCTGGCCATGTCATGCACCTGCTGGACTGGACTGGACGCGACCCCATACAGAGACCCGGTCAACCGACCATCTGCCTAGAGGCCACACTGAAACTGAAAGCAGTCGTCCCTCTCCTCGCCGTCCGCCATGTGGCGAGACCGGACCAACCTGTGAGTTTCCCTGCTCGTCGCATCTCCTGCTGCGAGCCTCCCGCTGTCCATCGCGCGCGCAATAACCCACCGCGTCCCCCCAACCCAATCCTCACTCCGTCCTAACCGCCCAGCAGCTATCTCTCCTACCGGCAGTCCTACGCTCACCACCCCACCCACCGGAACAAGTATGGCGGTAGCAACAACCTCGCCAGCGCCGAGCGCTTCGGCTCCTCCACCGGCGCCTCTGTGCTCTTCTCCGCCGACGAGTCCTCGGACCGGCGCGGTCTCCTGGCGGGCGGCGACTACCACGACGACGGCGACGCCGTGATCGAGATGGACCTGCTGCCCCCGCGCTGGGCCGACATCACGGACGAGGTGACGGACCTCCTGGCCGACATCGCCAAGAAGTCGCAGAAGCTCGAGAGGCTGCACCAGAAGCATGTGCTCCCGGGCTTCGACGACGAGGGCACCAAGAAGGCCGAGGAGCGGGATATCGAGAAGTTGACGCAGGACATCACGCGCGGGTTCCACGACTGCCACCGGTGCATCCAGCGCATCGAGGCCATGGTCCGCGAGTCTAAGGACTCCGGCACCATGACGAGGGCGGAGGAGGTCATGGCCAAGAACATCCAAATATCGCTTGCGGCCAGGGTGCAGGAGGCGAGCGCGGGCTTCAGGAAGAAGCAGAGTACTTATTTGAAGAGTGCGTGTCGCCCTCATACTTGATGATGGACCTTACAATCCTCCAGCTTCTGGCGCAATGGCTGACTTTCAACAGAACTGCGTGGCCTTAGCCAACCCAGCGGCATACTTTCCCCCGGCCCTGAACGCGCGTCCACGCCCTCAAACTACATGGACCCCTCGCTCCTCGATTCCGAAACGGACAAGTCCTTCTCCCAGTCCACGCTGCAGTCATCGATGCAGCAGAAGCAGCTCCACTCTAACGACGCGGCCATCGTCCAGCGGGAGCGCGAGATCGAGGACATCGCCCAGGGCATCATCGACCTGTCCGACCTGTTCCGCGACCTGCAGAGCATCGTCATCGACCAGGGGACCATGCTGGACCGCATCGACTACAATGTGGAGCGGATGGCCGTGGACGTCAAGGAGGCGGATAAGGAGCTGAACGTTGCGAGCGGGTACCAGAAGAAGACCACGAAGAGGAAAATCATATTTCTGTTGATACTGATTATCGTGGGCATGATCATATTACTGGTCATCAAGCCTAAGAGGCAGAGCGATAGCGGTGGCGGAGGTGGTAGTCCCGCAGAGGAAGAGCAGGCGATAGAAAGGGATGCGCTGCCGGGGGTCGGCGGGGGCAGCCCATTCCTCGCGAGGGCCGTGTTAGACCACTTGATATATAGATAGGCAGGCCCCCGTGTGGCCGACGAATATGAACTTAATAGCCCGATCGCATCGCCACACTGCGCAGCACGCTTTCAACTGCATGTGACTTGATCGACTGTTCATCGGTGCTGGCCGCCAGAGCTTCATGTGCAATGGGTATTGTGATTCTGATTATTTACAATGGCCAATATAACCATCCAACGATGCCTTTGGCCCATATCTTATCTGCCTCTACCTGAGTTCTCTTCAAGAGCTCTCAGCCGCGCTTGAACATCATTCAACTTATCATCCCTCATCGCGTTCTCCAAGACAGTCATAAGCTCAGGCAGGCTGGGCACCACTTCCCTGCCCCAAGCCAAGTCGCAAAGCTTTTTTGCTTGTGATAGACTCAGCTGGTTCTTGACCCGTCTCATCTTTAACTGTGGGCTTCCTCCAACCCATTCATACCGTGCGTCTCCACCGCCGCGGTACAAGTCTCTGAGGCGTATGACGGCCTGTTTCCGGATCGTCATGTGGGGAACACTCAGGCCTTGGTCGCGGAGCATGGCAAGGAGCCGGATCCCGCGGGCGAAGTGGAAGTCAGATGGTTCCGCGGATTCGCCAACTTCACCGTGCAGGACAGCATACGCGGACGCTTCCGCCTCGTAGCTGTACTTGGTGTGGGTGAACCCCCATCTCACTATTGCCCCCTGAAGATTCTTATCAAAGATCTGGCGGAGGGGGTGGCCTTCATGGTTCAGGGGAAGATCTCGCGGGAGTTTCTGGAAGTACTGGTAAGGCGATTCGAGGCGGAGGATCTGTGGTATGTCTGCCATGTGGGAAATCCACATTGGCGTGTCAGACTTGGTGTAATTGACAAAGAGTCTGAGTATGTCGAGCGACAACCGCTCAAGGTCGATAAGTCTTTGCTCTCGGCCGAGCCGGTAGAGCAGTGTCTGCCAAGCTTCAACTGCCGGTGGAAACCGTGTGATGGACAGTTGCCGGCACAGCGAAAGTTGTAGGTTGACATGCTGCCGCACATTTCGCACTTCAGCATGTGGTGACAGGTTCTGTAAAACGAAGCTCGAAAGCAGGTGACTGGTCATCGGGGCCGGTTGGAGATTACGCGAGCACATTCCGTGGAGGAGTGCCAGTGCCATCGGCCCATTGCCCTGGCGTGCACATGACTGAAGAATCTTGTCGCTCGAAGCAGAAACCGAATGCGATGTCACCGCGAGCCTGGTCTTGAGAAGCAGTTGGTATGTTCCCCAGTCTTCCGTGATGAGGCAATGCTTCAGCAGTTGTTTCTGTGCCACCTCGTCGTCAAATATGTCCGGATGAATGTCGCAATGGAGCAATTCTTGAAGAGCCTCGTTGTCGCCGACTGTGGCGTAGTGCCGGATGGCAGCCACGTAGTTGGTGTCAGGCAACTTGATCTTGAGCTGATGGAGTTGATCCATGCGATGGAGCACACCCTGCGCGTTGCCCTCCCGCAGCGCAATGGATTGCAAGGACAAGGGACCAATACCGTTAATGCCCATTGTGTAAATGACGCTAATGGCAAAGTCGAGCGGGACCCAGGTGCTGGCAAACCATTTTGAGCCCAGCTTGTCGTTATATGGCTTTTCCCGGATGCCGAATGTCTCCCCATGCACTCGATTGACGAGGTAGCTCAGGTTCTGGCCGTTGATGGCTGCCTCGGCATGCAGGCTGTGGCTGACTGTTTCATCTCTGGAACCTTCTTGATCTTGCAAGACAAGTCCAGCAATCGAAAGCTCTTCCTCTGACAACTGTGTTTGCGGATAGTACGCACCAACATAGCGCAGGAAGGGCCGAGCAGCGAGACTCGCTGGACTATCGCCATGAACAATGAGAAGTCGCCGCCACTGGTTGGCCAACTGCGCGTGGCCTCTGTCGTACAGGTGCGGTATCAAGATATCGTAGAGTTTGCGGTGTGTACTCCACGAGTAAAGCAACCGCAGCGTCTCCTGCATCTTGGGGTCGGGATGTGTGATGAACTTCTTCAACATGTCCACAAATTCGACCTCTCCGGGCCCAAATGAAGGGCTCAAGGTCATGTGCCAACGCAAGACCTCTGCCCTGGGGCGGTTCTTCAGCATGAAAGACACAACTGTCGAATACAGCTGGGGCCAGGGAGTCCCGTGGTTCTCAAGGAGCCACTCTCCGTAGCTGATCACCTCGCGCAAAAAGGTGTCGCTAGTCACAGCAGCGCTGAGAATGACTCTCCAGAAGGCCTGGGGTAAGGCGCCCTCCACTTGATGGAGGTTTCGCCGCTTTGACACAGCCTGCCATATCATTATGACGCCGTCTCGACCCATCCACCGGTGGCAGAACTCCAGGAGGCAGCTCCATAGCTCAATATCGCTCTCATTACCAGGTTGGTCAATGAGCCTCACGAGTCGACTGTCCGAGACGTTGATGTCGGACTCAATGAGCAATCGCTCATGGTCCAGTGACAAGGACTGCCACTTTCCGTAGAGGTGTGAACCTGGGCTTGGGTAGTCGACAGTGGGAGACTCGCTCGCAGACAGCACGCGCTTTCTCGAAACAGTCTCGGCGATGCCCTCCTTCAGTTCCTCAGAAAACGAGGTGACCTCGTCTTCGGGTACGTCGACGTGGTCCCCCACAGCTATCACGTCTGCGGCCTTGCTTGCCCTTTTTGCCGAGGCTGGGTATTGCGAATATGCTGGGGATGAGAATGCCACTGACGAGGCCCGCCTGACAAGAGCGAAGCCCGCATGTTTTTGGTCATGCTGATAAGTTCCCCTCGAATTCCCCCGCAAGGCCCAGATGACTGTAGAGATGCCTTGATGCGACTGTCGAGTACTGAGTAAGACTCGTGGCATAACTCTTTTGTGCCTGCTCTATCTTGCGCGACGGTCCGCAAGTGGCCCAGCATCTCAGCGCCTAACGGGTCGTATGGCCGCAATTGATATTCTGACCATTGTTGATGTGAAGGCGCGTGAATAGTAGTATCGCAACGAGATTGAATCGATCGCGTTAACATGGGAGGCATCGCACCTGCAAGATTTTGGCAGCGGAGAGCCTGATGAGATTTGGGAACGTCGCGATTGGGTAGGGTTAGGGGCATTCGGCCCACGGCAAAGGAACCTCCCGCCTCTGATCCCCAACTCACAATCGTACCATCAACCCTCTGACGACAACTCCATCAGAAAGTCTCCCCTCAACCCGCAACGAAATCATTCAAAATGGCGTACGTCGTCCCCCAGGCCCCCCGATGTGTCCATCTCGCCGCCGGCTGAGCCAGAAGACCGCCCGCGCAACGGCCAATGGCTCCTTCCGACCGGACCCGACATTTGAATTGCGTCGTGATGCTTCCCGCCGAGCTCTCCAGGCTGACTCCTTTCCTCACACAGCGGCTTCGTCAACGCCCAGAACAAGGTCCCCGAGCACCAGCGCACCTACCAGGCTGCCTACCGAGCCCACACCCGCATCTGGCGAATCGTGAGACTCCCCGATGGACATGCATAGACAGGCCGGAGAGCTGGATCCGAGGATGGAAGCTAGGATGTCATCGCATTGGCAAGAGCGCTCGCTGAAATAATCTTTTCGCAGAACCCCCGAAGCACCGTCTTGTACGTGCCTTTCGTGTGGATCATGTGGGGAACCACTGGCGGTACGTCGAAGGCCACCATTCGCAACCCGAGGGCATTTTCACTGATGAGACGGTCACAGCTATGATGTACGCGATGGGCCGCAAGGTTATGGGCCACAACAGCTGGTTCGGAAAGGACTAGGTCTGCTGATACGGCGACAATCGGGTACAAGTGAGGCACGCGTCAATAGAATGGTCAGGACAGCACGAGAGAAATGCAGAGAAGCGCCGCAAAGCGTCTTTTAGACGAGGTGGTTACGCCCCCTGACATTTTTTTTCTCCATTAATTCCACTCTAAGCTGTGAATGCCTCCTTGAAATTCTCTGAAGCCATTTACTCGGCCGAGATACGAGAAGCTGCTCATCGGTTGTGCCGTTTCTGCCGAAAATGCCGGTCTCCCTCCTTTCACCCCAGGACCGTGGCCTTTCTAAACTACAGTAAATAACAACGTGTCGTTGACTTCGTTTGGGGATGAGTTATCATGAGCCCGTATTGGTTCAAATAAGGCTGCCATTGGAATCCTCCTGAACGTGCAGAACTGCTGGCGAGTGTGGCTGCAATGACGTAGAGGCGGACAATGACGAGCACAACGACTAGTACTAAAATATCCTCTTGTCAGTGATTCATGTCCTCAGTCACGATGAGAAGAAAGAGCTTGTCCGAAGTCATCCCGGCAACTTCCAGCTTCTGAGGCTCGCTTGAGGCTCTTGAGTGGTCGTCTGAGGCAGCGCGGAAATGCGATAGGCACGGCTCGAGGTTTAACTTACGCCCGTGGCACCTGGGGCCTTCTCGTCCTTGCGCAGACTCGTCAGCAGCTCGCGGAAGCGCTCCTTGCCCGAGCCAGAAGCACCGCCCTTGGCGCCTTTCCCACTGACATCCACGATCTTGGCAACGCGCTCCCAGCTGGTGCCGCCAGAGGTCGTGTCCTCGCGGGAAGCCAGGAACTGCTCGGCATCCTTGCGGGTCGCGGCAATCTGCTTCTCCTTCTTGTTGTTGTAGTTCTCGTAGAAGTCATCAATGTTGCGCTGTGCCTCGGCGATCGTCTCTTCGCGCTGTCGCGCGAACTGCTCTGCCCGCTTGGCGTTGCCGGCGTCGCGCTTCTCTCGCCACTCCTTGATCACCTCTGGCTCCTCCTCCTCCTCGGCGTAGGCTGCGAAGCCCGAGTTGTAACTGACAGACGGGCCAGTTGAAGTGATGTTGCCGCCTGGGGCTACTGCCTGTGGGATCGCAAGGGATTGTCAGGTCTTTTGGCTTGGTGCTGTTGGGAATGGGGTAAGGAGTGGACGAACCTCGTTGGAGCCTGAGAGATCGGGAAACTGCTGCTCGAACTGGGCTGTCTCACCGCCCCCGCCACCAAGCAGATCGTCGTCACCAGCATCGAAAGCATCACCGTCCTCTACGGTCGCAAACTTGTCTGCATCGTCGCCGAGGATTGCCTTCTCTCTGGCAAGGAAGTCATCGGCAGAAGGGTCAACGGAGGGGTCTTGAACATTTGTTTGTGCTGCATTCATTCCAACGTCAGCGAGTTCAGCGAAATGGAGGTGCAGCTAAAGAGAACACAGTATGGAGACAACTCACCTCCAGAGTCAAAGTCCTCGAGAGACGGGAATCGGTCCGCCATGGCGAGGATAATCTGGGTACGGAAAGGTAGAACGGGGTATGCGGTGGAAGTGAGGGTGGTTGGCAGAGGGAAGACGCGATTAGCTAAAAGGGACAGCTAGCATAGAATTATTGTCTTGGTGGTCTTGGTGAACTGATGAAATGGGATGGGACTCAATGGATAGGAGGCTGAAGTCGATGTACTGCTCCCAGAGGCATGTGCTCAGGCATGGATGGCACTTTCCTAGCTGGCCTAAAGTGCTCTCGGCCCACTGTTCACGCAGGTCTGGGGGGTGGTACTGCTGCAAGGAAGCAAGGAGGGTCGCTACAAAATTACGCCTTGCCGCTTCAAGGTTAGCGCCACGACACTGGATTTGACAAACATGGAGCTCTTAGTGGCTTGCTTGACTTGCAATGCAAACCCTCTCCATCATGCTCTGAATCATCCTCGCAAACTTCATCATCAGAAGGGCAGCAAGCCAACATTATCGTAGAAGCAGCATCTCCGGGTCTGAGAGGGGTTGGTTCAAAGGGCCAGCTTCTCTGGGATTGAGCTCCTTGGTCCTTGGACACTGAGTAGTCGGCCTACAAAGCCACATCAAGCAGGCGCCTCTTATTGATTTCACCTCGTCGTCCCTCACCTGCACGCCCTGCCATCACATCTTCCGCCCAAAGGCATCAATCAACAGCGCAGCAGAGACTCGTGGTCATCCCGACAATTTGCAGCATATACTGAATCCAATTTGATCAACAACACCAATCGACAAGCCCAGCAAAACATAACCTGTTTGCCATCGCCATATTTGGATTCGCCCATCCCTAGCGCCTAGCAGCAGCTCAGCAGCGAGAACAAGCAGCAGTGATGGCTTACAACGATGATGCCGTTCTGGCTCGCCTGTCTGCCCTCAACGAGAGCCATGACAGTATTGCCACCGCAGCCCAATGGATAATGTTCCATAAGTATGAAGCCTCAGTCTTTTCTATAGTGCTAGCATTCTAACCCATCCTCCCTGTCCAGGCGGCATGCAGACCGGACTGTCCAGATATGGCTTCAGAAGTTGAAGGAATCCCCCAGCACCCGACGGCTCAATCTGATATATCTTGCGAATGGTAAGCCCTAGTCTATGCTTCTCCGGATGAACTTGACGGATGGCTCTGCGAAGGTTGCAGCCCCATGACTGACCATTCCTTTCAGAGGTCACCCAGCAGTCCAAAGCCCGGCACAAGGATGACTTCCCACTGGCATTCGCGCCAATTATCGCAGAGGCTGCTGCTGTCGCATATAAGGGAGCAACCCCTGACGTGCAGAACAAGGTCCGTCGGGTCGTTGAGGTGTGGAGAGATCGTGGAGTTTTCGAGCTCCCGATCCAGAGTGCTATTGAAACTCGCATCGATGGTGAGTCATGGCTGAACCCTCCCTTATGATTTGTTTCTCACGTTGCTCGCAGAACTCGATAAGGCCAGAGGCGTCGGTAAGACCGGACTGGGCAACTCCAGCATAGGGGGCCCAGCCGTGCCATCCGAACTTGCACCACTTGTCACACCAGCACAAAATGTGTCCAAACTGGCACTTTCCCTGAAGGCAAAGACCACCAATGCCGAGCAGGAATACACCAAAAACACAGATCCAAAGCAGCCAACGCCATCTGCGCCGGTTTACGCGGCCCGCCTGAACGGCTTGCTGAAAACCCTCGCCACTGCCGAGGGTGCCGTTGCCGAGTGCGTCAAGGCAAGGACGGAGCTCATCGGAGCCCTCGAGAAGCTGCTCGGTACGAACAAGGCCAGCCTGGAAGCCGAGGAGAAGCAGTTGGCGGAGCTCGCAGAACGGAAGTCAACCATCGAGCAGAAGAAGGCCGATGTTGAGATGGCCATCATGCGAGGTCTGGCTGACCAGACACCGGCTAATCGCGATGGTCAATCAGCCAGTCCTGTGCCTGAGCCCGACAGACCCGAGGTTGAGGCGTTGACCCCACCGCCCATTGAAGACGATGCCGACATGTACAACGCCCAGGGGACTGATTCCTTCGAACCTGTGCCAGCACAGGAACCTGCCATTACCCAAGCCCAGCAGCCTACGGGTCTTGAAACACTCTCGAGTTTGGCTTCCCAGTATTCGGCCGTGCCGGTGTCCACAAATGGAACGAGTGGTGCGAACAAGAGACGCAAGATTGATTCTGCAGACGAAATTCCAGACCTCGGCGAAGACGGCATAGACCCTAACATTGACGAGATGATCCGTCAGTGAGGGTCCATATGTGACCATATACTACCAAGAATCTCAACGGGACAGTGAAATTGAAGTTGCCCGAACAGAATTGCTCAGCAACAGAGAATGTCTCACACCTTTTCCTTGACTTTGAGCTTCCTCGGACCACGAAGGTCTTAGGTGGGGCCGTCCCAGCCCTGAGATCTCAGAGCATGTGTCTCTTTGGTGCTGTCTTGAGCCGAATTACCCTACAATCCTTCGACCTCATAGCTTCAATTACACCGGATCAACCATCGTCACCATCGTTCATTGCCACCAAAGCTTCTCATCACCCACATGGCGCTGACTGCTGGAAGGTACCGTTGTGGACCATTTAATGCCAGCTTTGGCGAGGACGATCGACTACACAGACGTCAATGGCCGAGATACAAGTAATCACTTGTGCACTTTTAGGAGTTTCCTCAAGATGATAGGACGCTTCAAGCCAGGCTATGCACTTATTCAATACCGGTCAGTCACTCACGGTTATCGGACCTGGTATGGTGTGGAACATAGCAGCTTGCATCTCCTACATGGGCTGTTTTCTCCGAGCGAGAAAGGGGCTGATCGGTGGCAAGGTTTATTCTGGTTGAGGTTCTGTGAGCAGAATAGGGAGGCTGCCTGATAATTCTGAATTAGCATAATATGCTGTCTTTCTGAAGACCTTTACAAACCAGCCAGAGGTGGCAGTATCGCAAGCCAATTAATAATGCAGACAAACCTCGGGCTTTCCACTGCCAAACACCAATGCATCAAATGGGGAGCTAGCACCTGCCTGGGAATGGGCATCTAAACGTGAAAGAAGCCGTTGACCTTGCACCCGGCAGTCAACAACCACTTGACAGGCATGCATCCAACCCGGCTTTGCCGGCTTTGGTCGACATATGAGTATGTTGGTTGACTTACAGAGGGACAGTGTCTCAGGCTGGAGCAGAGAACTCACATAGCAGGGAGAGACCGAGAGCCGGGAAGACCTAGCCAGAGCCCCCTTGTGTCCAGCTTGACATTTCGTGCCGATCTGAAGGGGAAATTGTCCTCGTCCCTGACTACATGTCTAACCCCCCCGCCCCCCTCGGGTATCGTGGGTGCATCCTTTCCTTTCTTCTCCCTGGGCAGTCCAAATATGTGCCCCGATGTGAATGGAAGATGCAGGGTATTTTGATGTTACAAACATGAGTAACTATCAAAGCGCTGTCTTTGTTTCTGAGCTGCCCAACTATAGGAAGGATTCACCATATACATCACACTATTCAACTATTAATGTCTCTAAGGCGGCTTTGAACATGTCCCAGTGAGGTGGAATGTCACGGCTGGATTTGGGAGTGGGGGACTCCATCTCAGAAGCCAACATTGCGGATAGTCAGAATACTGAATGCCTTGGGTTGCTTGCTTGAACTATGTTCTCCTGTGTGTACCTGAATACCCACCATGTTGATGTTCCCAACCTCACAATGAACAGTCAACATGCATATAATCGCTTTATTATACACCCAGTGACGGGTGCCACATCGGTGTCAGAGTGGGATGTTGTCCACTGTATAGATAGATAATGGTACATGCGGTATGTGGTATCTGACACTGGCTTTTTTCCAACTGAGATTAGCCCCAGCGTTTTCTATTTCAAAGCAAACCTCCGGCATATCTGAGCTGTCAGTCAGTCCACTCAGTCCTTCTTCCCCTTGTCCTCTGCCTTCACCTCCTCCACCTCACTGAGATCCGCGTCCTCCTCCTCTGCTAGGTCTGCCTCGTCCTCCTCGGCCTCCGTGAAATGCTCGTCTATCCTGGGTGGGCGCAGAGCTGCGGGCGGCTCGCCGCCGCTCATCTGGTACTCCATCAGCTTGCTGAATGCGCTCTCCGGGTCCGCACTCAGCCGGGTGTAGCTGCCAATCTCGGCGACGGTGCCCTCGCTTGACAGGACGATGATCTGGTCGGACCGCTTGATCGTGGACAGCCGGTGAGCAATGGAAATGGTCGTGTTCCGGCCCTTGAGCAGCTCCCCGAGTGCTGCGTTGACGAGGGTCTCGGACTCTGCGTCCAAGGCGCTTGTCGCCTCGTCGAGGATCAGGATATCGGGATCCTTCAGCAAAGCGCGCTGTTCAAATTTTCGTTAGCAAGTCTGCCAGTAAAGGTGTCTTCGGACCGCTGCTGAGGACCTCCTTGCCTCCTGGTACCGGTTCTCGACAGATGGGGAAAATTGGAAGTGGTGAAGGCTTACAGCAATTGCCAGTCTCTGCTTTTGGCCTCCGGACAGCTGGGCGCCTCGGGCGCCTACTTGTGTCTCGAGGCCTTCGGGGAAGTCGCTGATGAAGCCACAGTTGGCTTTCCTTGCGGCAGCAACAATCTCTGCATGTGTCGCCTGGGGCTTTCCGTACGCGATGTTCTCAGCCACGGTACCGGAAAACAGTACCGGTTCTTGTGCAACCATGCCTATACGCCGTCGCAGAGATTTGACATTCAGGTCGTTGATGTTTTCACCGTTGATGGTGATTGTACCCTCGGTTGGGTTGTAGAAGCGAAGGAGGAGGGAAGCCACGGTCGATTTGCCACCACCTGATGGACCCACGATACAAACGTTGGAGCCAGATGGAATTTCGAAGTTCAGGCCTCTGAAGATCGTGACAGCTGGCCTGGTGGGATAGGCGAAACTAACGTCGGTAAATCTGATAGGTCCTTGTGCTGAGATGACCTTCTTTCCCACAGTGGCTGGGATTGTGGGATGTCTGTCTTGCAACTCGAAGAGGCGCGAGGCCGCACCGACTCCTTTCATGAGCTCCGAGTAGAAACCTGACACACCAAAGAGACTAGATCCTGCGAAGACGGTGTACATCATAAAGGATGTCAAGTCACCCAGCGACATGGCCCCGGACCTCACAAGGTTACCGCCTACAATGAGCAGGGCCAGTATTGTCATGTTTCCAGCCCAGCCTGTTGACCCGTAGAAAGTAGCCGCGATGATCGATTCGCGCCGACCGAGGGCGAATATTTTCCGCACCTGATGGTTGTAGCGACCAATCTCCTGGATCTCGCCGGCAAAGGCTTGGCTGGTTTTGATGTTGCCCAGACGCTCCTCTGCAATCTTTGTCAGAGTGCCCAGGTTTTTTTGGATCTGTCGACTGATGTTGCGTATAGTTCGTCCGTAAAAGAAGGCTCCAACAGCGATCGGGGGGAACATCAGAAGGATAACCGAGGTGAGCTGAGGGCTCAGCCAGGCCATGGCACAGAAGCCGGTCGCACCACTCACGATGGCCCGGAGACCGTCAGAGATGTTCTGGGTGATGCTCTTGCCGACAATAACTGTATCCGAGCTCAGACGCGATATCAAGTCGCCCACGCGGTTGGCATCGAAGAATTCGGCGTCCTGGACGTATGTCCTCCGGTACAGCTGGGTCCTAAGCCTAGCAACGACCCTCTCGCCGACAATCCGGAGAAGAACCACACGCCCGAAGTTCGCCAAAGCACCCAGGGTCATGAAGGCAGCGAAGCCAAGGAAGAACTGGTTCAAGGTGAGGCCTAGGACCGTGGGCGCGTCCTTGCTCGACGTAGCGATGTCCAAGATGCGGCCAACAGAGAAGGGAATCGACATGGTGACAGCCGAAGATGAGAAGGAAGACACAGGATATTCCGAGCCATTTAACCTCAGGCCTGGCGATCTTGATGAGCCGGAGGATCTCGGCCCAACCCCCTTGGGACGAGCTTTTGCCTTCTTTTGACAGGCGCGCCCTCATATTGATCTGGGCGGCTTGTTTGGCACGCTCGCTCTGCTGAAATCCATGGTGTTTCGGGGGTGTTCTCTTGCTGGGAAACGTGCTTGCCTTGCTCGCCTTCCAGCTCTTTCTCTACAATCTCCTGCTTCACTTGAGTTGACGTCACATTAGCCCTCTCCCGGGGCTGCTGCCATAGCACGGTAGCCGTTGAGAAACCCCGTGTGGTTCCCCATGATGATATTCCATGGGCTGGCCGAACCGCGCGGGATGCGAATGCCCTGCCAAATACCTGCGCCGCGATGCCCGGGACTGCGGGCGAGGAGGAGATGGAGGATGCGGAGACGGCGAGTAGCGATCGGCCGGAAGCGAAACGACGAGCAGGAGGAGTGAAAGCGAGCGGTCGACGTGTATTCGGAGGTGAGATGTTCGGTATGGGCACAGCGAGGGTCAACGGGGTGTAGGCGAGTTCCAGACGGCCGCCGCAAGCGAGGGTTCGTGGCGGGAGCAGCTCAAGAGCTTGGTGAGCCCGGCGAGCTGCTGCTCCCGAAACCATTGCGACGGAATGGCTAGCTGTCGATGGTTGTGCTTGTGCTGCGACTCATGATCATTGCTGGGTGTGGTGAAGACGGACGTCCATAGTCCAGAGCATCGGACAGTTGACGTTGGATTAAGTAAGAAAGCAGGCGCGCCGGTTCGGAGATGGTTGATTGTCTAAAGTTTTGCCCGCGGTTCGGGTCATTAACGCTCGTCATCGAGTGGGCCCCACTGCAGCATGCTGCCCGGCACCAGCCGCTAGACCTCTTGGGACCGACAGTGCAGCATGCTCCAGGTAAACCTCACGGTTATTCGTTCACTTTGACCGTCATGCCAGGTTTTTACCATTTGCATTAACATGTCAAGCAGCTACTTTCAAAGCGCAGGGGCCAGTATCGAGACGGAAAGGATGTCCCATCGGCCCCTGTCCTTCTTCTACTTGGACCTGCCAGCTCCTAGGCGGAATTATGCCTTTCGATTCTTTTGGGACATGCCGTTCTATAGCAGACCCTCACGCCGCTCGCTGTCCTAATGTCCTGTCCGAAGCCAAACCCCGACGTCGTCGGTGGTACGATTTCCAGGAGACCTGGATTTCCTACGCATGACTTGACCACTACGTACTGTTTCCTGTGGAATATATCCCTCCCATTCGGCAATCTCCAAGTAGTTCTATATCTTGGGTTAAAACTTACGAGAAGACACTTTTCGTCTGTCCCATCCCTCTTTCCATTTCTGTATTCTCTCATGAGCCTGGTCAACTTCCGGCATCCCTGCAGACTGATGAGCAGCCTCTCATCCCAGCTTAGGCTTCCCTTGATGTGTGTCATAAGGCAGTGTCTTGAGCAGCATATACCACGATCACAAGCGGTCGACTCTGGTCAGTCATCTCTTTCCTGCAACGGTAAATTGCAGCGTGCGGAATCAGACAAAAGAATATACATGTATTGACATAGGGAAAGATGGTCATTTCCTGCACTCGTCTCCTATGAAGCCAGCCCGGAGAAGCCAAGTGCGCCGTCAGTCAACGGCTCGGCATCCATGACTGATAAATGTGGAAAGACCAGGCAAAAGGGCAGTAGTATATTCCAAGGCGGAGACACAGAGAAACGGACCACGCCGGCGTAGGATCGTCCAAGCGAAGCGGAATTCTGATGGTAGACTCGAGAGAGTTTAGCAAGATCCGACACAAAGAGCGAGGAAGCAAGCAAACTCAAAGACAGTCTAGCCAAGGAATAATACCTTAGGATGTTTTGTGGGTTCCCCAATGAATTCTGTGTGTATAGTGTGATGGTTGCGCAAGTAACATAGGCTCACGAGCGAGGCACACGCTGCACGGCATGTGTTGGAGAGCCTCAGCGGCTGCACCACATCAATTGACTTCCGCTCTTGCACCGACTGTTTCTCTCTCTCTCTCTCTCTCTCTCTCTCACACACACACACACACACACAATTGTTCACTAGTTCATGGAATCCCAAAAAGGGCGCGGGACGCCGAGAATTGGACCTGCCGGACGACCGCAGTCCCTCTCCTAGAGCAAGCTTCCACTACTTATTGTGGCTTACAATCGTTACTGAGACGGCAACTCAGTATGAGGCCAGAAATGACCTTTTCATGTCCAGCGTGCGGGAATACGCGGGTGGCCAGATTAAAGCAGCGTACGCTCAAAAGACGAATTTTGTTGTCTCTTGTCGGCACCCCTGGACACTCAATCCTTGCAGCCTCAATACGTGGGCTGTCGTGAGAACGGGCTATGAAATGTCAACAGCTCCAACCCGTGGAGCTTGATTCTGAGTGGAAGCTTTGTGCTTGGTAGCACCAGATAGGGGGCCAGGTTTCCGATTAGGCCACCCGTGGACGACCCATATGTTACCTGTGCAGCCCTGGTGTCAATTTGGGCAAGCGTGATGAGCCCAGGTAAAAGAATTACGAATACTTGTCCGAAGATGAGCCTGATTCAGGGAAATGGATAGGCAAAAGTTGATTGATGGCCACCTCAGGTACTAGTCAAGACGCTCGCTGGCGACGGGGCCTGGCTGACTGCGCTGAGGAGCCTACAATTACTGGGCGGCTATACCACACTCACAGCTGCCAAAGATGATATGCGCTGTGGTCATCTCCCCCCTCTGTCGCTGCACGTCCCTGCAAGTATGCATAAAAGCGTCAAATTTCGAAGTCAGACGCGCCCGCTCGCCGTCCAACCACAATCACGCCCGACGAGCCCTGAAAAGGTGCGCGTGTACCAGAGGATGGGTCAGCTTTCTTTGGCTTTTGTCTGCTGGCTGTCAAAAACATCTGCACTTCTCGAATGTCCCCACCCCCCCAAGATTTTGGTAGCTGTGTCGCAAGTGCGACGTCGGCTGAGATGGGAAAAGGCCTCTGTTGTTTGAGAAGCTGACACGCCCAGACCGAAACTTGTCGAGCACCGGGGAGAGAGACTCGTCGACAGGCGTGAGTCTGGGACAGATGGAGTGGGCACGTTGAAGAGGGTGGGCCAGGCGAAATACCAATCGCAACTTTGGGGCACCCGTGGCTGAGTGCTTCCTCAGGTTAGTTGTACAATCATTCTTTTTCTTGTGTTACCCATAGATGTAGCCATAGGCAGTGCATGATTGGAATCGGGTTATTTCTCAAACTTCATCCGAGGTCGAAAGGCAAGGCATTTGCGACTCCCTGGTATGGCTCGAGAAAGGCTTGTTGGCGCAAGGCCGTACTTTTGCCTGAGGATCTCCGCTTCAGGGGTCGACGTCCCCCTTTGCTCGTATTCCCGCCCACGAACGCCCAGCGTTTGGACATGTTCGGACGTATTTGTATTGGACTGCTGCAGGGGCGGCTCACCTTGGGACTTGTTCTGGTTTCCGCTGTCTGTTCATTCTTCCGAGGAAGGCGGGCGTGGAAGCGGCAGCGTCAAGAACAAGTGAATGTGGGTTCGAGTCAGGGGGTGTTGGTGGTGGACTCTGGGATCCATTCTCTCTCTTACTTACTCTTTGCCCTTTTCCTCTCTTGACCCCTCTGTAAGCATCAAATTCCAGAAAACTCTCTCATTCCGGGATCCAGAGAAACGACCCAACTACTCAGCTTTCAGGTACTTGTGTGTTTGTCTCTAGCATGTGGGTCGTTGCCAGGTCCATGTACAAGGTGTACTCGGTGAGCTTGATCACCAGGAGCCTGGCAAAAGTTTCTGCCCAACTACCCACCTGCAGTAAGGGGCGCATTGGTATGAGCACCAACGCCCAAACAAGATGGTGTTCACAGCTGCTCGAACGGTGTGGCAGATTGGAGCCCAACTTCCGAGCCTCTTCGCATTGGCCTCAGCTGAGAAAGGAAGGCAGAGAAACATGCCCATCAGGGCGTATTCTCTATGTGCGGAAAGGCTGGGTCTTCTGGCAGGGTTGCGGCGGATGCTGCGGCTTACCTTGCACACCGTAGGTGTGGGCGATTAGGCAGTAGAATTGATTGCCTCCTGAGACCCTAAGGGTGGGCACAAGGACCATCTAAACGTTGCTCTTGCCACAGCTGTGAGAAGGACCAGATGGGTGTGCAGAAAGAGTCAACAGGATTGATGTAACATTGCATCTGCAGAGAAGACGCCCACCAGCTAGTCGATCCCAAGGCCTTGGGCAGCCGCGAGCTTTGCAGCGTCGATCGACCAACCGCTGGCAGGGACACATCCACCTTTCCCCAGATCCGCGAGGAACATGACCTGGACCATGCCAGATCTGAATCTGACGGGCCGAGCCAGAGTCGTAGGCAAGGCAGGGCAAGCCAAGGCTGGGTCTCGTGGGCAGCCTCCGCTGGGGGGAGGGGTCCTTGGAGGACGCCCGCTGTGATTGCTGCGAGGAATCGCATGCGACGCATGCACGACCCAAGCGAACTGGGTCTCATGTAGGTCTCTCCACGGGAACGTGCATATCCAGGCGCGTCTTCCCTGGCAGGTGGGTAGATGAGAAGGAATACTACCGTACCGGTACATCTGACTTGGGCAAACGGGGCCAGAGGAGGCTGCAGGTCCACCGTCAAAGTACTGTGACAAGACCGAGACTGAGGGCGTGGGGGTCTAGAGCCCATAGGCTTCTACTGTGTGTCCGAAAACCGGTCGGGGTCGTGTGATGCCCCCCTCCTAAGGAGAGGGTTGCTGCAGCGTGGAAGTTGAGCCGTTTCAGAGGCTCGATGTCGGTGAACAAGTTGTCCGTCTCTGAGACATGGGGATTATTTTGCTGAAGAAATCGGCGCTGGGCGGGTCGAAGCGTTCTTGAAGCCCAGTCTTCGTCCAGGGCCGACAGCGCTGTCTGAGTTGAGGAGGCGTCTGTACGGAAGGGTTGCACAAATCGAACAAGTCCTTCCAAACAAGGCACCACAAGCCCATGGATGCCCCTGGCCCCTGGGGATCGTGCCTCAGAAAATCCTCCTGGCTGCCGCAAAGTAGGTGACGGCATGTTCCGTGTTTGCACTCTCACTGCGGCGGCCCAGGCTGGGTCTTCATCACATAATTCTGCTGAGAAACGGCCTGTTATGCCATGATGTTGCGGGCGGAACCTGAGCTGGTAGTTGCAGGAGTAATGGTGCCTGGTCAGCACCATAAGACTTGACTTCGCGTGGCTGTCTCTGGAGAAAGTGGACTTCGCGACGCCAGCAGGTCTCATCGTGGTTGGCGATTTGGGTCGGATACCTTTGGCGACAAGGGCTGAGGATCGTGAAAGCAACAGGACTTCCTCAAGCCACACACTGGGGCAGAGAGAGGGAGTGAGTGTGAGAGAATGCGACAATTCAACAGCGCCAGACCCCCTTGAGTACTTACAGGGTACCTCTGCGGTGGCCCCTGTCCCAGCGCGAGAAAGATTTAGAGGGAAAAAACCTGGTCTTCACTTGTGGCGTTGTCCCCAGCGAATTGGGTCGGTAGGCTTTGGCGAGTCTCCAATTCGGAGGCAGGTCAACTGATCGTCATGTGCCTTGTGGAGCGCGTGCAGTGCGTGCCCCGTCGGTGACCAGAGCGCTGGTAAAGTTAAGGCTTTCTCGACCGGTGAGGCTTGTTTGCGCCGTGAGTGATGTGTCAGGGACACACACCGACTTCCAGAGTGGGTTTTTCGGAGGGAAGCTTAGCGAGACAGGGGGCAACGTAGCAGCGTCAGGCCCATGATTTCTGACGTCTACCACCCTCATCAACGACCACGGCCGCTCCAGCCCGGATTAGGGCCAGGCGCAAGCGACGCTCAAGCGACAACGGGAGATGGCGGCTTGACTTGGGCATGCAAGGGCTCCACACACAGGATCTGACACTGGATCTCGGGCCATGTCGCGGCGTGGCTTGACGGGTGACGAGCAAGGAAGGCAGACATGAGTGCGTACATCTACTGTAGACTAACAGGATGCGCTTGCCCCAGACCCATCCCTGCCGGCCAAAGCCTTGGATCGAAGTGCCTGTACTGGTACTGTGGCAGGAGAGAAGTGGTTGGCCAAGGGCCCCTGTCCTTGCGATTGGGCTGAGGTCGAGCGGGATCAGGAAGGAATGTCCCGAGATCGACGGCAGGGCAAGCTGCAGGCTGGGAATCTTGGTTCTCCCTGCTGGCTGGCTGGTTGCCCCCAGTCCGCCAGTCCGCCAGAGAGAGTGTGTGTGGCCGCAGTGTCGCAGTGTCCCCCAGTCTCGGGGCTGCCAGGTGCCAGGCTGGGGGGAACGAAAGCGGGCAGCTGCAGCTGCAGGGCACCATCAGGTCCCGCCCCCATGTATGCGAAAGGCTCCAATGATAGCGACGCCGATTCCATGCTGGACCATGCCATCTCTGGTCAGGGCTGCGAGTGTTTGACAGGCCAGGACTACCCAGATGCTGAGCTGCGAGTGTCCCTCCCATTCGCGGCAGCAAGTGGATGGGACCGATCGCGTGGATGCCTGGACATGGCGTGCCTGCGTGCATGGGAGTATCTAGTACACAGGACCGTCCTGGGGGCAAAGGGTAGGGGATTGACTCGACTCCTACGTACCTCGCGACGCTCCTGACGACTGGATCACCGCCGGCGTGCACCGTCCCCGCGTGCATGTGTCGTGTCGTGACGTGAGGGAGCTGTACCGTACGACACAGTACATAACATGGTCCGGCGACTTGGAAACCTTGAAGAGTGGGGACCGGTGAAGCCCATCTTCCTCAGCTGGAGCTGGGCGAGGGCCAGGTGATGTTTGCGCTGATCTGAGGCACGAGGGCATGGGGGTCATTGGGGGTCCATGGGGGTCATGGGCATGGCATGTCGTCAAAACCACATGTCGCATTGACAATTCAATTGTCTCTCCACCCGGGCCCTCAGTGGTCGATCCTGCCCGCGTTAGCTCCCGCGGTTTGGACGGCTAAGGGTTCAGCACCTGGAGTCGTAGACAAGATATCCATGTCTTGCAAGACCTGGCCACAAGGCCATGCAGTCTGGCACTCAGGTCAATGCAGCCGCTCGACTCCTGGGGTACCATGGTCTCCAGGTAGAGCACTGTACACGGTGGGAGCGGTGGTCTGCAGTGTGCAAGCAACGTGGACGCAGAGCAACGAAACGCCCGCTCGGGAGCAACGACACCAGCAAACACAAACACTGCTGCTGCTGCTCGCCAAGCTGAGACCCTCCCGCCACTTTCAGTCTCCTCATACTGCGACGAGACAAGACAATTTTAGAATCGATCCAAGTGAGCCTCTCGCTCGCTCGCTTATCGAGAGGGTCGCCCGCCACAAGACCGACCAGCGCCCAGCTCCCACCCCCCAGCTCCTGCATACAGCTCCCGTTTCCAGCTCCAGATCCAGCCCAGGTTCGATGGGCCCTTCCCACCCCCTTACCCTCCCTCCCTCTCGCTGTCCCAGCACGCTGGTAGGCCACTTCCCTGTCGCGGCTAAGGTATGACATGCACATACTGCTTCCTGCCTAGTCAAATCTGTCTCGGCAATCACCTCAGCCAACAATGCCCTCTAATGGTGTTTTGCTTTTCTTCTTCTGATTCTCTTCCTTGCTTCATTACACACACACCACCCCCCCCCATCCCCCACTACCCTCTCACTTCACATGGTCACTCACTCAGTCTCTGTCGCTGTCTGCCGTGTGCCATCTGTGCAATCTTGCAGGGGCTCGTCACGGGCTCATCTATACTTTCCTGTCTCAGCTCAGAGCCTCTATCTATAGACATAGTCTGTCCAGGTGATATACACAGCCGGGGGAGAAGAGAAACAAGGTCTCCTCTTCAAACCCTGGGGGCACCCCGGCTGATCCACGTCTGTGTGTTCGTGGTTCGCGGGTTTGTGGTTCGCGCCGAACCTTCTGCCTTTCCACCGTCTCCGAGGAAGGGATCGGCATGCGAGGCGGACGGATCGTCTGATCGCGGCGACAACCATCACCCAGGTCAAGGGGCCTTTGGCAGCCAGACAATCCTGCGTCAGCCCTAGGTCGGCGCAAAGCGGAGGTGGACTAAGGGAGGATTCTCCATCTCGTGTCTTCACTGTCCAGATTCGCAGAACACCATCACTTTGCTTCACTTGCATCGCCGCGCATCACCCAACGTATCAGTGAGGGTCTTGTTGTCAAGGCGATCATCGTACAATTTGTAATTTGCAGTGGACTCCCCTCCGCACTCCCGTCTCCAACATGCACAACGACTCCCTCGACTGGAAACCCTCCAGCCGCCTGACCATATCCCATGACTTTGCCGCCTAGTAGCGTTGATTTCCCCCTGGTATCACAGACACACGAGGAGAGAGGAAAGGACAGGAACAGCAGCTACAAAGTACAAATCTATATACAGGAACAACGTCACAACGTGCCCTTCGTACCGCATCCCGCCTCCTTTTCTAGAGCAGGGTGCCCCCCCCCCCGAACAACTCGATCAAACAAGAACAGTTCCAAAAGAAGAAAGGAAAAGAAAAAACATGAGAATCCCGGCCCCGCCGCTCTCGCCTTGGTCCATCTACGTGGCTCACCCTGGCCACGATTTCCCGCCCACCCCGTGAATTTTTGTTTTCCAGTAGCATGAGACAAGGCAGATGAAAAGAGACAGTATTCGTACACTTAGCAACCGTGATGTTGCTGCCCGTGGGGGCCCTCGACAATCTATGCGCGATTTCTGTTTGAGGCCTGTTTTGTCGCTTTTCTGGTGCTCGCGTTTTGTCGTCGGAGTGTTGCTCTCTGTCGTACCCATTGTTCCACACCCCAACAAGTCCTGTCGACCATGCCAGCTGCCGGACGCCTTCTAAATAGGGAAAACCATTCCAACCTTTGGCCGCCCACCTCCCCCCAGTCCGAAACCTTCGCCTAAAACAAGTCCTGGTCCGCAAATATCAGAACAAGTAGAACCGACCCCATGCGTCCGTCCAGTCTCAGAGGACACTTCTCAGTCGACCCGTCACTGAGAATCCGAATAAGCCAGACGCGCGAATAACAACCAATGTGGGAAAGCCATGATACGTGGCAGCGCAACTCCGTGTATTGGCGCTAGACATGGAGTGGAATATGTACGTTTGCAGATTTATCGATTGGAGCCCGCCGCGGCCGGCGCCCCCGCCGTGTCGTCGGGCGAATAGAGATCGTGGCACTCGAGCATGACTGTACATTCCAGAGTTAGCGGGTGAGGAATGTTCAAATGCAACTGGTGTGGTCGACCTACTCTCTGTGATCTGTTCCTCCCATACGCCATATTGGTAGTCAACGAGACCGTGCCTTTCAATGCTATCGCAAAGCCGGACAAGCTCATCACCCAGCTTCTTAAGACCGTCCAGGGTGATCAGAGTTTGGCCCCTCCCGAGCGGGCGACCCGAGTCCATCAGCTCCTTCTGCGCTTGAAAAGTAGCCAGCCAAGCGTGGTTGAAGTCGTTCCACAACTTGATTCTGTCACTGTGCAGATTCTGATCGTCAGAGGTGAGGCCTGCAAGCACGATAAAGCGGTCAGTAAAGGTGGTCCTCCAGGTTAAGAGTGAACAATAAGGGACCGTAGATAGGCCAGGGAGGGAAGTAGTAGGCAGATTCGTCCAAACTCGGTCGGAAGGTATTCGTTCTTACCAAGCTCGTGGACATGGGACAGCAGCCACTCGGAGACACTCAGCAGTGATTCACTAGCTGTCACCAGTGCACCATCCCTGATATTCTTGAAGATTTCCTTCAGAGCGTCCTGATATTGTGTATAGGCCTGGTTGAGGTCCGCGCCACCTGGGTATTCCGAGGAGTCCTCCATGCTCACATCAGGCGGTGCAGTAGGAGTCGCCTGAGCCCCCATGGTTTGCATGCCAGCAATGTTGCTGGGGTAGTTCATCATGGTATTTCTATCAGAAGGGCCCTGCTGATAGACCGCCGCCGCCGCCTGTGCACTCGAGGGTTGCTGCTGCTGCATAGCCGAGGCAGCCGCGGCGTTGGTTGGCTCGTTCGAAAAGTACTGGGCTGTCATTGTGGTATCCGCCGGCATCATCTGAGGAGCTGCGGGTTGCCGCAGGTCAAACGAGCTTCCCGGCGTATCATAGACGGGATTCTGCGTTGCAGCCTGGGGTACATTGTACATCATCGTGGGGTTATACGAGCCGGCAAAGTTTTGCGTTTGCCGGCCGTCTTGTCCGTAGCTCCCAGCCGACTGTTGGTAGCCCATGGTGTTCTGGTGTATACCAGCGGCAGTCGAGAATCCCGTCGCAGAAGGCTCTTGGTAGTAGGCGCCATATCCGGCTGATCCTCCGCCGATGCCTGCCCGGGCACCGCCTTGAGGAGACGTGTTGAGAGGTGCGGGCCGGTACCTCTCCGTCGTGGTGCCGGCCATGGTGCGGTGTGCCTGCTGCGTCGGGTTTTGTACAGTCTGGTGGTACCTCGTGTTTGTGTGTTGGAGGGGCGGTTCATTCTGCCTCCTGCGGCGATTGTTGTCGTCCATGCCCCGATGGAGCGCGTCGGTACTTGACGCCTTGATTGGCGAGCCCGCCCGATGCTGCGCCGGCAACGGAGCTGACGAGTACAGCAGGGCCAGTTTGGAACGCGATCCGGTCACGCGACCGTCGCTTCGGAAACCTGGCAACGGTGAGGGTGTCGGGAGATGTGTTTGCCTGCAGTCAGAGCGCCGCGGTGAGGGGCGGCAGATGGTGAGTTCGCGGGTCTTGCGGACGAGGGAGGACCCTGATCAGGCGCGCCGAGTACAGGACAGGGCTGACGGTCGTCTTTTTCCCAGGCAACGTTCCCTTTTCTCCTCTGGCAATGCGGTGGAGAGGAACTGCCTGCTAAGTCTCTGTCGCACAAAGCGTGGATGTTTGCGGGACAAGCAGATTTTGGGCACAGAACGAGCTGTCCGAATCTGGTGCCGTGGTGCAACAGGTGACAGGTGTGCTTCGTGTCGTAGAGGCGGGAAAGACTCAGTAAAGGCCCAACCAGCAAGTAGGAGGGGTCGACCCGAAGTTTAGTACGCGGTCAGGCAGTGAGGGCGGAATGCGCTAGGGGAAGCAAAGATCATGCCTCGTTCAAGTGGGACGACGATGTCGCGAAAGCGCGGGAGAGCCGCAAGCTCGCAGGAAAACACGGGCAGCAAATTGCGCAAATGCTGAGGATGACTTGTCAAACGGCTGGCGGTCTTGTACTGGGAGGATCCTGGAGGCCCACGCACCGATCTCCTCGCATGACAAGCTCTGACTTGAGAAGATCTCCTGGGTGGGAAAGCCGCACCAGGGTCTCACAGGAGAGTCGCAAGTTCACCAAGTTCGGATGGCCCTGGAGCCCGATCCGCCTGGTTGATGCGCCACAGCGTCCTTGTCTGCCCGCGTCTAATCTTTGTGCGGCCTGGGGGGTGGTTGTCGCGTCAGTGGGAGATGAGGGAGCAAGATTTGGTGTGGCCCTAGAAGGGTTGACAGAATATTTTCTGGCAGGGAGAGGCCGGCTTCAAGTAGTGTGGTTGGGCCGAGTCTTAATAGCACACCAAGGGAACAGTCCTGGCGAGATGTTTCCGGATGCTGGAGCGCGGAGACGCCTGGATACCTGACCTGCTGCGTAAGAGCCTTCCAGCTGATCAGGCACATGGATGGATGGACATGGACACGGACGGACACCGGGCGAGTAGCTTCAGTCATGCAAAACCCTCCCCCTCCAAGCGGCGGCCCAACAAGTCGCGCGTGTCTTAAGACGACGAGTCCCCAGACGCCGCCAGACGACGCAGAGCAGAGCAGATCAGAAACTGGAACTGGAACTAGGCCGCCTACAGCCAGCCACCGCTGGCAAAAGGAAAGACGAGGTCGAGATGGGAGGCGGAGGCCAGCGGGAGTGCACGATGTGTGCGGGTCGTTGCGATGGGGCGGGGAGGAGGTGGTGATGGTGATGGGTAGGTGGGTAGGTGGGTAGGTGGGTAGGTAGGTACTGTGTGGGAGTGTGTGCGCGTGGGTGTGTGCGTGATGGGTACGGGTACGGGTGAAGGGTGAGGTCGAGAGCAGGGAGGGTACGCTTAGGAGAGTGAAGGGGTGTAGTTTCCAAGTTCGGCCCTCCTGCAAGAGGCAAGAGGCAGGAGCAGGGCTCGATCGAGCTGGCAGGGGCCGGGGCAGGAGCAAGTCACAAGTGTGAGAGAGGGCCGGTTCAGGTACCGGTACTGGGCAAGTACCCACTCGTGGGCGATCGGCTCTGGGTGGGTGCCCGCGTATCGAAGTACCCAAGTACTCTCTCTAAGACGACGTACGGCGTGTCTCGGCGTGTGGGGAGGGGGGTCCGCGTGAAGAGGAAAAAGAAAAGAATGGGCGAGGCTGGAGTTCGGGGAGCCACGGCGTGAAACCAATGAGATAGGCCAGGGCAAGGACTGGACTAGTCGTCATCCACGCCACAAGACAAAGAAAGACTGAGATGCTCAGCTAGAAGGTGCAGGTCTGGAGTGGCGAGGGTGACGATGAGCACTGGTCGACTATGACCAGACAAGAATGGAGACCCAGGGATGTCCGGGGCGAGGAGGAGGAGGAGGAGGAGGAGGAGGAGGGGAAAAGGGGGGTGGTGGTGATGAACACGATGTGGCCAACCTTACCTAGCTTCTCTATTATTACTGTGCGGCATCAGACGCACGCTCGGCAGTCTCGATGATGATGCAGGGCATTTGGCTAATCATTTTGGATGAACTTTGGTGGTTGTACGGAGTACGCATGCATGGCCTGGCGACGGGTGCAGCCACTCTCCTTTCCCAACGTCTCTCCCGCCGGACCGAGGGTGACTAGATCGATCCGGCCGAGGGTGGCTCAAGTCTACCTGGTAGGTAGGTGGTCCATGAAGCCAGGTCCCAGGCCCAGCACAGGTGACTACATGCCTACCACACACCAGGTAGGCATGTTGGTATGCAGCCGGGCTGCAGCAATCTCCGCTGGTGGCGGTGTGAAGGCTGCTGCTGCTACATGTCAGCAGAAACAGTCCCCCGTCGTCTTCTCTCCGCAGTCTCTGAAGACAACAGCTGGCCTTTTCAATGGGAGGAACGACTTGGTGCTGCATTGGCGGGCGAGAACGGGGGAAATAGATAACAATAATAAACCAAGAAAACATCGCGGCAGGACTGTCTTGATGATCCTCGATTGTTGTTGGTTGCAAACACTCTGCGGTCCGCAGTCTGCAGCCAGTGCTATTGCCATTTCTGTTGCCAGTCAGGGAAGTTGGTTGGACGGTTGCTCTGCAGGGGATGCCAACATGCCAGATGCTCACTCTGAAGGGATGATGCAGACAAGACCGACTAGGTAGACGCTGACTCCCCGTCGTGCTCGGGAAGGTCAAGCCACACAGTCTGGAACCCAAAGGTTTCCCTCTGGTAGAACCTCGTGTTACCACGTCTTCCCTCATCAACGAGCACAAAGTAAGATACATGAAAGAGTGAATGCCCGCCCTCCCACGTCGGAAGCGCGCCAACTCCCCTGAAGCTTTCGCTCACAGATCGGGCTACGGTTGCGAATTCGAGGTCTCATTCATGCAGAGGCAGGGCGCCCACAGAACGCAGGGCGAACGCGGTGTCGGGTACGAGAGACAATGTCGAATTGCAAAAAATCCCTGATTCTGCCCCTGGCGTAACTCTGCTGCGAGATGTGATCTAGATTCGATTCGAGGTCGACAACCTGCATCTCTTGGTGGGTGAGTGAGCGAGTGGCCCGCAGTCCTGCAGTCCTCAGGGCATGCTCGCGCCTGTTGCAAGCCTTGCTGGGTGATGCTGGTCAATCAAATCTATCAGAACCGAAAAGCAAAATTTCTTTCTGCTCATCAAACCGAAACCCCAGAGCTCTCACGTCGGCGCTTCTGGTAAGCGCGTCGTCTCACCGTCCGCGGGTCTGTCATACTTTTGGCCCAGGGCCAGAGAAGCCGTGAAAGCCCGCCGAGTCTGGGGGTCTGCCCGAACCAGAAGCACCGTTGACCTCGGCGCAATGCTTTGGTCAGCGTGAGACGTCGGAACAATGCTTGCAATCGGCCCTCGTGGAATCGATCAGTTAGTTGTTGGCGAATAGCGCTCATCCCATTGAGGGGGTCTGTCATCAACATGTTGATTGATCTCCGAGGTTGCTGGGGACCGGCAGCTCTGAAGTTGGGCTGTGCCGAACAGCGCGTGTGAAAACGCGCAGGCAGTACTTGAAAGTACTTGTTGAGGATGGTGAGAGCAGAACGCACCGCGTTCAGGCGGTGGTACACGACCAAAAATCTTGTCGGAGGATAAAGTTTAAATCAGCTGAGATGACTAGATCCTGTCTTGCGGCTTGCCCCCTTGAGTCAAGACCCAGTTGCTAGTGTCTTTGGCACGTTTTATATTTAACTTCCCACAGTGTCCTGCGTGTATTCGAGCGGCGCCCTGATCACCCCCAGCCACCGTCCCCCAGGGGTTGCTCGCGAGCCCGTGGCCGTCTGGCCCAAGCTGACCTAACAGCTATCGGGTGCTACAACAATTGCTAGTCACGCAGTGTTGCACTTACCGACCCTGTGCGTGGTCTGTTAGTCGTAGTCGGGAGGAGCCTTTGGTCACTTGAAGTCATGGCGACTGGTAGTGTAGGGCATGTGCTGGCGCAATACCTCCTGACGGCGACCCGAGCCCACGCCATCGAGACCGTGGACAAAGCTCGGTGTGCCTGCCTAGGACCGCGCCGGTGATGCGCGATGGAAAGCAACCCTTGGGGCTTGATGGGGGTTAAAAGGGTGCCCAACCAGCCACAGCCCGCAGAAGAAGCTGCACCGCGTCCGGCCCAGCAAGCAGCACCGTTGGGTAGCGTGTCTTGGATTGTCGGGGGCTGGAAGAAATGGAGTTGCGTTCCGGCGCTCGGGGACCCGGCAGCAGAAGCATCGTCCTCAGCGGAGATCTGCGCTAGACAAATCTTGTTGTAACTCGAGGCTTCCGGCACCTTCTATGCGGCGATCGATGCCCAACCAATTGCCCAAGTCCTAATGGGAAAAGGTGTCTCTTGTCTTGGGTGTTGAAAATTCTGTTGTCATGCTGCGTCTCCCCCCAAGGGCTGCTGCTCCCCGTGCGGCGCGCACAAGCATGAGGAACCTGGCCCTAGGGCGAAGCGTACAACGGCGGTGGGCTCGAGACAAAGGACGAGGGAGGTAGCGGAAGGCAAATAGCCGAGTACTCCTGTTAGTTTTGTCGACGGCCCAGCCGGAGAAACCCTGCACCATGTCATCCGGGACGGAGGAGGAAAGGCTGGGAGAGACTTTGGAGGATGGCATGTCGTCAAGAGCCTGCGAGAGGCAGATCCACGTCCGTGCATTGCGGGTCGCCGTGGCCAGGGGTCCTGTGCCAGGTTCCCACACCCCTTTTCCTGCGCAGCAAATCACGACTGAGGCCCAGGGCTCCGCTGAGGGCAGATTTGCCGAGCCAGGGTTGTACAGGTACTTGAGCATCGTGGATCTTCCTTGTTTCAGCTGGCTGACTCGCATGTTTTGGAGGTGGTGTGCGTGCAACACAACATCGAGGCTGTTGCGTCGGGCAGAGTGGACGTCGATGCGTTTCTTCTGCTCGTTTCAATCTCCACGTCCCCTTCGAGATCTCCGGGCGGAATCTGGAGTGCTTCGGCCCTCAGCAGCCCACGCCCGAGGCCTGCTGGGGCTGGGGATGGGGCTGGCTGCCACTCTATGCGGGAAAGGTGGGTTGTGTGGATGGTCACCTTGAGGATCCAGCCCAGCCAAGCAGCCCACCCCCCGGAGAGTGCCTGTAAGTACCGCCTGAAGGCACGAGCTTCGAAGCTTGTGAAGCACGGAGTTCTGCACTATGGAGACGCGTTGCCCCATTGGACTGCGAGGGCCCTTTCCAGCGCGCGGTGACCTGCCTGGCCTATCTGGACGCGACAGCGACATCATCAATGCCCCCCCACAGCATGATTTGACGCGGCAGTTCTTCTGCCTAGGGGGAGGGCCGGGCGCGTTGCAATCTCTGCAGTAGAATCGCGACAGACAAGCTTGATGAGCACATGCAATGTGACTGTCAGCACGCATGGTCAGGCAGATAACCCAATGGGTCTGAGTCGCTCCCATCGCCTGATGACGTAGTCCAGGCGGTCGGTCCTCTGGATCGCTTGATTTGATGACCGTAATTATGCGGTGAGTGTGGCAGAGGAACGACTTTGGTGACGGCCACGGGTTGTGGACACGAGCCGTGTGTTGGAGCTCTTGGGGACGACGAGTAAGTCGAGAAAAAGTTCATCTGATGGGATATCCAATGGGCAACGGTAGAGGCTCAATGGACCATTTGCCAATGCAGTTCCGTCCTCCAGGAAGACAAAAAAAAATCCACGGGCGGGAGGTGCTGCAGGGACCTGCCTGCCCACTTGCGCCTTCTCGCGGTTGCTCTGTTGTACTGTGTCCTCTGCATGGCTTTCGGCCACTTGGATGTTGCAGCAATTCCAAGAGGCACGATTCGTCAATGGCTGCATCGTCAAATTTAGTAGGTGGACTTGTCGCAAATGACCGATCCCAGCTCAGACTTTCCCACAGCGAATCAGTCTCGGGTTCGTTCGCTCCGACGATCTCTTCAGCCTCGGCGAGGCGACCAGTCGCTGATCGCCTTGGATGAGGCGGGCGACGTCTCCATAGAATTCGCCCGTTATAGATCAACGCAAAAACCAAAAAGGGGGTCTGGGTACAGCACTTCATGCTGCACCGACGCGTACATGGCTGCAGGGAGATGAGAAGCTGTCGCCAGGCGGAACGGCCGACGACGTCTATGGTTAGAGGCAGTTTAGACCAGAGCTGTTTATTCCCTGAAGCGTTGTGGAGGCAGGGCTGACAGCGAATCTATTCGCGATAAAGGAGCGGCTTGCGATTTTCAGGGACGCCGGCCGTGATGTGATAGGTCGAATCCCATGGTAGCAGCCAGGTTGCATGGATTCTGGCATGATGATGATCCTCAAATGGCCGCGAGACGTGGGACTGACTACCCGCATCGGGATAATCGATATTCAAACGCGCGCCGACTAGCCCACCGCGGGCATGAACACATTCATGCTCTCCATCTAAAACAGGCTGCTAAGTATTAGTCAGGCCTGCGACGGACTCACGGAATGCTGCCGTTGGGCCCTGGCCGTCCATCCGTAACAGTTTTATTACACATCTGTTCGGGTACCTGGCTTGTTCACGTGCGTGGCCGTACCTGCGCGACAGCCCGCCTGCTCCAGCCCCAGGGGCATGTTTGAGCACCCGCCATAGGACCTCTAGGAACGAAACCCGCGGCCAAGGACACACGTTTATTAAACTTCCGCAACCTTTTTTTTTTTTTTTTTTTTTTTTTTTTTTTTGGCTGAGCCAGCGGGCATCGATCCCTTGGGCCGCGAGGACCGTACACGGGTATCAAAGTCGAAACAGGACTAACACTGCTTTAATTCGGCATGAATGCTGGAGGCGGGCAAGGGCCTCGGCTCTTCAGGCGTATCATGCGACTTGTTGGGCAGAACCTTCAGCCTGGGCCTTGGCCCGCCTCTGGCTGGACACAGGAGCCACTTCTCGACGACGGATGACGGTGCAATTCAGCAAACGTGAAAGCCAGTATTGGTCCTCGTCGGATTTGTCAACATGCACCCCCGGCTGCTTGGCCTCGCCCGCACAATTCTCTCGCCCTTGCATCTTGTGAAACATACCGTTTCTAGAAGTCCCCTAAACAAAGCAGCGACTAGTGAGCTTCTCTCGCGGCCCTTTTTGCGCCCATGTGTTTGCATGGGCGAGTGTTCCTGACGGCTTGCCGACCTGGGTCTCCTTGCTGGCGACGATGGGACGTCCACCCTACCACGTTTCCCTCGAGGGATGGTACCTTGTGACCTTGGGAGCTATCCGATAGGGGTTCCCTCGATCGTCCGATCACTGCGACGTTGGCCACGGCCCCAGGTCAGGCAGATGGGAGTAGGCAGGCTAGCAGCAACGGCGGCCAACCTCGGATGGAGATTATCTTCCTAATAATGGACAGCATAGCACGATACTTCGGGCAGATAAGAGCGGGAACGCCCGTGTCCGCTGAGATCGGAGAGGAACCTCGATGTCATGCCTCGCGTTTCCGGTGTGATTTAGGGAGCGGGGCGTTTTGAATCATCTCACATGTTCCAGCCGTAGGCCGCCTGGTGATTCAAGGATAGCGCCAGACCGTAATGCGAATATTCCCCCTACAAACGTGGTTGTACAGCTTGGTATGTACATGGTGAATGGCCGCGCGCCCCGAAGCTTCAGCCCACTCGTGTCAATGGGAAAGCACCCTCCATGCTCACATTATGCGAACACATGGGATGCCTCGTTCCCAACCAAGCCGTAACTCAAATATAGACATGTCAATGTCATGGTTCGGAAAATTAGGCGCATGCATATTCCAGGCAGCACATGCGGCTTGTTTAACGCTTGACCCAGGCAGGCTTCTTCCTTGCCTTGAGGTGGCCGTGCTTCTTTCTCTCCACGGTCCTGCGATCCCGAGTTACGACGCCAGCTAGATAGTATGTCAGCATCACTACTGCCTGAGACCAGAATGTTCGCGTATGTGTCCACTTACCTCGGCGAAGCACCGGCTTGAGCGCCGGCTCATGTGCCAGGAGAGCTTTGGCAACAGCGAGAGTGAGTGCCTCTGCTTGCCCGGTCGTGCCACCGCCGTCGACGAGCGCCCACACATTGTACTTGTCCACGCGCTGCGAAGCCTTCAGCGGCCACATGGCGCTCTCTCGGTCGTGCACGCGGCCGAATGCATCTGCCAGCGATTTCCCGTTGATGAGAACCTCGCCAGTGCCTTCTACCACCCACGCGCGTGCCGTCGACGTCTTCCTTCGTCCCACGCCCAGTGCCCTGCCGAATCTGTCGATTTCAATTGGCTTGGCAATGTTGGTGTGTGGGTTGATGTTCCGCTTGAACTTCCCAACAGCCTCTTTGACGCTCTCCGGTGCCAGTGACGGGTGAATCTTGTGCAGCCGCCTAACCAGCTTCATGGCCTTCGCATACTCGGCCGCCCTGACGTCTTCGCCAGCCGACAAGCGGAAATCCTTCAGCGTCCTGAAAGCCGCTTTCTCCACCTGGTCTGCCGGCACGGTCGGCAGATGGGCATATTGCCGCATCAACTTCTGTAGTGTGAGGTAGCTGTCGTTGAAATCGGCCTGTCGCGAGAAGTACGACGGCGATATCGGTAGGGCTCGAGCGTGTGGAGGCATCCGCAGCTCGCTGCTGCCCGGTGTCTGGTTCCGCCTGTCCATGTCTTGTAGGGCAGCACGGACCCGTCCCATGCTCATAGCTGCGAATTCATCGGGGGTGATGGTATCGTCGGCGCCCGAGGTCGTCGTGGACAGCAGCCTCGCACTGCTGGCCTTGTGGCTTAGCTGCAGGCCCTGTAACATCCGCCGAAGTTGCTGCCATTGCGGCGCCGAAGACTGACACCGACCTCTCAGGGCGAAGGTCGGTCGTAGAGATGCCATTGTCGCCGTGCTGCTATCTCCTCATGACCACTGTGTCGTTGGTTGCCACGCGCTTTGTGTGCTGGATCGTTGACGGGCGCATCCGCTCGCCAGAGGTGGGAAGCATTTTCAGAGTTGCCTGCCCAGCGCTTCCTCCCCTGGCCCCACACTTGGCCATCCAGCCAATCAACTACCTCGACCTTGAGCCAAGTTGCTAAGGCGGTTACTGCCTGAAAGCCCGCAATCCAGCGAACGCAAAATTTCTTAAAAGTCGAGCCAGCGACCAACCCCTCCTTCTTTGACTCAACCACCAACCCGTAATTGTGCAGACGACAGATTCGCAACAATGGCTTTCGGCAAGCTGTACACGTATGAGGTAAGGCTTCCGTGAGCATTTCACGAAAGTTGAGACTGAATTTCATACTAAAACAATCTTCTCAGAACAACCCCCGGAGCACGGCGATCCGCGCCGTTGCGAAGGCCAACGACCTCCAGCTCGACATCGTCGAGGTCGACACTACCAAGCCCACCCCCGAGTACCTGAAGCTCAACAAGCTGGGCAAGGTCCCTACCTTTGAGGGCGAGGATGGTTACGTTCTGTACGAGTGCGTGGCCATTGCCATCTACAGTAGGTCGAGCCCTCTGACCCCGCTCGCTTCCTAGAGCAGATTTCTCCCACATGCACAATGATGATTACACCTTCAAAATTATACAGTTATCCCTGTCTGAAGAAGGATAACTTCTCTGTTGATACACAATATCTGATCGCATTTTCCCGCCGCTCATCTGTTCACTCTTGATAATTCTGCGAGGAGACATGTTGGCTAACTCTACACAGTCACAGTATGCTGCTACTCCGCCGGAGCTTCTACCTCCCCGCTCATGAGACAACGACGCTGACCCCCTGAACAGTCTCAGAACGAGAAGACCACACTGCTGGGCAAGACCAAGCAGGACTATGCCTCTATTCTGAAGTGGGCCAGCTACTTCAACGTATGCATACATCCTCCGCCCTATGCCCAGCGCGCCTGCTAATCAATATACCAGACCGAGGTCCTCCCCACCCTGGGCAAGTGGTACCGCCCCCTGATCGGCCGTGACCCCTACAACAAGAAGTCCGTCGATGAGGCCTCCAAGGACGCTGCGAAGGCCATCGCTACTGTCGAGGAGCACCTCAAGCACAACACCTACCTGGTTGGCGAGCGTATCACGCTGGCTGACCTCTTCGCCGTCGGCACCATTGCCCGCGGTTTCGAGTTCTTCTTCGACAAGAAGTGGCGCCAGGAGAACCCCAACGTCTCCCGGTGGTACGAGACCGTCTACAACCAGCCCATCTACTCCGCCGTTGCGCCCAAGTTCGAGCTCCTCGACACCCCCAAGCTCACCAACGTCGCCCCCAAGAAGCCTGAGCAGCCCAAGAAGGAGGCCGCACCCAAGAAGGAGGCGCCCAAGGCTGCTGAGGAGGATGCACCTGCTCCCAAGCCCAAGCACCCTCTCGAGGCCCTGCCCCGTGCCACCTTCGCTCTTGATGAGTGGAAGCGGTACTATTCGAACCACGATGAGGCCGAGTCCCTGAAGTGGTTCTGGGAGAACGTCAAGTTCGACGAGTACTCCATCTGGAAGGTCAAGTACAAGTACAACGACGAGCTCACCCTCACCTTCATGTCCAACAACCTGATTGGTGGCTTCAACACCCGTCTAGAGGCCTCCCGAAAGTACCTGTTCGGCTGCGCTTCCGTCTACGGAGAGAACAACGACTCCGTCATCGAGGGTGCCTTTGTCATCCGTGGCCAGGAGCATCTGCCCGTCTTTGACGTCGCTCCCGACTACGAGAGCTACGAGTTCGAGAAGCTCGACCCCACCAACCCCGAGCACCGGGCCTACCTCGAGGCCCAGTGGACCTGGGACAAGCCCATCGTCCACAACGGCAAGGAGTACAAGCACGCTGACGGCAAGGTCTTCAAGTAAACTACTTGCTGTTTTACGATTTGACGCTCGGAAAATACGAAGGGGAGGCCGTACGATTAATTACCATGACTTCGGGGTCGAGATACCAATACCACTAGGCCTCGAGCTCTCCTATACTCTATCTGTTGATCGTCTGTGCCTTGACACAGCGCAAGCTAGCTCCCCATGAATAGAAAGTACATGAATTGAAAGCCAAAACCATTGTCTGTATGACCTCTTGAATCGGTGGCGGATACCCCCAGCGTTCATTGCGAAGATACACAGTCTTACTGATAAGACTCGTTCATTCTTAGCTCCTATGGGTCACCATGCCTCTGCGGAGCATGTCCTCTTACGCCATCTTGAATGGATTAGCCCGACCGTATGTGCTGACATCCTCTTGGAAGCACAATTCGTTCAAATAGTCATGTACCTTGGGCAGAATATCCAACGACTCATTCATGTCGCCCGTGAACTCGGGGATCGTAATCGCATTATGCGGCTCGCTCCTCGCCTTCTCCACCGAGTCGTCGATAAGCACCGTGTTCCCCTGGTCCCAACACTTGCCCTCGTACCCGGGCCTGTCCGCGGGGAAGCTGTCCTTGACCACGGGGTCGTCCCACAGCGCCGTGAGCCGCTTGTAGCACTGCGTGCGCGCGTTGTAGTCCTCGGGCGTCAGGCCGAACCGGTCGCGGCCCCAGACGGCCACGACCTTATCCTGCTGCTCCGGGCTCACGAGCGTCTCGACCATGCGGCGGACGTTCTCCGGCCTCGCGGAGCTCCAGAAGACGACCCAGAAGGTCTCGACGCAGTAGCTGACGAACGTGTCCGCGTGCGGCCGCCGCCGGAAGCTGTGCGACTTCCTCCGGTCCGGCCGGAAAAGGATCGTCCCGTTCAGGTCGATCACCACCAGGAGGGGGCCCGGCTCGGCCCGCCGCTGGGGGAGGAAGGACGCGCGGGCCAGATACGAGGGCGTTGGGTTCGGCACGCCGCCCGAGGCGTTGCTTGGTGCTGTGATAGCTGCGCGCCCGTTCCTGCTGTTGCTCCTAGGTGAAGCTGTCGAGGGGCCATTGGCAATTTCGTTGGCAATGGCCACATTGGCTGCTGCTGCGGCCGCTCTTTGGGACTTGCGGCGAGGTCTTGCTGAGCTGATGTCTTCGTCGCGCAAAGCCTCATGCCCATGTGCGCCCATTCCAGTTTGAGCCAGTTCGTATTGGCCAAAAGCAGGCGCGGGAGGCTGGCCAGGGAACATGTTCGGTTGCATTGTACTAAATGCCACGTTTCCCATGCCCATGCCCATGCCCATGCCCATCCCGTACATATTGAGAAAATGCTGGTTTTGGAACAAGTTGGGCTGCAGGATGGGCATGCTGAAGTTCTGAAGTCCATTCATTGCCTGCGGCATTGGATAACCTGGGCCGCTAGCAATGCCATTTGCCATCATGGCTGCGTTTACGGCAGTCCATGACTGGTTGAAAGGGGAAGGTGTGCCTTGATGGTGGCCTTGAGTAGAGCCTGGAAAAGGAGCCATGGGTTGGTCTGGTTGCGAGACGCTGCTCACTGCTGGCGCCCCTTCAGACGTGCGACTTTGGGAGGCCGCGGCCGCAGCCGCAGCTTCTCGGGCGCGTTTCTTATCCTTCTTCTTGCCCATGGCTGAATCTACAGCATGTGTCGCGTTGGAAATAGGTGAGGGAGATGGGCACGAGTTTGTAGCCACTTGGTTGCGGGAGGGCCTTGCTGTTGATTGGAAACGCAGTTGCCGCAGGTTACGTCTTGATGATTGACCGTGATGACTGCCCGAAGTCGAAGGAGGGGCAGGAACTGGGGGAAAACACTTGGTGATGGATTCCGCAAGAGATAGCCTGTAGACTAAGACATTCCACCTCGACAACATTGGCTTAGAGGCTCGTGATGTGCACCTCGAACTGCTGTCCCCTTTCCGTTCGGCCCCACTGGAAAGCGTCCTGGATTTCCAGAAGGAGAAAATGAAAGCCCAACCGCATATGTCGAAATAAAGAGACGGTATTTACAAAATTGAGAGGGGGGGGGATATCGCAGAAACGGTGGTGCACAAAACTCCAGAAGATGATGCTATTAAGAAGGTGATGAAGGAAGGAAGAGAATGAAAGAGGGCACGACTCGAGTGAGAGTGAGAGTCTGAAATTCACCACTGGTGCTGTGGCTTATCGATAAAGAAATTAGCAGTAGCGGTACTTCGCAGCCAACGCTATCTACCACCATTCTCAGGTACAACGACTTAGCCGTTGACCTCAACCCACCAAAATCTTGCTTCTCATCTCAAACCATTTCAGCTACAACCACAAACACAGATTGTCTGCCGAACCCGAAATCTCAAATTGATACAATGGAATCGAGAAAACGGAAGCTTCCTCAGGCCGACTTGCAAAGACGAGTCAGGGCGAGAGCCGAGCCAGAACCTGACCTGGATAGCCGTGATGAGATGAGCGACAGTGCACCTAGTGAAGAGGATGTCCAAGAGAGCGAGTCGGGGTCAGGGCCTAGTTCGGACAGCGAGAGTTCCGACGGATCTGTAAGTCAATCTGGGCCTCCTCATTCACATACATGTGCCTGACTAGAATCTAGGATGGAAACAACTCATCTGAGGAAGATGAGGATGAGGAACAAGGCGCTTCTGTTGATGCCTCGAAAATTTCATTTGGGACGCTGGCCAAAGCCCAAGCCAAGCTTTCCCAGTCAGGGCGCCGGAAGAAGAAGGGCGACCCCTCCGACGACGATGGCCCAGAAGAAGAGGACGACGCTCCCAAACCGAGAGAGCAAGCCCCCAAGAAGGAGAAGCCGCCCTCCCGCAGCAGCAAGCACGCGCCGCAGGAGGTGTCGTCCAAGCGGCCCGTCTCACGCAAGCGCGAGATCATCCCCGTGAAGAAGGTCCAGTACCGGGACCCACGCTTCGACCCGCTCGTGACGGGCCAGTCCGTCAAGACCAAGGCGGACGAGGACCACGTCCGCAAGGCCTACGCCTTCCTGGACGAATACCGCGAGGACGAGCTGCGCAAGCTCAAGGGCGCGATCAAGAAGGCCAAGACCCCGGCCGAGAAGGAGCAGCTGCAGCGCGCCTACATGTCGATGGAGAGCAGGAAGAAGGCCAGGGAGAAGAAGGACAAGGAGAGGGCCTTGGTGGAGGAGCACAGGCGGCGCGAGAAGGAGCTTGTCAAGGAGGGCAAGAAATCGAAGCCATTCTACCTGAAGAAGTCGGAGCAGAAGAAGCAACTGCTGACGGAGCAGTTCTCTGCCTTGTCCGAGAAGCAGAGGGAGAAGGCGATCGAGAAGAAGAGGAAGAAGGTCGCGGGCAAAGAGAAAAAGGCAATGCCTATGGAAAGAAGAGCACGGGAGTAGGCCTGGCTCTGAGGCAACCATACCCGTTTACAACGATATATGTTCCCGCAATTCTTCAGGCCCGGCAGATAGCGATTTCCATGTTCTAAATTGGCTTTTGAGTGGGGGCTCTAACACCGTCGTCTATGCTAATCGCCATGTCTCCAGAGCGAGACCACGAGGTTCATCTCTGCCTTGTCGTGGGTCATCTCTAAATGTACAGCAGATCCTGCTACACATGCTGGTCGCGCATCCCCGATTTGGCCAAGCTTTGCTCAAACATTTCCCTGCACCTGACTCTGCTGCCCAGCCTCGCGCAGAGCAAGAATGCTCCACTTAGCTTCCGGTGTAGACTGTATGTCTCCTCCGGCGGCGGCGCCAGCCTCTCCTTGATCATCACGGGAATCTGCGCCTTCACCCTCTCCGTGATCGTCTGATCCCTGAAGTCATACACCTCCGGCGCGGATTCCAGGAATGGCTCCGCCAATGTCAGCACCGAGGCGGTGTGCGCGTCAAGCATCGTCTTGCTCTCGTGGCCGGTCAGGTATCCCAGCTCTTCGCTCAGGATGCGCACACCTTCGCGGTCCGGTCGGGACGCAGCCGCGAGCAGCTGCACGTACTGCGTGATGAATTTGTCCGGGTACTCCCTCGACGCGCCAAAGTCGAGGAGTACGAGCCTGTCCTGCTCGGCGTTGTAGAGGAAGTTGGTCCAGTTGGGGTCTGTCTGCATGAAGCGGAACTCTGTGATTTCGCGCAGGCACAAGCGCAGGATCTGAGTGCCGATCCAGTCCCTTTGCTCCTGGGTGAAAGACTTTATGCGGGTCACGCCCACGCCGTCCATGAATTCCATGGTCAAGACCTGTTTTCCGCACGCCTCGGGGTAGATCTTGGGAACGGAGAAGACATCGTCTTCGGTAGCTAGCAAGCTTCTGTACCTCTCTGCACACTTGGCTTCTCTTTCGTAGTCACACTCCCAGCCGAGCTCTGTCCGCGCGTTGTCAATGGTCTTGTTGAGGTAGAGGCCTTTGGGCAACAATTTTGTGGCTGCTAGTAGAATGCCCAGATTGTCTAGATCCGAGTTGATGGACTCAGCAACTCCTGGGAACTGGATTTTGACGGCGACTTTGGCGCCATTGTCCTTCAATGTCGCACGGTGGACCTGTCCAATGGACGCGGCCGCGATGGGCTTCTCCTCGAAGTCCTCAAACAGTTCACGCCACTCAGAGCCGAGATTCGTTACCAATACTCGGTCTCGTTGCCATGGCGGCATGTAATCTGCTCTGTCCTGCACCCTCTGCAGGACCTCCTGGATGGGAGCCGGTAGCATCTTCGAGTCCTGAAAACTCATCATCTGGCCTAGCTTGAGGGCAGCGCCCCTCATCTTGGACAGCTTCGAGACCAGCCTTTCCATATTGGCAGGGCTCAACATCAGCGATCCTTGCCCACCGCCTCCGGTGACTCTGCTGAAGCTCTCGCTGACGGCCCCAGCAAACATGCCAGCGGCCAGCCCGCTGTAATTCCAAATACGGCCGAACCGGGATGAGGGAACCTTGGATTCCTTGAGTTCATATTTCGACTCGACTGTGGCGGTGCCTAGGATCTCGCCCATGGCTGAAGCATCTTCTTTGGTCACCCGCTGACCAGAATGCTCGGTGTCTTGCTTCTGAACAGTCGACGCCGCCTCGGGCCCTGCGATGTTCGTCTTGGGCACTTCCTGGCTTCCAGATACCGACGCCGCTGCGTTCGCCTCAGCTTTGGGCTCTTGTACCTCAATCGACTCCGCCGGAAAAGGTGCTTCTTCAGCCTGTGTTGGCCTTGCCTGGGTGTCCAGCTGTGGCTCTTCCGCTCCTCGCGACGGGGTTATTTTGACGTCCTGTTGATTCCTCAGCTTTTGAAGAATAGTTGACCCATTGTTGGCACGCGCGTGCCCGAAATCCACAGCGCCAGGTATAGGCTTTCTGGGCCGCTCATTTCTCTTGGTTCCCTTCCAAAGAGGATCGAGTCTGCGCCCGCTGCTGGTTCGAAAGAGCCCTTCAAAATTCACGCCCTCGGGTAGTCCGGCTTCTTCAGCCTCGAGAGGTGTCGAGGGTTTGTCATTTCCAAGCCCTCGTTTTCCGTCCCGTACATCGATTCCATGAAGCGTTGGAGGGTTGTCAAAAGACTGAGTCAGCGGTATTTCGAACTTGGACGAATTGGCCTTGGGTTGCTGTGCTTCTTTACGACTGGAGTCCTCGCTCCTCGAAGCCGGAGCGGTGCTTGAATCCTGCCGCGTCGTCCCCTGGATCGCTGCCAAGTCTGACACATCATCACCGGGTGACTGTATCCTTGGTAAGGAGTTGTCCACAGGCGACCATGCTCCATTATCCGTATTAAAACGCTGGTCAATCCCGTCTGGTGCCTCTGATGCCGTAGTCGAGGCCCCTCCCTTCCCAGGGCTTGCATGAGCCACCTTAGACTCATCATGTAGACCAGGCCGCTTCTGCTGCTGGCCCCTCACAGCGGCGACAATGCTTGAAGTCTTCCCATAGCGATCGACCTGGCGCGCCCTAAGGGCAATGTGCTTGGACGCGACTGAGCGGGACGCACTCAGCACCGCTGCCAGGTCGATTGCGAAGTCCACGAGTCCCATCTGAGCCACAGATGTACCTACAGTGACGGGTTTACTACCATAGCCGCCACTGTCATGCCAGCCTAATCCAGGAATTTAGGAAGAGTCGTCGTAGAGCTTCTGGATGCGGCTCTGAAAATGATGGAGCTCTCATCCATGATGCAATTAATTCTTGCATCAGCCCTACGGACCCTCGGCAGGCAAGGGATCGCCAGGGGTCCCAGCACGGCATATGCCGTTTAATTGCATTACAGACAACAACGAAACTTGTCTCTTATTTTGTAGAGGCATCACAATAACACTAGTCGTCCTAGGGGTTTCCATTGTTTCGTTGCTAAATGGATTAAAGCCGATCTATCTCGGCTGCCTGGCGTCTAAAAAGTCGTTGAGCCAGGGCTTCAATCTTGCTATTCTATTGGGTATCATGTGGTAACGGTTCTCCAAAACTTATCTGTACATCCTTTAACCCTTCGTCATGTTCTTCAGTCCCGAAGTCTTGTTTTTCGGCGTGACTGTCCCTGGGAACGGGGTTCTATTCGAGGCCCGGTTCGCCCCACCGACCTGACTCCAAAGACGTTGGGCCGCAGGCGTCAGCCCTCCTGTGACTCGTGGGCTGTTGGGGAATTTCGGGACCGGCGTCTTCTCAACCTTCCCTACGAAGCCAACCTTCGCGGATGTACGCTTCGACTGAGCTATCCGGTCCACCATGCGATGATGCAGACTTTCCCGTTTTCCCTGCTCCTGAATCTGGAAAGGATTCTTCGTCTCATCACCAGGGCCCAAATTGATGACAGGCAAGGCCGAAGCTAATGGCTCAGGCTCAGGCTCAGGTTCCTCATCATCTACGAAGGCGTATCCATTTACTCGGGGCGTCTCGTCTCCCCCGGTAAAAGTCGAGTCCTGATACCCAGGCCTCATGCGGCCTGCAATGGCGTCTCTAACAGTCGAGAGCGTCGGGGATGGCGGCCGTGACGTGTCGGGTGCGATGGCCGGGCCAGGCATCCTCGTATTCGCATACACAATCGTCTTGGGACCTGCGCGGGATGCCTCCTGCGAGCGCAAGGCTACTGTATCCACTCTCGACTCATCGAAGCTCTCCGGATTGAACATCAGCCCGTTCTTGGGATCGGCCTTCCATGTGTCCGGAAGTGCGGGCCTGTCGTCCTTGTCCTTGATTGCAAGCCTGTCTCTCTTGAAGCCATCATCGACTAGAGACTGCCCGTTGGCGGCCAGCTTTGCCTTGATCTCCATCTGCTTCAACTCTTGCTTCGACGGCAGCTTGTTGCCTCTCCATAGCCAGCCGTATTTCCCAGCTCTCTTCTGGTTCTGTTTGTCCAGGAGCTTGTAGAAACTCTCGTTATCTTCGCTGGTGTATTTTCCCTGGAATGCGCCGAGGCTCATATTCGTGTCGATTTCGGGTGCCGCTTGCACCTCTGAAGCCGCGGTTGCAGCAGATACGGTGGACATGGGTGTATCGCCTACAGCGCCCACTGGTGTCTGACTTCCTGGTTGGCTTTGTACTGGTCGTCTCAGCCTTTGTCGACCGGGAGTCATGACATGTTTGAGGCGACGGCCGGCGCTCTTAATCCATAGGTGATCATTCGAATCTAATGCGTCCAGGTATTCTTGCTGTGTCTCGCTCTCCAGGAGCCCGGGGAAAAAGTCGCGCGCGATGATCTTCGACAGCGCATCTGTGTACGTCTCCTCGTCGAGAACCTGTTTCGGTCGCTTGATCTTCTTCGTCGGTGGCGGCGGAGGCATGAGTTCCATTTCCGCAGCTACCCTCTTGCGCACGAGGGCGGTTGACGTTGAGCCTGGACTTGCCATGCTTGCGAGTGCGCGCTGGTCGATGAGACAGGTGCGTGGGTGAAGGAGGGTGGATTATGTTTGGGCGGAACGGACTGTATAAAGGCTGGGTGAGCAGGTGGTTTTGCGGCCGGATCTCGGGACTTCGATGCTTATTGCTAGGTACCTACGTATGTACAGTAGTAAACCCGGGCAGGCACCAACCAGCCAACTTAGCGCTAACATCGGCTGAGGGTAGTGCGCCGGGTTAGCGTCATCGCGGGGAATCCCTGTGCGTAAATTGTTGTGGAAGTGCTTCGAACGCCGGGGACCGGTGCCGATAGACCCCTGCAATAGGTATTTGCAGTCTGCATGTCTCCGAGTTTCGACTGCAAGCTTACCTCTATAGGTGGACGAAATTCGCCTCGTGCAGCTTGCAAAACGAGCGCTGCCTGGCTGGATTGAGCCTCGACTCCCTTTCCCTTCTTCAAGAACGCCACGTGCTGCTCGAATTTCTGTCCTCCCACCTTCGTTGGAACTTGTCCAACCCTTCAGCCATCTATTCATCCCTGTCAATCTTTGCCCCTCCTCCAAACGAGTACCATATCTCGATAAGCGCCGGCCCAAAGACAGACAATGGCAGTGTCAGAGGACGACAAGGCCAAGGCCACTGCGTTGAAGAACCAGGGCAATGAGGCCTTCAAGAAGCACGACTGGCCCACCGCCATAGACTTCTACACCCAGGCGATCGAAGTCGACGATACAGAGCCGACATATTTCGCGAATCGAGCGCAGGTGCGGATCCCACACACAGGCTCGACCCGAAGTCGGCTCCCTTTGTTGCTCGCGTGACTGACATGATCTCTCCCAATTCCAGGCCTACCTCAAGACTGAGGCGTTTGGTTATGCAATCCAGGATGCGACCAAGGCGATCGAGCTGAACCCAGGCTTTGTGAAGGTTTGCAAAAGGCTCTAGGACGCCGTGCGCCAGTAAAGTGCCATTGGCTGACAGCGCTCTGTTGCATAGGCTTATTACCGTCGTGCCATCGCTCATGCCGCCGTGCTCCGACCCAAGGATGCCCTCAAGGATTTCAAGACGTGCACGCAGATCGATCCAGGGAATAAGGATGCCAAGCTGAAGCTCGTTGAGTGCCAGAAGATCGTGCGCCAGTTCGACTTCTTCGCCGCTATCGAGGTCAGCGATGCGCCATCGGCTGCAGAAGGTCTCGATGTGGCCTCGATGGCTGTCGAGCCAGACTACGACGGCGTAAAACTCGGCGACGAGATGACGCAGGAGTTCATTGACGACATGGCAGAGCGGTTCAAGAATGGCAAGAAGATACACCGGAAATATGTATACCAGATCATATTGGCCGTCAGGAAACTTGTGTATGATGAGCCGACAATGGTGGAGGTCAAGATTCCCGATGATGTGCAACTCACAGTTTGCGGTGACACTCACGGTACGCCAGGTTCTGGTGATAGTGTTTTGGTTCTGGACGCAGCGACTGATAATGTTCCTAGGCCAATACTTCGACCTTATGGAGCTCTTCAGATTAAACGGATCTCCCAGCGAAAAGCACTGGTACCTTTTCAACGGCGACTTTGTTGACCGAGGTTCCTGGTCGACCGAGATCGCATTGCTGCTCTACGCCAACAAGTGGCACAGACCAAATGCCTTCTTCTTGAACCGTGGCAACCACGAGACAGACGACATGAACAAGGTCTATGGTTTCGAGGGTGAATGCAAGGCCAAGTACAACGAGCGCATCTTCAAGCTCTTCTCCGAGAGTTTTTCAGCGCTACCTTTGGCTACCCTGATTGGCGACAAATACTTTGTGCTTCACGGTGGCCTCTTCTCTGATGACAACGTCACCTTGGATGACATCCGAAAACTGAACCGCCACAAGCAGAAGCAGCCAGGACAGGCAGGCCTGATGATGGAGATGCTGTGGACGGACCCACAGACCGAGCCTGGTCGCGGACCCAGCAAGCGCGGTGTTGGCATGCAGTTCGGACCTGATGTCACAAAACGGTTCTGCGAGAAGAACGGGCTTGAAGCCATCATCAGAAGCCACGAAGTTCGCATGGAAGGCTACGAAGAAGAGCATGACGGAAAATGCATCACTGGTAGGTGCTGTGCTCAATTCATTCGCTATCGAGATGCTGATTTTAGCTTTAGTGTTCTCGGCTCCGAAATACTGCGACATGACGGAGAACAAGGGCGCTTACATCAACATTGGCCCCGAATACAAGCTCGACTTCAAGAAGTTTGACGCTGTCCCTCACCCCAATATTCGACCAATGGTAGGTGTTCCAGCAGACTCTGCGCCCTCACACGGTGCGAGCCATTACTGACACAACGCAGGCCTATGCAAACAGCTCCATCATGTCGTCTCTGATGTGAGCCTAAGACTCCAGACCAATTCGGGCGTAGACTTGGCATATAGAAACGAGCTACAGAGCATGTTCGGGAGTTGGATTGATTGGTTGTCGGTGGCGTTTGGTTAGGTGGGAAATGCGCTCGGGGTCTTTTCCGTTAAAACCAGCGGTGTGAAAGCTGTGTGCCTTCACGATAAGGACTGAAAAAGCAGTAGAGCGCGAGGCAGGCTGGTTTGATGGTGACATCAGGACCGGAGTGGGAGGCCAAACCAGGACAGTAGCTTATATCCTCGGTGACCTCTCGGCAAAAAAGATACCTCTTCTCACAAAGTAAGCAGAGACTTATGACTCCCCCCAAAGTCTTCTCTGGTCATGACGTCCCATGAGTGCACCGAGCCAGTCCCCCGCAGCTCGGATCACAAACCCCGTCGAGGCCCCCGATCCTGACCATGCTGTCAAGGCTGCTGCGAAAGCGCCTAGATCTTGACGAGGTACCCGTACCCAGGACTCCTTGCCTTGCACCTTGAGGATGTCTATGGGCATGCCTGATCCAGTGGCGCCGAGAAACTGCTTCAATGCGGAAGTGAGGTATGAGCGGATTTGTAGCTCATCCAGGAGTATGTTGTTGGTGGTGATGAGTTCCAAATGGGCGTAGGCGTAGGCGGAGTTCTTGATGGTTGTGGAATAAATCTCGCGAGACTTGGATTTTGTACCCTTGGCTTTGATCAGAGCATCTTGTACGGGCACGTCGACATCCATAGCTCCGTCGTCCATCTTGTGTTGGTCACGTTGAGATTCTTCGCCTCAGAAACTTGACACAATATTTGAAGGACTTGTGGAAGAAGAAGATGGTGAGTGAATCTCAGCAGAGGTGCATGAACCGAGCACTTATGCACTAAACGGGGGCCCCGATAACTCAACGTGCGTGCCTGCCGGCGCAGTGCTTTGTCTGGTGTCGATCGTCAGGTCCCAACGCCGTGGTCTCTGAACTTTATGTTATTCTTACCCATTCCTTTTCCTTTACCACGACCGGCGCAACGATCAGTCATACTCCAACAGCTCAGGACCTTATCATCAGCGCACGATGTCGCGAAGCTATGTCCAGCCAAACCAGATGCGCCAGTTGCGCGCATGCATGGTCTGCTCGATCGTGATGGTGCGAAGCGTACGTTCACGTCCATTTCCAAAAGCTCTCGACGCAGGCCACGACCTCGCCCCAAGAAGTGCACATGCACGTTATACTGACTTTTCTTGCGCAGCGCTTCAAGAGGGAAGGATGTCCCAACTGCGAAGAGTTCCTCGGCCTCGCGGGCAGCGACGAACAGGTCGACAACTGCACCTCATCCGTCTTTGAAGGCCTCATCACGCTCGCCGAGCCGAGCAAGAGCTGGGTGGCAAAGTGGCAACGACTGGACGGATACGTCAAGGGCGTGTACGCCACCAAGGTCATGGGCCAGCTGCCGGAGGACCTGGTCTCGCAGATGGAGGAGCAATACAAGGTCCGGTACATACCGTGAGTACAACCAGACACATCCTGCTCATCCAGCAGATCGGAGATGGGGAACCCAAGAAGGTTCGGGCTTTGAGAGGAAATAATGGCTGACATGGCATCACAGACGCGATGGAAGTGCGACGGAGGCGGACTAGGGATCCGCCCCGTCTTCTGATTCGATGGAGAAGCTGAAAGACGGACTCCCGGCTCGCTCTGATGGCGCGGCAGGCGCATCGTGATGGGCCATGGATTTAAGGGCAGCGACCTAGCTTGTTTTGAGCCACAGGAAAGAAGTCCCGCTCTCTGATACGACCGGCTTCTTTGGCCAGCGCAAAGGCGTCTTCTCTAGCATCCGGTCGTTGTGGTTTTAGGAAAAAGCATGGCGTTTTGGAGTTGCACAAGGCACGGAGGAGAAGGCATGTTCGGGCCAGGAACACCCCTTGCACAGGCAGATTTCTACACTGGCAATTGGACAGGAACATGAAGATGACTCATCGAGAGGGGAAGTAAGATCTCCTGGGCCCTTTTCCAAGTCATTCCAACAGATCGTGAGGTACCACGGACGTTTTGCACAAACGAATTAGGCAGAGGTATCCACTCGGAGAGGGATGGAAAGGAAGGGCCCTGATTCTCTAGAGGAGAAAAGCATTCATATCAAATCCATTCCCTGATTCCACATCGGACAGCCAACACCAAAAAAATCAGGAGAAGGCCACACCCCAATGCCACTTTGGCACAACAACTTGGAAGTCTTATGCCGTCACCGATAATGTTGTCAATCAAAAGAATGTTCTAATCGTTATCATAGATGGTCAGTCAGACGGGTACGTACATGTATGTCTTGCTTCAGATGTAATGGGAAGGCAAGCAACTCAGTCCCAGGCTGCAGCAGCACTACAAACGGCGTTCCTTCCCACAACCTTCTCAACTATCCCTTTGAGCTTTAAACCTTGAACTTTGAACTTCCAAGGCTCTTACAACCCACGTTTTCTCTCCAGGCTCTGCATGAGAAGGTTCTATCCCAGAAACGCCACTGTCCTCTCGGCTGCAATCTGGGTCCATGCTCGTCCCCGCGTGATATGCAAACGGCACGTGGATTGAACACCAGAGATTCTCCCGACCAAATCAGTCTTACGTTGTCGTCATGGGTCGCTGGGGACACTGTGAGTAGACCTTGAAGCCCTCTGGAACGAACCATGACCACATCAAGTACCAAAAAACCGACGATGCTTTCACTTCTTCCGCAGGCCTCTTTGGCCATGATGCTGCCATCGGACACGCCATCAAGATCATCAAGGATATTACGCAGGGCGATGACCGCCAATTCGCCCACATGGTGGACCGGGTTCTTGTCGGAAGCCCACTTGGAGTCCTCGGTTACTACGCCGAGGAGTACAGTCTCCTTGAGAAGATTCAGGGTCAGGTGGATGAGTCCGTGGTAAGTGTTGCGATGGCGCCCCTCGCTGACTGTGGTTTCCGCGGCCCCGGAAAGCGACAGTTCCTCTCGGCTCTGGACAACTACCAGGCTGGCAAGCCCAGATCATTCCACCAGCCAAGCTGTCATGGTTGTGGAAAAGTTGACAGCGACATCAAGGCCGAGGGGAAGACCCTTCTGAAGTGCGGCGGATGCAAGAACGAGATAGCCGCCGCTTGGTTCTGTGACAAGGTACGTATGCCCGCACACTTCCACTCCACACTGCTCATCTCTGACATGGTGACTATTCTTGCAGGACTGCCAGAGAGGGTTGTGGAAGCACCACAAGCGCAACTGCGGTGCTCCTCTCGGACATGGGATTGCTACCTATCAGATATACGGCAAGTGTACCTTGGGCTTCAACATCTACGAGGGTGCCAATGTGTGAGGATGTGAAGGATAGTTAGACAGACATGCTTGTACATGGAAGTTGGGTGACGAGATAGACAGGTTATGTGTCGTATTGCATCCGCTCCTCACTTCGTCTCGTTGAAAGAAGAAAATGGTCGGCCTTGGTAGCTTACTTCGAACCTGGACCGCTGCTGGATCCGTTGGGGAAAGTGCTGAGAGACATCAAGCTGCCAAATGTCACAGACGTGTGCTCTGCTGCGTTCATGTACCAAGAATGCGAAGCCGACTTTCTCTGGGAATCCGTGACACGGGACTGTCTCTCCAGGCCGTGACTTGTGAAGTGTGAGAATGGGTATCATGGTTGCTCCGAAATGCTCTCGTCTAACCAAGGCGAGGTTTCTTGTGAAACCCTCCTCCTCCTGAGGACTCTCGTGATCGTTTCCTGTCTAATTCTTCCCGCATGATCCTCTCAGCCTCGCTCATCTTCTTTGGCTGTTCGATCTTGATTGCTTTCTTCGCACCGCCGCCCAGCGCATTCTTCTTCGCCTGCGCAAAGACATTCTTTGCTTGCGGCGGCTTGGCGCCGAACGAGAATCCTGCGGGCTTCGCACCCTCTGGCTTTGTGGGCTCGGCCTCCGTGACGGCCTGGCCCTCTTTCGGCGGTGACTCAGTCCCTTTCCCCGACGTGTCCTTCTTTTCTTCCTGCTTCTTGTCCTCTTTGGGCACGCCAAACGACAGCTGGATCTTCTCGCCGTCCTTGATCTGCAGGTCCTGCTTCTCCCCGGGCTCGTCGGCCTCCTGGCCCTTCCCTCTCCTCCGCTCCTCCGCCGCCTTCCCGGCCCTCTTCTGCTGCTCACGTATCATCCTCAGCTCCCTTTCCTCGTCGCCCTTGTCCTGCATCTCCTTCCTCCTGATGGCCTCGGCCCGCTTCAGCGCCTCGGGGCTGCTGTCTATCCACGCGATCTGCAGCCCCTTATCCGTCTCCTCCACCCTACATATACCCTCCCTGCCCAGGTGCTTGGCGTACTCGGTCAGGCTGGGCCACTTGGTGGCGTTCATGTGCGTGTGCTGCTTGTTGGCGATGTACTCCTGGTAGAAGTGGTTGATGAGCACCGCCTTGGTGCCGTGCGACGTGCGCAGCTGCTGCAGGAAGTCGTTGTTGAACTGGTTCGAGAACTCGTTGATGGCCTTCTTGGGGTCCTCGCCCACCACCAGCATCTGCCGCACGTGCGACTCGGACTACACGTGCATCTTGAACCCGTTCTCGTCACCCATCTGGCGGTTGGAGAGGGGGCAGTACCACCGCAGCCGGCCGAGCCCTTTCGACTTGGCCTGGTTCGAGACCCATTTCGTGCTGCCTACTTCGGCGCGGCCCATCTTGAGTCGTCAAGCAGTGGTGGATGGTGGGAGGAAGAAGGCTGTTGGAGTTCGGATATCGGCGTTTTCTCGTAGTCCTCTTGTTTGTCGTCGAGGAAAATGGTTGGGTGGCAAGGCCTGTTGTTCGCGAGAAAGGTCGTAGTCCTGAGGATGGGTGGCGCAAAGAAAGACGGGTTGATCAAGTTTGGCCAGAAATCAGTTGCGATGGGATGGAGTATGAAGTGAGAAACATGCAAGAGTCGGGGCTCGCATGTGATGCTGAACTAGCACGGCGGATACAACCCAAGGTAAAGATGCGTTGGGTGTCTAAGGCAGGTGCTGAGGTACCTGGGTACCTACCTCCAACCGTACCTGGGTAAGGCGTGCACTTTGAGAGGTCAAGCCCCGTGCACTGACCGGCCATTCTGCCGCTCCCAAAGCCCAACCCGCACCTGCAACCCCCGGTCGTGCTTGAGCTGCCGGGCCATCCCAGCCCACACACCGTCGGTCACTCATGGGTCCTCTCGCTTACAATTACTTCTGTCTCCATCCCCCTTCCACCGCAGTCCTTCCGACACCTGTACCCACGATACCCATGGCGGAACACGTGTGGTGCTTCTTTTAACTGCTGGGAAGCCTCCACGGCCAGCTGTCTGGAGTTTCGTCCTTGCAATCTCTCTCAGAATGCTTGACGCCATCCTCCCCACACCCTGGCCGGCTCGCCGCCGCACGCCTGGCGATGCTCGGTTCGAGGCCTCGGTATCCGGTGACGACCTTCGCACGCACGCGCGTTCCCGCTTGCCCCAGTCTGGCTTTCGCATGAACGCAAATGTCTTCTCTCCACGTGCCTTCCATCATGTGCGCGGGGCCTACGGGCGTTGACGACAATAGTGAGCGCCGCCAACGGCCTTGAGTGGCGCACACGACCGACGTGACCTCACGGGTAAGCTCACTTCTCCCCCGTACGGGTCCCAAAGTCTAACCGCACCAGGGCCCTAGGGCATACTAGCAACGACAAGTCACAAGCGAACGAATACATTTGCGGTCGTGGACCTTGACAGGGGCAAGTGTGCATAACTGAATGCCGCCTGAGCTGTCATTGGTCTAGTAATCTGGGCTCCCACCGGGACGGCGAGCTTCGTTCCGGCCTGCCATCCCGCCTCCCTCGTCGACCTCCGATCTACCATGATCATGCAAAAATATGCTACATGTGTTGGTACAGTCCACCAGCCTGACAACCAAAATCAACCTCCAATGCCAACGCCAATGCTCTTCCGGCCAAAAAGACAGGGGGTATACAATGCCAGGGATAACAGCCACGGGAGTTGGAGATGAGAAAGAAACTGCGAGCAGCGATTGCACTGCTCAGCTGTCCTGTTTTTGGGCGACAGGAGGTGGTTTGGAAGCACCCTGCGCACCCTGCTGTAGCGGCTGGCCATTTGAGGCAGCTTGCATCGCAGCAGCTTGGGCTTGGGCGGCAGCCTCGAGCTGCCGTTGATGACGTCGCGGGTCTTGGAAGGACAGCGGTATTGTCGCTCTGAATCTGATGCAAGTCGTGTCGTATGGGTCGACCTCATACATGGGCTGGTCGTCGTCGCTCTCGTCTTGGTCATACTTCCATCGGTCGGTATCGGGGCTGGCCTGGGGCGATTGTGCGGACTTCTGCGGCCGCCTGTCGATCCACAACCTATTCAATCGACCAACGCGCCGACGGTACGCCATCATCTGCGGCGGATTGTTCTCGTCAACAGGGGCACCCTTGAATTGGAAGACCGCTGAAGGAATGCCGTCGTCAAGATCCATCGGAGTCGGCTCCCCTGACTCCCCTGACGCACTACTTGCAGGAGGTGTCAACAGATATTGAGCCTGGGCCGCCCTGAAACTTGGCTGACGGTTTTCCACTGGCGGAAGGGGACTCTTGGTGAGATCCACATGATTCCTATTCCAGTTCTGATGATTCTGGATCTTGGTCATGATGTCACTACGAAGCTCCTCATTCTGTCTGGCAAGTTTGGCCTCGAGCAGAGGCAGCTCCACTTCGACTGGGCCAAGGGGCCGAGGTTGCTGCAGGCGGATGGCACCAGCACCTGCTGCCCTCTGTGCGGCTGGCGTTTCTGAGTGCTTCTTCTTCGGTGGAGCCTTGATGCTGTCAGCAGGTGAGGGCAAAGATTATTGCGGGTTGAACTAACCTTCTGGTTGATGAGGTCTTCGTCATCGCCCTTGATGCCCAGGCGGACTTTCATCTCCTTCACCTGGGCTCTCTTCTCGAATATCATCCTGTCGGCTCGGAGCAACTCTCCCTTCAGAATTTCACGTTCACGAGACATCAGGATGAGCTGGCGGCCCTCCTCAAGCTCTTTCCGCAGGCGTTTGAGCTTGTCCGCACTCTGCACGTCTCTCGCCCTCGTCTTACGGGTCTGTCGAACCTCTCTCCGCCTGAAGCAGATGTACGGGTCGAGGTCATCGCTTTCCTGGTGCGTCTCGAACTTCAGAACTGGCTGCAACGAACCATTCCCCATGGCTTCTTTGCGTGACTTCCAGTGCTCATACACGGCTTTTGAATGCGTCATCACCTTGGCAGGGAGCAGCACGTTAAGATCAGGCGCCATGGCTTCATAATCCAGTATCGTCTTGTCAACGGCTGCGAAAGGCGTATGATGAGAAGCGTTCTCCTCGAAAGCCTCCATGACTTTTTCGAAATCATCTTCAGACAGTCGCTGGGCAGCGGGCCGTTTCGCGTTGTACTCCTTGAGAAAGGCATCATCTTCCTCGGTCATGTCATAGTTGCAGCCTATGCATTCCTCGACGGTCTGACTGAAACGGACATAGGATGCGGGTTCTGAGTAAGGCCGGCTGTAGAGCTCCTCATACGAGGTTGAACTCTCCTGCGGAGGTGGCACAGGGATCTCATTGTCAACTTTTTGGCCCGCCGTCTTCAAGAGGACTTGCAGATGGTATTCCTGTCACAGGTAAGTTAGGTAAGTTACTCTCACATGGACACACTCTGTCTGGCAATTGATAGAGGGGTATCAGGGGAATAGGCGGGGGTTGGGTGATACTGGGCAGCGGTAGGTAGTCGCCAGGGGTGTCACGTGATACAACATGTGTGACGTCACGTGATACGTACGTTCTCTTCGCCGGCCTCGACTCCAGTGGCGACTTGGAGCTCTTGTGTTAGGGACTCATATTCGGTTGCATCGATCTCATCTTCTTTGAGGATGGAAAGTGGCTGTTTGACGTTGAGTTTCTTGATCCTGATCTTGCGGGAGTTCATCGCTAAAGAGTGGGGTGGAGGCGGAATGTTGGGAGTGACGAGACGGGGGTCAGATCGATCAAAAAGCCATCAACCATGGGGAAATGCGGCCCCAAAAATCGACCTTGTACTAGACTGAATCATGCGACAATGGACTCTCGATTTTTTTCGATGGAAAACCGAGGTCGTGGGGCTGTTTTGATGGTGGGAAACTCGGGCTGATGCTGCGCTTTGCTGACGCTTGACCGATGGTGAAAACTTTGCCTGTTGTTGCTTGTCTAGGCCACGCCGGAGAAAAAACGGGGTAAGGGCCAGTTGGCTTGGACCCTTGCAGTCTTCCTTTGGGTGCTGGAGATTGATGTTTTGGAGCAGGGCGGCTCCCCCACGTAAGCACCACTAGCACTACTAGCAGTGACTGCCCTGCCCAGGTGCCTCCCTTAGGTCCTGGGGCGCCCTGTTTGGGCACCCAAAGCAGTGAAGGGATGAGCCAATTCGAGCAACAAAGGTCCCCTACGAGTCACCCATTGTGCTATTTGTGCTTACCGCCAGACGGATTCGTCCCTTTTCGACACTTCATTTCCCGCGTGACCGCGTAACCGCGTCCGTTCATTCACAGAATTGACATGAAGAATGATGATGCACTTGAGATTTTTGTTGATAAGAAGCCTATTCTTCCAGCACCATGTGATCTGCACTCTCTGGGAATGATGGGATCCTCAGTCTTGTTGCCACACGCCTGCCTTAACATACCTGCACCACCCTAGTGTGTAAATCAGTTACGTCCATGACAAGCTGCGGCAATCTGTCCCGAGGTATCTGGGCCTGTAATTTCTCCAGGTGCTTGCAGCATTGGTTGGCTTTAGAGCCTTAAACTGCTGCTGACATCAAATACTGTTTCCTAGGCTTCAATGTCACAAGTGGTCCAGACGGATTGAATGGAAGTGCAGTATAGTGCAGGTAATATATTTCATTAAAGATGTGTAGCATGTCTTGAAGAGTTTCTACATTTGTACTCGCATGCACCAAGTGAGTTAGTTACTGTGTAGATTGGCGTGCAGCGGGCAGCTGATGCTTCGTACAGCTACACAGTACTTGGGCTAGTAGGTACCAAGTAGACTAAGAGCCTCAGCCGACTGATACGCTAACGTGAACCGGTGAGGCGCCATGCGATAAGATAGAAGACATAGGGACCCCCCCACTGGGAGGCATGTCTCCTTATCCATGCCTGCTGAACCACTGCCTGCTTATTGAATCTGTATTTCCGCTCCCTTTTCCTCCCTCCTCTCTCAATACAAGCCTCTTCAACCTTACGAATCGACGAGTGGGACGACCAGATATTGGAACCGACCAGGATCCGTTCGAGTGCGAGCGTAAGCGACAGTGGAAGCCGCCTCGAGACAAGACGCCCCGACCGAATCGACAGCTTCGGTGACAATACCCCTGATCCCCTCGTCGCTGCGCTGCGCTGCTCGAGTCCGACAAGATGGGCAACACTCCCAGCTCCGTCCTGGACAATATTGCCCAGGGCACCAACTGTGCGTGCATCTGATCGAGCATCTGCTGTGCCGCCGCGCGTGGCCGTGGACATTGTACACTACGAACCACTGCTGACAGCGCTCCCGTGCAGTTGATCGTGATGAGGTGGACCGCCTTAGGAAGCGGTTCATGAAGCTCGACAAGGTTCGTTATCACAACCGAGGTGGACCGTAATACAATTCAAGAGGCTAGTCACTGACCGTTGTCGCGCAACTATTCCAGGACAACTCTGGCACCATCGAGCGAGAGGAATTCCTCAGTCTTCCCCAGATCAACTCCAACCCACTTGCGACTCGGTACGTGTCGACTCTGCCATGCCAACAACAGCGTCTAGGCTGCCTGCAATGGCTTACTCGTACTCAATAAAAACCGCTGACAGCCTGCTCATACAGAATGATTGCCATCTTCGACGAGGATGGAGGTGGTAACGTCGACTTCCAAGAATTCGTCTCGGGCCTGTCTGCCTTCAGCTCCAAGGGCAACAAGGAGCAGAAGCTCCGCTTCGCCTTTAAAGTCTACGACATCGACCGCGACGGGTACATCAGCAACGGCGAGCTGTTCATCGTGCTCAAGATGATGGTCGGCTCCAACCTAAAGGACCAGCAGCTTCAACAAATTGTCGACAAGACCATCATGGAGGCAGACCTGGACAAGGATGGAAAGATATCGTTTGAGGAATTCTCCAAGATGGTTGAGAACACGGACGTTAGCATGAGCATGACTCTTGGTTAGTGCTCGTTTTGCTGGTTGTCTATGGTGAGGTTGTGGCTAACTGATTGCGATACGCAGACCAATTCTAAGCGACATGGAATGCGATGGTATAACAAGTGCAAGGATGGATATGACGATTTGAAGCCACAGCTTATACTTGCGCCCACCCACCTTCCGGGGCTTGCTTTGAGTCGAATCGCCCCGGGTGGAAGGCTGCTGGACGGCGACCGGGAGGTTCTGCGCCCGAACACCGTTGAAGCGCAAGTGGTGGATGAGCCCCTGGGCGGTTTCCCGATTCTGGTTGGAGGACTGGTTGAGGTTGCATGAATGCGACTGAGATTTTATCCCAGCGCCTACAGTATCCTGTCGGCCTATTCGGCCCTCCCAATAACTAACAAAACTTGAGCCAAACAACACGCACAGCCCCGTCCCACTCAACTATGCATGGCCTCGTGCGGATCGGGTCGGATTTCGGCGCCGGTTCGAGGGCGCGACGTTGACGTATCCACCTGAACCTCACCAGATCGTCGTGCGGATCGGGTTGGATTTCGGCGCCGATACCACATTGCAGATACCCCAACGCCGGAGGGCACGACGTTGACTTGGCTACATGGGCCGCCTCACCAAATTCACATGCTGATCCAGCCTCGAGCAAAGCGGGGAGCAGCGGCATGATCTCGTCCCGTCACTTGGCAGCGGCTTAGAACTGCCGCCCATCGTGCAGGACAAGTATCGTAAATATCTACTTTTTGTTTGGCCAGTTCACAGCTCACAATCTGCTCTAGGCCGCTAGGTGCGGGACCCCTGGAGTTGTGCCCGCCGAAATCCTCCACAATAATAGCTGATCCTCTCCTCCAAGCGACGTTAGCGGGCCCGTCGCTGCTACCATCTACCTGGCCGGTCTAGCCCACCGGTTTGTCCTCCCGCGAAATCCCTGTTGCAGGATATTGGCCTTGTTTCGTCATGCCCATGTACTATATAGCGAATACGAATTCCGGTCGAGTTATAACCATGAAACCGGATCGAGACATCATCACTCAGTAGAATAAAGGAGAGCACCGCCGTCCTCATGCGGGGAAACATTTGATCTGTGTAAACTTACCTTCATCTCCCTGAGTATCAATTTGGCCGAAGTTTATCGATCCCATAAATAAGACTACGCTTCAGACGAACCAACGCCAAGGACGCCATCATGGCGGTCATAGGAATCAACACCCCTGGCTTGAGCCTGGGCAGCCTGTTCGCGATAGCTTCGCTCTCGGTGAGTGAGACCCCTGCGCGCCGGCGGGTAAAACTCCCGGCCGCCATCACAGAGCCCCGGAATGGATCATGCAGCTAACCCCAGCGCGCCGGCCCCCAGGTCGTCGGCTACCTCCTGAGCCATGTCTGCTATAACGTCTTCTTCCACCCGCTGCGCAAGTTCCCCGGCCCGTTCTGGATGGGCGCCTCGCGCATCAGCTACTGCTACCGCCTCGTGACGGGCCGGCTGCCCTTCGACATCCTTGAGCTGCATCGCCAGTACGGCGAAGTGGTCAGGATCGCGCCCAACGAGCTCGCTTTCGCCAATGCGCAGGCGTGGAAGGACATCATGGGCCATCGCGGGCCGGGGGAGCCTGAGATGAAGAAGGCGCCACAGATGTATAACGTCCTTAAAGACCGTGTGTAATCCCTTTGTCCCCCGGATGAGCCCCAGTGAGCCATCTGTCTCACTCATGGGAGGACGAGTCCTGCCGGATATGCTGACCAGAGACTGGCACAGAGCCGCTGACCATTGTGAATGCTCCTCGGGATGAACATGGACGGCTCCGTCGGCAGCTGGCTCACGGGTTTAGCGATCGGAGTAGTAAGTCGAGGTCCTGCCTATTTTGCCCACGAGTGCTTTTTTCCCCCCTTCCCCCGGTCATATACTGACGGATGGGGATATAGTGAGAGAGCAGCAGCCGATAATCATCGACTATGTGAACCTTCTCATCCGACAACTGCATGAGAGGTGTGGAGGTGGCCAGCGACCCATTGACGCTGTAGCTTGGTACAACTACACGACCTTCGATGTCATTGGCGACCTGGCTTTTGGCGAGCCCTTCGGAAGCCTCCAGTCGGGAGAGTATCATCCTTGGATTGCCATGATCTTCCAGAGCATCAAACTCGGAACACTATTCCAGTCAGCTGGGTTTTTCCCTTGGATCAAGTCTGCCTTGATGAAATCGATCCCGAACTCTCGTATGAGGACCAGGGAACAGCAGTAAGCAACAGTCCTCGATATTATTCTCGCCCTTCCTGAGTTATCTCGTATATGCGAGATCTTCGCGGTCCTGGGAGAGAGGATGCCACGCCGAGCTGTCCTTATATTTAGCCTCAGAGACGGCATAGCTAATTCGTTGCCATGCAGCCTGAAGCTCACAAATGAGAAGCTGTTGAAGCGCATGGACCTAGGATCCGAGCGAAATGACTTGATTGAGGGCTTGCTGAGGAAGAAGGACGAGCTGAACCTCGACTTGGGAAAGTTGAGAATGAACGCAAGCCTGCTGATTATCGCAGGGTCCGAGACGACGGCGACCTTGCTCTCAGGGGCGACGTACCTCCTCACAACCAACCCAGAAGCCCTGCGCAGACTCACTGAGGAGGTGCGGGCGACGTTCCAGACTGAGGAAGAGATCGACTTCACTTCCGTCAGCAACCTGCAGTATATGCTCGCGTGCTTGGACGAGGCTCTTCGCATGTACCCACCAGCGCCACTCGGCCTTCCTCGTCAGACACCGAAAGGAGGTGCAACTATCGCTGGCCACCATGTGCCAGAAGACGTGAGCATTGCCCAACTACACCAGATCCTGAGGTTCGGGGAGTGAATTCCTGCTAACAGTTGCTGGACTCCTTTCAGACGGTGGTGTCACAATACCATTACGCCTTGTACCACAACGAGAAATTCTTCACCAAACCAGAAGAATATCACCCAGAGAGGTGGCTCGGCGATCCAGAATTCGCAACAGACAACCGAGACGTCTTCCAGCCCTTTCATATAGGCCCGAGAAATTGCATAGGAAAGAAGTAAGTGATGTTATCCCATCCTGCGGGGTGTTCCTGCAGGGCTGTTTGTTGGTGCATGCGGGCGACTAGTGCTGACAGGGAGTGACCAGTCTCGCCTACATCGAGATGCGCATCATCCTCGCACGTGTTCTGTGGAATTTTGATCTGAAGCTAGCCGACGAAAGCAAAGACTGGCTGAGCCGACAGAAGATCTACCTGCTCTGGGAGAAATCTCCGCTTTACGTGTACTTGACGCCGAGGGCGCATACCAAGGCGTGAGGCATCACGTGTCTGTGCCTGACCCAAGATTGACGGCAAAGACTGCTTCGAGGAAAAAACGATCCAAAGGGATTTCTTGGGTTGTTTGGAGTTGGCCTCAGGCTCTGCAGTAGAACAAATTGGAAGAATGGGAAAATAGGTACGAGACCGTCAAGACTGAAACCGGGGGGGGGGGAAGGTCCTGCTTTATTATGTGTATCTCGCTGCCACCCCAGAGGATTGCCAAGTACTCAAAATGTCTGTGGTATGCCAAGAAATATAAACTTGACTGTAAAAATCATTCTACAACAGGCAATCCCCATAGGAAAGTGGATCCGTCAAGTCATACTCAGTTGTTTGGGAATCAGGTGAGCGAGCCGCGGCAGCGAACTTCAGGGTCTTTGTTACCTGTCTAAACCATCGATCTAGCGCTATTCAGAGTCTGACCCGGTACGGATTCTGAAACTTGGGCTCTCAGGACTAGACTGCTTGGGGAGTTCAATGAAGCATACTGCCCATGATATAAATGGACATGAGGCCAGAGATGGCAGTTTACCTAGGCACAGTAGGCCTGCATGTTGGGGAACCACAGTTACGGCCTGGGCAGGGATTAGACCAGTGGTCCAGGGTTACCGAACTCCGGGGTCGGCAAGGTTAGAAAACCTGCCAACCCCACCGGCTGCTCCGATTTTGCAATGCGCTACGCCCGAGTACAGCATGTAGACTAGAATAGGGCCACTCTTGGAAACGGGAGAGTGAGCATGACGGCCATTTTCAGCGAGACGGAGGCCCTCTTCCTGAGGTCTTGACATTCATTCTCTTCTGCTTGGCAAATCCCATCCTCTCACTGGCTGTCCGCCGTCCCACCTGCACTGCATTGTCGATACACTCTAACGTGACGACGCCGTCCCGCTTCGTCAAGCTTATTGCTTTCCCAAGTCACCAGTCCGCTCCACATCCGTTGACTCAATCCTGCAATCCTCCATTTTCGTCTGCCCACCGACTTCATGAGACCTGCTTGCCACTGTATTGAGAGGCATTTCCCCCCATACACTCCTCAACTCAAGTAACATCTTCCTTGCTTTCCTTGTCAGGGCCACCAGATCCAGTCACACGCAAACTCGGGCATTCCTCTCCGAAGAGTCACATAATTTGTAACCACTACAAGAACACGCCTCATTGAACATTCCCCAGAATCTACCATGAAACCCACAGTCAAGAATGACAGTCCCAGTGGATGGGTCGTCCAAAAGTTCGGGGGCACAAGCATTGGAAAGTTTCCAGACAAGGTGCGACCTCAGTTGAACTTCCTGTGGGCGGCCGGCCTGACTGACTGACAGCCACTGGATTAGATAGCAGACGATATCATCAGGTATCTCTCACAGCAGCTCCGGCGTTTCTAGTATCAGATTCACTAAATCGAGTGCAGGGCGAACTTGCCAAACAACAAGATTGCTGTCGTCTGTTCAGCGCGCAGCTCAGGGAAAAAGGTCACCGGCACTACAAGTCGGTGAGTCATGGTCCCCCACGCCGTGTTCTCTGCTGTCGCAACACCACAGTGGCCCTGATGACTGACCAATTCCTGGACGTGAAGGCTGCTTGAGGTCTACAGGAGGCTCAGGAATATTGACGCTGCCGTCGGCATAGAGAACACGCAGACAGAGTTGCTGGAAGAGGCCAAGAGCCTCATCCAGGATATTTGCGATGATCATCTATTTGCCGCCGAGGCGGTCCTGACAACCCCAGATTTCAAGGAGGCCCTAAAGGAAGACATCAAGAATGAGTGCCAGGAGCTCATTGAGTACATCCAGGCCGCGAAGCGTTTCAAACTAGAGGTCAACTCAAGATCCAAGGACCGGGTCGTGAGTTTTGGCGAGCGGTTGAGCTGCAGATTCATGACATATGTGCTAAGGGATCGGGTGTGTACCACTGGACCTGGCGTAACAGACTCTTCGATGCTTTGATGCTAACAATTTGGGCAGCGTGTGGAGGCTGAGTATGTGGACCTAGCCGACGTGCTTCACAACGACAGCGCGGGACGCTTGGATCCTTCTTTCTACCGAGATGCTGCGGCGGCGTTCCGGAGCAAGATAGAGGCTTGCGAGGACCGAGTGCCTGTTATCACTGGCTTCTTCGGTAACGTACCAGGGAGTCTTATGGACGGCGACGTTGGGCGTGGATATACCGACCTATGCGCGGCCCTGGTGGCAGTGGGCATCAAGGCGGACGAGCTCCAAGTATGGAAGGAGGTGGACGGTATCTTCACAGCGGACCCGACCAAGGTGCCCACGGCGCGACTCCTGTCGTCCATCACGCCCTCCGAGGCAGCAGAACTGACCTTCTACGGGTCCGAGGTCATCCACCACCTCACCATGGACCAGGTCATCAAGGCGGACCCGCCGATCCCCGTGCGCATCAAGAACGTCAAGAACCCCCGCGGCCAGGGCACCATCGTCGTCCCGGACCCGGTGCTGGCGCCGGGCCAGCAGCTGAAGCGCTCGCGGCCGTCGCAGGTCAACCTGGTGCGGCAGACGCCCAAGAGGCCGACCGCGGTCACCATCAAGGACAAGATCTCGGTCATCAACGTCCACTCCAACAAGCGGTCCATCGCCCACGGCTTCTTCGCCCGGGTCTTCTCCATCCTCAACAGCTACAAGATCTCGGTCGACCTCATCTCCACCAGCGAGGTGCACGTGTCCATGGCGGTGCACCTCCCCAACTCCGAGGCCGTCATGTTCGACAAGGCCAGGCAGGAGCTCGAGGACTGCGGGGACGTCAGCGTGCTGCACGAGATGGCCATCTTGAGCCTGGTAGGCGCGGACATGAAGAACATGATTGGTGTCGCCGGCAAGATGTTTACCACGTTGGGAGAGCACAGAGTCAATATTGAGATGATCTCACAGGGCAAGTCCAATACCTGAATACTAGCTGTGGACTTGAAACAAAACAGAAAAGTTTGCTAACCTCAACCATAGGAGCGAGTGAGATCAACATCTCGTGTGTCATTGACGCTCGAGATGCCACAAGGGCGATGAACGTCCTACACACCAGCCTCTTTACCTTCCTGGAGTAGTATGGACTCGAACGAGAACCAAAACAAGAAGGCGGAGATGGGGAGATGTCTGCTATCTTTTGGTGGTAAAATTTAGAGTAAGATATCCAAGAGTACAGAGACCAAGTAAAACTGCGCATGAGAGAGGGACGAGCGGCAGGCTTTGCTTTGTATTCGGCGCATAGGTTAGACAACGGCATTCATCGCATCGACTTGAAATTCAGATCGAACCAGGCGGCCATGGTCCCGACGTTGTGTATTGTGTTACCCCGACAAGGCTTGCATCACGGATCCGTGACTTCATCCACAGTCCGTCTTCCCCCGCTGGTTTCTTACAACATTGGACGTGTCATGTCCCTCGATTGGCCCATGATCATCGGGGCCCAACAGTCGCCGGGCTTTGAGTTCTCGGCATTAACAGCTTTCCAATACCGCATCACGGAATAGACACGGCCGAAGCATCGTTTATGTCGTCAACATTGACCTCAATATACTCAGCTGGACATGTGATCCCTTGGGTCCCTGTCAAAAGTTCTTACAACACGTAGGATTCGTGAGGACACAGTGAGTATATCGGTCCGGAAGATTCGCTATCAATTTCGTCCCATAAGTTTTGACTTACCGGTCCGTATCCAAAACGGTATATATATGGCCGGTTCTGACTTGAGTACAGCGGGAATATGTTCTCATCTGCCCACATGAAAACACCGTCGAACTTCATTTGCTAGGTGAAATCAAGCCCCGGGCACCGTACTTAAGCCGCGAATCTGAAGAAGGCCCTAATATTGCCAGTCTGTTTTGAAAACCGCTCGATCCTAACGGCACTCCGCCGATTGGTTTACTGGCAATGTCCATTAGATAAGGCTCAGAAAGGCCGGGAGCTTGAGAGTCATGGCACAATCTTGCCTTGCAGAAACTGGGGAAAAAAGCCAGGCACAGCATCTCGTAGGACGCCATTCCCAATCATAAACGGATAATTGGAAACCTTAATGGATACAGGGCGGCCACAGGGTACTCTCATATGCAATTAATCGTTCCATTTTGGCGCTAGTGATGTGCAAATGACACACCACACCAAAATCTGTATGCACTTTTATTAATTTTTTTAATTTAGCTTTAATTTATTTAAAATTTATATGAGAAGAAAGCTGTTTCTTTATTAATTTTATTTCTTTTTTAATTATTAAATTAAGTATTTAAAAGAAAAGAAATTTATACTTAAATTAAAGTTAAAAATAACTTAAGTTAAAATTAAATTTTTAAAAAAATAAAAAGGGGGTAAAATTAAGTATTTATATTAAAGTTATTATCATAAAAGGGAATATAAAGATTAGGCAGCTATCCTTAATACGTTAATTCAGATTAAGACGGCGCTACCTTTTATGTAAGGAAGAAGTCTTATGGAAATTGCAAGGCAAGGGTTTTATGCCTAAGTGTAATGAGCTTGGGCTATTGCCCAAGCCATAATGCATGCCCATATCGGGCCTATACTGCACTTAATCCTTTTATATAATGGGGCATATACTTAAAAGATAGATTTAAAGTTAAGCTTTTTTAAGGCTTAACTTACTTTTTAAATATTGCAATTTATAACTCCTTTTAAATACCTTTTAGCAAATACTTAAGGCTAACTTATAATATTAAATTATAATCTTTAAATTATATTAAGGAAAATATTTATATTATAAAAATAAATAACCTTATACTTAAAATATTAACCTTTTTATAAAATATATAATTAAAAATTCCTTAATTTACTTTAATATTAAGTTATAAAAATGCTTAAAAAGCATTTTAACCCCCTTAATTATTTATAATAATACTTATTAATATTAATAATAATGCTATTATATTTTTTTTATAGCAATACTTTATTAATTTATAAAGCTTAAAGTATATATAAGTCTTTTTAACTTACCCTTAATTTAATATAAGTTGCTTTTAATTAAGCCCTTATTTAATAATAATTAAAATAGCTTCTTAACTTAAAAAATTATAATATAATATAAGCTATAAATTAATATAAACTTTATTAAGGGTTTTTAAAAATATTAAATCTTTTTATAAAGTTAATTATTTATTAAGATATAATTATATATTATAATATTTTATAAGTAAAGTAGGCCTTAAAATAGCTTTAGCATAAATAAATTTTTTAAATATTTAAAATATTATTATAAAAACTTATATTAATAAATAGCTATTTTAATTAAGCTTAAAATATTTTAAATATAAAATTATAATAACTTTACTTAATTTTATATTTAATTTAAATAATTAATAATATAAATTAAGAGCTTTAAATAATTAAGTAAAATAAAGCTAAATTATTTTTATAATTAGCTTTTTTTATAGCTTTATAATAAAATTATTAAGGTATTAATTTTATATTTAAATTATAATAAAATAATAAATATATATTATTAAATTACTTATAAGTTAAAAGCATAAAACTTTAAATATTAATAATATATAAGCTTAACCTTATACTTTTTAAAGCTCTTAGCTTAAGGGTAATAAGTAATAAATTAAGATATAATAATAATAAATATAATTATAATAAGTATAATAAGGAGCTAAGGGGCTAAGAATAAAGGGTTATAAGGGTATTAAAGCGCTTCTTCTTTTTAACTAGCTAATAATTAAATTAAGGTACCTTAAATTTTTAAGTTTAAAAAAAAGGCTTAATAAAAGTATAAGGCATGCTTATATTATAATTAATAAAAATACTTTATAATAAATTATAAATTCTTTTTTATAATTATATTAACTTAAGTTTAAATTATAAAATTAGCTATACTTTATAAAGAAAACTTTATTAACTTTAAAAGAAAAAATTAACTTTTAAGTAAAATTTTATTTAAAAGCATAAGCTTTTTTTATAAGCTTAATTTATATAAAAATAATATTAATAAATATAAAATAAATTAAATAAACCTTTTTTCTTAATTTTTATTATTATAAATTATAAGTATATTATTATTATTTAAGTAAATAATAAGTATAATTATTATATTATTATAAATAAATAATAAGTATAAAAAATAAAATTAAAATTAATAACTTTATTTATTTTAAAAAACTTAAAAATAATTATTAACTTATTATAAAGTTAATATATTATATATATAATATAGCTTTCTTTAAATATTAATATATAATAAGCTTTTATTTTAATTTATATAATTTTAAATATAGCTTATTCCTTTTTATTAAGCTTATCTTAATTATATTATTATAATATCTTATTAAACTTAACTTATAATTATATAATAATTAATATAACTTAAAGAATAATTATAAAGAAAGAAAGTTAATAAAATATAAGTAATTTAACTTAATTAATCTTTAAAGCAGCTATAAAGATATAAATAAATTGCTTATCTTATAATAAAATAATAAATATTACCTTAATAAAAATAAGCTTAAGTAAGGTTATATTATGGGTTGGCCTTAAGTGTTTGCTAAAAGGTACTTAAAAGGAGTTATAAATTACAATATTTAAGAAGTAAGTTAAGCCTTAAAAGGGCTTAATTTTAAATTTATCTTTTAAGTATATACTTTATTATATAAAAGGATTAAATATAATATAAGCTTAGCATAAGTATATATTATAACTTAGGCAATAGCTTAAGCTTATTATATAACCTCCTTTTTACTTTTATATTATATATAATAAGGATTAAACCTAAGGCTTTTGCGGTTTTATGTTAATTATATATTTACCTTATTATATATTTATTTTAAGGCTATATTTATTTACCTTAAAAGTAATAATTATTTATTTTATTTTTATATTAATTATATTTATGTATTATGCTTAATATAATATAATATAAAGTGTATATTATATATGCCATGAGTTATTATAATATAATAATATTATTATTATATATATAATTTTTTATTAATATATTGTAATTATATATAAGTTATATATATTATTAGCTTTAAGCTATAATGCGCTTTTATTAATATATTAATATTACTTATTATAATTATTACCCTTATATTATATTTATTATTACTATTTAAAATAACTTCCTTATAATTATACTTCTTTTTATAATTCCTTCTTTTTATAATTCCTTCTTTTTAATATTATATTATTATTATAATGCATTTATTATATATATTATTTTATTATCTTTATATAATTTTTTTATTATTTTTATAATTATTTTTTTATTTATATTAATTACCCTTTAGCTTTATTTTATTCTTAATTAAAAAGCCTTTTTTAATATAATTAATACTTATATAATTTCTTAGCTTCTTTATAATTTAATCCTTTAGCTATTCTTTCTTGCGCTTATTATGCTTTCCTTATAATTACCTTTTTTTATTAAAAAGCTATTATCTTAATGCATTAATACTCTTTTAATTCCTTAATAATTCCTTAATATACCCTCTTTTATTTATATTTTATTTATTAAGCGCCCTTCCCTTAGCTTATTAATATTCTTTTAATCCCTTAATATCCTCCTTAATATTTACTTTCTTTTTACTATATAAAAAGAAGAATAAAAAATAGTTTTTATTATAAGTTTTAATAATTAACATAATAGCTTTAATGTAATTATTGTTAATAATAATAATAATAATAAGCTGCTTTATTATCTTAATAATATAACTTTTAAAATTACTTTATTTTTCCCTTAATATAAATTTATTATAATTATTAACTAAGTATAAAAATATTATACTATAAGATTATATTAAGTATTTAGCGATTTTAATAATAAGGATTAATAGCTTATTAAATAGTTATCCTTTTTTTATAAACTATATATTATAATTTTTTATAAAATTAATAAGCCGCTTATTTATATCCTTAAAGATTATAATGTATTTTATATTAATTATTAT